TTTGGGGCCATAAATATCGAGGAAATGGCCTGAGGGGGGGTTTTTTTGGGGAGGCGAGTTTACCGGGCCGGCGTTTTGTTTTCCGTCTCCAAGAGACCGTGTCCGGCTATAACTTTTATGGAGAGCGGCGTTTTTGGAAATGTTTTTTGAGGGATTTGCAGGGAAATGGGATGATTTTTATATTTTCATATATGTCAACCAGTTGTCGGGAAAATAATGAGCGCTTCAAAATAATGAGGCTGACTCAACGAATCAGCCAATAAAAAAAGACTTTTGAGGCCATATTTGGAGCTGTCTTGAAAAAAAAATATTTTTTTTGAAAAAAATTACAGTCTGTCGGGAAAATAATGAGCACTCTGTCGTGTCGGAAATCGCATCGCCGCAGGGTGAATGGACGCGACAAAATCAAATTGCTTTTCACTTTAGCGACGCGGTTGGCGTAACGAAAATGTGCTCATTATTTTCCCGACAGACTGATAATAAAATTTCTTTTGCAAGTCTGTCCTTCACATATACGATCGTATTTCACAAAACGCTGTCATTCGATTTCCTTGAAATTTGGGCTATATGTATACCCGCTATAGGCCGAGCTTTGAACCCCGAAAGTTTTAGCTTTTCCTTTGCAAAGCGATGGTGGGAAATGTCACAAATCTACATTATTTTCCCGACAGACTAATATTGCGTTTTTTTTCAAAAGTTCATGGGCTTTTTGCCGCGAGACGTTGCTGCCCCGCGAATTTGATATTTTGCACGGTGCAAACAAAATAGAAAACCTTTATGACATACAAAAAGAACCGGGAAAAAAACGAAACCTGTTAAAAAATGCCACCCAAGTTTAATCCAATTTTCTCAAATTTAGGCTCTAATGGCGTTCACTTTTCGGCCAAAAATTAATCGTAAAAGCACAGTGCGTTTTGCTTTTTTTCGCACGGTGCAGGCTTTTCAACATTTTAGACTGCGCCTTTTCACCCATTGCGCGAAAAATACATACTTTTAGGAACGTCGCAGTGATCGCACAGTGGAAAATAGGGGTCTTTCGGAGGGTAAAAAAAGCGTCGTACTTATCAGTGCGTCGGGAAAATAATGGGCTTTCACTTTAGCGACGCGATCGGCGCAGTGACTTTGTGCTCATTATTTTCCCGACAGACTGCTACAGCTTTGTGCAACAAATTGCGAGTGGCAAAAAACTTTGTCGTTTTATCAGTCTGTCGGGAAAATAATGTGGATTCATCGCGCCTTGGAATCTCCCATCGTTCTTTGCGACGACAGGTCGCTGGAGACCGGAGTAGACTGCGACGAGGCGAGACATTTTGCTGCAACAAGTCCATATTATTTTGCCGACAGCCCAATAGTAGTATTATCGTTTCATATCAGTCTGTCGGGAAATTATTGAGCATAATGTCGCTTTTCGCTGCGACAGAGCGCTCATTATTTTCCCGACAGACTGATAAACCAATTTTCCTGCAGAATTTTGCAGCTGGCGGCGGATCTTTGCAACTAATATTACACTATAATCCAATTTCATCCAGCCATTTTTCGTTTCCACATTAATCTCATTTAGCGCCCCAAAAAATCCTAAGCGGTTTTTTGGCCATTGGCCATTCTTCTCGGCGCGTCCCAGAGGAAATTCGCTCCAATTTTCTCGTCCCGGACATGGAAATTTTTGGTGCAAAAAGGGGACGAATACGTTTAGAAGAGGGGGTCTTTTGAGAGAGTTTGATTATTAGGATGTAGTATCAGTCTGTCGGGAAAATAATGAGCACAATGTCGGTGTGCCGACCGCGTCGCTGAAGTGAATAGCAATTTGATTTTGTCGCGATACAATTCATTTTCTCCGCGACAACGTGATTTTTGATGCGACAGAGAGCTCATTATTTTCCCGACAGACTGATAATGATGCAATTTGATGTACTCTTTACTTTTTTCTTAAGTATAGCGCTGCTAAAAAAAATTTTTTTTAGATTTTATGTAACGATCTATACACTATTTTTGGGGTTTTTTCGACGGTGCTGATTACGAAAATGACATCATTTTTTCAGATTTTTACTTTTTTAAAAAAATTTTGTCGGGAAAATAATGAGCGCAGCGTCGATGCGTTAATCTCGTCCCTGAAGTGAACGCAATTTGATTCTGTCGCGACACAATTCATTTTCTCACAAGGGAATGGTCCCAACGATCCGTGGGATCCACAAATGAAACCTAGATATTCTAAAAGAGCAGGTAAAATTTAGTAGGAATCCGTTTTTTCTACTTGCCGAATAAGTCTGTGCGACGAGAAATATCGTCGAAAAGATCCGACCAAAAAATCGAAAGAGAGAAAAGACGAACCGAAAGGCTTTGGAAGGCGTCACCAAATAGTCTAGTGGAAAAAGTTCCACGCACAAATCTTTTGGGGGAAGGAGGCCATGGAGGTTCGAGTCCACCCGGAGCCGGACATCTCCGGAATCGAACCTACGTGTTCACTACTGTATTCTACAGTTACATAAAAAAAATTTTTTTTGTTTATTGACCTGTTTTGCAAGGTTTGTTGCAAAATTTTAAGAAAAGTTGACACTTCGGCAATATATTTGATAAGCCCGATGTCGACATAGTGGTATTTTCAAGACACTTCTACTCGATTCTGGAAGGTTGTATAGGATCTTGCAGATCTTTTTCGGTTTCCCAAAAAGGATGTTGCCAAAATCTCAGCGTTTCATAAAATTTTGCAAGAAAAGTTGAAAAGAGAATTTTTGGGTCCTTGCATCAGCGTGTAGACCCCGTGAATATTTACGAAAAAACCTATTTTGAGTTTTTTGGTTTAAAATGGCCGTGGACATGTGTTTAACAAATGCCCAAATTATTTTTGTCAAATTCTGCCCGGAAGGTATAAATTTGCATAAATTTGTCTTCTTTGGAACTTCGGACCTGGCGTCATCATAAAAAGAGGTAATGACCAGTGATTGCCACGCCTTCGGATGCAAAAAAATCTTGTAAAACAGGTTAAACAAATAAAAAAATTTTTTGTACAGGGTGTTTCAAGAAATTTGGAACAAATGATTTGCTTATATCTTTGTGTTCTTTGAAGCTATCAACGAATTTCTTTTTGCTTCTAAAAATTGACAGCGTGCGTTTTTAGAATCTCAAAAAAATTTTTTTTTCGTCGGCGGAGGGCCCATTTCTCGGCAGAGAAAATTAGGGCCTTTTTTAAAAATCACAGCGTATTACGTGGCGGAAACGCCGTTGCAACGGCTGAAATCAAGTTTACGTAATACCTCCATCGATTTTACGGTATGCATTTTTTGCGTTTTCGATTTTACGCACTTCCGCGGATGCGCGGCGGAGACTTCAGATTTCGGCGGACGTCGTTTTGGGCCTTCGGCTTTTGCAATTCATGTTGGAAAAGGAGGTTTGGGTGATTTTTTGTTGTCATCCGATGCACAGATGGCAAAAATTTCGTGCTTTTTATCCCCGGCGGAGGAGTCGGCGGAGGCTTTATCAAAGGGTAAAAACAAAACTCCGCCGATTTGTCCGCCGGACCAAAAAATCAAAAATCTTTGAAAGACAATGCTGCTCTGATGGATTCTTGTAGCTGAGATTTTTCCCGGACTCGTAAGACAGCTTTGACCCTTTAATAAAGCCTCCGCCGAATCCTCCGCCGGGGAAAAAAAGCACGAAATTTTTGCCTTCTGTGCATCGGATGACAACAAAAAATCACCCCAACCTCTTTTCCAACATGAATTGCCACAGCCGAAGGCCCAAAATAACGTCCGCCGAAACCTGAAGTCTCCGCCGCGCCTCCGCGGTGCGCGTAAAATCTAAAACAAAAAAATGCATACCGTAAAATCGACGGAGGTATTACGTAAACTTGATTTCAGCCGTTGCAACGGCGTGTCCGCCACGTAATACGCTGTGATTTTTAAAAAAGGCCCTAATTTTCTCCGCCGAGAAATGGGCCCTCCGCCGACGAAAAAAAATTTTTTTGAGATTCTAAAAACGCACGCTGTCAATTTTTAGAAGCAAAAAAATTCGTTGATAGCTTCAAAGAACAAAAAGATATAAGCAAGTCATTTGTTCCAAATTTCTTGAAACACCCTGTATAACTGTAGAATACAGTAATGAACACGTAGGTTCGATTCCGGAGATGTCCGGCTCCGGGTGGACTCGAACCTCCATGGCCTCCTTCCCCCAAAAGATTTGTGCGTGGAACTTTTTCCACTAGACTATTTGGTGACGCCTTCCAAAGCCTTTCGGTTCGTCTTTTCTCTCTTTCGATTTTTTGGTCGGATCTTTTCGACGATATTTCTCGTCGCACAGGCTTATTCGGCAAGTAGAAAAAACGGATTCCTACTAAGTTTTACCTGCTCTTTCAGAATATCTAGGTTTCATTTGCGGATCCCACGGATCGTTGGGACCATTCCCTTGTCAGCGGCGATGCGATTTGTCGATGCGACAGAGTGCTCATTATTTTCCCGACAGACTGATACCGGTATTTTAAAAGTGCGTAGGCACTCCGCTGAATCATCAAATCCCCAAGCGCGCCAAGCAATGATGGGCGATTGCAAGGCGCTCCGAAAATCCACATTATTTCCCCGACAGACTGATACTCTTAATCTCATCACTCAAAATATCGGGTTGTCGGGAAAGTGATGAGCTCTCTGTCTCATCAAAAATCGCAACGCCGCCGAGGAAATGAATTGTGTCGCGGAGCAAAACAAATTGCTTTTCATTTCAGCGACGCGATTGACGTTGACATTGTGCTTATTATTTTCCCGACATAACTGACTCGCAATGTTTTTTACAAAATTTTATCGTGATTTAACTACGTATTTGTAGCGCGTTTATGTTACTTGATTCTCTCTATACTAATCTACCTTTCTTTGCAGACATCTCGGAGTTAACAGGCCTTTAATCCATTTTTTCTTCTTCAAACTCCCCTCAACAGCACTACAGTGAACCCTACAGCTTCATCTATAACACCCTTCCAAAATATCGACCAAATTTTCGTCTGACATTCGTCGTTTATGAGCTACATCTCGGAAGCGCCGCCGCCTCCGCCGAAACACTTGACGGAGCGTGCGCGTTCGTTGCAACGCGAGCCGCCCAGCAGCATCCGAATGCTCGATTCGCCGGAACTCTGCGCCGACGATGCGCGCGCCCGCTTCTCCCACACCAAGGCGATTTTCGAGCAGCTGGAGAAGCATCAACGCGAACTGCCCAGCTTCTACTCCCCGCGTCCCGTTCGCCACATGATGAGCAGCAGTGTGCATGCCGCAATCGGGGAGTCGTTTGCGACGTCGTTCCAGTCCATTCCGAAATGCCCACCGCCAGTGCCGCCGAAGCCGGTGGAGGCGTTCAGACATTGTAAGTGGAGATTTGATATTGGTTTTTAAAATACGAGCTGTGACGACATGTCATCAGAAATTTAAAAAAAAAAACATTTTTTTCCGACCGTCTTATAATCCTAAAGCGTAGCAATTTTTTCCAAGTCATGTTCCAAAAGTGATCATGGATACTTTTGGATACTTTTTGACACATTTTCAAAAAAACCTAGAAACTTCCAGAATACACTTTTATATATATTATTTAAATTTTTAAAATACGATATTTTTGAAAACATCTCATCGTAAAATATCAGTCTGTCGGGAAAATAATGTGGAGAAATCGAAAATCGCATCGCCGCTGAGGAAACGAATTGTCGCGGAAAAATAAAATTGCTTCTCACGTTAGCGACGCGATCAGCGCAACGACACCGTGCTCGTTATTTTCCCGACAGACTAATAACCAAAAAATGGAACCTGCCCAAATTGATAGAAAATTTTTGGTGATGGATACTTTTGGATACTTTTTGATACCTTTTCAGAAAAATCTGGAAAACCTTCGGAATACACTTTATGAAACAACCATACCTCATTTTAACTTAAATATGATCATGGATACTTTTGGATACCTTTGGATACTTTTTGATACTTTTTTGAAAAAAAATCTGCGAAGCTTAAAAATAGAATTTGTTGTTACTAAAAAACTTATTTCTTCTCTCCCCCCAATTCAATAGCCAAAGTAATAACGAGCCCTCTCTCAAGAACAACATGTGCAACATGGATTGCAAAAACATTTCGGACATCTGGCGCCGCTTACACAAATCATGCATTTGTCTTCTACGAGAGGAAAACGGCTTTAAAATTATGAGAAATGCCGTGGGAGCGGAGAGGTTTTGAGTATCCTTCCGAAGTTACTTTAAGCCTCTTTTTTTAGGTTATAACGGGATTTTATATTATTATAGTATTTTCATATAAAAAGAATTGCGCCAACAACGGATTCTCCAAAATCAAAAAAAGTGTTATAGAAGGGTCGCCGAGAGAACATGCGAAAAGCGGAGAGCGGTCAGAGAGAAAAAAGAAATTTTTGGCCGTATCTTTGCCAGTTTTAGAGGAAAAACGATGATTTTTCGTGGAAATATTACACTCTACAGTAGGAATACGTATGAAACTTTTTATTTCTAAATTAGCAAAAAATTTTTTTTTTTTTTTTTTTGTTTTTTTTTATTTTTGTCGAAAGGCCCGACAACCCAGTAACGATGACGAGACGCTCAAGAGTCAAGTGATTTATTCAGTGGAAAGGAGGTCCTTTTATAGGGAAGCCCCACGTAGGAAAGTACAATCAAATTTGAATAAATGTAGATCGTTCCTCGTGGGAAAATCCTCGAAGCTCGGTCGTTCCGCCTCACAATTTTTAACCAATTTTTCCGCGCAACGCGGAGAGCGGTCAAAAAAACACTTTTTTGGCCGGTATCTTTGCCAGATTTGTAGGGAAAGAATTGATTTTTTGTGGAGACACTACGCTGTACGGTAGAAATAGGTAGGAAACTTTTAATGTCACAATTCGAAAAAAAAAATTTTTTGTTTTTTTGCCAAGTTCTGGCCCAAAAAATCTCAGTAGTTTCTGCAAAGCGTGAGCTAGAAATCTCTCATATATCTTGCAAAAAAATACTTTAAATTCTAGCCAATTTTCATCACTATCTGAGCGTCGAACTTTGGGTATTCCCCCTTTTTTCTTAACCATTCTTTGGTCATGAATCGTTTAGAAGGCGCGTGTTTGGGGCTCCGGCAAATTATCGGTCATTTTAAATGTACAACTTTTTTTGTGCCCAACTCGTCTCCGAACTCTTCGAGACGTTCAAAACAGGACCGCGGCCAATAGTTTTCTGCCGGCGCCGCATTTTCTAATTGTTTGTTTGTCGTCTGAGGTGGGGATGGGAGGTGGAGGCACTGTTGGGGCGTGCCAATTTGGGTTGTTTTCGGTTTGAGGACAGTATTTTGGGTGTTTACCGGGATTTTTTTGCGCTATTTATGGCTGTTGTGCGTCGTCAAAACTGCGTAGACTGTTTTTGTCGCTTCGAGCATACCATCAGTTTGTCGGGAAAATAATGTGGATTTGTCGCAGCGAAATGGCTCATTGCAGTCGCGCATCAAGTCTCCAGCCCTCGCAATGCGAAGATGGGAAATTTAAAAAGCGCGAAAAATCCACACTATTTTCCCGACAGACTGATTAAACAACAAAGTTTTTTTTTAATGCATGCGAAGCTGGGCGATTTCAAAGCCTGTAAAAACCGACTTTAGAGGCCTTGCACAAACCGCTTTATAAGTCTGTCGGGAAAATAATGTGGATTTGTCGCGCCTTGGAATCGTCCTTTATCGCTCTGCGACAGCTAGCTGGAGATTTTTTTGCGCAGTTGCGACGAGGCGATACATTTTTGAGGCTATAAATCCACATTATTTTCCCGACAGGCTGATTAAAAAATCTAATTTTTCAATATTTTTTTTCAATTTTTTTCAAAAGTATTTTTACACTCCCCTCAACCAGAGACATTTTTCTGCGATAAATCCACATTATTTTACCGACAGACCGATTAAAAAATCGAATTTTTCAATATTTTTTTTTACTTTTTTCAACAGCAATTTTATACTCCGCTCAACCAGACACATTTTTCTGGGATAAATCCACATTATTTTTCCGACGGACTGATATAAAAAATCGAATTTTTCAAAAAAAAATTTTTTTCAATTTTTTTCTACAGTATTTTTGCACTCCTCTCAAACGTTTTCTTGGCCACATTTCCTTTTGTTTTCCCATCTTTTTCCATCCCCTATTTTATGTTCTTTATATAAATTTATATCTCCTTGGCCTTGCCGGTTAAACTCCTCTCGTAAGAACCCGAAGGAAATAGAAAAAAAACACGCCCGTTGACATGTTTGAGGAATTTCGAAGGAAATGTGGTGCCGTTAAAACAATCATGGCCCTGTTTTTTTTTTGGGCCAAATGCTTTCGGGAGGAGCGGGCAGCTTTCGCGCTTCGGGAAATCCCCATTTTTGGGCGTTTTTGAACCGCTAAATGGCCAAGGGAGGTGGGAGAAAATGTTTTTGGGACATTTGCGATGTAACTATTAGTTTTTTGATGGTTTTGGAGGAGTATTGTAAACTTGTAGCAACGTATTTTTTGATTATTGTTGTAATTTTTAATATTGACAAGGGAAGTGGTCCAAGTGCGACGCTCAAATTTTGATGAAACTTGGCACAAATTCAAAATAATTTTTTTAATTATATATGCGAGATTTTTAGCTCGCGTTTTGCAGAAACAACCGAAATTTTTTAGGCCAAAATTTGGCAAAAATTTTTTTTCGAATTTTGTCATCAAAAGTTTCGTACCTATTTCTACCGTGCAGTGTAATGTCTCCAAAAAAAATCAATTTTTTCCCTACAAAACTGGGAAAGATACGGCCAAAAAAGTGTTTTTCTCCTTGACCGCTCTCCGCGTTGTGCGGAAAAAATTTGTTTTTTTTTATGGAAATTTTACCCTCTCAGGGAGAAATCCACTTGCAACCTTTCATGTCTAAATTTGCAAGGCAGCATAAATTTCTTCCCCAATTTTGATAAGGCTCGACAAATCCACATTATTTTCCCGACAGACTGAGAAAACGGATTTGTCGGACCACGCTCAGACCGTGATGAAACTTGACGCAAATTTAGAGTATTTTTTTCCAAGACATATCCGAGATTTTTAGCTCGCGCTTTGCAGAAATAACCGAGATTTTTTAGATCGAAAATTGGCAATTTTTTTTTTTTTTTTTTTTCTTTTTTTTTGAGAATTTTGACATCAAAAGTTTCGTCTCTATTTCTACCGTACAGTGAAATGTCTCCAAAAAAATCAATTTTTTACCCAAAACTGGCCAAGATACGGCCAAAAAAAATGTTCTCTCTCTGACCGCTCTCCGCATTTCGTGTACTCTCTCGGCAACAAAGATTGTCGAATATCCGCACCCATAATTTTCGTGAAAACAGCAGACAAATTTAGAATAATTTTTTCTAGGATATATGCGGGATTTTTAGCTCGCGTTTTGCAGAAACAACCGAAATTTTTTAGGCCAAAATTTGGCAAAAATTTTTTTTCGAATTTTGTCATCAAAAGTTTCGTACCTATTTCTACCGTACAGTGTAATATCTCCGCAAAAAATCAATTTTTTCCCCACGAAACTGGCAAAGATACGGCCAAAAAAACTTTTTCTCTCACCGCTCTCCGCCTTTCGTGTACTCCTCTTTCGGCAACAAAGATTGTTGAATATCCGCGCCCATAATTTTCGTGAAAACAACTTTTCTTGAAAGCATTCTCACTTGTCGGCGATCAATCTGTCACAGCGTGAGCGGTGAATCAGTTCTGAGTTCCGAAAAGAATCACTCGAAACAGAAACAAACCAAAAATTCGACTAAAGATCTTCATGTTGGTTGCAAAAATTTCTATGCAGAAATTCAATAGACGAGAAAAATTCAAATTCCATTTTTTTTTTGCAGACTTCCGTGAGGCGTTCTGAACGTTTTGGGCACTTTTGAACAGTTTTATGGGCTTATTTGATTTTCCAATTACGTTTGACTTTCTGCTTTTTTGGTCTTTTTACTTTTGACTTTATGGCCATTTTTTTGTATTTTTCTGTGCGAAAAATCAAAAAAAAAAAATTTTTTTTAAATTTTAAATTCGATTTTTTTCAAAATTCAAAAAATTTTTTTTTTGAAATTTTTATTTTATTGCTTTCCAAAAATAGAAGAAATGCCTAAAATTTCACTTTTTCTGAAATTTTTTATTTTTCTACCTAGAAAATCAGTCTGTCGGGAAAATAATGAGCACTCTGTCGCAGCAAAAATCGCATCGTCGCCAAGAAAATGAATTGTCTCGCGGAGAAAATCAATTTTCTTTCACTTCAGCGACGCGATCGGCGCTCATTATTTTCCCGACAGACTGATAGCCATGTTGTGTTGTGACAAACAAAAAATTTTTTCGCTACTTTAGCAACACGATCGGCGGTCATTATTTTCCCGACAGACTGATATTAAAGCTTCGAACAAAAAAATTTTTTGGTCACATGCCCAGTCTGACCGGTCGGGTTCAAAAAAGAAATTTTTTTTAAAAGTTTTTAAAGTTTGTCGGGGAAATAATGTGGATTTTCGGAGCGCCTTGCAATCGCCCATCGTTGCTTGACGCGACTGAGGGCTTGGTGATTCAGCGGAGTGCCTACGCACTTTTAAAATACTTGGTATCAGTCTGTCGGGAAAATAATGAGCACTCTGTCGCATCGACAAATCGCATCGCCGCCGAGAAAATCAATTTTCTTTCACTTCAGCGACGCAATTGCCGCAACGACAGTGTGCTCATTATTTTCCCGACAGCCTGATGTATAGTACACCTATATTTTGTTTACCAAATTCGGGAATTTTTAATTATTTTTTCTTCCCCACAAAATCTACCTCAAAATAATTTGCACACCTTTAATATGCACTCCTACTGCTCCCCAATTCCATCAAGAATTCAGGCAAAAAGTTCGTTTTTTTATTCCAAAACTTTGTTTTTCGATCCAAACATCCGCCCACCCTCCGACGCGGCGCGCTCCCCGCCGTTTTCCCGCGAGAATTTTGACGCAAACGACGAAAAAAGTTTGGCAAAATTTGCGGAACCGTTTCGGGGCCGGTCGCTTTTACTTTTTCGGGAGAGTAGAGGAGGAGAGCGGCGGGTGCGGACAAGTGGATATGAATTGGAGATGTCCGACATTTCCCGGGGCTTCTGACTTTTCGGAAAAGTTATTTTGGGTAATTTGGCGACGAGATATCAACTAGGGAAAAAGTGCCTTATTTTGACAACAAAAAAGGTACCCCGCGAACTGCGCCCAAGCTTGGGCACTAAAGTTAGGAAAAAACGCTTTGACCTAGCTGGAACTGAATTACTATAATAGCTCTATAGTTTTAAGGGTACCTATAAAGGCTATGACGACTCATTTAGTTCCATACGGATTCAATAGGTTTAGTTCCGGGCATGTTTCATCAAATAAGGTGTAAAATCACAGGCTGCAGTCGTTTTTGAAGGGTAAGGTGGTACGTAAAAAAGAAGGTACCTCACTAACTAAATCCACTGTCCGGGCATTGACAACGATGAATTGAGCGTGCACGCTAAATTTGGGCTAATTCCGACCAGTTTCCGCAAAGTTGTAAGTTGTGGCCAGAATAAGGAACTTTTACCTCAACTTGTCGGGAAAATAATGAGCGCTTTGTCGCTGTGCCGATCGCGTCGCTGAAGTGCAAAAAAAATGATTTTCGCGCGACACAACTCGTTTTCTTGGCGGCGATGCGATTTTCGCTGCGACAGAGTGCTCATTATTTTCCCGACAGATGAATATGGAATGGAAAAGATCGGATTTTATAAAAAAATGGGTTGTTGCACAAATTGTCGATTGAAAAATGCCCCAGGGCATTTCTAAATTATCTTTACATTTTTTTCAAGGGATGTACCCCAAGTGCGACGCTCAAATCATGCTCCCTTTTTTTGCAGAAACGACCGAGATTTTTAGCTAAAAGTTGGAAAAAATGTGACACTTTTTTGGCGAATTTTGGAGTCATAAGTTTCATTCTTTTTTCTACTGTAGAGAGTAATCTTTTCACAAAAAATCATTTTTTCCGCTCAAAATACGCGAGGAAACTGGCAAAAAATATTTATCTTTTCCTGGCACTTTCCAAAGACTTTTCTCGTCGACCAGTATCACATTAAGGGGTTTTTATCTTGTTTTTTTTAGGTAACCAATTAATAATCTTGTACGAGACGTATTATTTTACAGCAACGTTTCACTCACTCCCATACTCGTATATATATTATTTTTCTAAGATTACGTAGCGACCCTTCGAAAATTCATTAAAAAGATGGGGTGCGAAAAGCGGAAATCGCGCCGTCCAAGAGTCAAAAATAATCTTTGCAGAGTATCTGCGGCCCTCATGAAGATGTAATTCATCTTTTTGGAGAAATTAAATTTTGTCGTTTTTTTCGCTCTTATCAAAATATTTGTAGAAATCTCAAAATCGGCTAGTCAAAACAACTCTTTTTTTATCCCGCAATACTACTACAATTTCTCAACGGATACCTTTTGATGTTTTTTATAAAAAAACGTTATTTCTGTCTGTTATTTCAATTAGTTTTTTTTTTTTGATTTTTTTTGCATTCAAAAATGATTTTTTCTAAAAAGTTATCAAAAGTTATCATGGATACTTTTTGATACTTTTTTAAAAAAATGTGATTTTTTGTCACCAAGCAGCTCTTTCTGCCTGCCCCCTTTTCTGTAAAAAATCATTTTCTCCAAAAAGTGTCAGTAGTGACTTTGGATACTTTTTGATACCTTTTTGGCGAAAATTCAAATTTTTTTGTTCACTTTTCAAAATAATTTTTTTCTTTTTCTCACTTCTTTCCAATCACATTTTTCAATTTTCCAGCCGCCGAAGAGGCGCCGAACTCTCCCACCTCCTCCGCCAACACGACTACATCATCGGCCGCCTCATCGCCGACCGCCATGCACAGCAACAGCGCGCCTTCGACGCCCCTCAAGCCGGAGCCCTCGTCGCCGTCGAGTCAAGTGCAAAAGAACTTCAATCAACTGGCTGATGACTTGGACCGCATCACAAAGTCGCCGCGGACCGATGTCGGAGCCCCAACCGGCCTAGTGAAGCATGTGGCCAGCAAATTCCAGAGCGAAACTCCGCCGCCGCCGACGTTCTCCAACTCGTTGCCGAGAATCGGGCAGCCGTTGGCACAGCCGAACAAACCGAATAGCCTGTGAGTTTAAGGGGATACAAGGTGCGCCAAAAAAAATGGACAAAAATATATTTTGGCAATATCTGGCTCTGCAGTAAAATATTTGGGGAAACGTTTTGGTCCACTAAATAGCGACGTTCAAGCAATATATTCACGATAAGAAAGAAGGTATAACTTTACTGCAACTTTTTTTCTCGCGGGTTAAAGTTGACCATGTCCCGATCGCAATTCTCGAAAGTCCTTTGAAAAGTGAGGCATAAATATGTTTTGAGGCGTCACCAAAACTTCAAATAAAACTCGTCTAATTATATAGGACTAGTACTATCATATATGTAAAGGAATAGAAATAGTAACTTTCCATTTCAATACCGCGGACATCCAAACTTCGCAAGGGCTTTAAAATAAAACCCAAAATTTCGAAAACCAGAAAAAGTTTTGTAGTGAGAAACTGATAAGGCTTTGATATTCTCCAAATTCTTCATTCTAATCCATTTTTTTCAGTTACAAAAGCACCACTTTGGACAATCGCCGGCAGAAAGAGTCGCCCGATTCCCCACCAAACTACACTCCTCCATCCGCCGCCTCGAAACAGTCCCAGAACAATTCGTATGAGCCCTATTGGAGAGATCCCTCGTTTTACAAACGCCGATTTGGCGTTGAAAACGAGAAAGGAGAAGAGGAGCATAATTCGTCCGAATCCGGCGACAGTGTGCCATCAGAGCCAAGGCCAAGCCAACAATCGGGCAGTCCGAACTCCCCGTCGGCCAAGAACACATTCCAGTTCGGGGCGTTGGAACAGCATCGGGATCAGGTGAGGAGAAAGAAAAATTTGAACAGTATTTTTGCAACGTGCACGGACATTCCTCGGGTCCCGCACCGTGCACAGAAAAACCCCTTTTTGCACGGTGCATTTCTCTTTTCTTTTTGTTTCCAAGGTGGTAAAGTTTGTCGGGAAAATAATGTGGATTCGTCGCTGTAAACTGTCGCGCCTCATCGCAGTCGCGCACCAAATTCTAGATGCGGAGAGCCGTCACAAATAGAGGTGGCAATCGGGCTGGGCCGGCCCGGCCCGGCCCGGCCGGGCCCGGTGATTGGGCCGGGCCGGGCCGGGCCTGAGCAGATTTGAAAAAGCCCAGGGCCGGCCTGACCGCTTCGGCCCGTCGGCCGGGCCGAGACTCTTGGCCCGGCCCGGCCCGGAAGGTGGATAAGTGAAAAAAATTAATACTGAACCAGCAAAATAAAGCACAAATGCTTAGCAGAATTGTTGGATTGATATTAAATCAAACCTTTTTGACTTATATACTGTTTTACCACCTTTTCAAACTCTTTAAAATCACTGATTATGTATATGTAAAATCCCACCCAAATATGCAAGGATCGGGCAAATCTTCGAATTTTTGATGATAAACTTAAACATTTCGCTGTAATTTGATTCCTTGAGGTAAATGAACGCATCTACGCAGTTTTTGATTAAACATGTAGCCTCATAACGTCCATATTTTTACATAGCTAACTTTCTATAGGATAAAAAAATCGACACAATCCAACTTTTTGGCTAGGTTTTAGGTACCTGTTCGGCTGTTCCAGTCAGCCGACTAGACGTTTTAATTCCACTCATATAGACGTAAAACCCCGCTGGAAGACATAAAAAGTTCCAGTAGAGAGTGCATAAAGTTTTATCCAACCTTTTTGCAGTATCGGGCCAAACAGGGCCGGGCCGGGCCGGCCTGGGCTTTCACCGGGCCGGGCCGGGCCTGAGCAAATTTGAAAAAGCCCAGGGCCGGCCTGGTCACTTCGGCCCGCGGGCCGGGCCGCAAAATTCGGCCCGGCCCGGCCCGATTGCCACCTCTAGTCACAAAGCGATAATGAGCGATTCCAAGGCGCGACAAATCCACATTATTTTACCGACAAGCGCATACTACCAGTCTGTCATGTGTGAGCTCTTTTATGGCCTTCAAAGGTCTTGCTCAGAGTCCCCAATAGACTACAGTTCACAAATTTTTGAGCAGTCAGACATCACACTCCAAAACATGCTGTTATAAGCCCGAAAACTTGCAAAACCCGTTCGGGTTCGCGTCAAATTTCAAAAACAAATCCTCAAAAAACGCTTTGGTTGATTTTAATATTTGTTTTTTCGAATAATTTTTGATCGGAACGCGTTCAAAATAAGTCGTGAGCTATCAACAATAGGTTCCGTTCTTTGCTTTTGATACTTCTGATGGACCACTAGATGACAAGCTGTGCGACAATCCCTGTCAATATGTAAAAAAAATTATTTTAGAGACCTCGGAACTTATTTATCAGTCAGTCGGGAAAATAATGTGGATTTGTCGCGCTTTTAAATCACTTTTTATTGCTCTGCGACGGCTAGTTTTTGGTTTTTTGGCGCAGTTGCGACGAGGAGAGGCATTTTTCTACGAGAAATCCACATTATTTTCCCGCAGACTGATATGCATAACAAATATTTTTTTGGCCTTGATACATACTTGTATACATACATATATATTTCGACGTTGAAGTTTAGAGAGATTTGATGAGGAATTTGCGACGAGGCGACACATTTAGCTGCGATAAATCCACATTATTTTCCCGACATACTGATGTGTATAACAGACATTTTTTGAACCTTTTATACATACCTGCACATATATATTTCGAGGCCAATATTTACACCCCCTTTTTTCAGCGTCCCCCAGCCAACTCCTTCTCCCTGAACCAACTCTCCAACACCAACAGCAGCGACAAGATGCCCGCCTTCTCCACGCTGCCTCGTCACCAATCCACCGACTCCACGCTGTCGGGCGGCTTCGAGACGTTGCGCGGACTGTCGCCGGATCGTGATGCCAGCGGCGCCAAGAAGGTGTCGTTCAGCACGGCGCCCATCAAAGTGTTCAAGACGCACGGCGTGGACGAGTACGACCGCCGGAACGACGAGATCGACCCGTACGCCTCGTCGGCCGAGTACGAGCTGGAGCGGCGGCTGGACAAGATGGACATGTTCGAGGTGGAGGTGGAGAAGGGGCAGGAAGGCCTCGGCTTCAGCATCATCGGCATGGGCGTGGGAGCCGACTTCGGACTGGAGAAGTTGGGAATTTTCGTCAAGAGCATTACGCCCGGCTCGGCGTTGGATCGGAATGGCCGCATTCAAGTGGGCGATCAGATCGTCAGCGTGGATGGGACCTCGTTGGTGGGGGTGAGTCAACTGTTCGCCGCGCAAACCCTGCGCGGAACTGGCGCCCATGTCAAGTTCGTGGTGGCAAGAGATCCGCATTTGGAGGAGAGCGAAGTTGCGGCCCTCATCAAGCAGTCGCTAGAGTCGGACAGAGCAAAACTTGCGTTCAAACAACGAGAGAACGACAATATATACTCCAAAGTGCCGAGTGAATCACCGTATGGAAGAGTGGCCGAGTCCGAGGACGAAGATGACGTGCTGAACCGCCGATTCAGAGAGAACTCACTGCCACCAGCGTTGCCTCCGAAACTGCCCGATCCGGCGTCCGAAATTCAACGCCGCATCCAGGCGTTGGAAGTGGAACTCCAGGACTCGAACAAGAAGGCCAGCCAGATGGAGGAGGTCCTCAAGAGCACCAGAACGCATTACAATCAGTTGGAGACGAAGTACGACCAAGCCCGACAAATGCTCCGAAGCTATCAAGAGCGGGAGAGGAAATTGATCGAAGTGGAGAGGGATCAGGAGTGGAAATTGAGGTGAGAGAACATTACAAACACTATACAGTAGCAAATTACGAAATCGATTTCTATAGAACAATGTTTAGATATGTTGACTGTGTCTCCAAAACGGAGCGAAAACTTTCAGGAAAGTTTTTGATCTTGGAAAGCTACACAAGCCAAATAAAAAATATCGACCGGTCGTAGCTAAAAAAATTTTTTTTTTGATAAGTTCTCCGCCAAAAAAAATCTTGTTATTCGCATCGAAAAAATTGCTTGTTTGTCGAAAGATTCAGCATTCTACGGTAGAAACTTACAAAAGAAAATTCAAAAAAAAAGGCGAGGAAAGCGTTTTTAGTGTTTGCTTCTGAACCACCGGTGGAGTATTAAGTCAAACCATTGGCTCTTCGAAATTTTCGTTAGCAAAGCTTTAAAAGTTCACCCAAACTTCCCAATATAACTCTCCGCTTTCCAGAGAGAAGGACGAGCACTACGGCACCATGCTCGGCCAGATGAAAGAGCGGATAGAGGAGCTCGAAAAGAAGCTGGAAATGAACGACAAAACGCGGACGGACCAAGTTCAAACCGAGCTGAACCGTCTCCGCGAGCAGTTGGCCACGGTGGTGGCGAGAGACAAGAAAAACAACGCCGTTCAGACCAACGACGACACATTGACCAGACATAACGTGGACAGGGTTGCGCAGGAGGCGCCGAATAAACCACCGCCCCTACCGCCGCAAAACGAAAAGCAAACGAGCGAAAGAATGGAGAAGAAGGAGAAGCCGCAGCCAAAAATGCGACATGAGAAGGAGCAGTTTGGCCATGAGCAGTTTGATCGACCGGTGCCGAGGGGCGCTCGACATGCGGGATTGGTGAGTGAATTTGAATTTATTTTGGTCGTTTTGAGGGCGTTAGGGACTACGGACACTACGGGGTCTAAGCTGGGTAATTATTGACCGTTTGGGGTCGAAAAGTATCAAAAGTTATCATGGATACTTTTTGATACTTTTTCGGGGAAAATCATTGCATTTGATTAGAAATGCAATTTATAAAAAACTAATGAAGCAACAAGATTTTTTTGGGCGAAAAGTATCAAAAAGCATCATAAGGTATCATGGATACCTTTTAATACTTTTTGACACTTTTGTTGTTAATAAAATGCTTTGTCGTTGCATTTGTTAAGAAATACATTTGATAGATAGAAAAAAGAGCACCAGCGTTGTTTTGGGCCAAAAAGTATCAAAAGGTTTCATGGATACTTTTTGACACTTTTTTTGGGAAAACTGATTACATTTGACTAGAAATGCACTTTATAAAAAAATAAGTCAAAATTTTTGTCATTGAAGAGAATAATCTCAATTGTCTTTGTAAAAACATCTCGTAGATGCCTTGTTGTTACAAAATTCTAGTCTAAAAATTCGCAAAATTCCTCAAATTTGCCAAAAATTTGCCTTCCCTTTCCCTACTCATCATTTCAACTCCAATTTCCACTTTCAGACCCCTCGCTCCATCCCACTCAGTGCTGCGCCTCATGTATACGAGCGCTTCATGGGTGGCGCCTACTATCTCGACGAATACGGCGAAGAGCGTTATATGCCGCCGTCGTCGGCATGCGACTCGCCAATCCCTCGAATTTCCGAGCCCACCTCTCCCGCCGTACCGCAGAAATTCCTCCATCATCAACGACGGATGCTGTTCTCGTTGCGGAAACGCTATGTGCATGGGGAAAACGAGTTCTGGAGGGAAAATGTGGAGGCTCAGGTGAGCTGTTCGCTCTATACTATTACCTATAATTTATCCCTTTCCAGGGTCTCCAAGTTCTTCAATGGAACATCGACGAGGTTTGTCAGCTCTTGATTCACATGGGACTGGATAAATACATCCCCGAGTTCTCTGTCAATCAAATCACTGGCCCCCGCTTTCTAGATTTGGATGGAAGCAAGCTAAAAGTAGGCGGTTTTGAAAACAAAAAAGTTCGAAAAACATGTTTTTAGTAAAAGTATAACGTTTTTTTTGGAAAAGTGTCAAAAAGTATCCATGATACTTCTTGATACTTTTTGGAGAATACGTTCTGAGAGCAAAAAATGCAAAAAGGAGATGTTTTTAGTCAAAATATAACGCCTTTTCAAAAAAGTATCAAAAAGTATCATGGATACTTTTTGATACTTTTAGGAGTAAATGCTTTTTTAATGCAAAAATGGAAAAAAGATGCTCGTACATGAAAAATAACGTTTTTTAAAAAAGTATCAAAAAGTATCCATGATACTTTTTTTTCTTTTTGGAGAAAATTGCTTTGCTCTACATTTCTGCCATATTTCATGCTTATCAAAGTCATTTTCAACATTAAAACCAATCTTTCCAGACCATGGGGATTCAAAACCACTCGGACCGTGCCATCATCAAGAAGAAGATCAAGACCATCAAGCAGCGCATTGAGCGGGAGCGCAAAATCCTCGAGAAAGAGAGTCGTCAAAGGACCTTGAAGATGACGTCATAATTTTTACTTACCTATCAATGACAACGCAGATATATATCCTCTATAATAAGTCTATATTTATTATCAGAACAGAGCAAATCAGGTTTTCAAACGTGAAATTAATATTGTGATATTTACACTTTTTCTTTGTTTTTGAAGAACATTTTTAGAGTTGTTTGTAAATTTGGAGAGTAATATAAATAAAGCAAAAAGTTTGAAGTTTTTGTTTATTTTTAGTCTGTCGGGAAAATAATGAGCATGTCGCTGTGCCAATCGCGTCGCTGAATTGATAAGAAATTTGATTTTGTGACCCACAGTCCATTTTCTCGGCGGCGATGCGATTTTCGTTGGCAGGTTGAGACTGCTGGATATTTCTTACGAAGAACGGAGCATGACAAGTATCTCGGAGTAATTTCAGGCAAATGAAAAAAAGAAAAAATGAAAAATTTCAAAAAAAATTCAGGGGCCGGGCCGAAGGTCCCCCGGGCTTTGAAAATTTTCAAGCCGTGCAAAACCAACTCTCCGAAAAGCGCAATCGCGGTTTATAGAGTTCTTCCCGGTGAAAATTCCTTTTTCTGGCCCCAGCGAAAAGAAGGGTTTGCAGTTTGCGCCCGAACAATTCCGGTTGCAAGGAATTTCAGGCTTAGGCAGTTTAGGCTTAGTTTAGCCTTTGCCTTAGGCTTAGTTTTTGCGCTTAGGCTGTTTCCTATTTTTATTCGCAGTCTGCATGGAAACCAGGGCGCAAGCTGCGACGCGCGGGGCCAGAAAAAGGAACTTTTTCCGTTCTTCCCTTATATAGTATCAGTCTGTCGGGAAAATAATGAACACAATGTCGCTGCATCGCTGAAGCAAAAGCAATCTCACTTTCTTCGCGACACAATTTATTTTATCGACGGCGATGCGATTTTCGATGCGCCAGAATGTTCATTATCTTCCCGACAGACTGCAAAAATTGTTCCTGTTTATTATATTAGATTCACATTATCTTTGCAAAGTAAAAATCTCCTATTTTTGCCATAAAGAAAATATTTTACGAAGGGTTATCCACCACCATTCTCCTGCAGCTTCTTTTGCTCCTGTTCTTCGGCAAGTTCCTTCCATTTCTTTAGGTTGTATCTAAAACGATACTAGTTAGAAGATATCGGAGCTTACTCGGACCTCTCCCTCAACTCATCGGCTTCGGGGACCACCTGGGAGATGGCTTGATAGCATGGAACACAAATCCCAGTGATGAATCCCACTTGCATTTGAGGCAGTTCATTGGCATGGCTTCGATCCATCATTGGCTGGGGATCTCGTCCGTTCAGACGTTCCGCATCTCCCTGAAGATGTAATAAATGTACATTGCTACGCTTTTTTCAATTCTATAAGTCTGTCGGGAAAATAATGAGCGCAATGTATAATAGCTGCACCAATCGCGTCGCTGAACTGAAGAGCAATTTGATATTGTCGCGAAACAATTCATTTTCTCAGTGGCGATGCGATTTTCATGCGACAGAGGGCTCATTATTTTCCCGACAGTTTGATAAAACCATTTCGTCCAACGAAGGTGAATTTTGGCCGAAAAACGATGACCTTTGAAACTGTTCGTTATAGAGAGGTTTTGATGTGTAAGAAGAGTCTTTCAAAACCGTTGTGTAAGATCTCTCTATAACAAACTTTTTTATTGCAAATGGGGGTTTTACCACGGTACGACCTTCTACGCAAGACCTTCTAAGGACAGTCTACGCACTTTTGGAAAAACGTATATACTAACTTACCTGCTCATAAAACTCCTCGAAGATGACCTTGACGGTTTCGGTTTGGACTTGCCAAGGCTTGGCCGTGGCTACCAGGTCGCAAGACGTCATTAGCAAGGCTTGAGCGAGAATCCTACAATATGGTGTGAGAGAAAGTATAAAAGAAAAACCTAGCTGAAACGGAATGCCAAGGTTTTTTGCTAGGACTTTTTTTTCAATTTTGCCTTGACGTGCGTTTTTTCGAAAAAGTATCAAAAGATATCCATGATACTTTTGACACTTTTTACAGCAAATTGTCATATTTCGAATTTCTTCCATATTTGCTGCTTACGAAGGTCGTTTTCGACTCTAAAACCAAAATTTCCAGACCATGGGAATTCAAAACCACATTGTCTGTTTTGATTTTTTTTGGAGACAATCCGTTTTGAAAGCGAAAATATAAGAAACGCTGCTTTTAAACAAAATATAAGGTTTTTTTCCAAAAAGTATCAGAAAGTATCACGGATACTTTTTGAAACTTTTTGCCCCTAATCTCATCTGTCTCAAGTCCCACTTGCCTATGACTCGGATCCTGCCAAGTGAACTCTCCCTTTGCCACCAGCTCATTCAATCTAGCCTTGTTCGGGAAAAACAGAGCCAAATCGGTCGCCAAAATGTGTTGTTTGATCGCGCCCAAAACCTTCTTGTAGTCCGCCGGCTGCAGCGACCTCAGCACATTGTGTCCGTCGTGTTGGAGGATGGTGACGGTCTGATTGAAGTGGTGGTGTTCCATCACCGAGGTTGAGTAGATTGCGGCAAGTGGTGTGGACATTGTCTTCATGTAGGCATTGTTCTTGCCCCGATGATCCAAATCGTGGCAAATTGCGGCAACAAACAGGGCAAGAGCCTGGAAAATTAAGGAATATGGGGGCTCACTTAGCATTAATAGTATCTTACATAACTGTACTATAAAAAATCTGTCGGGAAAACAATGTGGATTTGTCGCAGAAAAATATCTCATTTCGTCGCAGTCGCCCGTCGAATCTCCGAGTCGAGGTAAAGCCATGATGATCGATTCCAAGCCGCAAAAAATCCACATTATTTTCCCGACAGACTGATCCCACCACAACTCACTTCATGCGGCTCAAATATGGTGGTCTTCCTGAGAAACACAAACATGGCGTGCGCCACCGTCCAGCCATGCGTCCAGTTATGATATGGTACTATTCGGTAATTTTTTCGAACCGTCAATACGAAGCGGATCACGTCGTCCGGTTCGATTTGTCTGAAAAGATGCGAAAATCAGTCCGTCGGGAAAATAATGAGCGCAATGTCGCTGCCGACCGAGTCGCTGAAGTGAAAAGCAATTTGGTTTTCTCCGCAACACAATTCATTTTCTCGGCAGAAATACGATTTTCGATGCAACAGAGCGCTCATTATTTTTCCGACAAACTGATATGTAAGAGTGTACCGCCGGCCTTCAAAAGGGAAGTACTCAAAGTGTGAAGCTCAGATTTTGGAGAAACTAGGCGCAAATTTAAATTATTTTTTTCTGAGAGATATGCGAAATTACTAGACTGCGTTTTACGGAAATCTCCGAGATTCTTAGGTCGGAAAAGTATACAGACCGTAACCTTTTATTTTGAATTCTGGCATGAAAAGTTTAGTCTCCTGTTTCAACCGTAGTTGAAACAATTTCTTCGAAAAGTATAAATTTTTTCTATGCAAAGGAGACAAAGATACGGCCAAAAAGTGTTTTTCTCATCTCTCACAAAGACTTTGTGCTATTTAGCACAACCTGGTACTATATAGTACGAGGTGAAAATAGCAGTACTAGGCACCAGAACAACACCACTAACGCATAAAGACCAAATTTCACCTCGTACTACATAGTATCAGATAGTACTAAATAGCACCAAGAGTTTAAAACGTGTTTTTGAAGAGTGCTAAGCATCAAAACAACAACATTAACGTCAAAAGCCATATTTCCACCTTGTACTCCATAGTATCATATAGTACTATATAGTACTAGAGGAAAAGTTAAAATGATTTCGAAGTCAGCACCATCGATTATCCAACATAATTTCGACAGTTGCATCAAAGAAAAATAATACTTTCCGGTTTCCCCAACCGTCCCAGTTCCAAAAGAAAGATCCTTGTAAGCCTTGACGACTTACATAAAGTCCTTGAAAAGCGTCTTGAACATGTAGACCGCATACAACGGCTTTTCGAGCTCCGTCAAAGTGTAGCCGTTGAAGTCGAAGCTGAAAATACAAATAAGAACTCGTCATCATAACATAACCCAATTTACCCTATGATGCTGTACGCATCACAAAAAAAACCCACCGATCCAGCTCCGGGACATTTTCGCTGATTTTGATTCGTTTGATTTTCATGACGTCATCGCGATTGCAGACGCTGTGATAGGCCAACACCTCTAATGCTACTCGATATTTCTGCTCGGATCTGCGGATCTTGTCGTACAGTTTTGCATGATGCAAAGCCAATCCGCAAAACACGGCGAACGTTTCGAAATTGTCCTCATCTTCATCTGTGAAGGTTCCAGCATGTTTATTGACCATTTGCACCACTCCGATCACACTGAAATTTAATTTTTTTACTCTACAGGTCAGTAAAAAACCGTTATCAGTCTGTCGGGAAAATAATGTGGACTTGTCGTAGAGAAAATTGCCGTCAAGAAAATGAATTGTGTCGCGGAGAAAATAAAATTGCTTTACACTTCAGCGACGCAATTGGCGGATCGACAAACTGTTCATTATTTTCCCGACGGAACGATGGACAGGTTTTATAGCGCTGTCAGCCTGAAAAGTGCCCAAAAATCTAGTCCGGCCGTCGAAAAACGATGATGGATTCCAAGGCGCGACAAATCCACATTATTTCCCCAACAAACCGATAAGTGGAAAATAGGACAATTTGGGCTATGTCGGACCAAAAAAACGACTTACTGTCCTCTCATAAAAATTGGCATACACAAGATTGTCTTCGTTTTGTAGCCGGTTTGAGTGTCCACTTCTGGGTTGAATCGCTTGTCTTTGTAAGCGTCGGAAATGTTGAGACCTTGCCCGGTTCTCGCCACGTAGCCCGCAATCCCTTTGTTTATTGGGAATCTGTAATAAAACTCGATATAATAGGCTGTCGGGAAAATAATGAGCGCACTGTCGCATGTAAAATCGCATCGTCGAAAATGCATGTTGTCCCGGCGAAATCAAATCAATGTTTGCTTCAGCGACGCGATCGACGCAGCAAAATTATGCTCATTATTTTCCCGACAGAATAATAGGCGGTCCAAGAAAAAGTCTTGGGAAGTTTTTGCGCGGTTGCAAGCAGTTGGAAACCATGCTTCGACATCTGTCGCGGTCCGAAACCCCTCCTGCACGTCAATAAAAGTATCGCTACAAAGTAAGCTTTTTCGTTGCAAGTGGCTTTTTGAGGCGTGCACTGTGCAAAAAAGCCAACGTTGTGAAGGTACGGTCAGTCTGTCGGGAAAATAAAGAGCATAATTTCGCGGTGCCGATCACGTCGCTGAAGTGAAAATTAATTTTAGTTTGTCGCGACATGTTCACGTTCTCGGCGGCGATGCGATCTTCGATGCGACCGAGTGCTCATTATTTTCCCGACAGAGTGATACTAATATATTTTAGCCTAAATATTGCGCTTTATTCGCATATTTCACCGCCCCTTTGCCTACTTTATTTCGACCCTTTGACTTTCGTCCTCCGCGTTGGCCTCTTCCATTTTGATATCGAACATTTGCGCGTACAACTCGCCCCGTTTCGAGTCGACCAAAAACAACGAAGCCCGGTCGGCTTCGACCAACCGCTGCGCAAAATGCATAATCTTCAGGATCACCGAGTCCATCGTATTCATGTCCTGGAAGATGGACTTGACCACATCCAGGAGGAAATCGACCAGTCGTTTGTATTGCTTTTCCCGGGACTTTTCGTTTTCATAGGGCAAGGTGGGCGCTTGGAGTTTGGTTACTACCTAAAAATGGATCCAAAAAACTGTGATTAAAAGTTATCTACCTGGGTGAAATGAATCATAGTGCTACCCCAATTGCTCAGAACATTCATGTATTGCGCGTCGCGGTCGTTGATGTCTGTGTAGAAGTGGATTTCAGCTGAAAGAAGACTACAGTGGCGGACCGGATCCAGTGGCAAAAAACGCACCATTTTGCATCCGGGAAGTTTCGAAAATGCAGCAAAATACCTCCCTCTCCAAGTAAAAAAACTTCCCTCACAAAAAGATTGGGCGCGCTTCTGAAATCGGAGTCTTTCACTTGGAAATGGAGGTATTTTGCCACATTTTTGGTTCTTCCGGGATACAAAATGGTACGTTTTTACCACTAGATCAGATCCGCCACTGTATTCAAATGCAAAATGGAAACGGTGTGTACAGTGGAGCCTCGGAACATCGAGATTTTTTGGCTCAAAAGATATCAAAAAATGTGCCATTTTTTCGCAAATTTCGGCATGAAAAGCCTTGCGCCTATTTCTACCGAAAAGCGAAATTTTTCCACAAAAAACCAATTTTCTCCGCATAAAACTAGCAAAGATATGGGCAAAAAGGGGGTTTTCTATCCGACCACTCTCCGCTTTTTGCGTACTCTCTCGGCCACAAAGATCGTTCAATATCTGGGCTGTCTTTGAACATTGCGAGCTGAAATTTTTAGTCATCTATTTATAAGTGGGCTATGCCTCGCGCGTCTGCAAAATTTCAAGGAAAAAAAATGTGAGCGTAGCACTTGGAGTATTTCCCTTGTAAATTTGAGGCAAAATTTCATATCCACTCTGTCGGGAAAATAATGAGCACAATTTTGTTGCGCCGATCATGTCGTTGAAGTGAAAAGCTATTTTATTTTCTCCGCGACACAATTCACTTTCTCGGCGGCGATGCGATTTTTGATGCCACAGAGTGCTCATTATTTTCCCGACAGGCTGATCCATCCATTTATCCGCAATTCATTAAAATCCGATGGTATTTGTCTTTCCAACCTACCCAGCAACTTGTCATTGCAATCGATCAGCCGCTGAATGTACCGAGAAGGCCTTCGGTTCGCCCTCGGCCGCCGCAACAGCATCTGGCCGTCGATGAGGACCAACTTCCTCCACATGGACCCGAAATCTCCATTCTCCTCGTTCTCGTTGCTACTTTGCGTCGCGCTGTCGGACACGGACGCCGTCCGCTTCTTGACCGGCTTCGAGATCGGGATCAGGACCTCGAAGTCGCTGCAACGGCACAGCTGGGCGCACGTAACGCCGAGTTCGTACGTAAGGCGGCGCGGCTCCTTGGACCACGCGGCTAGGGCATGAAGGGCTTGCGCTCGGCCGGCTGGGGTCTGAAATAAAAGTAGGAAATTACGGCGAGAATTATTATAGTATTTCATATCAGTCTGTCGGCAAAATAATGAACTATGTGGCATCGAAGATCGCATCGCCGCCGAGAAAATGAATTGCGTCACGGAGAAAAGAAAATCAAAGTGCTTTTCACTTCAGCGACGCAATTGGCGCAGCGACACTGTGCTCATTATTTTCCCGACAGGCTGATATCAGTCTAGGGGGGATTTGGTGCGAGATAGCGGCGAGGCGAGACATTTTGCTGCGAAGACCCGCCGTTATTTTCCCGACAGACTGATATGTCATACAATGCCCATGCTCTTATGAAAACGCTTGTCAATAATTCATTAATTTAGCGTCTATGATCCCTTGCCAAAAGCTGTTTGATTAAGATGCCCTTCAACGGTACCCAAAGAGCTGAACTTGCAAAAAAACTGTGGGCACCTTCCTACTGTTTTTTGCCCGCCTAGTAGCACGTTCTCCCTTCCAAATTGCAAAGTACGCTCGGCTAATTTCCACAGTTTCCTTACCACGTATGAGGTCAGTAATTGCCGTCTCTCGGTCTTCCATTTGAGCTGCTGATGTCTTTCGGCGGCCCATCTTTGAAATGTTTCGTTCGAAATGTAGTTTGGGCCGGTTATAAATTCCTCCAACTTGTCCGGGTTGTCTTGAAAATACCGGACGGCCCGTTCAAACTCGGGGTCTTGCATGATAACTGAAATTATTCAAAATTTGTGATAATTTTTTTATTCGCATAAATTTAATTTTTTTCGAGAAAAAGTGAAAAAAAGAATTAAATGAGATTTTTAGAAGCCAGTTGAATTTTTATAAAATTATGAAAATTTATGCAATTTTTTTATTTGCATAAAACTGCATAGTCCGAATTTTTTACAAAAAAAAGTTAAAAATCGCAAAAAATCAGTTTTAAATTTTTTTTCTTAATTTATGCAAATTTTATGCAAATTTTTGGAAATTTGCATAATTTTCATTTTGCTTAAAAACCTCAAAAATCGGCAAAAGATTCAAAAATACGTATATTCTCACATTTAGATGTGCAATTTTGCCTCTAAAAAGTCGAAAATTACGCAAAATTGACACTTTTCCCAGTAAAATGTAGTAAAAATCTTGACACTCGAATTTACCTGGAATTATACCCACATGGGATTAGAGAGGATTTGCCCGCGGATTAGGGAAGTTTAGACGCTCCTCCAGTGAAAATTCAAATATACCCGAGGTAATTAGAGTACATGGATTATTATTAATTGTGGGGTAGGAGCGAAGTGGCAAAGTTGTGCTAAACTTGGTGGGAGAAAAAAAATGGGAAAAAGGCTTTTATAATATTTAAAGGGGAACAATTTTTGGAATAAAAAGTTTCCGAAAAAATGAATTTTGATGTCAAAAGGTGTCAAAAAGTATCAAAAAGTATCCAAGAGCATTGGGAAAACAGAGAATTTTAATCGTTTCATTAATTGAAAAAAACTTTTTTTGTTGTCAACGGCACTTTATTCAACCAAAACACAAAAAATTTCAAATAAAAAAATCGGTTTTACGCGATTTGATACTTTTTGATAACAAAATTTAGATTTTGAGAGTATGAGCAGACAGAAAGAAAAGCTCTTTATGGCCGTATCTTTGCCAGTCTCGTGCGGAAAAAATGATTTTTTTTGTGGGAAAATTATCCTCTATGGTAGAAATAGGCATGAAACTTTTCATGGAAAAATTCGCAAAAAAATATCTTATTTTTTCCAACTTTCGACTGAAAAATCTCGGTCGTTTCTGCAAAATGCGAGCCAGGAGTATGGAATAAGCCTGATTGTTAGAAAAAAATAATCTAAATTTGTGCCAAGTCACCATTTATTTTTCAATCATCGTATTTTACCTTTTTGTTGAGCAGTTTAAGAGTGGGATTTTAATCAAAAAATAATTAAAAATGTATTTATAATTAGTGATTTTTTCGTAGAAGAATCAATTTTTTTTTCTAAATTTTTCCGCATTTTTCCATTGCTAGAGTCTGTCGGGAAAATAATGAGCACAGTGTCGCTGCGAGTCGCTGAAGTGAAAAGAAATTTGATTTTCTCCGCGACACGATTCATTTTCTTGGCGGCGATTTTCGCTGCGACAGAGTGCTCATTATTTTCCCGACAGCCAATGTATGATACTCAAAATCAAGCTACTCCTATTTTACATCGAAGTAAAATTTTTTGCCCAACGCACGTTGCGAAGTGGCCCTTCCCTAAAATACGCAATAATTTCAATAATTTGCGACGTAACGGCGGGATTAGAGGCCAAAAGAAATGCGAGGCCACGGGGAATGAAAGGCTTCTATGCGGCGTCGAAAATATACTTTCGTTGACAAAAATAGAGGCGTCGGGCGCGAAAACAACCCGAAATACAAACAAAATGTGCGAGGTTTTCCACTTATGTCAAGAATTGAGGGACCTGTTATTCGCCGTAATGACAGTGAAATTTGCGGCAAATTGAAGCTGTTTACAGGGCTCTTGAGAAGCCATGCGGTGAGGGGGAAGGTCAGCTGATACAAAATATTATAGTATAAGATGGTATATTAGGGTTTTGTATATCAGTCTGTCGGGAAAATAATGAGCAGAATGTCGTTGCGGCAATCGCGTCGCTGAAAAAGCGGTTTGATTTTCTCCGCGACACAATTCATTTTCTCTGCGATTTTCGATGCGACAGAGTGCTCATTATTTTCCCGACAGACTGATATCTTCATAAAATTCGTGGAAATTTTTTTCCCTTCCGCACAGTGCATATTGCACTTTTTCCCACACCTGTCGCTAACGCACAGTGCACGTCAAACAGAAGAGTCCGGTGACCGGCATAGACCCTTCGCTATCGGGTTTTTACATTTCATCTTGATTTCGCAGAGAAACAAAGAAAAGACGCGCAAAAGCATACTCTCTCGCCCCAAAATCTCCCCATTTCTTCCCCGACAAAAGGTTTTTTCGCGTCTTTCTTTAGCGATTGCCAATCCATTCACCGGACCGTTTTAGGTTCTCTCAGTTTGACGCACAGTAGATCTTTCTTTTCGTACGTTTGCAGTGTGCAAATTTCAGGCACTCCAGTAGCTTAAACTTGCTTTTGCCGCAGCGATATTTCAAATGGGTAATGCGAACACCCAAAAAAAAGTGAAATGCACGGTGAAAAAATGGCGGTTTTTTTGCACGATTCGGGCCCCGAAAAAACGTCCATGCACTTTATGAAAATACAAATATCAGCCTGTCGGGAAAATAATGAGCACAATTCCGCTTCCAAAATCGCAACACAACAAAACGAGATGTCCATGGACTTTATGAAAATACATACTAGTATGTAAATATTTGATTTCAATCTTTGCGGAGCAATTGGTATAACTTGCGTAAAAGCAAACTTCAAGTGAAAGTTCATTTTTTTATGAAACTTGGTTTGAATTTGAATTAGAGTTTGGTAAGACATACAAAAGATTTAGCTCGCATTTTGTGGAGGAACCGATATTTTTTGGTCAAGGGATGATAAAAGTCCAAAGTCGCGGTAATCAGGGTAAAATACGACGTAGAAGACATGGTGGAACATTGCTCGATTCCTGGCTCGCGCTTTGCAGAAACAATCAACATCAAAAAGCCTATAAACCAACGCAGTACGTCCAGCTTTGCCTCGGAATATCTGAAAAGTCACCTTAAAAGTCACCCCGGACCATGCGCAAAAACGTATTTCTCAACCCCAACTCTACATTATAAATAACGTTTATCTCGTAAACAACTCTCGCCCAGTAAAACATTCTATGCCCTTGTAAACTTTCGAAAATTGCATTTTCCTCTCAACAAAAAAACATTTGAAACTCTTGCGAATACAAAGCGCGGCTACAAATCGCCGTTGAAAACTGCCTTCCACAACTACTTACCTGGTAGTTTGATGCCATTTCGCCGCATTTACAACCAACAATCGGCCTAAAAAACGGGGCCCCGATGTTTTGTAGCCGGTTGAAGGGCTTTGCTGTCTTTTATAAGAGCGAGGCCGGCGGACGTGGTTTATTCGCCGGATTAAACGACTCCATCTCAGAGTTATTACATTTCGTGGAACAATGGAAAAGGGGAATAGGTGAGTCAAAAGGTCTTGACATGTCTTTGTACTGTGCGGGAGGTATCGCAATGTAGCTTTGCCCGACAAAAAGCAGCATAGTTCTCTAGTGTTACAGTTAGATACTCCAACGTCAAAATTTCAAAGATTTTGCTTTAAGACTAGGGTGATATGCAACCCAAAATCAGAAACGAAGCAGAGGAAAAATCGAAAAATGACAGAACCCGGAGCAAACATAATGAAAACTTATTCGTATTTCTCATACGTCACTTCCTTCTGATTGTTTCAACTTCGTCTGATTGGAAAAGATGGCCCCACTCATTTTGTACCAGAAGCTTCCATCAAGGATATTGCCCGTCGAACTGAGTCCGGTGGCCGTAGTAGACACTTCGCTATCGGTTTTTTACACTCCGTCCTGGTTTCACACAGAAAACAGAGAAAAGACGTGCAAAACGTCCTCTCTCGCCCCAAAAAGTTTCCCATTTCTTCCCCGAGAAAAGCTCTTTCGCGTCTTTTTTTAGCGAATTGGCAATCCATTCACCGGACCGTTTTAGCTTGTTTGACTTGCATTTTTGCGTTCTTAGAACAGAACCTGGATTCCCTTTCCTTCCAGCCCTTTGATTATGGCGATAAAAGAATAATGTGCAAAGAATGATGGTATTTATGAAGGATCTGGATGAAATCATTCCAGTGCCAAGGCAGAAAATGATGCCTGTCACATCTGCCTTGAAGAAAACGCCATCGAGCCCATGTATTGCTTGCCGTCCTCAAGATCGCTGAGCGCTCATCGTGAATCAACAAATTCAAACCCATCACGAAACCATTGTAAAATATCTAGGCTGTCAAACGAAGTATTGCTCTGCCGATCAACTATTTGGCCGTCTTTAACCATAACTTCATTACTCCTTTTGTTGGATTTATAACAAAATGTTATTCGGTGTAAACAAATAAATAATGGCTTTTTCAATTTTTTTCAAGGGTATCAACTAGAATTTTAAAGTTAATGAAAAGCGTGTTCAAAAATTTTTGATAATCACAAGTCGAATTTACCGCGAAGTGATCTATAAACGTTTATTTTCTTCATTGAGATGCCAATCATTTTCCCGAAAGACTGGTGTCTCATGACTTAAACGCTTGAACCATATGTCCTTTATTCCTCTGACGTTCCTAATCCCTTTTCTTTTTTTTTATCATTCCAAGTCGGCTGACTCGCCCAGACGATCCCAGAATCTCGATGTTTGCAAAGGTCAAACCAACGTTTCTTTTCTGTTTGAAACATTTCCCTTGTTCACTTTTTCATTTTCCTTGTTTGAGGAGGGGGATTTTACCCTCGTCATGTGGGTTTCCTTTTATGTCGAGGAACGCAGATTGCGAGGGGTTGTTCACCTGACAGTCTTGTGATTTTTTGCGGAAACGTTTTACGATCTATGTAAATTTATGGTTAGGGTGGGGGCGCTGATTCTATTTTTGTTCTCTGGCTTTTGTTTGAGTTGAGGGAGTGAGTTTAGGGAAATGGGAGTGCTCCTTGGAGGATCTTGAGGTCGTTTAAACAAAGCTTGAAGGCAATTTTGCCTGTGTACATACAATCAATCGCAAGGGACCAAAAAATGATTCGTTATGGAAGGATTTCGTAGTAAAAAGTCCCTCTCCGCCTTAAAATCAACCCTTGAAGCTTCTGAAATTGCTTGTTATAGACAGGCTTGCTCTATTGAAGTTCGTTGTGCAGCGATTCCATCTTATTTTGAGATAAAGTACAAAATTTTAAATATTCTGCAAAATGATGACTAAAACGGTCACCTCTTTTAATCCGGTTTTCCTTTTCCTTGTGACCAGTTTTTTATCAGTTAAAAATCTGCCTTAAAAGGTGGTTGATTTTTGCTTCGAACTACGCAAAAAAGTCCCGTTTACCTATTCCGCGGACTTCTTCAAACTATAAAAAAATGTCATCGACACAAACCACAACACTTTTTTTAAAAGTGCGTAGACCTTGTCTCACGGGGCCGCACCGTGCAAAAGCCCCATTTTGCACGGTGCGTTTGAGATTTTGCACTGTGCAGTCGAACATCGCGCGGCAAAACCCAAAAAAGTCTCCGCACTTTATGAAAACACTACATATACGAATTGCATCACGCATAAAGTTGGTCATCATTTATCTTGTCCGATAAAAAAATTGCGGTGAGTTTCTTTTCACACGGCTACAAAGCAGAAATGCCCCCTTTGATTCGTACTTTTACATTATTTATAGAATCATCATGTGACCTCAAACGAGGCTTATGATATAGACTCTCTGTAGAACTGTATGCATAATGAGGGAATTTTTTGGGGGTTATGAATTTTTTTCAATTCAAAATTTCATCTTTTTTTTAGCCCGGGCTTTGCAAGGGACATTTCTATAGAAAAGTGGTTAAATACCTTGGTTGCGACTATAAAACGGAGTTAATTTCTTCGGAAATTGATTTGTGACCTCTACGGACCATACAAGCCAAATTTAAAAGAAAATCGACTATCGAACCATCTGGTAGCTGGTTTCCTCCGAAGTTTCCCTCAGGATAGCTGGTGCACATTCAAACAGATATACTCGGTAAAGCGAACGATTAGAGTTCTTGGGATGTATTATTCTCAGACTATTAAGAAAATCGACTAGTCGAATCAAAAAAATTGATATATTCCACCAAAAATTTTTGAACTTACAAGTAGCCCCTCAGATTTTCTTCAAATTTTGCACACGTCTCTAGCGCGGGCAACATATCAATTTTTTAAAATTTTAGCTCGCGATTTCCAGGCATAGCCGAGATATTAAACGATCTCTGCGGCCGAGAGAGTACGCAGAGCACGAGTTCGGTCAGAGAGAAAAATACTTTTTGGCCATAATTCTGCGGTAAATCTTTAACACTTACCGTGGTTAGGCCACAACTAAATTTTTTAATATGGTCGCAAAATTTTTTAAAAACTGCTCGTCGTACTTCTACCATATTGTTCACAAGTTTTATCCAAATATTCAAAAAAAGTCCAAAGAGCGAATTTTCCGCACTTCCAATTTCCTTATTCATCGCTTTCCCGAACTTTTTCATTTTGAAAGCCCCGTAATTTTGTAATTCCAGACCTGCAGCCTCCCATTTCCATTTTTCGTCATCCTTTGTTATACGCGCATTAAAACGCACGTGAACCGGAGTCTCGAGAGTCTTTGGGGCGATTTCTCAACGTTCCCCGAGGCGAACTCTGCTTTCCTCTTTGCGAGCTCGTTCCGCTCTTTTCGTCTGCAGCCAAATCCACAAAAAAGCGGGAGAAGCGAGACGAGGGGGGCTTTTCGACGGGTTTTTTGGCTAGGGAATTGAGAAATGGCCAAACGTTCCTGTGGCCAGACATTTTTGAGGGTCTGAGGGGGGCGGACGGTCCGATTAGTTTGAGATTCTCGTCAATTTTTCTTTGATTTTTTTTTTTGATTTTCTCGGCAAGAAAAGTCTTTTAGGTGGGGCACTCAAAGTTCCTTATCATTTTCCAGTTGGTTTCTGAACTATCAGTCTGTCGGGAAAATAACGGCGGATTGTCGCAGCAAAATGTCTCGCCTCGCCGCTATCGCGCACCAAATTCCAAGCCGCGGCTTGCAGTCGCAAAGCGATGATGGGCGATTCCGACGCATGGACTTTTTGTCGTCCGTTCACAAAAAAATTGCGAGTTCTTGAACCGTTTACTCACATTTTTTTTGCACTCTGCGCTTGAAATATCGCTGCGGCGTGAGGTTTTTCCAACTGCGCCGCTGCGGCTTTGCTCAAAAATGTGCACGGCCGAAACTCAAAAAAATCGGCTTTTTTGAGTTTGCACGGTGCGCAAAGGTAAAAATGCACAGTGCGTTGGCAAAACAAAAATGAAGACGCACTGAGAGAAAGCAAAAAAATGTCCAGGCACTTTGTGAAAATGCTTTCTCACTTTTTTTTTTTTTTTTTGATTTTTGCATTGTGCGGCGAAATATCGCTGAGCATAAAGAATTGCAGCGCGCAAACGATTTTTTTGCGGTTTGCACTGTGCGAAATTAGCGACAAAAAAGTTTTTTGACGCTTGCACAGTGCGAAAAAAGTCAGGGTGCGAGCGACAGCCCAAAAAGAAATTTGCACTGTGCAGAAAACAACAAATTGCACCGTGCAGACGACTTTTTTCGCGGTTGGCACTGTGCGAAATTAGCGACAAAGTGCACTGTGCAAAATGCAACAAATCGCACCGTGCAATTTGAACTTTTGTTTTCGCACAGTGCATGTCGCTGAAACCACTCCGGCGACTTGCCTTGCGTCTAGAAAAATCGCATGACCATCTCTTTTCACGCACCTTGCTGACTCCACTCTTTTAATTTCACCCGCGTGGTGATTATCAACGACTATCAAAGCGTGATCAAAAAATGCGTCGCTTTTCGTCGAAACAATAGAGATTTGATGGTAAGTTGGGCAGAAAACACTCATCTTGTGGGCAGGCGGAGACGTGAAAAATGTGAAAATTGATCTCGACTTGAGCCAGAGGGTCTTGAGATCAAGAAAATTTTTTTTGAAAAAAAAAAATAGAAAAAAATTAAAAAAATTAGAATTTTTTTTTTTCGATTTTCAGCCCAAAAAATTTTCATTCTCTTGGACATGCGCTGTAAAACAACTGTGGAAAAAATTGATTTTTTCAGGCCGATATTTGCAAAGATATAGCCAAAAATACGTTTTCTCTCTCCGTCTCTCCTCATTTTCCACAGTCTCTCATCAGACCATTGCATATCTCAGCTGTAACTTGAAAGCTTTAGCTAAAATTTTCAGCAATGGAAACGTGACCTATGAAAATTCTCTAGGCGAAATTTCAAAGAAATCCCAGCCTTCTTGTCCGAGCACTGGCCATATTACTTTAGACCTCAACCAACCCTAATCTTTCCCAATTTTCCCCCAAAAAACCTAATCTTTCTCCAAAAATAGCTGCAGACAAGTAGTTCACGTGCACTTCGCTCCACGCAGACTCGGTTCCGCGAGCCGGCGACGAGCCGTGCGGCCTGGCACCGCCCCTCCGACGCCTTTTCCGGGCTTTTCTCCCGAACGTCCCCGAGAGCGTTCGAACAAAATATTTATCAAAAAAAGGCTGTTTGGGTCATCGTGTGGATACTCAGGCTGAATTAGGCGGATGATAAAAGTTCAAGAGTTTAATTTGCGGTGATCTTAGTTTAGACGGGCAAAAGGCTTATTATTTTTTGTTGATTCCACATGTTAAATCTGATGCAATCGCTAATTACGACCGCAGGAATTCGTTGAAGGCCTCAATTTTGTGTTTACAGTAAAATTGGCGGCGGAATTCGTTGAAAACGGGACATTTTTTACGAATTATCAAGTATATCGTAGATAGCGGGAAAAAAGTGTTGTGAGTGAAAAACTAATTTATTTTGGAGCTAAGGTTATTTTTAGGAAGGTTCAACATCTTTTTCATCTTTACTTTGGTCCGGTTTTGAATTGTAGAGTGAGAGTTGACCCGTCGGTGTCAAGTCTTTTCCTGGCCAAGTTGCTTTTACTTTTCTTGGCCAAAATGTTGTCAAAAGTATCAAGTTAACTTCCAAATACCTTCATTGACAATATCGACCACAATTTTTACCCTATTACCGTCTTTTTGCACAGTTTTTCCGTTGTTTTTCTCCACCACCTGACCGTCCAAAGGCCGCCCATTTTAATGTTGTTTTTTGACCTTTTTCCCAGACTCGGATTGTCAAAACGACTTTGTTTTGGCTGGCCGTCTCGGATATTTTCAGACCTTCGTCTCGATTTGAGTGCCATAAATTTTTCGGATATTATTTTGGAGACCAACAAGTGGAATGTTGATTTTCACGTTGTTTTTGCGCGCGTTTATTCGATTTTCTGCTATATTATTGTGCTATTTTTAGGCCTAAGGCTCTCAGCACTCCTCCCGTGTCAGAATTGTACAGTTTTCCAACAGTTTTTCCGATCCATCAGAGATGAGTGGAGATTACGATGGAGAAGATGAAAAATGGCCGTTTCATCAGCTCATTCCGAAGGATATCGTTGGACAAGTAATTTCACAGCTTATTACGTCTTTTGGCAGATTTTTTTGGATTTAGGATTATGATTTTATATTGATTTAGTTGATCAATACCTAATTTTTTACCTAAGTTAATATACGATAATTTCGAGTGAATTGTCCGGTAAAATAAGGTAAATAAGCTAGAGTAAGGTCTGTTCTATCTTTATTTACCGTAAACTTTTTAAAATATTCAAAGTTTTACTTCATTTTCATCCGTTTTATATTGCACCTGCCATTTCAGCCCGACTTTCTCGCAAAAAATCCCGAATTTGATGGTCGCGGCACTGTTATCGCAATTCTTGACATGGGAGTGGACCTGGCGGCTCCGGGCCTTCAAACCACATCAAACGGGCTGCCGAAAATCATTGATGCCGTCAATTTTACCGGCTCGGGCGATGTGATCACCACCGAGGTACGAAGAATCGATGAAACCCGGGAAATTTTGGGTCTCAGTGGGAGGAAATTGAAGGTAGGCCAAGTTGAACAGCTGATTCATTTGTCATTTAGATCCCAGAGAGATGGACCAACCCCTCCGGCGAATATCGGCTCGGTTTGAAGAGGCTGTTTGAGCTGTACCCACCCGAATTATTGACGCGAATTCGCGATTCTCGCCTGGAAAACGAGCTCATTCCGCGACACGCGGGTCTGATAGCCGAGAACTTGAAGAAATTGAACAATCACATTAATGCCGTAGGGCAAAGTTCGAAAAATTTGACCGATAAATGGAAACGAAGGGATTTGGAGTTTCAATTGGAATATTTGCGGGGTTTCGGCAGTAAAATCGACTCCGGACCCGCGTTGGATTGCGTGGTTTGGCATGACGGAGAGAGGTGGAGGTAAATTGGAGTGGATTTTTGGGGGTTTTGAGACTAAATCGCAAAAAAATTGTTTTAGGGGATGATTTTTAATTTTTTTTTGATTTTTTTTCAAATTGAACTGGAAAAATGAAAGTAAAAATGAATGAAATAGGTAAAATATGCCCTGAAGATTTATAGCACACTCGATTTTTTGGATTTTTTGCTCTTTGCAGGGTGTAAATCTCAAAAAAAAACGTTATTTTAGGTATGACTTTTACCTTTTTTTGATTTTTTTCAAATTGGAGTAAAAAAATGAAAGTGAAATTGAAAGTAATAGGTAAAATACGGACTGAGTATCTGAAGCATACTTAAATTTTTTTTAATTTTTTGCTTTTTGGGGGTGTAAATCTAAAAAAACGTTGTTTTTGGTAATATTTTTGGTTTTTTTTTAAATTGAGTTGAAAAATTTGAAAAAAATGATTTTCTTTGTAAAATACGAGCTTGACAGAGTTTCTTGGCCGATTTGACCATGTTTTACAAAAAATTTTTTTGACATTAAAATCTCAAAAAATATTGTTTTTGGTTAAATTTTTGTATTTTTTTTTCAAATTTTTTTTAAAAATTTTTCAAAATCAAAGTGAGATTTGGTATATAAAATTGAGCCAGACTATTATTGATTGTATTTTAGAGCCTGTCTGGACACGACTTTCCGTGGGGACCTCGCAAAATTCACTCCAATGACCGATTTCCGGCATGAAAGACAATGGGGATTTTTAACAGCTGAAGGTAAAAATTTAATTTTTTTTTTCGAATTCCTTCTTTAGACTCTCTAACCTACTGTCTGGCCATCCGAAACAACGGGAATTTGTTGGAAATCACGACGCCTTCAGGGTCCCATGGAACGCACTGTGCACATATTGCGGCGGCCTTTTATCCCGACCAACCCGAATGCAGCGGATTGGCGCCGGGCGCGCAAATCGTCTCTATTGTCATTGGAGATAACAGGAATCGAGGAAGATCCCTTGGACAGGCCTTTGCACGAGCGGTAGGAGGGGTTTTATATTGTTTTAGGTTAAAATTTGATGATTTTTTTGATTTTTGAGGGGTTTTTGTTGGTTTTACGGGTGAAAATAGAACTTTTCGGAGTTATCCAGGTGTGACAAGGGCTTTAGTCTCTAAATATAGTTGTTTTATGGCTAAAATATTTAAAAAAAAATTTAGGATTTTTTGAAAAAAAAAAAAAAAAAAAATTATGTATTTTTTTTGGTTATACTTGATTTTAGAGCCTCTAAAAAGCCAATAAGGCTGTTTTTTTTTAATTTGTTTTAATTTTACGTTTGCTAACTAAAATTTTTGATGATTTTTTTGATTTTTAAGGGGTTTTTGGTTGGTTTTAATGGTTGAAAATGCCGTTATTCGGAGTTATCAAGGTGTGACAAGGATTGTAGTATCTAAATATAGTTGTTTTATGACAAAAATATTTTTAAAAATTTTTAAGATTTTTTGAAAAAAAATTTTTTTAAATTTTTTTTGTGTTATACATGATTTTAAAGCCATTTAACAAAAAGCTATTTAGGTTGTATTTTGTTTTAATTCGTTTTAATTTTATGTTTCCTAACTAAAATTTTTGATTTCAGATAAATTATTGCGCGGAAATTGGGGTCGACTTGGTAAATTTCTCCTACGGAGGAGCCCACTCAGCCGTTCAGCCCACCGGCACCCTCCTCGAGTACCTGAACAAGCTCATCTACGACGAGGGAATCGCATTTTTCGCGTCCGCCGGCAACGAGGGCCCCGCCTTGTCCAGTCTTTGCGATCCGGCCGCCCAAACGTCGGCCGTGATTTCGGTGGGCGCCATCCTCCCGGAGGATGCGACCGAAGTCCTCTACGGAACTTCGGAGAAACGCGAAACCTGTATGCTTCATTTCTCGTCCAGAGGACCCACCTCGGACGGCCGGCTGGGCATCAATTTCACGGCGCCGGGCGCCGCCATCGCCGGCATGCCCCTGTACTCGCAAAATGCGGCGCAATGCAAAAACGGCACGTCCATGGCGGCGCCGAATGCCCTGGGATGCGCGGCATGCCTCCTGAGTGCGGCGAAAAGTGCAAACATCCCAATGTCGCCGCTAAAATTAAAGCTAGCGATGGAAAATTCGGCCAGACCATTGGATTCCGAGAAGCTGACCAAATTGGACTATGGAAATGGAATTATCAATCTTCCCGGAGCGTTTGAAGCCTTGAAAAAATTGGAGAGTCTCCCAGAAACACTGTCAGACTTTGTGGTGACTGTGGGCCATGTTTCGAGCGGCGGAAGTGACCATGAAAAGAAGGGGATCTATATTAGAGACCCATACCAATTACAACATACCACGGACTACAAGGTTTGGATTGAGCCACGGTTTCGGAATCGCAAAGGTAAGTGGGAAGAGATTTTTAAGATTTCGGGGTAATTTTGGGTTATGGCGACATTTTATACGATGAAACCTGTCCTCTTTTATATTTGTAGTTTTCATGGTATAAAATGTCGCTTGGAGAAAATATAACTGATATCAAAGGAAAATCATGTGTTCTCCAGTTTCTAATTAAATTTTTTTGTATAAGTGACTTCTTATACGATGAAACATGTTTTTTGCCATTTCTTCATTTTAATCGTATAACATGTCGCCATTGGAGAAAATATAACTGATATCAAAGTAAAATCATATTTCCTTCAATTTATAATTCAATTTTTTTATACGTGACGTCTTATACGATGAAACATGTTTTTTGTCATTTATTCATTTTCATTGTGTAACAGGTCACCATTATAGAAATGGCTTATGGTATAAGATGACAAGACAGTCATTTTCAATTTCTACCCAAATTTTTTACCATAAACAACATTTTATACGATGAAACATGTGCTTTTTCTACTTGGATTTTTAATCGTATAAAATGTCACATTGCGAAATCTCATCATAATTTTTCAATTTTGTAGGAGATATTGTCTCCAAACACAAATTCCAACGACAAATTCGTCTTGAATCCTCAGCACCCTACGTTAAACACACAAAAAATATCCACCTTGCCAATGAACACGCCAGCTTTCAAGTGCGCGTTGACCCTGCTAATCTAGAAGCCGGAAGAGTTCACTACACGGAGATTGTCGGCTATGATGCAGGCTTCAAATTGAGCCCAAGAGCAGGAACGTCGAATGCGCCGCCGTTGTTCCGCGTCCCAATTACTGTAATCAAGCCGTTGGAGCTGGAAAAAGGCGAAAATTCGCTGAAAACAAGATTTAAATTGACTGCAGGACAGCCCGAAAGGCTTTTCCTGCAATGCCCATCGAATTCCACGGAAGTGTCGGTCAAAATAAAGTCAACGAATAAGCGATCAACGGCCAAAATCTACCTAAATTTTGCCCAAAAAGTCGCCGCGCAAGATGAATACGAAGTGAGGATTGTTGAAATTGAATATAGAAATGTCATTTTTGCTGTCTTAGTGACCGTAATGTCTCGTAATTTTAGTTGTACACTCTGGAGCCGCTCTCTGAAATCTCGGTGACCAAATGGGTCAGAGATCGCAGTTCTTTGGAGTTTTGTGCCCTGTTAGAGTGGTCAAATTTTGACCGCGAAACGGAAATTGAAGCCGAATTTACGTTCCTTGGGTACTACGTGAGTATCAGCGATATGGTAAGCGGTTTTGTCGCGTAATGAGAGGCTCTGGGACATTTTATACGATGAAACATGTTTCGTCGTATAAAATGTCTTCTGGATTTGCATGGGTCCGAAAATTGGTAGAGTTCTTGGAAAGTGCTTCCGATTAAACAATTTTTCGAATATCAATGAAAAACAGCCATTTTATACGATGAAACATGTTTTATCGTATAAAATGTCCGCAAAAACTGACAACTTTCTGAAATTGATAGAAAATCTATACAATGGGCATTTATTCTAAACCCAGGAATTTTTTTTTTAGCATTCATCATGTTGGAGACATTTTATACGATGAAACATGTTCTATCATATATAATGGCTGCTTTTCATTGATATTCGAAAAAATTGTTTCTTGGAAGCGCTTTCCAAGAAATCTACTGCTTTTTGTACTCATAATTATCCGGGAGACATTTTATAAGGTAAAACATGTTTTGTCGTATAAGATGGCTCTTTCTCATTCGAAGAGCCTAGAATGATCTGGAAATTGGATTTTGATCCGTTTACATTCGAATTTTCAGTATTCTGGCCCTGCAGTTGGCGAAATGACCTTGTGCAACGAGCTCTCACACATGACCCTGAAGCCATCCCTGATCTTTGATTGGCTTCGTAGGCTCGAATTGCCAAGAAATTTTCGAATTGAGCCCCTAGACGAACGTGTTTTCTTCATGGACAACGTCAAAATGTACGCTTTGTTCTTGACCTACCACATCAAATCCGAAGTCTCTTCGACTTTCAAATTCTCCCTCCCCGGCGTCGCGGACCATTACTACGGAAATCAGATCGAATGTCTCACAATGCAACTTTTTGAGCACCAAAAACTAATCCCTCCCTACTCGGGGAGGGAGTATCGCGGCCTGGAAAAGGGCGATTATCGACTGGAGGTCCAACTAAGACACAAGGACACCGTTTTCCTCGAGAAATTCACGTCCGCGCCCCTCGAAATGCGCATCAAATTGAAGCCCATTACGATCAGCATCTATCACACCTATCAAGCCGCCCAAAAGAAGGGAAACAACACGATATCGAGCCTGGCGATGCGACCCGGACAGACGAAGACCGCCTTTTACAGTGGCACGGAAAGCCTGCCGACCTGGTCCAGAAACGGCGATTGTTTGTACGGAACCATGAGTCTCACGGCAACAGATCCCGGACAGACAGTCACTATGCAGCTTAGCGCGTTTCCAAGAGCAGCGATGAGCAAAGCGAACAGAGTTGTGGAGCTGAAAAATCGAAAAGATGAGTCGAAGACACCTGAAATGAAGTTCAAGGGTAAGATGATCGATTTTGAAGGGGTTTGGGTTGGATAAATGGATGAAATTGAAAACGTAGAGAGGTTATGGAGTGTGTTTTGATGTAGAATAAAGTGTTTTGTAATTTGAGGTGAAGGAGACATCTTATACGATGACAATTTCAAAATCATTTTTCATCGTATAAAATGTCTCATCTCTCCCCTAAACTACTGAAAATCAAACACAGCGTCAAATGAAACCCAATTGATACTCAGTTATACCACAATATCTTTTAAGGAGTCATTTTATACGACAAAACCTTCAGAACCTGTTTGGTCGTAGAAGATGACCCCTTTTGGATATAATTGAAAATAGTAGTATCAGTTGGGACACTTTTATACGCTGTGTGTGATTTTTAGTAGTTTGGTAGACAGCAGAGAAATTTTATACGATGAAAGATGGTTTTGAAGTTTTCATCGTATAAAATGTCGCCCGCTTGAAAGAACATTTTCCTTCGGCATTGCTCTATAGAACTGCACCTATAAGGCTTATTTTGTAATTTTCAGACGCCCTTCGCGATTTCAAAATCTCTCAGATGCTCCAAACAAGTGACGAAAAAATCTCCGAGAGCCTTTACAAAGAGCTTTCTGATGAATATCCGGATAATATTGTATTGTTACTGGCGCGTCTAAGCTTGCAATACAGCAAGAAGGAGAGGAATGTCAAAGAGATTTACGAATTGGCCAACAAATTGATTGGCTTGATTGGAATGGAAGAAGTTCTAAAATTCACCGGAAACCGAAGCCATAGAGATTTGGAATTGCTCGAGGAGAAAGCGTAAGGGAATTTAAAGAAATTTTTTCTAAGTTTTGGATTGATTTTGGTACTTCTTTCCACCAAAAATTCAAATTGTTTGATCTTTTGTCATGAATAATATAAAAATGTTCAGAGAGTCGCTGGATAAGCGTCAAAAATTGGAAGAGGTCCACAAGATCCTCGCTACCACCCTGTTGGACAATTTCTTGGCCAAGAATCCAAAGAATATCCCGAAGGTTTTCCAAAATCAGTTCAAATTGGTTTATGACCAAGGATTTACTGACAGACCGGAACAATTCGACGGAAGCTGGCTGGGATGGGAAAATCAGAGTGTGGAAAAAACCGTAGAAGTTGCTGAGACTCGGAGGAGGGTTGAGGAAGCCGAAGAGAAAGAAAAAGACAGTGGAGAAGACTCGGTACGACATTTTTTCTAGAATTTGGGATATTTTAGGGGAGAAAGACATGTTTTGTCGTATAAAATGTCTCTTGTGCAGTAAATTCGAAAATTTTTGGGTTGGTAGTGAAGAATAACTAATTTCAGAGGTTCTTTAACGTGGACGGCCAAAACATCTTGCTAGGGGACATTTTATACGATGGAAAAGGAAAAGGCATGTTTCATCGTATAAGATGTCTTTTGGTCATTCCGATATTTCGGAAATTGATTTCATCCGAGTAAACGTGCAATTTGATTGCTGGAAATGCAATTTTTAGCGGATTTTTCGAAGGGCGACATTTTATACGAAGAAAATTACCAGAAGCACGTTCCGTCGTATAAGATGTCTCATTTACAAAATTGGTTTTAGATTAAAATAAGCCTTGTAGTTTTATTACTGTTTCTATTTATTTCGCGCGCATTTTTAGCGGTTGAGACATTTTATACGCAGAAAAAGTCAAAAAGATTTTTTATCGTATAAAGTGTCTCCGACTTCTAAAATCATAGAAAAACTGTTTTGATTTGGAATAATAGCTAATAGTAGATTTACATCATTATTTTCAACCACATTCATCAATTTTTTCGCACAAAAATCGACATTTTTTAGGCCGACGAGGGAATCGAAATGCGCTCGCTGAAGACCTCGGAAAGCTCCTCATCCTCTTCGGAAGACATTACAAAAGGCGATCAGAAGATTTCGACCAAAGATTCTGGCGTAGAGCTCTGCGAACTGACCGATTCTGGAGACCAGGAGAAGGGCGAAGAAGTCAAGGAACATCAAAATATTAAACATGAGGAGAAGACCGAGAGGATTGAAGAAAAAGTGGATATTCAAGAAGAGGCCAAAGAATTTTGCGTGGATTTGGAAATGATCGACAAGATTATGGTCCAATACAGTAGGATTTCGAATATGGACACGGACGAGGCCAAGGTTTTGAAGATAAAACAGTGCCTTTCCCATGGGTTTTATGGACTGGCCCTAAAGAAATTGATCAAAATTACCAGCCAAAAAGACGCACGATTGGTTTGGAACGCCATGTTTGAGGTGAGTGGGACCTAAGTTTATGATTTTGATTATATTTTACTTGATTTGTCAAAGGGGACATGCTATACGATATAAGTTTTACGAAGATTTTGAAGTGCAGGTTTGATCGTATAAGATGTCTCCTAGGAATTTGTTTTAAGTGGGAAAAATTACCATGGTTTTGAGAGTTTTTTTAGACTTTTTTGAGGTTGACAGGTTATACGATGAAAGTTTTACAGGCTATTTTTGGTTACGAAGTTTTTGTCGTATAACATGTCACCTAGTAATTAATATTGTAAGTGGAGAATCCTTATGACTTTACCTTGATTTTCTACTATTTTTGATGGTGACAGGTTATACGATGAAAGTTTTACAGACCATGTTTGCTGACAACGCTTTCATCGTATAAAATGTCCCCAAAGTTCAAAAATTTGCTTTTTCTTACTCAATTTGACGTTTTCAGCTTGCCGACACCCTCGGATGGAGCTTAATCTCAGAACGATGGCGTGATTATTACCTGGGAAAGTACTGTGTTCCCAAAAGAGCCTTTTAACAACTTTAAACTACTACTTTAACTACCAGAATAGTCGTTAGATAACGAATTTTACTTGCATGTATCATATTTTTTTCATTTTTTATATTTTTTCATTTTTTTGAAAATATTTTTTCAATTTTTTAAACTACTCTCATGGACTAAATTAGTTTTCGGGTCGCTATTTGTCTATTGTACATATTGTACACACTCTGTTTGTCATATCCCAGACTCTCACATGAATATTTGTACGGCTATTTTTTTGTTACAACGACCTCAATCACAATGATTTGAAGAATGGAAAAAAAAGAAAAAATAAAGATCTTGAATAAGAAATTTGTTTGTTGATTTGAAGGGATGTCTCGAGGATATTAATACTACGCTTTTCAAAAGTTCGTCTTTTTTTGCGAAAAGAATAAAAACGCACTGTGCATGGGCGACAAGTTTGGGAAAAAGTCCAAAATGCACCACTGTGCGAAATAGCAGACATGTCCATGAATTTTATGACAATACTATTTAACATCAGTCTGTTGAGAAATAATGAGCATTCTATCGCACCAAAAATCGCATCACCGCCGAGAAAATGAATTGCGTCGCGTAGAAAATCGAACTGCTTTTCACTCCAGCGACGCGATTGGCGCAGCGACAGCTCATTATTTTCCCGATAGATTAATTCACTTTTTCAAAAGTGCGTAGACTTTTGCCGCAGGACGAGAAACCTCAGTTTGAACAGTGCATTCCACAGTGCAAACGACTTTTTTAGGTTTGCACTGTGCAAAAAGTTCAAAATGCACTGTGCGAAAGGGGACAAATGTCAATCCACTTTATGTAAGAAAAAGCTCAAAGAATTCCATTTGATTTCCAATTTTACTCTATTTATTTCATCTTCCAACATAACTACCAGCAACAACTCAATATTTATCTTCAAAATTACAGACATCTCTTCAAACTCATCACCACTTCTTTATCCATACAACAAGGCGTTGTTCCGAGCGGCAGCGGCGTTGGCGCGGGCCACCGCATTTGTGGCGGCAATGTTAGCTCTCGCTCTGGCTTGCGCGGCAGCGGTGTTCGCGGCGACTTGCGCAGTCCTTGCCTGGCTCACCGCTAAAGCGGTGTTCAAATTGGCGGCGGTGCGAGCGGCGACAGCTTGGCGTCGCGCCGAATTCGCCGCAATCTGCTGGTTCACGAGGGCGGCGTTGCGGACACGGGCGGCGTTCGCATTGGCGATGGCGGTGTTGGTGAGGGCGGCGTTGCGGACGCGCGCGGCGTTCGCGTTCGCGTTCGCAATGGCGGTGTTCGTCAGGACAGCGTTGTTGACTTGAGCGTTGCGGATGGCGGCGTTTTCGGCGGCCAACAGCCCTAGTTGGCGGCGTTGACGAGGGCTGGCCGCGACGGCCAAAAGCACAATGAAGAGGGCGGCCAAGGAAAGCTTGGACATTTTAGGACGAATTTAGCGTATATTTAGGACAAATTCAGCCAAAAAATCGAAGAAGAATCGCTGAAGATTCACTGAAAATGAATGTTGAATATTGCTGATGACTGCCCTATTTATAGGGCTGTTTTTGGCGTCGAAAATCGCCCCGCCTTTCCGTCAAGTCGCCATAATCAACATGTCGATCTATGTGTTCTTAGATCACCTATATGTTTATTATGTTTTATTGTGCTTTTGAGGCATGATTGGGGACAACGAAGAAGGAAGATGACATAAGAAAATAGGTGCATTTTGAGTGCGCAGGCTCTAGAAAAAGCCCGGCGTTTAAAGAGGGCTGGAATGACGTCATTAGTTTTACAATGGCACTGCAGTTGCGTTATACGACAAGCATGTTTGGCACGTAAGGAAATGACGTCATATGAGATGGGATATTATTATTTGTTTGATTTTTTGGGCTTGTGTTCTCACAGCCAGCAAAAAAAACGAAATACAGTCGCAACAAGGAGAAATTTTTCGCCGCTGACCATTTCGTAGGCGAAAGGCGATTTGATTTCTTCACAATTCATTTTCTCGTCACAATTTTCGATACAACAGAGTGCTCATTATTTCCACGACAAAATCATATTTTATTATGACATTTCTTTCTGCTTTTGAAAATCACCTTCACCTGCTCAACGATCAGTTGTTTGAAGGTCAAAGAAAGCGAATTGAAACCTGAATGTTTATTCAAAAAAACGAGCTTATCTCCCTTTTACCGGCAGTAAAACGCCGGTTTTGGACGTAGATTGACGCAAGATCACTCTGCAATAAATCGCCGTAAGGGCCCGTCAAGGGCACAAGTAGATGGGAGAAGATTTCTGCGAGGGATTACGGAAACCTGAACGCACAAATCACATAGTATAACAAGTTTGATTTAAATTTCAAAATAATAATAATGTCACAAAAACAAAATTTCCATGTTCAAATGTCGGTTTTGGGCGTAAAGAGATCTGCGAACAAGAAAGCCTTTTTATAACAAATAATTTTTTTTGGTTTCTTGCAATATGTCGCACAGAGCTTCCAGATGATTTTTAAAATACTGACCGCAACAAAATTATATTTTTCAGTTAACAGTATGTCGGGAAAATAATGAACACTCTGTCGCATCGGTTGTTTGCATCGCTGAAGTTAAAAAATGAATTGTGTCGCGGAGAAAATCAAATTTCTTTTCACTTCAGCGACACAGTTGACGCAACAGCATTGTCATCGTTTTTTTCCCGACAGATTTATATCTTCGTCTTTCCAGTTGCGTCATCTACTCCAAATCTCTGCAATTTTTTGATCAAAGGCGGACGCAACAGCGCAAAATCTCTGTAAAACCCCATATAAAAGGCCCTCCAAAACCCTCAATTCTCATCATTCGACGGCTCAACTCATCTGCTATCTACTCCATTCATATTTGCTCCAACTAAATTCAACATGTCCCAACTCTCCCTCGTTCTTCTCGCCGTTCTCTGCCTCTCCGCCATCGCTCAGCCCCGCGCCAAACGCCAATTTCTGGGCCCCTACGCCGCTGAGAACGAAGCCATCCGCCAAGCCGAAATCAACGCCGCTGTGGCGCGCAACACCGCCTTGGCCAACGCCAACACCGTCCGCCAGGCGGCGCTGGTGAACCAGGAGATCGCCCAGAACGCCGCACGTCGCGAGGCCGCTGTTTTGCAGGGCGCCGCCAGCGTGAACGCCGCCCGAATTCAGAGCCAGATCCGCGGCGCCGAGCTGCGTCAAGAGCTGGCCGTGGAGAATGCGCAACGCAGAGCAGAAGTTGCCGCCGAGATCCGCGGCGAGGAAGCGATTGCCCGTGCCAATCTGGCGGCCGCTCGTGCCAACGCTCTGACTTACGGATAAGAAACTGACTTTTTTGTGTATGAATTTCAATGTCATGCTTTGTATAATAAAGAAACGGAATAAATTTAAAATTGGAAAATTTTTTTTGATGACAAATACAAGTCTAACAAATAAAACGCAACTTTTTCGGGCCGGCCTAAGAAATTTCACGGTTTCCTTAAACTCGGCCTTTTCAGAAAAAAAAGTTTTCTTGTTCCGGAATGAAGAAATCCTTGAAAGAATGGTAATTGAAGGTGGTCGATTAAGCCATCTGATCTTCGAAATGGCGGGGCATTTTGAACACAAAACGTTTAAAAATATTAATACAAGAGCGAAACTGGCCGGCTGAGTGTGATACGGGCTGAATTCGTTTTCATCTCTGACCTCTCCGAGTTTAGTGTGCTCTCACGGCGGCTAGGATCAATGAACGCCTTAGCTGTCCAGTAGGACAAGCGGCACTACATAAAGGCTTCGCGAGACATGGCTAGAGCTAGTTGAGACTTGCCGTTGTGGACGCCCAGAACGAAGTGTACACAACCACTATGCAAGCCAGAAACGAAGCCGTCGCCTTTGTTGGCCAAGCAAAAGATGATTGTGGGAGTCGTTCAAAAGATCGGTTCTGAAACTCTTGTATATGTGTTTGAAATTTTCTGTCTGACAACTCTTCGCGTACCCTCGACTGAAAGGGCCGTTGAATTTCTCGACGCTCCCTGCAAATTTGGAGCTAAAGTCGTCAAAAGAAAAATTGGTTGCCTATTCCCACGTATGTACAAGGTTTGAAGAAAATCTGAGCGTTCCACTTGGGGTACTTCCCTTGTAAAAAAATAAATATGTTGTCTCCAAAAAACCTTGAACAATCTTTGAACAATTTTTTTGGCAATGCACATAATTTCGACCGGTTTGTGGCATCCTTGATGACATGACCTATGGAACATTCTGTGAAAAAAACTTTTACTTTTACGACTATGCTATATCGTATTTTACCAGAATTTTCTTTACCTCTTCATTACGACAGACAAATCTGTTTCGCGTTCTTGAAGTTTCTTATTATTTACATTACGCAACACTGAATGCTCCGATTTCTGTCAAAAAATATCTGCCAAAATGGCTATAAATACCCAGCTAAAATCTTGTTTCTCATCATTCATTCAACGAGGTATAACTTCCCTTGGAACTTCGATATGTCCACTCTGCAGCTGTTTACTCTTTCTTTGCTCTGCCTTGGAGCTTCTGCTCAGCTTCGATTCGTCCGTCACATCCAAGGCACCCAAAATGGCCTGGTCCAAGCCGAAAATGCCAATTCTCTCCGGTTCAATGATCCAGTAGCCGCTCAGGAAGTCGCTGAAGTCCGTGGAAATGCCGTAGACGCCGGTCAAGTGGTCACTGAAGCCGCCGCAGTTGTTGAAGCCCCTCAAGAAGCCGTTGAAGCCAAGATTGAAGAAGTCTCCGCCGCGCAAAGCCCCTTGGAACGTGCCATTGCCGCCGCCAAAGCCAGAAGAGACGAAGCTCTTGCCAGGATCGCTGAAGCTCAAGCCAAAGCCAAGGCAGCCGCTGAAGAAGCCAGAATCCGTGCCAGAGCCTCGCTGGAGAAAGCGCAAGCCGACGCTAGAGCTAGATTGGAGAGAGCTCGTGATCAAGTGAGACCAGTGATCGCTGAAGCCAAAGCGGCCGTTGTGGACGCCCAGAACGAAGTGCTCACAGCCGCTGGGGAAGCCAGAGACGAAGCTGTCGCCATTGTTGGCCAAGCAAAAGATGATGTCGTTGGAGTCGCTGAATCGGTCCAAAATGATGTTGCAGTTGCCGCAGAAGAGGTCAAAGTGGATGCCATTGCCGCCGCCAAAGCCAAACAAGCCGAAATCCTCGCCAAGATCGCTGAAGCCAAGGAAAAGGCCAAAGCCGCCGCTGAGGAAGCCAGAATCCGCGCCAGGACCTCGTTGGAGAAGATCCAAGCCGACGCTAAAGCCATTGTAGCCAGAGCTCAAGCCGATGCCAAAGTGAAAACCGAGAGAGTTCAGACTAATGTCGCTGCCAGCGAAGCTCAGGTTGATGTGAATTAATTCAATTTGAATGATGGTTAAATTGAGATAACAAGTTTTATTGTTGTCTGTTGTTTGAAATAAATATTTGTTGATATTTTTTGTGGTTTTTGACGAGTGAAACTATTTTTCTAACGCACGCATGAACAGAATTTTAGCTCATGTTTTACTGAACAAGGAAAAACTATCGTACATCGGGCCGCTCAAATTTTTTATACCTTTTCGGAGCCTTCAAGTTGGCAACAAGCAGAAATGTAGGGTGATGTCTACAGTGGCAAAACATTTTTTCCGACGGACTGATATTTATTTCTGCTCCATCTCCTATGATCATTAAGGTCTACCCTGGGTAAAATTGCCTCTAGCATCAACAAAAACTTTTGCTGCAGACCTGTGCGCAGCTCGGAAGGATTGCTTTTTAAGAGTGGACCAAAACGCAAAAGTTTTATCCAAAAACAACCACAAACCATTTGCATCTTTCGTTTTTCTTTGGCGCCTTGCGCAATGCGGAAAAAAAATTGCTATGGCCGAAGAAACTTTGAGTTTGGTTTGAAGTTAAACAAGGTTTGAAGAAGATCTGAGCGTTGCACTTGGGCAACTTTCCTTATAAATAAGTATCGCACGGCAACCCGAGAGCCCACTTTTGAGTTTCGTCCAAACAAAGTGTCAAAATTGAAAAAAGAAATAAAATAATTCCGATATGTATCGTCTCTGAAAAATCTTGAACAATATTTGAACAATTTTTTGGCGATGCAATATATCTTCGGCCATTTGTGACATGCATGATGGCATGATCATATATAAGATGTCCTTTGACGATTAAGACATTCTCATCAAAGGATCCGACATCCGTACCTCGTATTTTACCAGAATTTTCTTTACCTCTTCATTACGACAGACACTTCTTTTTCGCGTTCTTGAAGTTTCTTGATAAGTTACGCAACAATGAATTCTTCGATTTCTGAACGAAAAATTTTCTGCCAAAGCGCATAAATACCAAGCTTAAATCTTGTTTCATTCACGGAGTTGTATCCCTTTCGAATTTCGACATGCTCGATCTACAGCTTTTTACACTTTCTTTGCTCTGTCTTGGAGCTTCTGCTCAGCTTCGATTCGTTCGTCACATCCAAGGCACCGAAAATGGCCTAGTCCAAGCCGAGAATACCAATTCTGCCCGGCTCAATGACGCAGTAGCCGCTCAAGAAGTCGCTGAAGTCCGTGGAAATGCCGTAGACTCCCGTCAAGTGGTCGCTGAAGCCGCTGCAGTTGTTGAAGCCCCTCATGAAGCCGTTGAAGCCAAGAATGAAGAAGTCTCCACCACTCAAAGCCCCTTGGAAAGTGCCATTGCCGACGCCAAAGCCAGACAAGCCAAAGCTCTCGCCAAAATCGCTGAAGCTCAAGCCAAAGCCAAGGCAGCCGCTGAAGAAGCCAGAATCCGCTCACAAACCGCGTTGGAGAAAGCCCAAGCCGACGCTAAAGCCGCTGTGGCCAAAGCTCAAGCCGATGCCAAAGCAAATGCCGCTAGAATCCAAGCTGATGTAGCTGCGGCCAGAGTCCGAGCAGATGCTGATCTTCTCGCGGCGCAAGCCCGCGCCAGAGCTGATGTGATCGCCGCCAACAACCGCGCCAATCTCGATGCCGACCACGCCGTTCTGGCCGCCAATTTGGCCAGAGCCAATGCCAGGGCTACTGTTTTGGCGTTTGGATAAATTGAGAAAAGAGTTGTTGTTGTTTTGGCTTGATTTTAAATAAAATTTTATCGGATTTGACTTTGGTTTTGTAGCTTCATAGTGTTGTATGGATGGTGATCAAATTTGAAGTAAATTCGAATGAAATCCTTACAAAATATTCCCAAAAAATCGAACGTTTCTTCTAAAAACTGGCAAAGTGATATGTAAAAAACATTTTTTTCAGACCGCTCTCTGTTTTGAGTACTCTCTCCACCGCAAACATTGTTGAATGTCTCAGAATCTCGGCTCTCCTTGCAAAGCATGAGCCAAGATTTTCATTAATTGGTGTGTGGCCTATACAAGACGCGTGGGTTGAAGCCAAAAGTCAGAGGTTTTGAAACTGGATTATATTGCTTGTACTATATCAGTCTGTCGGAAAAGTAATGAGCACTTTGTCGCATCGAAAATCGCATCGCAGCCGAGACAATGAATTGTGTCGCGGAAAAATCAAATTGCTTTTCACTTCAGCGACGCGATCAGCGCATTGTGCTCATTATTTTCATGACAGACTTATAAGACAAAAATTTCATATTTTTGCCCTGCCTTCAGATACCCAAAAAAGACAATATTTTCAAAATTCAAGGTTTATTACAAAAAAAAACGATTTGAAGCAAAGTTATAGATGTCTTTGTCACCGAAGAGAAGAATATATCACAGAAACAAGTCGTGGAGCATTCGAATTCAGCCTTGGCGACGTTTCTTCGACGACGCTCCGTATTCTGCTTGAGCTTTTCGTTTGGCGCTTGGCTTCTTCGAACTATTACTTGATTGGTTCTGGAAATTTATGAAATTCAAAAAATCCTCAAAAGGCTTTGCTTTGTTCAAGCAATGGCCTAACGGAGAAGGTCCCAAAATGCCGCAGTAGCTAGACTAGAAGAGTTCCGCGTGAGCGCATGCGTAAAAAGTTTCCAAAGTTATTTGAGGCAGCAAATTATTTGCCCCGCGCAGCCGCTCACGAATTCTCCAGCTGCTTACAACTCTCGCGATTCGAAGACGAATCCACATTATTTGTCCGATAGAACGTTACACCCTTGTCCTATATTTCCTACACACATTTTTTGACCCCGGGAAGATTGTAAAAGAGCTAGTTCTACGCAGTCCTAAAAACGCCTGTCGGGAAAATAATGTGGGCTTGTCGAGCTTTGCAACCTTTTCGATGGCTAGCCGCCCTTTGAAACTCGGTCTATGCAGTTGAGACATTTTGCTGCGAAAATCCACATTATTTTCCCGACAGACTTTCATTATTCCCCACAAAGTCTTACCAACAACTCGAGCAGATACGCCTCGTCGTTGGCATCTTCCTGGACCTGCTTTAGCACTTTCTTTCGCAACTCCGTCGAATCCGACACCCGCATTCTTCGTTGAAATCTCACAAACTGTCTTTGAGGAAATTCTTCAAAGCAACCCGCGTTCGGACCTTCGGAGTCAACCTTCTCAAAAACACACATCCTCAAGTTCGAGAACCTGGATTTTAGCGACGATTAAACGATCCAGACAGCACGATAGCCGGTTATAATACGTGAGCGGGAGTCGCCAAAATAAAGCAAATGTAATCGCTCAAAAGACCATCAATTGGCACGGAAAACGTGTAACAAAACATGTTAATTTCTTAGTAGGCGCTACGCCGAAGTAGCCAACGTTTTTGACAAAATTAAAAGAAGAGTACTCCGAGCGCGACGCCACGCTTTTAATGAAACTTAGCAACACGCTTTGCAAAAACGACCGGGATTTGTTGGGAGTTGGCAAAAATGTAATGCTTTTTTGCGAATTTAAAAAAAATCGTGCTCTCCGAGCAAGGCGTTAACTAAAATTTTCCGGCATTCATATGTCGCCAATGTTTAAGGGGTGTGCAAAATTTAAAGATAATCTGTGCGTCACACTTGGTGCACATTCTCCTCTGTTAGGGTTGACATTTTGGGCCCCTTAATTGCTTGTTATCTACAGGTTTGGTCGTGGTTGTAGGAAGGTTCGATTGCAATGTGAGGTACCAAAAGTCTGAAACCCACTTGAAATGGACAGAAAACCTCACACATCCTAAACATTGCTGCTGAAAAACGAACGAGTGCCAAAGAAAGGACGCTCAACAACTTTTCTCGCTATTTATACCCCGCGCAGCGAAAATAACGCCAATTTCAGCGCAGAAATACGGCTTTAGCCAATCAGCGACATGCATGGGAAACGCTCGAGGAAATACAACGTCCGGGGTCGTTGAACAACGAAGTTCCAGCTGAGCAAAACCTGGCTATAACCAGAGATTGCCACGGCTCCGGAGCTGGCTCTTGGCTCCGGCTCTGAGCGGCTCCGGCTCCGAGCCGGGAGCCAGAGCCGGAGCCGGAAATTTTGGGGTCGGCTCCGGCTCCCGAGCCCAAAGTCGGAGCCAGGCTTCCCAGCGGTCAGAAAAGAAAAAATTTCGTGATCTTGTTAAACCAAATTGCTTGAAAAACACTGCGGAGGATGTGACTTGGCTGCAAAAAAGTTGGCTGTATGATATCTGGCACTAATAACTTTTACTTTTGGAAAAATATTAAAAAAAAAACATATTGCTGAGGAGCCGGAATTCGGAGCCGGAGGCCTGTTTAAATTTTGCACGGAGCCAAGAGCCGGAGCCGGAGCTGCAAATTTGGCCTCGGCTCCGGCTCTGGGAGCTAAGAGCCGGAGCCGGAGCCGAAATTTTGACCGTGGCAATCTCTGGTTATAACGCACAATCTCCAAGAGCACGTATATCGAGCCCATTTCTTGAGCCGCCTGGACATTTCGTCCACACACTATCGATTGCACAAAACATTTTACGTAGATATCAAAATTCTTTAATTTTTGGAGAATAAAATCTGTCTTTTCTAATAAAAAAGTCAAGAAATTATTAGAAAAATTTTTTCACGGTATAAAAAACCAAAAAATGTCAAAATTTTTTTATAATATTATTTATTTATCACCGATATCAAAAAGGTATAATATATCAAAAATTGGCTAGAAAAAATTGTATAACTATAAAAACAACGAATTAAAATTATGTACAATAAATATGAAGAATATTAATAAATAAATGCTATTAAAAAATTAATCCACTAATAAACCAAAGAATGAGAGCAGATCGGAGACCTGCGGGCTCAATTCTTCCTTCTTTTCTTCTTCCTCTTCCTTCTTCTCTTCTTTCTTCGCTTTCTTTGGCTCGACTGTTTCGGAATCCTCTTCCAGTTTCCGCTTTCTTGACTGGACGGGCTCGGAGATGGGCTCAATTGGGTCGCAAAGCTCCTGAAAATTATAAAAATTAGAATAAAATTTAAAAAAAATCAAAATTTTCAAAAAAAAATTTGCAAAAAAAAGTAAAAAGTTCTAAAAACAAAAAAAATTTGATTTTAATTAAAAAAGCATATTTTATTTTATTTTTTAATTTTTAAAATTATAAAAATCAGAATAAAATTTCAAAAAAAAATTCAAAATAAAAAAAAAATTTTTGCAAAAAAGCAAAAGTTAATTTTCTTTAATATTAAAGTTTAATTTTTTTAAACTCCCAAAAATTTTAAAAATTAAAAAAAAAATAAAAAAATATTATTTTTTTTCGCGAAAAAATCCAAAAAATTTATAAAAAAAAAATATTTTTAAAATTTTAATTTTATGTTCTAAAATTAGCAAAAAAAAAAAACCATCAACTCACCCCATACATCCGCTCCAAGAAGTTGATCTCCTCCATTTCCTCGGCGTTCCTCAGGATGGCCTCAATCCTCAGGCACTTCTTGTCCTTTCTTCTTGGCTTGCTGTTCCGTTTGAAGGTTCTCGCCGGGAATGGCTCAGCTTTCGCGTTCTTGACTGGCTCGGGAATCATCACAACGATGGAGGAGCTGTTTGAGGCCATAGCGAAATGAAATGGACACTGAAAAAAATGGGAATGAAATTGGAATTAAAATCGATAAAAAACGGTTGAAAAAAGCGGTAAATTAACAAAGGATATTTTTTTTAATAAAAAATCATTTTAATAAAATCAAAAAACCCCAAAAATATTTTAAAAAATCCAAGATTTTCCGTGAAAAAATCGGCGTAATTTCGGGGAAAAACAGCGATAAATTAAATTGCAAAGAATTATTTTTAAAAAATAAAATGTTTTTTTAATAAAAAATAAATATTTTTCAAATTTTCCGTAAAAAAATCGTTAAAAATTTGAAAAAAAATTATTTAGTAGATCAGCTATTACCAGCAAAAAACTAAAATCAAAAGCAAAAAATAGAAAATTCCAAAAATTTCAAAGAAAAAAATCGGTTAAAAATAACCGAATTGGTCGGTCTGCCCGAAAAAACATTGAAAAAGCGACACAATCGTCGCCAAATCACCCTTCATCAAGTAAATATCTAACGATTATATGGAGATGTGAGTCATTGCAGGGCAAGTCTTAAAAATGGCAAATATTTTGAAAGTTCTAGATGAAATTTTGATGGTAACTACAGATGGGATTTCACAAAATCTGGAAAAAAATATTTACAGGGGAAGTACTCCAAGTGCGACGCTCAGATTTTAATGAAATTTGGCACAAATTTAGAATAATTTTTTCTAAGATATATGCGAGAATCCTAGCTCGCGCTTTGTAGAAACAGTCGAGATTTTTAGATCAAAAGTCGGCGAAAATTTAATACTTTTTGCCGAATTTCGGCACGAAAAGTTTCATGCCTATTTCTACCGTAAAGGAAAATGTTTCTACAAAAAATCAAATTTTTCCGCACGAAACTGCCAAAGTTCTGGCCAAAAGCGCTTTTCTCTCTGACCGCTCTCCACGTTTAGCGTGCTCTCTCTGCGTCAAAAACTGTTCGATATCTCGGCGGCGCCCGCAAAGCGCGAGCTAAAACTTTCAGGAATTGATATTTGCTCCATACCCGACGTGTGTGCAAAATTTAAAGAAAATCTGAGCGTCGCACTTGGAGTACTTCCCTTGTTAATAATAAAAAATTACGAGCTGCGCCCGAGCCTTTACTCAGAATCGCAGGTTTAACTTGTCACGCTAAAAATCCCGAAAGGTTTTAATCCCAGGCTGAACCCCCCGAGACCTGCAACTCCAAGTACTTCCCATTTAAGATACCAAAGCTGATAAAATTTCCCCAAAAAAGTTACATATTTTCAAAAACCCCGCAATAAAAACCTGAGCCACCGCTCACTTCAAAGACAAATCTCGTTATGATCCTCAAAAGTAACGATTACATTGCAATCAATATTTTTCTGCCACATTTTTCTCCGGAAAATACAGTTCCGCACGTTTTCCGCACATAATTTTACGCAATTTCTGCTGAAACCCCAATCTGTTTTTGAAAATTTTTCTGCCTTCGGACAAGAGCAGAAAAAATGAATTTCCGAAGAGATTTGGAGCGTCATACGGTGGTGTTTGCGTTTATTAGCACTCTCCGGTTTTTTTTCGTTTTATATCGGTCTGTCGGGAAAATAACGGCGTATCGTCGCTCCTCGGAATCGCCCATCATCGCTTTGCGACTGCAAGCCGCGGCTTGGGATTTGGTGCGCGACAGCGGCGAGGCGAGACATTTGGATGCGACGATCCGCCGTTATTTTTCCGACAGACTGATAAGATACGCTGATGTGTTTTTGGAGTTGATTTTTTTTCAAATTTCGACTTTGCCCACACACTAATCGCGACGTAAAGTCCTGACACATTTTGCACCGTGCATTCTTCTTTCATTTCATCCGCACTGTGCATCTTTTCGCATTTGTCGCCGCGATTTCCCGTTTTTGCGCACTTTCGCGTGCGACAAACCCGAATTTGGGGGCGCGACGTCCAAACCCCGAACTTTCGCACGGTGCAAAATGTGTCAGGACTTTATGGCGCGACTAGTACTAGTTCATAAAAGTCAAGCTGGGAGAGAAAGCCCAAAAAGCAATTTTCACGGTGCAAAAAGCAAAATTGTTTCATCAACGTTGCTTAAATTGCAGTTACCATTTTTTTTTGTGTATGTAAAAACGGGCTCGTTACTTTTACTTTACATAGTTTTATTAATATTGTAAAATGCATTAGCGTATTTTAAAATTAATTCGCGCTTCTCTTCAGACACCTCCTCGTAGCCATGCTCATCGAAGAGCCAAAGAAACCCTTCATTCTGATGGTCGATATTCCCGCTTCATCTTCTCACCTCTCAGTCGAACTGTTTCCTCCACGAATCGACGCCAGAAAAGGCCGACCAAGAAGAGCGACCGACAACCAGAGTCTCAGAGTTGCGGTGTTGCACAGATGTCAGGAGGAGGCGTGGAACAGGTACATGGCAGAGGTAATTTATTTATGTTTGTGGAATTCTGTTGATCGGAGAAAAACATGGGACAAGGTTATGGGACATTTGGAACATAAAGTTCATTGAAAATGTTCAGATAAGGCTAACAATTTACTCTCAGTCTGGCGGGAAAATAGTGGGGATTTATCGCAGAAATTTTCGGAATCGCGCACCAAGTCCTCGGCCGCGCGGAGACGGCTCCGGTGGGGCAAAAGTTTTTTAGCCATGTCAATTTGCAGCTTCAAAAATTTTAATTTTTTTCAATTTTTTTCAACGTTCTGTCCGACTGCGTATTTTAAACTCCCGAAACAACTTTTTTTATTTTCAGCACCCAGTTGTCGCCGAACCCTGCCAAAAACACTCGCTGATGGAGGTTGACGAAAACCCAGAAGTGGAGGCCAAGAAATTCAAGATCGAAGACATGAAGCCGTTGCCCATCGAAGAAGTCATGACGCCAGAAGAGCTGGAAGAACTCGGTTTACTCATTGATGACACGATTTTTGACAAGTTTTAGCATCACCTTTTAATTATTGACGTCGCTGGTGTGTTATGTGATTTTTAATATTCTTTTTTACTATTTATTTTCTTTTAATAACGATTTTTTTAATTGTCCTTATTGCCGGTTAGTGAGAAATAAATAGTTGAATATAAAAAAATCAGTTTATTTTTTTGACTTGTTACGGACAAAAAATAAAAAAGAAATGTAAAATGACATATCAAAATAAAGAGAGAACTTGGGATATGCAAAGCTGTGGTAATGCGCAAAATATCGTTGCGGCCGAAGAGGCCCTAAACCGGAGACGGTTGAGCCTGAACTCTCCCCCTTTTCTGAACTTTACCCCAATCTGAACTCTACCCCTTTTTCAACTCTACCCCAAAAAAGGCTGAACTCTACCCCTTTTTTGTGTTTCGCCAAAAAATCTGAACTCTACCCCTTTTTGAACACTACCCCATTTTGAAAATTGAAAAAACGAGGTGTGACATGTTATACGATGGAAATTTTTTTCAAATTGAAAAAAACGAGGTGTGAAATGTTATGCGATGAAATTTTTTTTTCAAATTGAGAAAAATGGGGTGCGACATCTTATACGATGAAAAATTTTTCAAATTGAAAAGAATGAAGTGTGACATCTTATACAAATTTTTTTTCAATTTGAAAAAATTTTTCATTGCATAAGCTGTCACACCTTATTCTTTTCAATTTGAAAAGAATTTTCATCGTATAAGATGTCACACCTCATTTTTTCAATTTTCAAAAAAAGGGGGAGGGTTCATTCAAGGGGTAGAGTTGAAAAAGGGGTATAGTTCTGCCGCAACGCTAGGAGACCCTCATACGAAGAGGCCCCACCAAAACGTCCCCCAAGGTGAAGAGGACCCCAAAAAAGAAGAGGCCTTTTTTCTTAAAAAATTAAAAATGAAGGGTGACACGTTATACGATGAAAAAGTTTTTGAAAGTAGAAAAAATATTATATTGTGTGACATCATATACGACGATTTCTTTTTAATTTTTTTCACCTTATTTTTCAATTTTCAATTTTCAAATTTTTTTTGCTTTTTTTCGATTTGTGGTCATTATTTTCCCGACAGACTAATAATGATTTCCCTTTTTCTCCGCTTGCACAGTGCACAATGTTCGAAAAGCGCCGCAACAATTTTTTTAAATAGCCGTAGTATCTTTATTCCTCTCAAGAAAAGCTTGCCAATAGCAGAATACCCCGCAGTAATCGATCCCCAGCGTCCATCGCGGCGTCCTTTTGGACCAAAAATTTCTGTCACAGATAAAACTCATCGATTTCCCCGGCAATTTTCGCTCTACGCGTCTAATCATCATGTTATCCATGACGGAAAATCATAAAACTTTCTTGGATTTGGATGCCCCCAAGAGGAATGTGATTTACATTCCATTGCCGTCGCCCAACGCCAAAGTGGAGCCATTCCCGCCGAGAACTTTTGTTCGAAAGTCGAAGCGACGAAAAATCGATGACTCGAATTTGTGGCTGGAGGCGATTATGAGAGCACGCGCGTTGGCGGAGCTGCAGGAAGAAGAGGACATCATTGAAAAAATTTATGGGGTAAGTAACGGAAAATCAACCTCTAGACTTTTTCTTCAATATCAGTCTGTCGGGAAAATAATGAGAAAAAGGTCGCTACGCCGATCGCGTTGCTGAAGTGAAAAGGAATGAATTTCTCCGCAATCTTCTTTTCCGCAGCCACGGGGTTTATGGTTTTGCTCATTATTTTCCCGACAGACGAAAATAATCGATTTAACTGCGGAAATATTATACTCCAATCAACTTGGGGTTGCAAAACGAACTGTACGGCATCCGTGAAATCTGGGGGCCACATATCGGCTGTCGGGAAAATAATGAGCAAAATGTCGCTGTGCCGATCGCTGAATTCAAAAACAATTTTATTCTCCGCAAAAAAAAATTCGTTTTCTCGGCGGCGACGCGATTTTCGATGCGACAGAGTGCTCCTTATTTTCCCGACAGACTGATATCAAAGGGTAAAAGAAGTAGCTTCCGCTTGGCAGGCGCTGCCGAGATATTCAACCATCTCAGCCAGATAGTTTCGAAGGGAGACTGAATATGAACTGGGGTGCTGACTGAATATGAAAACCGGGTTTCTGTTACTGTTACTACTTAGGTTCCGATTAAGGACTCTTTTTAAAATTTTTTCGACTTATGACACCTTTAGATGTTAATGGTGTTGTTTTGGTGCCTAGTGCTGCTTAAAAAAAACTTTTTTAACACTTGGTGCTAAATAGTACTACCTGGTACTATTTAGTACGAGGTGAAAATTTGGCTGGTAATGGTTTTTTTTTGGTGCTTAGTACAGCCCAAAAACACATTTTTAGCACTTGGTACTATGTAGTACCAATTGGTACTATTTAGTACGAGGTGAAAATTTGGGCGTAAGGCGGTAATGGTGTTGGTTTGGTGCTTAGTGCAGCCCAAAAACACATTTTTAGCACTTGGTACTATATAGTCCTTGAAACAGACCAAATTTTCCAAATTTCATATTCAGTCAGCTCCACAGTTCATATTCAGTCAGTTCATTTTCAGTCAGTTCATATTTAGTCCTTTATATTTAGTCCTTCATATTCAGTCAGTTCATGATAGTTTAATTATCAACGCTAGTCTTTTCAGAAGTACCAGCCAGAGATTGTGCCGCTTGAATCAGTGCCGATTCAGGAGGCCGCAAATAAAGGCAAGGGCCTGAAACGGAAAGCCGAAAGCGCCGAAGACTCTGTTGTATCCAAGAAGTCAAAAACTGAGAACCAAGACGATGAGATACGGCCGGACTTGCTCTCCATGGCCGATATTTATGAGTTGATTTGGGGTGATTAATAAATTGTTTACTTATTGCGGAAAGCGGTTTGTTGAATATGGTCAACCTTTTGTGTAACGGATTGCAAAGGCCTGAAAATTTAGCAAGAGAAGTATCACTCTGTCGGGAAAACAACGTCGCGCCTCGGAATCGCTCATCATCGCTTTGCGACTGCAGGCCGCGCCTGGGGATTTGGCGGGGAGGCGAGACGTCTTGATGCGACGATCCGCCGTTATTTTCCCGACAGACTGATACTTCTATGGGGGAAGTTGCCCAATTTTGGTTCGTAAGGGCGACCCCCTCAGATCTTTTCTCGCAACACCACGGCAAAACTACCACATTTTTAGGCGTTGTTAGTTTAGGCTTCAAACAGATATAAGACGACCGATTTCTTTATATGAAACATATGTGGTGTGATTAAGCGGGAGTTCAGCTTCAAATTTATGTATGCAATAAACCCATTCTACCGCATCTCCCATGTGTAATCAGGTTATCTTTGGAGCAAAAAATTATTTTTGCTCTAAAACAGAGTGCCAAGAATTTTTCATTGCTTCAGCGCTTTTGTTCAATATTTTTTTGACATGAAAAGATAGAACAAAACCCTTTCACCTTGCGGCAACAGGTCAAAGTTTTTTTAGACCCGCCCATTGACCTTATTTCGCTGACCTTTCGCTTCCAATGGAAAGGTCATCAAAAATCTTCCTTCAGTCTTTCATCGCCGTCATCGCCCTTTCGGACCGAACGCATGTCTCTGAAAATACCCATATTCCTTGTTGTTTTTGCCCTGACAACTACTGCCAGACCTGTGGAAGAGCCCACCGCCGAGCAGCTGAAACAGGGTCGATACGCGGAGATCGTTCGCAACTTCTTCATGCGCTTCAAGGAGTTAGTGGTGGAAATGGTCAAGAATTTCACCGAGGCTGGTGGACGAGTCAAGGTCAAAACCGAGGTAAAAAGAGTTTTTGCAAGCATATGCCAAATATCAATCTCTGACCAATTTAGCTCGGTCAGACAGAAAACACTTTTTGGCCTCATCTTTTCCAGTTTCATTAACAGGGGAAGTAGCCCAAGTGCGACGCTCAGATTTTCTTTAAATTCTGCACACACGTCGACCATGAACTAGGCATCAATTCCTGAAAGTTTTAGCTCGCGCTGTCGAGAGAATACACTAAACGCGGAGAGTGGTCAGAGAGAAAAACACTTTTCGGCCATAACTTTGCTAGTTTCCCGCAAAATTATTCTAAATCTATGCCAAGTTTCGTCGAAATCTGAGCGTCGCACTTGGGGGTACTTCCCTTGTAAGAAAAAAATAATTTTTTTTTTCTGGAAACACTACTCTTTGTAGTGCTAGTCGTCCCAGAAAGTGCGTAGACTTTTTCTCGCGGCGCACAGTGCCAGGCACCCCTAATATGGGTGCCTGACTGAATATGAACTGACTAAATATGAACTGACTGAATATGAACTGTGGTACTGATTGAATATGAAATTTGGCAAATTTGGTCTATTTCAAGGACTATATAGTACCAAGTGCTAAAAATGTGTTTTTGGGCTGTACTAAGCACCAAACCAACATCATTACCGCCTTAAGCCCAAATTTCCACCTCGTACTAAATAGTACCAATTGGTACTTTATAGTACCAAGTGCTAAAATGTGTTTTTGGGCTGTGCTAAGCACCAAACCAACACCATTACCAGCCAAATTTTCACTTCGTACTAAATAGTACCAGGTAGTACTGTTTAGCACCAAGTGTTAAAAAAGTCTTTTTTAAGCAGTACTAGACACCAAAACAACACCATTAACGTCTAAAGGTGTTATAAGTCGAAAAAATTTTAAAAAGAGTCCTTCATCGGAACCTAGGTAGTAACAGTAACTGAAACCCGGTTTTCATATTCAGTCAGTTCATATTCAGTCTCCCTTCGGACTAATATTCGTCCCTTACATATTATTTTTTTATTCCAGATCTCAACGGAATTGGAAAAATTGAACCCTGAAATCGTCGAGCAACTGAAACAGTTCGAGAACCTGGAACTCCCTCCGACTATGAACGTTACCCACTTTGAGATGTCTTGGAATGCGAAAGACGCGGACTTTCTTAATCTCTTACGGTCGTAAAGCATTGTGTGTTCTGGACGACCATCTACAGGGTTTTTCATAAACATGAAGGAATATCGGAGGTTGTAACTTTAGGTGGAGGCGGCGCAGAGAGTTCGTTTTTGGAGTATGTATTTTTAAGCAAAATTATTTTTCGCCTATGAAATAACAAGATTTTTAAGTGCAAACTGAGGTCGCTACGACGTTTTGAAGTAGAGTCCTTTTACCCCGAAAACCAGTGCTTTTTCGGTTGAAAATGATAGAGAAGTTTATGATTTTTTCGTTGAAAATGATCGGGGGAATTTGCGTTGGAAAGCTGTTTCCCTATTTTTAACGTCAACTCTATCGAAGACCTCGAAAAATTCCGGCATTTTTCGGTGATTTTCAACCGAAAAACGCTGGTTTTTAGGGTAAAAGTAGCATACTTCAAAAGGTATGCAAATCGTGGCGACCTCAGTTTGCATTTTAAAATCTTGTTATTTCACAGACAAAAACTAATGTCTGTTAAAAATACATATTTCAAATACGAAGTCTCTGCGTATCCTCCGCCGGAAGTTATAGCCTTCCACTTTCCTTCACGTTTTTTGTAAGACCCTGTATTATACAGGGTGTTTCAAGAAATATGACAGAAACTTGTTGCGAATATCTTTGAGCTTTCGGGAGTTATCGCCTCCTTCTTCTTGTTTCTAAAACTTGAAATCGGGCGGTTTTGTACCCACCAAAAAGATTTTTTTTTGTCGGCGTGGAGGCTAGTTCTCGGCGGAGACATTTGGGGACTTTTTTTCAAAATTACATCGTATTGCATGGTGGAAACTCTGTTACAACGCCCAAAATTATGTCTACGTTGTCTAGGCAAAAAAAGAGTCCATGATTCGTTTTTCAATTTTTAGAAACAAGAAGAATTTCCGCGATAACTCCCAAGAGTTCAAAGATATTCGCAAAAAGTTTCTGTCGTATTTCTTGAAGCACCCTGTATTACTATATTTTCATAAAGTGCATTAAAATTTTTTCGCTATCTGTATTGACCAGACTTGTATTTTTTTATATACAAAAAATTTCCAATTTCAAATTGATTTCGTTTATTTACAATACATGGCATTGAAATTCATTCACAAAATTTTTCAACTCAAAATCTTATCCGTAAGTCAGAGCGTTGGCACGAGCGGCGGCCAGATTGGCGCGAGCAATCGCTTCCTCGCCGCGGATCTCGGCGGCGACTTCTGCTCTGCGTTGCGCATTCTCCACGGCCAGCTCTTGACGCAGCTCGGCGCCGCGGATCTGGCTCTGAACTCGGGCGGCGTTCACGCTGGCGGCGCCCTGCAAAACAGCGGCCTCGCGACGTGCGGCGTTCTGGGCGATCTCCTGGTTCACCAGCGCCGCCTGGCGGACGGTGTTGGCGTTGGCGAAGGCGGTGTTGCGCGCCGTAGCGGCGTTGATTTCGGCTTGGCGGATGGCGGCGTTCTCGGCGGCAATGGGGCCCAGGAATTGGCGTTTGGCGCGGGGCTGAGCGATGGCGGAGAGGCAGAGAACGGCGAGAAGAACGAGGGAGAGTTGGGACATGTTGAGTTGTAGTTGGAGCAAATATCAATGGAGTTGATAGCGGATGAGTTGAGCCGTCGAATGATGAGAATTGAGGGTTTTGCAGGGCCTTTTATAGGGAGTTTTGCAGAGATTTTGGGCTTTTGCGTCATCAAAAAACTGCAGAGAATTGGAGAAGATGCCGTAACTGAAAAGAAGAAGATATCAATAGATCTGTCGGGAAAATAATGAGGACAATTTCGCTACGTAAATCGCATCGCTGAAGCGAAAAAATTTTGATTTTTTCCGCGACAAAATTCATTTTCACTTCAGCGATGCGATTTTCGTCGCGACAGAGTCCTCATTATTTTCCCGACAGACTGATATAACAGAAAAATTGTTTGTTTGTTGCGCAAGTCCAATATTTTTTTTTCTGTTATCATATATGCATGTTTATACGTATGTAAAACGCTCTCTGCTCTTGAGAGAAATCGGCGTCGATAGAAAACTTTGACCTTGATCGACGGACAAATTAAATCTCTCGCTCTTTTTTATCCGTTTGTGATTGCTTTCGCTGATCTTCGGGGGTTTTGCAACATATTTAATGTAAGTTCGTTTACATTGTATACGTTGCAAATATATATATATATATTTTTTTTTTGATACAAGCAACTGTATTATCCGTCTGTCGGGAAAATAATGAGCACAATTTCGCTTCGCCGATCGTGTCGTTGAAGTGAAAAAAATTTGATTTTATCCACGACACAATTCATTTTCTCGGCGGCGATGCGATTTCCGATGCCACAGAGTCCTCATTATTTTCCCGACAGACTGATAATACATAGAATGTTTTGTTATACGAAGGTTTATTTTCGCGCAAAAAATCGACTCATGGTGCCTTCGAAATTGTTGATTTTGACGAGGTTTGGTTGTACAGGGGTTTGTTATACTAGTCGCGGAAAAAAGTCCTGGGATTTTCTCGCGCCCCCCAAACTCCATCGCGCTCCGAAAAGTTGATTTGTCGCTGGAATCGCGCGCGACAATAAGGCAAAAAGTTCGCAGAAAATTCCAAGGACTTTTTGCCGCAACTAGTACGGTGTTTGCTGTACAAGTTTCCCGGCAATTTCAGAAAAGACACGAACTTTTGGCCCGCCAAAATTTCCAAATTTTTTTTTTTTTTTTTTTTTTTTTTTTGAAACTGCTCAAAAATTACAAAATTCGTCGGTTTTATGGGAACGCGGTGGGATTTTTCGGTAGATTTTTTCTCATCGTATTTTTTTCAAGTATTATATTTTAAAAGTCGTTTTATCAAATTTTTATTTTTTAATGAATGAATAGTACACATAAGGTACACATAAGTTAAAAAAAAGTTTGAAGCTTGCTTGAAGGTTTTTTGAAAAAAAATCTCGACAAAACGGGCCCATGTATATCTTTTTTCACTTTTTTCCATTATTTTTTTGTAAAATACGGCCTATCCACTCTTATCCTTCAAATTTTCAGTCAATGAATCATCAACGTCCCAGCTCTTCGTCCTCCAATTCCTCTACTTCTTCGAGCCCTTCAACCCAAAATGATCTCAAATTTGCTGAAGTGCTGCTTGTCCACATCCCTCCGCCCGTTCCAAATCCCAAATTCGAGGCTCTCCCGCCAAGAAAAATCTTTTCGCAACGAAGAGCGAGATATCCGGAAGAAGTGGACAGAGATGATTATTATGTGGATGCAATGCTGAGGTTGCTGGAAAATGCGGGCAAAATCGATGAGAACTTTGCAATCCGCAATTATCAGGTGAGATTTTTTTTTGAAAAAGAGATATTCATATTTTCATAAAGTGCATGGACATTTTTCGCTTTCGCACAGTGCATTTTGAAATTTCCCCACGCTTGTCGCCATTGAACAGTGCATTTTTCTTTCTTCGCACCGTGAAATCTCAAAAAAAGCGAAAAAAGTCGCAGTTTATGAAAATCCGAGTCCGTCGGGAAAATAATGTGGATTTGTCGCAGCAAAATCTCTGGTCGCAATCGCTCACAAAGTCTCCAGCGGCGTCGCAAAGAGATAGTGGGCGATTCCAAGGGGCGACAAGTCCACATTATTTTCCCGACAGACTGATACTACGACGTATATAATTTAAATTTTTTTGGAATTATTTTATTATATTTATTATATTTACTAAAAACAACTATTTTAGGAGCAATCTCGAGCTTATCCCCAGCCCAAGAAAGGTGTGAAGCGAGGACATTGCGGTGAAACTCATTCTACCGAGCCAGTGAAGCGACAGAAAATTGTGTGGTGCTGATACAACCTTACTTTATACTTAATAGAATATTTTTTCGAATCTTTAACTCGGCTGGTCGATCTCATCATTGTTATAATAAACATGTAATGACTATGCTTGGAAGGCAGTTTTTTTGGAACTTTTTAGACTGAGACTGTAAAGAGCAAACTGAAACTTCCAGAAGTTGATACCAGTACTTTCATAATCTGCGCAGACTTTTTTTCACTTTTTATCCGTCTGTCGGAAAAATAACGGCGGATCGTCGCAGCAAAATGTCTCGCCTCGCCGCTATCGCGCCCCAAATCCCCGGCCGCGGCTTGCAGTCGCAAAGTAGGCGATTCCGAGGCGCGATCCGCCGTTATTTTCCCGACAGACTGATACGTTGCACTCCTCTTTCCTTTTTTTGGTAAAAGTTCCTTATTTTGGCCACAACTTATAAATTTGCGGAAACTGGTCGGAATTAGCCCAAATTTAGCGTGCACGCTCAATTCATCGTTGTCAATGCCCGGACAGTGGATTTAGTTAGTGAGGTACCTTCTTTTTTACGTACCACCTTACCCTGCAAAAACGGCTGCAGCCTGTGTGATTTTACACTTTATACGATGAAACATGTCCGGAACTAAACTTATTGAATCCGTATGGAAATGAGTCGTCACAGCCTTCGTAGGTACCCTTAAAACTATAAAGCTCTTATAGTAATTCAGTGCCAGCTAGGTCGAAGCGTTTTTTTTTCTAACTTTAGTGCCCAAGCTTGGGCGCAGTTCGCGGAGTACCTTTTTTGTGGCCAAAATAAGGAACCTTTTCCCTTTTTTTAGCGGGCCTTTCCTCAGCGGACCTTTCCGTACTCAATCAAACAACAAAAAGTCTGCACATTCTTTGATAGCACCAGTATGTGGCCTATGCCCGAAATATTCGTGAAATTGAAAGAAAATATCATCGTCGCATTTAGAAGCCCTTCCCTTGTAAGGTTTACCTTCGATTATCCTCATTTTCCTCTCCTTTCTCCCCCAAAAATCATCACGTAATTTCATCCGCCTCCGGTTCCTCGTTCGGTTCCATTCACCTCCTGTCAAAACATGAGTGATTTCAGTAATTTTTAGGGCTTGAACCGTTACCACCGGCGTGTGATCTTCGCTTGCAGGGATCACCCTTTATTCTTGAACCCGTTTCGCTTGCGTCGAGAAAAAAACAATTACTCAATTACACAATGCTACCCCAAAAATAAGCGCAAGAACAAAGTAAGTCGCAGCGGGAAAAGGTCAGGGTAATAAGTCAGCGGGGCTGAGGAGTTCCAATTTTCCGCTGATTGGAGATTTCCAACGTTTTCTGGAAGAGGAATTGAAGGAAATTTGGGAGATTTGAGGAAATAGCCCGAGGCATGATGACTTGAATTTTGCAGATTTGAGCTGGAAAATTGAAAAATTCAAAGTGAAATAGTAAAAAATAAGAATTTTTGATGACAAAACATCGCATTACCAGTAATTTGCAGCCTATGTCAATCTGTCGGGAAAATAATGTGGACCGGTTCAAACAGCAACAAATTGCACAGTGCGTCGCGACAAAGCGAAAAATCATCGAAAATCGCACTGTGCTTCTTATGTATCTGTCGGGAAAATAATGAGGACTCTGTCGCATCAAAAATCGCATCTCCGGCGAGAAAATGAATTGCGCCGCGGCAAAATCTTCAGCGACGCAATAGGCGCAGCAATATTGCCCTCATTATTTTCCCGACGGACTGATAGTAAAATATTAATTTGTCGGGAAAATAATGTGGATTCGTCGGGCCTTGGAATCGCCCATTATGGCTTTGCGACGGCTGCCGCGGCAAATCCACATTATTTTCCCGACGAACCGATATGAACATTGAGTTCAATGTTGATAACAAAAACAAGTTAAAATCGCCGAAAATTTTACACAATTTTGGCTTCCCGAAGGGCTTTGCTGTACTGCGACTCCTTTTGAGCTTGCAAGAAAAGTACTCCCAGTACTCCAAGTACGATACTCAGATCTTCTTCAAATTCTGCACACGTTTTGAGGATGGACCACAAATCAACTCCTGAAAGTTTTAGCTCATGCTTTTCAGGGAGAGCCGAGATATTCAACAATCTTTTGGTGCCGAGAGAGTACGCCAAATGCGGAGAGCGGTCAGAGAAAAAATCCACTTTGGCTAATTGTTTGCGGGTTCCGACCGGAAAAAATTTGATTTTTTTTGTGTAAACGCTACTCTTTACGGTGGAAATAGGTATGAAACTTTTCATGGCAAAGCGCGCAAAAAAGTGTCACATTTTTTGGCAACTTTTGGCCTAAAAATTTAAGAAATTTCATTCATTTTTTGGTTTTTTTACAAAACAATTTGACAACATAACCTGCAACAATTATTGTACAAAAAAGAGCAAGTTACAACATCACCAAAAAAACTTTTTTTTTCATCACCTTTGATGTCTAATTTGGCCATCCGTCATCGCGAAAATGAATCCCAAAAAAAATTTGTTTGATAATCCCTATTGCGTCAAGGTCAGCGGGGTGGAACAGAAGAGGCAGGGGTTCGCGCGGGGGGCGGAGGTGTTTTTAACCCACAACAATTACAAATTGGGCTCATTTCCCTCGCGACTTTTACCTTTTGTTTTCGGTCGCAGTCCGAGCGCGTCGACGAAATCTCTTTTTTTTCGTCGGTTACCCTTATCTCGGGAACGGTTTTACCGCCACGGTTACCGCGCTGCGTTTGGATTCGGTTTTGGGGAGGTAATTGTAAGCGGACCAGCGCGGTTTTTGATGGTTTTTGACGGTTTAGACAGTAAATTGAGCTGTGATTTTAGAACGGAAGTGCTCCAAGTGCGACGCTCAGATTTTTTTTACATTTTGCGCACATCTTGGCCGTAGGCTTCGTATCAATGTTTGAAAGTTTTAGCTCACGCTTTGCTGGGAGTGTCAAGATATTCAGCAATCTTTCCCAACAAGGGCAACTCAGTCTGCCGGGAAAATAATGAGCACAATGTCACTACGCCGATTGCGTCGCTGAATTGAAAAATTTGATTTCTCCGCGACACAGTTCATTTTCTTGGCAATCCGATCTTTGCTGCGACAGAGTGCTCATTATTTTCCCGACAGACTGATAAATTGGCCAAAAAGTCTTGACATTTCTGAGTGCGGGAACATGTCAAAACTTTTGACCTATGTTGTACGATGAGAGAAATTTTTAGCCATTGCTTTGCAAGAAGTTTTACGGAAAGGTTGCTCTCACTATATGAGTCTGTCGGGAAAACAATGACCACTTTGTCGCATCGAAAATAGCATCGTCGCCGAAAAAAATAAGTTGTTTCCGGCAAAACCAAATTCCTTTTCACTTCAGGGACGGCGTAACAAAATTTTGCTCATTATTTTCCCGGCAAACAGACAAATTTGGGCACTACTAGTCGCGACAAAAATTTTGCACAGTGCGTTAAAATTTTCGCACCTGCCGTTGCGATTCATCGTTTTTGCGGTAGCGAAATGCACTTTCGCGCGAGCTCACTGCATGTCGCTAGTGCGGGATGAAAAACGCGCTGTGCAAATTCTACGGACTTTATGGCGCGGCCAACATATTCTCTGTCTTCCTTTTCAGTTACGCTTCTACTTTTTGATACATCTTCCTTCGCCGTGCCACAAAAATCAAGTCTTATTTTTTTCAGATCACAATGGGGACGTCGAGGAGTCGAAATCTTTTATTGGTAAGCCTTCATCACCTATATTTTACAATTATCACCCGTTTTCAGCTCTTTTTGTTCACCCTCTTCTCCTTCGCCCATTCCGGCTTCTCTTCCGCGCCAGTTTATGGGCCAGCCGTTGCGCCACAAGCTCCGATCTCATACAATCTTCAGCCTCAAGTCTATCAGCCTCCCTTCTCGCCCGCCGGCTACGGTCCGGCGCTTCCTCAAATCGTCCAGCCCTATGGCCAAGGCGCGGCGCTTGGGCAGCCTGCGCTGAATGGCGGCGCAAACTTTGTTGGCTCTAGCGTCGGAGTCGGCGGAGTCACTGACTCCGCGCTGGCGGGAGGCATTCCCGGAGGGCCGGGGATCCGATTCCGAATCAATAAGTCCGGGTTCCGCTACGCCGGAGAGATGGTGGCGCCGATTTTGAGCAACCAAATCCGCAACGCCAGGATCCCAAGTATTCATCAGTGCTTGCCGCAGGTCGATGGATGCCTGAGGGTGGATAATATTGTGATCTCGAACTATCAATGTCCGGAGAGGATCCAGATTAGGCCTTCGCCACCGAATCAAGTCTTGATCGTTGTGAAAAACGCGAATTTCCAGTAAGTGCTGGAAATTTGCTTTTTTTAAATGTCAGTTTGTCGGAAAAATAATGAGCACTCCGCCGATATCGAGGGTGGGAAAAAGCTCAAACCTGTAGAACACATGTCTATGCATTTTATGAAAATGCTGATATAAGCCTGTCGGGAAAATAAGGAGAAATTACGGGTATTGATCGTGTTGCTGAAGTGAAAAAAAAATTTTTTTTTGATTTTTCCGCGACTCAATTCATTTTGTCGGCGGCGATGCGATTTTCGATGCAACAAAGTGTCCACCAGAGATTGCCACGGTCAAAATTTTGGCTCCGGCTCTTAGCTCCCAGAGCCGGAGCCGAGGCCAAATTTGCAGCTCCGGCTCCGGCTCCCGGCTCCCATGAAAAATTTATAAAGGTCTCCTGCTCCGAATCCCGGCACGTTTTTGCAGCAAAGTCGTATGCAACACATCCTTCCCAGTATTTTTCAAGCAATTTGGTTTAACGAGATCATGAAATCTTTACTCTTCTGAATGCTGGCATGGACTTTGGGCTTGGGAGCCGGAGCCGCACCCAAAATTTCCGGCTCCGGCTCTGGCTCCCGGCTCGGAGCCGCTCAGAACCGTAGCCACGAGCCGGCTCCGGAGCTGTGGCAATCTCTGGTGCCCACTATCTTCCCGACAGACTGATATTTGTATTTTCATAAAGTTTGTGGGCGTTGTTCGCGAAGCTTTTAACATAGGGCATCTCATCTTTAGCAGTGCGCATTCGAAGTTTCTCTGAAACAAAAGATTTGTTCAACGATACAGCTGCGGTTTTGTTGAAACGCCCGCATGGACTTTTTTCAACTGCAGCGCATTTGCAAGCGCTAACGGCTTTTTCTTTGAGGTTTTCACTGTGCAAAGACAGTGCAGTGCGTTAGCGACCAACAGGAGAAAAAGGCAAAATCCGTGTATCAATCCGTCGGGAAAATAATGTGCTTTTTTCGTGGCTTAACATTCTGATCAACGCTTTTCCTGATCGACGGCCAGCCGAGGCTGGGAATTAAATGCTCGATTCAAGGCAAAAGATTTTGCTCCAAAAAATCCACATTATTTTCCCGACAGACTGCTACCGCACGCGCCATAAAGTCCTGATCATTTGCACAGTGCATTTTTTCTGAGAATTTTTCGCACTTACCGTGGCGATGCCCGTTTTTTAAACGTGCATTTCAGCGTCGAATCTCGAAATCAACGATAAAATGGAAAAAATTGGACTTTACTATAAAAAAAAAGAAAATTGCACTGTGCATTGGCGACAAGCGTGAGAAAAAATTCAAAATGCACAGTGCAACATAGGAGAAAAGTCCATGCACTTTATGAAAGTAATCATATGTATTAATCCCAATTTCAGAGTCACCGGCAACTTGGCTGGTCGCGTTACAGTCCTCGCACCTCTCGCTCTTGGCGGACAATTTATCGCTTCAGCTCAAGGTGTAAGTGACCAACTACAACTTCGGTAAAAGTTCCTTATTCTGGCCACAACTTATAACTTTGCGGAAACTGGTCGGAATTAGCCCAAATTTAGCGCGCACGCTCAATTCATGGTTGTCAATGTCCGGACAGTGGATTTAGTTAGTGAGGTACCTTCTTTTTTACGTACCACCTTACCCTGCAAAAACGGCTGCAGCCTGTGATTTTACACTTTATACGATGAAACATGTCCGGAACTAAACTTATTACCTCTTTATGGAACTAAATGAGTCGTCATTGCCTTCGTAGGTACCCTTAAAACTATAGAGCTATTACAATAATTCAGTGCCAGCTAGGTCGAAGCGTTTTTTCCTAACTTTAGTGCCCAAGCTTGGGCGCAGTTCGCGGAGTACCTTTGTTGTGGCCAAAATAAGGAACTTTTTCCACAACTTCATTTTTATATATTAGTCTGTCGGGAAATTAACGTGGATTTGCCGCAGCAAAACTAGCCATCGCAAAACGGTTATGGGCTATTCCAAGGCGCGACAAATCCACATTATTTTTCCGACAGACTGATATGTACCACCAAAATTTTACTAACCAAGAATGATCGTATCTTACCATTCCTATGTGTAGTATAACATATTTTTAGATTTCAATTTCCGTCGGTCTGACCGTTCAACGATCCCCAACTGGAAGTTTGAGCATTGGAATCGGCTCTTGTCATGCGACCGTCGGCTATATTAGCCTGCAAATCGTGAATGGAGGAAGTCTTGGGGCGTTGGCTAGCAACCCAACTTTCTCGGTGAGTTCGGAAGTACAGTGTTTGAATGCACAGATGAACAATTTTTGAGTCGTACGGTGAAGCTTGAAGTCACCTATAAGATGTATACGTACTGCCATTTTGTCGGCAAAATAATGAGGACTCTGTCTCGTCGAAAATCGCATCGTCGCCGAGAAAGTGAATTTTGTCGCGAAAAAACCAAATTGCTTTTCACTTGAGCGATTGAGCAGCGACATTGCTCATTATTTTCCCGACTGACTGATAATTTTAAACAATGTGTCCTTTTCGGGTCACCGACGGCTCGGATCGATTCTTGCCCTTCCGTATTGTCGTCACTGATTTTTGAAACTTTTACTGATGTTTGAAACTTGCACTGTGCGAAAAAACGCTGTGCTTTCGGCGAGCGACACCCGAAAAAAGACTATTGAACGGTGCAAAAAAACAAGAAATTGCACAGTGCAAAGTGAACTTTCGTTTTCGTACAGTGCATGTCGCCGATTTCAGTCCGGCGACTTTCCGGAAGGACTATAGTGGGTAACCTGATCCAGCGGCGAAAAACGTGCCATTTTGCATCCGGGAAGTATGAAAAATGTGGCAAAATGCTTCCCTCTCCAAGTGAAAAAAAACTTCGTTTTGAAGGGCGCGCCCTTTTTCCTCACAAAAAGAGCGGGGCGCTTTTGAAATCTGAGTTGCTTCACTGGGAGAGGGAGGTATTTTGCCACATTTTTAGATGCTTCCTAGGTGCAGAATGGTACGTTTTTTGCCACTGGATCAGGTTCCCTACTATAATTTCCAAGAAGTGTGTAGACTATTTTTCGGCGACTTTTAAATTTCACGGTACGGAAAATTTGAGACGAAAAGTCTGCGGACTTTATGGAACGAATGTTAGAGGCAGTACGAGGCGTAAGGAGACTCATAAAAGGTTCAATTTTACAAAACATCACAAAACATTTCCAACATTTTCAGGACAAAATTTCCCGCGCCATGAAGAAGATTCTGCCTCCAAGAGTTTGCGCACAGCTCCCGCAGATTCTCAACGAGCAAGTGAATGGACGTCTGGCCGCAGTCCCCATGAACTTGCCGCTAACTCAGATCATTGACGTCGCCGGTGGCGCGTTGAAGGGTTTGGTGGGTGGAGATGGAGAAGGCAAACCCAAAGCTGAATGCCCAGCGGAATGCAAGGAAGGAGCTGACGCTGGAGTCAGCGGAAGCCATGGAGAAGTGAGTTTTTTGGGGAGCTTTTGAAAAAATGGGAAAACTGAGGGGAATTGGGGTTTTTTCATTGACAGGGGAAGTACTCCAAGTGCGACGCTCGGATTTTCTTTAAATTTTGCACACACGTCGGGAATGGACTAACTATCAATTCCTAAAAGTTTTAGCTTGCGCTTTGCGGGCGTCGCCGAGATATCGAACGATTTTTGCCGCCGAGAGAGCACGCTAAACGTGGAGATCGGTCAGAGAAAAAACACCTTTTTGGCCATAACTTTGGCAGTTTCGTGCGGAAAAATTTGATTTTTTGTGGAAACATTATCCTTTACGGTAGAAATAAGCATGAAACTTTTCGTGACGAAATTCGGCAAAAAGTCCTAAATTTTGGCCGACTTCCGATCTAAAAATCTTGGTTGTTTCTGCAAAGCGCGATCTAGGATTCTCGCATATATCTTAGAAAAAATTACTCTAAATTCGTGCCAAGTTTCATCAAAATCTGAGCGTCGCACTTGGAGTACTTTTGGAAAATGACATTTTTTTATTATTTTGGATTTTTTGTAGAAAATTGGAGATTTTTTTTCATTTTTGAATCAAAAAATTTAATTATTTTTTTTAAAAGTTTTGCAAAAAAATTTATTAAATTTCTTTTTTCCAACAAAAAATCGGTGTTCAAGAACGGTGCAGAAGCGATTATGAAAAGCCAAAAGTTTTGTTAAAACGAGATTTTTAATTTTTTTGTTGTCACCCAAAATTCGTCAATTTTTTCCTAGAAAAAATCGCTCATCAAAACGTATTGTAAAAACGATTTTAAAAAACCTGAAATCTTTTTTCATGTAAAAATCGCTTTTTAGATGACCAATCAACTCTCAATTTCCTCTCCTCCAAGCGATCCTCCACAAGGAAAGGGACAAAGCTATGGAACGGTCCGTGGGGCCAGAACGCACAAAAAGAAGGTAGCACTGGTAGCTGGTCAGGTTGTGATGGTAAGGATTTTTAAAATATTTTTTTTTTTTGATTTTAATATTATTTTTTTATTTTAATTAAAAAAATTTTTTTAAAATAATAAGAAAATTTTTAAAATTTTCTTTCTTTTTGATTTTAATTTTTCATTTTTAAATTTTTTATAAAAATAAAAAAAATATTATTTTAAAAAATTATTTAAAAAATAATAAAAAATAAAAAAAATTTTTTTGTGTTTTTTAAATTTTTTATTAAAAACATTTATTTTTTATAATTAAAACAATTCCAGAGATCCCGAACCGCCAGATCTACTCAATCCCGGCCTCTTCGGCGAGCTTCGCCCCGATCTCCCGTCCTTTCCCCCCATATTATTCAAGCCGTCCGAACTGCAAAGCGCCAAGTTGATTGTTCTCCATGTAATGGAGGAGGAGATTCTGGAGGTGATACTGCTTCATTTTTGACCACTTTCACCAAGAGTTTGGACATGGTGAGTTAATTTTGGAAAATTTGAATATTCAAATTTTGGCGGAAAAATTTAAATACTCCAGTTACAAACAAAAAAGAATCAAAATGTATTTTTTAGTTTTTAGTTTGAATATTCAAATTTCAAAAAATTAGAAAATCGAATATGCAAATTTTTGGAAAAAAAAGTTATCTTAAAAATTAGTGTCGTTTAGTCAGTAAAATCCCGAATTTTAATCCTGTAAGCATCATAATTCAAAGTTAAAAATTCACTAATTTGAATATGCTAATTTTTCAATTCAAAATTTGCTCCCAAAAATATGCAAATTTTTTAATTCAAAAATTTTTTGTCAAATTTTAGTATTCAAATTTCCCAAAAAAAAGACCATTTTCAAATTTCAGTCCAAACTCAACGACCTCCAACTCTCATTGGCCCTCCAAAACACCTACGCCACCACCCAAGACTTCACCGTTGACTTGGCCGGGGAATTCAGTCCAAATGGCGCCGGAGGAACTCCATTCTCCCCGTTCCCACTCAACTTCCCAGCCCCACAAGGAGCGCCGAGAATGGCCGAAGGGCTGATCAGTGACTACACGATCAACTCGTTGCTCTATTGGCTTCATCAAAAGGGATTCATCAACATCAAAGTTGGTAAGGAAATTTAGAGGAGAGTAGTGCTTCTGCAACACCCAGGTTTTGATGAAATTTGGAGAAAGTTTAAAATAACTTATTCTAAGACATATGCAGGATTTCTAGGCCGCGCTTTGCAGAAACGTCGAAGATTTTTTGATCGAAAACTGGCAAAAATTTGACATTTTTTTGCGAATTTTGCTGCGAAAAGTGCTTGCAAATGGCTAACAGGGTAAAACCCTTAAGTGCGACGCTCAGATTTTCTGTTGATTTTGCTCTCACATCGGGCATAGGCCACATATCAATCCCTGAAAGTTTTAACTCGCGCTTTGCTTGGGCAGCCGAGATGTTTAGCGATCTTTGCAGCAGACGCGGAGAGCGGCTAGAGATAAGGACACCCTTCGGCTATATCTCTGCCAGTTTCGTGCGGAAAAAATTGATGTTTTGTGCAAAGATCACCCTTTACGTTTGCAGTAGGCAAAAAAGAATGTTTATGCCAAAGTTTGCAAAAAAGGTGCCACGTTTTGAGTAAAAATCTCGGTCGTTTATGCAAAGCGCGAGCTCGAGGTCTGCCATGTGTGTTTGAAAAAATTATGCTAAATTTATACCAAGTGTCATCAAAATCTATGTGTCGAAGTTGGAGTACTGTACTTCCATTGCAAATTAGGCGGGCGCACACTTGCGGGCAACCACTTTGCGGGCAACCAGTTTGCGGGCAAATTTTTTGCGGGCAGCCACTTTGCGGGCAGCCGACATTTGCGGCCAGCACCGGCATTTGCGGGCAGCCTGGGACATTTGCGGGCAGGGTCGACAGTTGCGGGCAGCCTGGAAGATTTGCGGGCAGCCGACATTTGCGGGCAACCGACACCTGATTGTGAGGGTAACAGGGTGGACGTGGAAAAATTACTATGATATGTTGGAAAGTTGCCGACATTTGCGGACAGCCGACATTTGCGGGCAACCGGCACTTGAGGATTACAAGGTGGAGGTGGAAAAATTACTTCGATATTTTGGAAGCTTTCCGACATTTGCGGGCAGGCAATACTTGCGGGAAGCCGACATTTGCGGGCAACAGTTCCAAAAGTTGCTATACAGTCTGTGTGATTGTTTTTTCCGGTTGCCCGCAAATGTCGGCTGCCCGCAAGTGTCGCCTGCCCGCAAATGTCGGCAAATTTCCAAAATATCGCAGTAATATTTCCACCTCTACCCTGTAACCCTCAGGTGCCGGTTGCCCGCAAATGTCGGCTGCCCGCAAGTGTCCCAGGCTGCCCGCAAGTGTCTCAGCTGCCCGCAAATGTTTCAGCTGCCCGCAAATGTGACCCCCCAAATTTTGCCCGCAAAAAATTTGCCCGCAAACTGGTTGCCCGCAAAGTGGTTGCCCGCAAGTGTCGCGACGCCCAAATTATTTTATTTCAAATTTTTGCTCGTTCAATTTCTTGGCCAAACTTACCCTCTCCTTTTCCAGGTCCGGACACCCCCAAAATCGGCGACATCCTCAAGACCACCTGTTCCGACGACGAAGACGAAGGTCTCGAGGATCACGGCGTGGAACTCGACGACGGCACCGGTACCAGCGACATTGCGCTGCGCAAACGAATCCGCGCCAAGCGCCAGGACGAGGAGGGCGGCGACGGCGGCAGTCTGGCCGATCTGGGCATTTGTGTCGGCGACATTTTGCCCGCCATCCGTGAAAAGCACCCCAACCAGAAGTTGGAGATCCTGGTCAAGAGCAGCCAAGCCCCGTCGGTCGTGTTGAGCGAGGGGAAAGCGCATGTTACGCTGAACATTGACGCCGAGTTGTATATCCAGTCATCGCAGGAGAAGGTGGGAACAATCGCGGCGGAGATTGTGGCGGATATTGAGGCTTCGACTAATGGTGAGTGGATGAGATTTTTTATTTTTGTTATGTACTATCAGTTTGTCGGGAAAAAAATGAGCACTCTGTCGCATCGAAAATCTCATCGCCGCCGAAAAAATGAATTGTGTCGCGGAGAAAATCAAAAAGCTTTTCACTTCAGCGACGCAATCAGCGCAGCGAAAATGTGGTCATTATTTTCCCGACAGATTGATACTATTTTTATAAAGTGCGGAGATTTTTCGTCGCGAGGCAAAATGCACGATGCGAACCCCAAATTGCACCGTGCATCCAAATATCAATCAGTCGGGAAAATAATGTGGATTTTCAACAGCTACGGGAGTGGTTGACCAAAAACTTCCATCGCGTGACATATCAGTCTGTCGAGAAAATAATGTGGATTTGTCGCAGCTAAACGTCCCGCCTTAGTCGCTCATCAAATCCAGCCTATTCTAAGTCACAACGAATCCACATTATTTTCCCGACCGACCGCTAATGTAGTCAAGGTGCTTTATGAAAATATTATAGAGATTTTTTCTCTTATTATCAGTCTGTCGGGAAAATAATGAGCACTCTGTCGCATCAATCCCCGGTGAAAAAATTAATTGTGTGGCGGAGGAAATCAAATTGCTTTTCACTTCAGCGACGCGATTGGCGCGGTGACAAAACACTTTGCTCATTATTTTCCCGACAGACTGATATATACATACGTATGAATCGATAGTCATTTCAAGCTTATGTACTTGGAATTACATAGTCACTATAATTAGGCACAAACAACCGACCGTTTCACTGTCGATTTATTATTCATGTTAGCTTTAAACTGTAAAAAAACATAATCGAATGAGATGTTACCTAGGACACTAAAATGTTACCTAAAACCCTAAACCTAAATTCTCGAAAATTCCAGCCGGAAAGCTCTCCGGAACCGCGACAATCGGAACTCTCAGTCTGAAGGACAAGGAGGGAACTCTTGGCCTGCCTCAAGACGCCCTTGACAACTTGGCTGGACTTGGCAAGGACTTCGCTGAAAAGGCGATCAACGACGCCCTCAGCAAGGGCATCTCGCTGGACATGCCGGCAGGCATTGGTGGGCTGCCGGTCAGCTTCTCCAACCCCGACTTCCGCATCGTCGACCACGCGCTGTACGTGGCGGCGGATCTGAGCGTGGATCCGGTGGGATTGGCGCCGCTGCTGGCGTCGCAAGGCCTCAACTTGACGCCCGATCAGTGCTCCACTCGAGGCGGATAGACGTTGAAATGGAGATGAAGTGAAGGGAAAATTGCCAGAGGCTAAATTTAGATAACATAGAGAGCTTTGTTACTCGATTTATTTGAGTTTTTTTACGATTTTTTTGTTCTCTAGATAATGTTGTTTGTATTAGGTTGATGCAAAAGGAATTGCGGATTTTTTAATTTATTCGTATTTTTTTATAGGATAGCTCAATTCAAAAATGGAAAAAGGTATATAGTAGTAAATTTTAAGAGGATTTTTTCTGTATATGTGCTTTTCTTATAAAAGTTATTAAACGTTACCATAAGTTACCACGAAGGTACCCTAAACATGTTAGTACATTTTAAACCAATTTTTTTACATATTTTTTTGCGGCTTTATCCATTTTTGAAAATATTTTGATAAAATACGTTATATTCTATCAAAAAAGAAAAAAAACCCCCATTTTTGGCAAAGCGTTAAAACGCTATCCCAAAAATTCAAATTTCAGCAAATTTTACAAATCGTGTCATATCTTTTTTTTAATAAGTCCAAAATAAAAAATTCTTTTTGCTTTCGATTAGTAACAACATTTTTAAGATTTTTGTGACAAAAAACATCAAAATCAAAAAAATTTATTTTTTGACATTTTTTGACCAAAAAATAAAATTCAAGATTTTGATGTCTTTTTTTCACGAAAGCCTTAAAAATGTTGTTACTAATCGAAAGCAAAAAGAATTTTTTATTTTGGACTTATTAAAAAAAAGATATGACACGATTTGTAAAATTTGCTGAAATTTGAATTTTTGGGATAGCGTTTTAACGCTTTGCCAAAAATGGGGGTTTTTTTTCTTTTTTGATAGAATATAACGTATTTTATCAAAATATTTTCAAAAATGGATAAAGCCGCAAAAAAATATGTAAAAAAATTGGTTTAAAATGTACTAACATGTTTAGGGTACCTTCGTGGTAACTTATGGTAACGTTTAATAACTTTTATAAGAAAAGCACATATACAGAAAAAATCCTCTTAAAATTTACTACTATATACCTTTTTCCATTTTTGAATTGAGCTATCCTATAAAAAAATACGAATAAATTAAAAAATCCGCAATTCCTTTTGCATCAACCTAATACATTGATGATGACTTTTCGAAAATTTTTTTTTCTCCCGGTTGGATGTCTGTATATACTGCAATTTTTATTCAATGTTTTTATTGTTTGGTTTGCCATAATTTTGAGTGTTTTTATTCGGTGATACGCTTGCAATAAATATGTCAGAAATTGGGATAATAACTCTTTACTGTTTCAAACAGCTCAAATATACTTTTTTTTTTCCACGAGGCGCTTTTCCACCGTGCCTTTCGCAAGGATGTTGCACATTTTCTATGACTATGGTCATTTTTGTAGGTTCTACGGACCGGCGTTATTCCGTCGGGAAAATAATGAGCTCTCTGTTGCATTGAAAATCGCATCGCCGGCGAGAAAATGAATTGCGTCGCGGGGGAAATCAATTTTTTCGCTTCAGCGACGCAATTTTTGTAGCGACATTGTGCCCGTTATTTTCCCGACAGACAGATATGACAACACTACGGTTAGTCTGTCGAGAAAATAATGTGGATTGGCCGCGGCAAAACTTTTTGCGTTGTCGCAGTCGCGCAAGGAATCTCTATCCGTCGCCAGTCGGTGATGAGCAACAATAAGACGTGACGAATCCATATTATTTTCCCGACAGACCCGTAATATAAATACCTGTAATTTTATTATCAGTCTGTCGGGAAAATAATGAGCACAAATGTCGTTGCGCCGACCACATCGCTGAAGTGAAAATTAATTTCATTTTTTCCGCAACACAACTCATTTTCCTTGCGGCGATGCGATTTTCGATCCAACAGAGTGCTCATTATTTTCTCGACAGACTGATATCTATTTATTCAAAATAGCATTCCACCCTCATCTGTCTATTGAATATGTACTAAAAAAAGTGATCCATTTCCAATACCAGAACAAAAACGTTCTAGAACCAAAAAAAAAACATAAAACATGGTGAAATGTGGAGACGGGCAGTTGCCCGGTGACAGTCTCCCTGGACTTCGGCGGGGTCCGAAACCCATCCAAAGAGAAGTCGAGGCGGCACGAGACGCCGGTGTGTGGGATGATGGCATATTTTGAAATTTTCGAATGGGTTTTGGGAAATTGGACGCAAAATTTGGCGAAGAAATCGGTTTAATTACGGTATTTTGTACCATATATACGTATGTATATATAAAATACATTTTTTGAGGACAAAATGTAAAATACGATAGAGAAATTTGACCTTTGACATACATATTTGTCGCTTGTTTTTTGATATTTGTCATGGTGTTATTGAAGATTTCTTCAGATTATTTTTTATTCATGAGCAAGAGATCGTCCTTGGATTGCACCTGATGCAACAACGATAGTATTCAAAGCATGGGTGCGTGTACAAGCTCGTTTCAAAATGCGAGGGTAAGTGGGGTTGTAATTCAAACTCAATCCTAATAGTATGCTATAAATTTGTCTGGAAAATAATTTGGACTCGGCGGAGAAAACGTCTTGTCTAGTCGCAAAATTGCTCCAATCGCCACCAATTTTTTTCAGCAGACTTTTTTTTGGCGGAGCTTTTTCTAGAGGACCTTTTTTCGACAGTCCTTTTTGTAGTCAACGGATTTTGGTTACGACATGTTGCATCGGTTGCGGCAGAGTCCTCATTATTTTTCCGACAAACTGATTTTTTTTTTTTTTTTTTTGAAAAGCGTATCATATGGAAAAAGTTTACTTTGCGGCGATATAAGTTAGCATTTTCATAAAGTGCATGTACCTTTCGTCGTGCGCCGAATTGTGCAAGGAAAAAGGTCAAAAGTCCATGCGCTTTACGAAAATGCTGATATTTCAATGCACGGTGCAAAAACTGAAAGCGTACGGTGCAAATTGAGGCCTGGAACGTGCATTTTGCCTAGCGAAAAAAGACTACGCACTTTGTGAAAATAATTGTGCAGCAAAATCCGTCCATAACGAACACTTTCAGAGTCCTCAAAAACAGTTTTGGGCCAAAATAAATCTTTTTAAAAGAAAATCTTTCCATAAAATATCCACCCTCTTCTTTTCAGGCCAAACTCGCAAGCCTAAACGGCTTCAATGACAGCAAAAAACCGGCCAAAGAGGACCCGGCGACAGCCGAGAAGATCAAAGAAAGGAAGGCCAAAAAAGGAGTGGAGAAAATTGCATTGACTGAAGAAGTTGTTCAAGTAAGCAGAAAAACAAATATTTTTTAAAATACGAACAATAAAAAGCATACACTTGATTTCAGGAATACATCGAACTGGAGAAGCAGATATATCGGTTCGAATACAAGAATGTCCTGAAGAAGTACGAAAGCAAGACCATCTTTGCGGATGAGGTGAAGAAAACGGTCGATCAGTTGGAAGCGACGTATAAGGAGCTGAAAAAACAGACGTAAGAAGAAATTGGATTCTTTTGAAGTCCTAAAAATTAGCTTTTATTTTGAATAGTTTTTAAAAAATCCATTGACAAATCAATATCGATTTCGCTGCCAAAGAGGATTTTAATCAGCGTTTGCAAACTGTAAAAAAAATATGAAAAGTTTTTCCAGCGAAAAAGAGCGAGCAGACGTTGAAAATATTGAGCAACCATCGGTAAAGTCATTTTTGAAACAACAAGGAACGTGGGATGAACGGGTGGAAAAGGAAAAAAAGGAGTATATGGATGCGCTGAATAAGCAAGAAGTGGCCGAAAAGGTAGGCTAAAAAACCAATTTATTTATTTTTTATTTATGCTATGGATTGTAAAATACGCAAAGGATTTCGTCTTTTTTACAGAGTAGTAAACATTTGTGAGATTATGAGTCTGTCGGGAAAATAATGTGGATTTGCCGCGATCCATCATCCGTTTCCGATGGCTCACTGCGGCTGCAGATTTTTTGTGCGACAAGCCGAGACACTTTGTTGCGACAAATCCACATTATTTTCCCGACAGACTGATACAGTGGGGGACCTGATCCAGTGGCAAAAACGTACCATTTTGCATCCTGGAAGCATCAAAAAAATGTGGCAAAATACCTCCCTTTCCAGATGAAAAAACTCCGATTTCAAAAAAAGCGCGCCCGCTCTTTTTGCGAGGAAAAAGAACGCGACCTTTTAAAAAACGGAGCTTTTTCACTTCGGGAAGCATTTTACTGGATTTTTGATACTTCCCGGATGTAAAATGGTAGGTTTTTTGCTACTGGATTAGGTTCCCCACTGTAGCTTCAACTTTTTACGTTCAAGTTCCAAGTTTCGGATCAGGCATTGGCTGCCCAAAATTCATCTCTCAACCGCCATTTCGGTCGATAAATAACGTCATATGCCAGTTCCGTATCCTCCAATTTTCAGGAGCTCAGAGGCGCTCGAGCCCAATACGAGCGAGCCGCGAAAATCGCCGACATCTACAAGGGCCAGGTGGACCAACTCAACGAGCTCTACGAGAAGCAGGACCGCATGTTGATCGGGATCTTCGGGCCCAACTACGCCAGCGACAAGGAGAACACGCTCGAGGCGGAGCTGGACGACGCCATGGAATGGCAACAACGCGTTTCGTTGGCCAAATTCAAGTGGACCAACGGCCGAGTCCTGCTCGTCCACGCTTCCACGCAAATGGCGTTCGGAATCACACGTTGGAAGGAGCTGGAAGACATTGAAACTGGGTCAGGAATTACCGCTTTTGTCTATAAAGAGTAGCGTATTTCTCATTGGCTTCGTTTTTGTTCGAAAAAAAAACGATTTTGGGGGCATTTTTGATGACTTTTTTGATTTCAGCAACACTCGAATGCGATATTTCGCGGCCGCCGAAGCTAGGAACAACTTCATTGCGGCCAGTCAGAATGTGCAATCATGCCGAGTTTATTTGGGTGAGTGACAAGAACCAGAGAGAAATATGCATCGCTAACAGTCTGTCGGGAAAATAATGAGCACTCTGCCGCATCAAAGAACGCATCGTTGCCGAGAAAATGACTTGTGTCGCGACAAAATCCAATTTCTTTTTACTTCAATCGGTCGGCGCAGCGAAGCTGTGCTCATTATTTTCCCGACAGACTGATAAATCTAAAGGTCCCAAGCTCATATTTTCTTTGAATTTTGCGCACAGTTGGGCTTAGGCCGTATATCCATTCTTGAAAATGTTAGCTGGCGGTTTTCGGCAAGATGAAAGCTGAAGAAAACATGTGTTTTTCAGTCTGTCGGGAAAATAATGAACACAATATCGCCGCTCCAACCGCGTCGCTGAGGTGAAAATTTTTGATTTTGTCGCAAAGCAATTTCGACCATCGGATTTATAGTCTGTCGGGAAAATAATGAGGATTGTCGCTGCGCCGATCGCGTCGCTGAAGCGAAAAGAATTTGATTTTCTCCGCGACACATTTCATTTGCTCGGCGGCAATGCAATTTTCGGGGCGACAGACTGCTCATTATTTTCCCGACAGACTGATAATTCAGACCAAATTTTCCTTGATGTAAATTTGTATATTTTTCCATTGCAGGACGAGTCCGCTTTCCCTACGCCACCGAGGAAGAGATGAATTTGATGGAACAGACCATTCACACATCCTTCAGCGACATCCAATCAAACGCGAGTCTCAAACGCGCCCTAACCGTCTATCAAAACACTCACAAAAAGGTGGCGGCGTTGATTCAGTGGTTCGACAAGGTCATCAACGACACGATCATCAAGGACCTGGAGAAAGCCAATACTAATGTAAGTCTGTTTCCCGGCCGGAAACAGATTTATTTGACAGTTTTATGAGTGACGCAAATTCGTCTCAATGTTTGTTACTAGTGTTTTCATAAAGTACATGGACATTTTGTCGCGGCGCACAGTGCATTTTACCGTCTCTTTCGCACGGTGCGGGCGTTTCGAAAATTTTGCACTGTGCATTTTTAGTCATCGCGCGACATCGCACAGTGCGAACCCCGAAAACCCCTTTTTGCACAGTGCAAATTCGCACAGAAAATCGCTGCGACACAGTTCGAAAAAAGCGTACGTTGCAGCGATAGTCGCTTGCACGGTGAAAAGGTCAAATGCACAGTGCAAGCTTGGGTTTTTTGCCTTCCTTTTCGCACGGTGCAGAGTGAGGCAAAAAGCCCCACTTTGCACCGTGCACTTTTTCTTTTGATTTTTGCACTGTGCATTTGAAATATCGCTGCGACAGCGCCCGAAATTTGCACAGTGCAAACGGCTTTTTTGTGGTTTGCACTGTGCGAAAAGAAAAAAATGCACTGTGCGTTGGCGACAAGCGTGGGAAAAAAGTTCAAACTGCACTGCGCGAAGCGAGAAAATGTCGATGCACTTTATGAAACCACTAGTAGACTGCGTAACCGGTCAACTTATGTTGACTATTCTCCCATGTCTTCAGGTGGCGAAGAAACAGAAACAGTTGCGAGAAGAGCGCCTCACTTTGATGAAGAAGAAGTACAAAGAGGAGTTCAATAAGGACCTCAAGATTGACTACGATAAGAACATTCACGACGAAACGGACGAGGAATTACTGGCGTTGGAAGCGGAGCAGGTCAAGGATCAACAGGAGCTGCCGGGAGAGGACTTGAAGGTGGGTTTTTATTTATTTTGAGTTGATTACATTTGCAAGACAAGGACCCCAGATGCGAAGCTCAGATTTTTTCGAAATTTTTTACAAATATTGGGCATGTATCACACACTAATTCCTGAAAATTTGAGCTTGTTTTTCGCGGTCACATCGATATTAAACGATGCTTACCGCCAAGAAAGTACGAAAAGTGCGGAGGGCGGTCAGAGAGGAAGACCCCTTTTGGCCGTGTCTCTACCAATTTCTCGCCTACAAAATCCATTTTTTTTGCCGAAGCATTAGACTCTACGGTAGAAATAGGTGTCAGTCTGTCGGGAAACCCTATGCACACTCTGTCTCTGTTTAGCCACTGCTGTGGGCAGCCGATGACACATCTTTCGCTCATTCAAATTATCTATTCCAAATTTCAAAAAAAATCTCATCTCCATGGCACTCTCTAATATGTTTTTGTGCCAAAGATACAGCGAACGGGCAAGATTTTGAACAGACCAAAGACTCGTGGGCCAAAACTAGAAAACGCCGCTCGAAAAACTCTTTATGGTCTTACAAGGCTCTCTGTAACGACTGGGAGAAATTTTGAAAGAGCAGTGTTGAAATTTTCTGTAGCCCGATATTCCCCTGGGGTTTCAATGGGTTCCTGGTGGTGTAGAAATTAGGATGGTGGGAGAATGAGCGAGGATGAGAATAAGTGGACATTTATAGTAGGTATTAAAGTGCATATCAGTCTGTCGGTAAAATAATGTGGATTTGTCGCAGAAAATGCCTCGCCTCTGTTTTTCAAAATTGGGGTTTTTTTTGCTTAGCGACAAAAAGTTTATCAGTCTGTCGAGAAAGAAATGAGCACTCTGTCGCATCAAACGCATTGCCGGTGATAAAATGAAACCTAAATCAGCGACACAATCGCTGCAGCGACATTGTGCTCATTATTTCCCGACATGCCGATACTTGGCAAAGTTTACAGCGGAAAGGCCCAAATTAGACACTTGAAAAGCGTTGTAACTTTCTTTATAGGCAAAAAAGTAGGTTGAAAAAAGAGAAAGGTCTTTTTGAGGATTTTCAAATATTCATTATCAAAATACCGTTGAAAAAAAAAACTTTTTTGAATAATATCACTCTTTAGCCCTTCAAAAAATTTACGTGACTTTTCAGGAGATCCTAACGCTTTCCCAGCCCGAAGGCAAGCATCCAACTCCACTTCCTCTCACCAAACTGGCTCCCATTCCTTCCAAAGATGCGTTGTTCGGTAAGCAAAAGGTTTGAGAAGTTTTTGCCATCTTTACTAATCCATTTGCAAAGTCGTCGATCGTTTTAGGAGACGTCAAAAAGAAGATTGATGAGCTGGATCATACGCGAAATTCGATCCAACAACGGAATAACGCGATGAAAGAAAAGTCGGAATTGGCGTTACAGGTAAGAAAAAAGATGTTTGTAAAATACGCCTTGCACAATGAAAGCATGCCTTTTTATACATACTACTTTTTTTGACGTAAAAATCTTAGCTTTTTCTGAAAAAAAATCGCTAAGATTTTCATTTTTCCCAGAGGAAATTCTAGTCAAAAATCGCTCTAAATTTCATCAAAATGTATCGCCAAAAAATCTCCCATTTTTTATTCCAGGAGAAACTCCGGCTCCGCCAGCAACAAGGTCGCCGGACGCGTCCGCAACGCGCCAAATCCGTCATTGTCCCGCTTCCATCGCTCAGCGAGCAAGCCGATGCGGCCGCCGAAAATGGAGAAGGCCATGAACTGAGGCCGGCGAAAAAGAAACGAAGCAAATCCAAGACTCCATCTCCAGTGCCTCCGGCATAATATCAAATAATCATTTTTTTGGGATTTTGACAGTTTTTTCAGCGTCTTTGTGCCAAATGGAATTTTAACCGGTGAATTTTATGCATATGCGAAAATAAAATTTAATTTGATAATTTATGTATGCAAATAAAAAAATTCGAAATCGACTAAAATATGCAAATTTTTCAAATTTTCGAAAAATATGCAAATTTTTGAAAAATATGCAAATTTTCAAAAAATATGCAAATAAATATGCTAGTTTTCAAAAAATATGTCAGTTTTAAAAAATATGCAAATTTTCAAAAAATATGCAAATTTTCAAAAAATATGCTAGTTTTCAAAAAATATGTCAGTTTTAAAAAATATGCAAATTTTCAAAAACTATGCAAGTTTTCCAAATTTATGCTAATTTCTCAAAAAAATATAAATCTCGCCGGAACATTCTTCATCCTCCTCCAAATCGTCCACGGCGAGCGGTCGCCCCTCTTCGACGTGGAGAATGGAGAAATCGGGTAAAAAGAAGAACGACGACTATGTGGTCGCCAGACTCACGGGAAAGACCACGGTCAGTCGGAAGAGCCGGAGGAGCCGAATCTCGCGGAAGACCAAAACATCGTAAGTTGCTGTCGGGAAAATAATGAAAATCAAAAAAATTTCTTTTTTTCAGTTTTTCACTTTTTTCCACCGAAAAATCAATTTTTCAAACTCATAAAACCAAAAAAAACCTATTTTTCTGCTCTGTTTTCCCACTTTTTCCACCAAAAAAGCAAAAAAAAATAATGAATTTTTTCACTTTTTCAATTTTTCCTCCAAAAAATCAATTTTTTAAACTCACCAAACCAAAAAAAACAAAAAAAAACTTTTTTTTTCAGTACCCACAATGCGCACAAGACCAAGACTACGGCGCCGCGCCCCAACAATTGGAATGAAGGTATCCCCCGGAAGACCCGTCTTCTGCCTCCAATCAAGCCGGTCGTCCACCGTCCGAGGAACATGATTCTGTTGGTGCGGAGCGGCGAGTCGGTGCGGAATGCGTTCCCGGACTTTGCGCGCGATTGCTTCGTCCCGACCAACGAGCACAAGCTGCGCTACCACATCAACAACATCAACCTGCCGCTGTCGATTCCGCGACGGCCCCACGAGGAGTTTGCGTTGGACCCGCCGTTGACCGAAATGGGGCATTTGTAAGTGCTGCTATTCGCATAATATTTTCATAAAGTGCATGGACATTTTTGGAAAAAGTTCCTCATTTTGGCCACAACAAAGGTACTCCGCGAACTGCGCCCAAGCTTGGGGACTAAAGTTAGGAAAAAAACGCTTTGACCTAGCTGGCACTGAATTATTGTAATAGCTCTATAGTTTTAAGGGTACCAACGAACGCTATGACGACTCATTTAGTTCCACGGAGTCAATAAGTTTAGTTCCGGACATGTTTCATTGTATAAAGTGTAAAATCACAGGCTGCAGCCGTTTTTGAAGGGTAAGGTGGTACTGAAAAAAGAAGGTACCTCACTAACTAAATCCACTGTCCGGGCATTGACAACGATGAATTGAGCGTGCACGCTAAATTTGGGCTAATTGCGACCAGTTTCCGCAAAGTTATAAGTTGTGGCCAAAATAAGGAAGTTTTACCCATTTTTTTGCTTTTGCATAATTTTCATCAGATTTTGACGAAATTTGGCACAAACTTTGATTAATTTTTTTTCGCTTCCCGACTTTTCGGGTCAACGCAATATCGATCGGTACGGAGCGTAGGGCGGGTGGATGCCCAAAAAAGGTTGTAGTAGGTGCCTACGAAGCCTGGGGCCAATGCGGAAAGTTTGCTGAAAGTTAGCTGAAAATGGTAGGGCGCAGCTCGGAAAACAACGTTTTGCAGCTCGCCGGAGCTAAGTTTCAGCCTGGTTTCGAGCTGCGCCCACGACGCGAGCTGCGCCCGTTTAAGTTCTCCGAGCTGCGCCCTATAATCTTCAGCAAACTTTCAGATAGCGCATTGGCCCCTGGCAACGCCGTTGGATGGTCGGCGGGCTCTCGGCGAAGGCTCGGCTGAGGCTCGGCGAAGACTTGCAATATGTCCACTTTTTCTAATTTTAGCTATTACCAACCCTAGTTTTCTTTACCCTGAGGGACATATGTGCCGAAATGACCGAGATTTTTGGTCGCGGTAAAAGTTCCTTATTCTGGCCACAACTTACAACTTTGCGGAAACTGGTCGGAATTAGCCCAAATTTAGCGTGCACGCTCAATTCATCGTTGTCAATGCCCGGACAGTGGATTTAGTTAGTGAGGTACCTTCTTTTTTACGTACCACCTTACCCTTCAAAAACGGCAGCAGCCTGTGGTTTTACACTTTATACGATGAAACATGTCCGGAACTAAACTTATTACTTCTTTATGGAACTAAATGAGTCGTCATAGTCTTCGTAGGTACCCTTAAAACTATAGAGCTATTACAGTAATTCAGTGCCAGCTAGGTCGAAGCGTTTTTTCCTAACTTTCGTGTCAAAGTTGTGGCCAGAATAAGGAACTTTTTCCTTGGTCGCAACTTGGCATAAATGTGTCATTTTTTAAAATTTTCCTCACTTTTTTATCGACTCGTTTCTCACTCTTTTTTCAGCACCACCCAAGCCCTGGTCGAGTTGTTGGTGGAAAACAGGATTCTCATCCACAAAATCTACAGCGCGCCCTCGTTTCGCTGCGTGGAGACGGCGGATTTGCTGACCGAGGCGTTGCATCCGTCAGCGAATGATGGGAAAGTCTGTGTGGAGCCGACATTCGCGGAGTACGACCATTTCCCGGAAATTGTGAGGTTTTTTTTGATGGATTTGGAAAGAAAATCCCAAATTTGGGAAAAAGTTCCTTATTCTGGCCACAACAAAGGTGTTCTTCGAACTGCGCCCAAGCTTGGGCACTAAAGTTAGGAAAAAAGGCTTCGACCTAGCTGGCACTGAATTACTATAATAGCTCTATAGCTTTAAGAGTACCTACGAAGGCTATGACGACTCATTAAGTTCTATACGGAGGCAATAAGTTTGGTTCCAGACAGGTCTTATCGTATAAAGTGTAAAACCGCAGGCTGCAGCCGTTTTTGAAGGGCAAGGTGGTGAGTAAAAAATAAGGTACACTAACTAAATCCACTGTCCGCGCATTGACAACAATGAATTGAGCCTGCATGCCAAATTTGGGCTAGTTCTGTCCAGTTTCTGCAAAGTAGTAAGTTGTGGCCAGAATAAGGAACTTCTACCCAAATTTGTTTTTTGCTCGAACTTATAAAAGTTGTTTTTTTGCCGTAAAAGAAACTTTAAAAAAATCTACATGCTTGCTAAAATTTAAAAAAAAATTGCATAGCACCAGCCAAATATTTATTTATTTTTTCATTTTTGCCCCTCTTAGTCCCTTTCCATTTTATTTTTATTTTTTTTCCATTTTCAGCCAGCTTTCATGAAGCCGAAGGAGCTCTCCATGTACGGGCTGAAGGTGGATGAGTCCTACAAGCCGTTGGCCAAAAAAATTAAGGAACGAAAGGAACACAGCAAGGACGTTCATATGCGTGTCAAGACTGTCATGAACTGCCTGCACAAACGCGAGCCGATCCGGAATCCCATTGCGATTGTGGCGACGCCAACAATCCTCCAGAATATTTGTGAGTTTGATTTTTATAATAAGTGTTTCGCACTGTGCAAAAATAATTACAATTTTTTTTTGGGTAAATTTCCTGCATACAGCGACGTACCTGATCCAGTGGCAAAAAACGTACCATTTTGCATCCGGGAAGTATCAAAAAATGTGGCAAAACGCCTCCCTCTCCAAGTGAAAAAAGCTCCTTTTTGAAGGGCCTCACAAAAAGAACGGGCGCGCTTTTGAAATCGGAGTTTTTTCCACTTGGAGAGGGAGGAATTTTGCTACAGTTTTTGATACCTCCCGGATGCAAAATGGCACGTTTTTGCCACTGGATCAGGTCCCCACTGTATTGACCACAACCCAAAAAAATCAAAAGCCCTGATAACTTGAAAGGAGAGCGAACTGCGGAGGACATTTTATACAATGAAAGTTGGCTAGGCTCAACACGCTGAGCTCAGCTTAGGCTTACAGGGCAAGTGCTCCAAGTGCGACGCTCAGATTTTGATGAAACTTGGCACAAATTTAGAATAGGTTTCTCTACGACATATGCGAAATCCTAGCTTGCGCTTTGCAAAAACGAGATTTCGAGATTTTTAGGTCGAAAATTGGCAAAAAGATGATTTTTTTGCGAATTTTTGCATGTAAGGTTTCATGCATATTTCTACCGTAGAGGGTAATTTTACCACAGAAAATCGTTTTTTCCGCCCGACAAGAACTGGCAAAGACTCGGCAAAGATCATGTTTTTATCTCTTATCGCGCTCTTCATTTCGCGTAATCTCTGTACCTCATCAAAAAAATTTTTCGTAATTTTTTTTCTAAAAGTTCCATTTTTCAGCCTCCTGCCTCCGCCGCGACAGGACTGGAAAGGACGTGCCGGTGGATCGCCCCACTGCCATCCGTATGTCCCCACCAAGTATGGTCCAAGTGCTGTGTTATGAAGAGAGAAGATGGAGACTCCGCGAGGATTTGATGCCCAAGTTTGACTACAAATATGGATGCAACTGGAAGTAGACTGTCAATGGGAGGAAATTGAATTTACATTGGATTGATTTTGAAACGATGTTTGGATTCGAAAAAAATAAAATTTGAACCCTATTTGAATTTTTGCTTCAAAAAGTTTAGTTGAAAAAAATGGAAAAGAAAAAATCAGGCAGATTTTGCAGTACCCCAAGTGCGACGCTCAGATTTTGATGAAGATTGGCACAAATTTATGTATATTTTTTTCTAATATATATGCTAGAATCCTAGCTCGCGCTTTGCAGAAACAACCGAGATTTTTAGATCAAAAGCCGGCGAAAATTTGAGACGTTTTACCGAATTTCGGCACGAAAAGTTTCATGCCTATTTCTAACATAGTGCCGGGAAAATAATGAGCCTTTGTCGCGAAAATAGGAGTACTAAGCAACAGAACAACACCACTAACGCCTAAAGGCCAAATTTTTACCTTGTACTACATAGTAACAGACGGTACTAAACAGTACCAGTTACTTAAAACGTGTTTTTGAGGAGTACTAAGCATCAAAACAGCACCATCACCTCGTACTGTGTAGTACCAGATAGTACTATAAAGAGGAAAGCTAACATGATTTTCGAAATCAGCACCCTCGAAAACCCCTAAATCGACCATTTTTAGAAAAAATTCAAAAAATTACTTTTTAACATTACTACTTAAGCAAAAAAGTAAGAATCAGAAAAAACGAATATGATTTTTGGCATCTACGCCATCGATTACCCTATTTTTGACCTTTTCGGCCATTTCGGGGAAACATCGAAAGAGACCCCCGATTCCGGGGTCTCTTTCAACTCGGGGTCTCTTTCGAGGAAAACCAAATCGCATCGCCGCCGGGAAACAGAATTGTGTCGTGGAGAAAATCGAATTGCTTTTCATTTCAGCGACACGACCAGCGCAGCGGCATTTTGCTCATTATTTTCCCGACAGACTGAAACTAACGAAAGGCCGAATCGAGCAGCAGCTGATTAGCTCAGTTTTGGCTTCACCTGCGGCCGTCTAGCCACGGCTGATTATTTGTTTCTCTGTCTTTTCCGTTTTCCGGCGCCGTCTGAGCTCCAATTTTTCCTGTTCGGCCGCTTTTTCCAATCACCTCGACTTCTTTTTTGATTTTTGAGAAAAAAAAACATGTCCACACATTCAAAAAAGACCTCCGAAATCTCTATCTCTTTTCCTCAAAGGTAATCCATTCTTTTTTGCAAAAGAAATGGAAGACTTTCCTTATAAAAATCTCGAAGAATTTGTCGAGAAATTGCCACCGGTTGATATTAGCGACCTCCAAGGATTGGATGGTAAGTTCGTCTTTCAGTTTTTTCGTCGGAGTTCGCACATTTTCCTTATGTATTGACAGTCAATCTCTTATTACAAATATAATATTATTTTTCAGTGAAGGCGTTAAAAGTAATTTTTAACGAGCTTATGACGAAATTTCGCGATTTGATCCATGTTTTCAAGTTTGAAAGCAAAAAATGTTTGGATTTCGTTAAGGAAACGGATGATTTGAGGAAGGAGTTGGAAGAACGGGAAGAGGTACGTTGTAAGTGAAAAATAGAAAGAAATAAAACTTTTCATTGCCAAAATTCGCAAAACTATGAGATATTTTTTCAAATTTCGATCTAAAAATCTCAGTGATTTTGAGCTCGGAACAACCGAAAAACGACTGAAAAAAATGAACTCCAAGAATAAATCCAATAACTGTATATGACACTTACCTATGTACAACATATTTGGTATCACACAAAATGGGGTTGTCAGAGGGTTCAGAGAAAAAAAGAATTTTAAGATTCGGCCAAAAACTAAAGAAGTTATAGCCAATTCAAATCGGGCCACAAAGATGCCCCACCCTGTATTAGAAAAATGACTCTACCTTTATGCCAAATTTCATCAAATTCTGAGCGTTGCACTTCGAGCACTTCCGCTGTTACTACCATTCGTGTCATAAAGCCATAGAATTTTTTCGGCATCGTCGCGGAGTGCGCTCGCTTAAAAAGCCCAAAAAATCCATTCACACGGCGCAGACAGCGCACAAATTGCACATTGCAAGATTAAATGTTGTTTTCTCACAGTGCTCCTTGCGGATTTTAGTCCAGCGACTTTGTGGACGACTACTGGTATAAGTAGTATCAGTCTGTCGGGAAAATAATGAGCACTTGATACTCTCCGCCGATTGCGTCGCTGAAGTGAAAAGCATTTTGATTTTCTCCGCGACACAATTCATTTTCTCGGCTACGATGCGATTTTCGATGCGACAGAATGCTCATTATTTTCCCGACAGACTGATAGTTAAAAAGGCTTCTTATTCTTCAATCTTCTTTCAGCGTCTCCGCGAACGCGAACAACGGCTGGAAGACGGTCGATTTCTCGCCGAATACCGCGAAGAGCAAGTCTCGGAGGTCCAAGAAGTTTATCGGATTGAAATCGCGCCCTCCGCGCCTCCGATTGACTACGTTCCGGTGGTGAAAATTCAAACCAATCCCACGCCGAAACGAGATGAGACAGTCGAGGATGGGCTGGTCTCTCAGAAGATCATGAAGAATGATGAGGCGCTCAGCTCGTTGATCAACAATATTGAGGTGTTGCGGAAGCTGATTATTCATTACGAAGAGAAAATTAAGATTGCAAGGGAGACGTTGCAGAGGGTCGAAGTGAATCTTCAGATGGTCAAGGAGCAGGAACAGGTGAGAAAGCGGAAGTTTTGAATAGGAAATGACAAAAATGGCGAGGAATTGGCATAAAAACCGTTCTTAAAGCAATTTTTGATGCGATAGAAAAGGCTTTCAAGGTAATACCGTGCTCGCAAAGGAAGTACTATCAGTCCGTCGGGAAAATAATGTGGATTCGTCGCGCCTTGAAATCGTCTCTCGTCGCTTTGCGACGCCCTACGATGTCTGGTGATTTGGTGCGCTACTCCCACATGGCAAGATATTTTGCTGCAAAGAATTCACATTATTTTCCCGAAAGTACTACCCGTCTGTCGGGAAAATAATGGGCGCAATGTGGCTGCGGCTCGCTGAAGTGAAAAGCAATTTGATGTCCTCCGCGACACAATTCATTTTCTCGGTGGCAATGCGATTTTCGATGCGACAGAGTGCTCATTATTTTCCCGACAGACTGGATATCACAACAACGGAGTGTTCATTACTTTCCCGACAGACTGAAGCAAGAATATCATGCGCACAAGGAGAGTTGCAAGAGTCAGATTGTCACTAAATTTTGCGCACATTGTCGGGCGTATAATACACATAAACTTCGTATAAAATCTTAGCTCGCGCTTTTCGGGGGCAGTCGAGATATTCAACGTGCGCTTTTCGCGAGAGTACGTAAAATGAAGCAAGCGAACGGAGAAGTTTTTTAACACTGCAACTTCTTGAAGTCACTAGGGAAATGCAACCCTCTTTTTGGGAGAAATAGGTATAAAACTTTTCATGCCAAAGTTTTCTCATCCTCAGATGCAATACAATCAAAATAATACCCTGTTTTTTCCAGATTCTTGCGGAAAAAGAAGAAGAGCTTGCCCGAAGAGAGCGAGAAGCCATCGCAGAGTCCGTGAATCGGTCGTTTATTGGGGCCTAATTATACTGCCTATAGCATAAGCGTGTAATTACTATCGAGTCGTAATTATATACGTTGCAATATATTGCAATAAACCCATCAATTTCTGAGGGATTTATTGAGGCAAAATTATGTACATTACAAGTATTATTTGAAGGTTCTTTGAAGTAAAATTCAGCGTCTTATTGGTTGAGTAGTTCATCATCTTTCTTGGACAACTGAAAAATAAGTCTTTCGAATCAATTCTGCAAGCCAAACTCAGTAAAAATTGATTCAAATCTTACTCCAATGATTTTTGTCGCCATTTCCTTCAGCTTCTCAAGATCGACCAAATTGAACGCCACATAGAGAGTGTAATTGAACGGGATTGCACGGACTTGAATCACATCGGAAATCTGAACGCCGGCAAGAAAATTGCGGCATAAATACAGTCTGTCGGGAAAATAATGTGAATTTTTCGCTCCTTGGAATCGTCCATCATCGCTTTGCGACGGCTTGCCGCGCCTTGGGATTTAGTGCGCAACTGCGACGAGACACTTTGCTGCGGCAATTCCACATTATTTTCCCGACATATTGACTGCTTGGACAAAGAGTCTTGACCAGAGATTTGCCACGGCCCCGGAGCCGGCTCTTGGCTCCGGCTCTGAGCCGCTCCGGCTCCGAGCCGGGAGCCAGAGCCGGAGCCGGAAATTTTGGGTGCGGCTCCCGAGCCCAAAGTCGGAGCCCGGCTTCTCAGCGTTCAGAAAAGTAAAAATTTCGTGATCTTGTTAAACCAAATTGCTTGAAAAATACCGGGAAGTCAATGGTTGCAAAAACGTTGGGTGTATGATCTCTAATAACGTTTATTTTGGAAAAATATTTTTAAAAAATTTTTGCACGGGCGCCGGGATTCGGAGCCGCAGACCTTTTTAAGTTTTTCATGGGAGCCGAGAGCCGGAGCTGCAAATTTGGCCTCGGCTCCGGCTCTGGGAGCTAAGAGCCGGAGCCGGAGCCAAAATTTTGACCGTGGCAATCTCTGGCCTTGACACGTCTGCATGGCGCAGGTGTGACACGTCGCTCATGGTGATTTCATGGTGTAAAAACATTTGGAGAGTTTTTCGAATATCGCAAACGCACAGTGCTTTTTGAATTTTTTCCCTAGTTGTCGTTAACGCACAGTGCTCGAAATAAAAGGCGAAAAAAGTCCACACACTTTATGAAAAGACTATAATATTTGTATTATTGTAACATCTTACAGTATCATTTCCTCGAACAAGTTCAAATCCAAATATTGTCGTCAAGAGGAAGAGCACAACACAACCACCAAAGGCCATTGAGAAAAAAGCTCAGAATAAGAAAAAAAAATCAAGAAACGAAAAAATATTTGCCCTCGTCGCGCAACAAATATCCAGCCACGGCAAGGCGTTGCAAAGCGAAAATTTTGTATCAGTCTGTCGGGAAAATAATGTGGGTTTTTGTCGCAGCAAAATGTGTCTTCTCGCCGCAGACGCGCAATATGCCAGTCTGTCGGGAAAATAACGGCGCGTGGTCGCAGCAAGATGTCTCGCCTCGCTAACGATCCGCCGTTATTTTCCCGACAGACTGATATATCTCCAGCCTCGAGGATGGGCGATTCCAAGGCGCGACGAATCACAGGCTCACAACTTCTCTAAACTTTGCACAATTAGGGCACATTTTTTGCTTTTTTTCTGCAACCACTGGATTTATAGTCGGTCGGGAAAATAATGGGGATTCGTCGCGATTTTTAATCACTCATTATCGCTGTGTGACGGCTAGTCGCGGCCCGGAGATTTTCGACTGCAACGAGGCGAGAAATTTTTCTGCGACGAATCCACACTATTTTCCCGACAGACTAATGGTATAATACTTTCATAAAGTGCATGGACATTTGTTACTTTTGTTCTTTTTCGCACAATGCATTTTTTACTTTCTTCCACGCACCGTGCAAACGCCCAGCATTTTGCACCGTGCATTTGAAACTTTGCACTGTGCAATCGCGCATATCGCGCGACAAAAGCCATTTTCATCTTTGCCGCAGCGACATAAATGAAGCAATTTTTCGCGATGAGTGAAAATGCACAGTGCAAAAAGTACGAAAAGCCCGCACCGTGCGAAAAAAGGGGAAAATCTCACTGTGCGCCGTGACAAAAGCCTCTGCTCTCCAGTAAAATAGCGTTTATTTTTCAAAAAAAAATCATCTTAGTGTACATGCAACTACAATAAAAGCACTATGGTTTTAATTCCTGCCTTTGAAGGTGTCCATAAATTTGTCAACATCCAGTTCGTCCATAATGTAATCAGTAACGGACTGCGGAAAGATGGCGCCCAGAGCTTTTATGAAATACAAAATTTTTGGGATTAAAACTGTCACAGTGTCAGTCAAAGTGGCGTCAACGATGCGGTCAACGACATAGTCGGTTTCGAGGAACGGCAGTAGAAAGGGGATTCTGAAAATGATAAATTAGCAAACGCTTGTTTGACAGGGGAATTCAGTGATACTTCCAGTCTGCCGGGAAAATAATGAGAACTATGTCGCGTCGAAAATCGCATCGCTGATGAGAAAATGAATAATTTTTAGCCCGAGATGGCCCCACACTAATTTTTGCATTAAGGGGCGTCGTGGCAAAAAAAAATGTACCATTTTGCCGGGAAGTGGCAAAAAATGTGGCAAAATGCCTCCCTCTCCAACTAAAAAAACTGCGTTTTGAAGGACGCCCTTTTCCTCACAAACGGACGCGCTTTTGAAATCGGAGTTTTTTTCACTTGGAGATGGAGGCATTTTACCACATTTTTTGATATTTCATAGACGCAAAATGTTTGGTAGAAATGTTTTCTTCACAAATCGGGCCACCAGAATTTTTAATCAGCTACGCCCCTGCTACTAGTCCGTTCGTAAAGTCGCTGGAATGTTTTCGGCGACATTTACCCCGCGAAACCGAAAGTTCAGTTTGCACTGTGCAATTTTTGGCTTTTTGCACAGTGCAATAGGCTTTTTTGGGCTGTCGCCCGCACCCTGAGTTTTCGTGCACAGTGCGCGTCGCCGAAATCATTCCAGCGACTTTACGAACGGACTAGTAGTATTACGGCCATCCCGAAACTCAAAACAAAGTTTTTATCAATCCTTGGTCGTTGCTTCATTTCTGATAACAACAACAAACTTTTTTGTGTCGCAAAGCACCTCGAAAAAACTTTTTTTATGGCTTGTCGCTCGAGGATTATCCAGGAAACAAGCTATTTTCGAAAGTGCGGACCATTTTATCGCGATGCCGCATCATGCAAAAACTCCGCATTTTGCACCGTGCATTTTGGATTTTGCACGGTGCCACCGAAAAATCGCGCGACAAAGGCCCTTTTCAGCGCTGTCGCGAATGAAAATGCACAGTGCAAAAAGTGCGAAAAGCCCGCACCGTGCGAAAAAAGGCAAAATGTGGACTGTGCGCCGCGACTGAATATCTTTTGGAAAAAGCGTAGTAAAGAATGGAAAAAACGTAGTAAAAAACGGAAAAAGCGTAGTAAAAAAGTTTACTTTGACTCCCTGACTCCATCGAACATGCCCGTGTTCACAAAATACGGGCCAATCGTCGTCGTTTTCACATCCGCTCTGAGTGCGTACAACTCCCGATGCAACGCCTCCATAAACCCGACCGCGCCGTATTTACTGGCGCAGTAGTCGACCAGCCCAACGACGCCGAGATGGCCAGCAATCGAGGCCAACGTCACAATGTGGCCCACGTTTCTGGACAGCATGCGTGGAAGGAATGCTTTGGTAACCTGAAGATAAGATATGTGTTATACTATCAGTTTGTCGGGAAAATAACGAGCACTCTGTCGCATTGAAAATCGCATCGCTGAGGTGAATATGAATTGTGCCGCGGAGAAAACCAAACTTTTCAGCGACACGATTGGCGCAGCGACGAAGTGCTCACTATTTTCCCGACATACTGATACTAGTATTTTCATAAAGTGCATGGACATTTTTTCGCTCTCGCCCAGTGCATTTTGCACTCTCTTTCCCGTCCTTGTCGCCAATGCACAGTGCGTTTTTTTTTCTTTTCGCACCGTGCAAACCTCAACACAGTCGTTTGCACTGTGCAAATCCCTGCGACGTGGTTGAAACATTGCTTTGGCGCAGCGATATTTCAACGCACAGTGCGAAAAACCGATTCGGAAAACCCATTTGCACTGTGCACAAAAACCCGCGCATTTTGCACCGTGCATTTCAAATGTTTGTTTTCGCACTGTGCATTTGAAAAATCGCTGCGACATGAGCAAGTTTCAACGATGTCGCGTGTCGGCGCCGGGAATTTGCACAGCGCAAACGGCTTTTTTGAGGTTTGCACGGTGCGAAAAGGGGGAAATGCACTGTGCGTTAGCGAAAAGGGCGGGAAAAAGTTCAAAATGCACTGTGCGTTGGCGACAAGCGTGGGAAAGAGTCCAAAATGCACTGTGCGTTAGCGACAAGCGTGGGAAAGAGTTCAAAATGCACTGTGCGTTGGCGACAAGCGTGGGAAAGAGTTCAAACTGCACTGTGCATTAGCGACAAGCGTGGGAAAAAGTTCAAAATGCGCTGTGCCATTTTTTTGCGCCAAAAATGAAAAAATGTCGATGCACTTTATGAAAATAACTGCTAATATAAAATACTGCTTGCAATGAACCTACAAACATGACCGCATTCGTATTCACATCAATTGTTCGCTTGATCGCAGCGTCCGGACAGTCCAGGAACCGTTTTCCCGTCACGATTCCGGCGCAGTTAATGACAATGTCGACGTCGCCAACCTCGTTCAGCACTTTCTTCGCGGTTTCGTTGATTTCGTCGACGTTGCACAAGTTCACCGTGTAATCGAAGGCTTTGACGCCATTTTTCTCCAAAATTTTTTTTGTCTCCGCATTTCCGGAGGCGTTTACGTCCCATAAAACAATTCGGGCTCCAAGGTTGCCGAACTGAAGGTTGGAAATATTAGTCTGTCGGGAAAATAATGAGCACTCTGCCGCAGCGAAAATCGCATCGCCGCCGAGAAACTGAATTGTTCTGAAAAATCTGAATTGTCGCTGAAAATCAAATTCTTTTATTTTCAGCGATGCGATCGGCGCTACGACAGTCCTCATTATTTTCCCGCAGACAATAAATCCGATGGTTGCAGAAAAAAGCAAAAAAAGGGACTAATTTTTAAGCCTAACAAATTCAAAAAATTGCATGTTTTGCATTACTCTGTAAAATAAAATTGTATTATAGAATCCGGAACAAGAACAATTGGGGAAACCGAAAACTAAATATTATTTTTCTTCGATGCAAGTGTCGAAATTAGGATAATCGAAGGTGCTGATTTCGAAAATGAAATTCGTTTTTTTGAAAGTAACTTTTTCCTTACGTAGTACTGTAACATAGTAATTTTTTGAATTTTTTTCAAAAATACTCGATTTGGAGGTTTTCCATGGTGCTTTCAAATCAGAAAAAATGAATATGATTTTCGACATCAGCAAGCTCGAACCCCCCCAAATCGAGTATATATGAAAAAATTTCAAAAATTACTACTTCACAGTACTACGTAAGGAAAAAAGTAAAGATCAAAAAAATGAATGTCATTTTCAAAATCGGCAACCTCGATTATCCTAATTTCGGCACTTGAAGAACAAAAATAACACTTCGGTTTCCCCAATCGTCACAGTTCCGAATTTTACAATTTTATCATACAGAGAGTAACGCAAAAATGCAATTTTTTGAATTTGTTAGGCTTAAAAAGTAGCCCCATTTTTTGCTTTTTTTCTGTGACCATCGGATTTATAGTCTGTCGGGAAAATAATGAGGACTATCGCAGCGCTGAAGCGAAATGAAAAGAATTTGATTTGCTCTGCGACACAATTCATTTTCTCAATTTTTTCGGCGGCGACGCGATTTTGGATGCGACAGAGTGCTCATTATTTTCCCGACAGACTAAAACCTTACCCGAACTGCCAACTCCCGGCCCATTCCACTGCCCGCGCCGGTGATCAAGACATTCTTGTCCCGCACCGACTTTCTTGGCAACACACCGACCGGCAAGAGCGCCTTGACACTTCCAATCACGGTCAAAACCAGGATTCGGCCGACGAACAGCAAAATATTCGCGACTTCGGTGAGGATAAAGAGCGCTTGATCTGGAAAATGAGAGCCTTTTTTCGCACGGTGCGGACTTTTCGAACATTTTGCACTGTGCATTTTCACTCAGCTCGCAAAATCGCTTCATCGCAGCGACATTGATGGAAATCCTTTTTGTCGCGCAATGTGCACGGTGCAAAATGTCAAATGCACGGTGCGCAAGAAAAAGTCTTTGCATTTTCACTTTGCACAGTGCATGAAAATATCGTGGCGACGTAAGCTTTTTTGAACTGCGCCGCCGCGGTTTTGCTGAACTTTTCGCACAGTGCAAACCGCTTTTTCAAGTTTGCACCGTGCGAAACGGCAAAAAATAGGCATTTTTTCGCTTTCGCACGGTGCATCTTGAACTTTTGTCGCCAATGCACTGTGGATCTTTTGCGAACAAAAAAGCCGGTTGCACTGTGCACATTTTTGAGCAAAACCGCAGCGGCGCAGTTGAGAAAAGCTTACGTCGCAGCGATATTTCAAATGCACAGTGCAAAACCAAAAAAAAAGGTGAGCGCACAGTGCAAAAACTTGCGAATTTTTGTGCACGGTGCGGACCGCGGACAAATGCTCAGGTCCATTTTTTCATTTCGAACTTTCGCTTTCTGTCGCGCACGAACCGTGCATTTCGCTGTTTTCGCACTGTGCAAGCTAAAAAAAGTGATTTGCACTGTGCAAAAAACAGCAGGATGCACGGTGCGTTAGAGAAGAAATAAAATAAAAATGCACTGTGCGCGAAAAGCATAAGGTTTCTTACCTACAAAATCGGCCATGTTTCCTTCGAAATTCCGAAAAAACCAAGGGCTATTCGATGGGGAAACCTATTGAATAGCTCTTCGTTAGTATTGATAAGGCTATCAGCGTCGCTTTTTCCAGAGAACCCTCCTTGGAGATGGACTTTATTTTGGTCGGCTGACAAAATAGATTCCAAATTTCACGAGTTTAACAAAATAATAGGGCTTTTGAAACCGCTGAAACCGACGAAGCAACGCTTTCCCGATGATTGTTGATTTTTAAAATTTTTACAGTAAAGATTTTTGTTGCGTAACATTGGTCTTTTCGGTAAATAAATGACCAAGAGAATGCTTTCTCTTTGCTAAAAGAATAGCGGAAACGTTTTTGTAAAGTAGTGAGAGTTTCTGTACAAGAAGCGGAGAAGACGAAGGTCGTCTCCGGAAGTGACGCGGACTAAAACAAAAAGAAATTCCAGTATAATATACTATATTACAAATCTATATTACAGCCCCAATCTGTCAGGAAAATAATGGGCGCAATGTTAAATAAAAGCAAAATTGAGTGCGAAAAGACGTTGCACAGTGCAAAATAGTAGTTTAATGACTCAATAATCTATATTACGAGTTTTTCAAGTGTAAATTCACCACCATTAATTCAAGATTGCACAGTAAAAAGCTCGATTTCCGGAGGACCGCACAGTGCAAACCAAAATAAATTTGCACTGTGCAGACGTCAAGCTTCTTGTGTTCCTCCGCACCGTGCACCCCGAAAATATCTGCCGTCTCTTTGCACTGCACGCACTCTAGTATTTGATTTTGAACCGCACGGTGCACTCAACCCCCAAACCCAGCAATTTCTGAGGCGACAGTTTCAAAATCGCTCAATTGAAGCGATTTCCCTTTCACAAGGTAAGTACTTCTATGGGGTATGGAGTTACAGATAGCAGTCGCGCCATAAAGTCCGTAGAACTTCTTTTCGCCGACATCGCGGGTGCGATCGCCGAAATGTGTGCGCAAAAACGGGATGTCGCTGCGGCGAGGGCGAAAAAACGCACTGTGCAAATTCTACGGACTTTATGTCGCGACTAGTCGATCAAATTTGGTTTCTAAAAATAGAGTAGACCTAGTTCTTGAAACAATCAACAGAACTGGCTAGATTTCCCATGGTTTATCTCCGATATAACTGTCCAAGCTCGGGACAAAACAATATTAGGGAGGAAGACTTGACCACCATGAGAAAAACCTAACCCGACCCGCAGTGTTGCGCGCAATTGCGCCCAGGCCGCCGACAAATTTCAGTTAGATCGGAGGTTCTCCGATCTAGTAAACGCAACGCCTGCGGACTCCGTGCTAACTCAGGATGATTATCCTGGTCCTTGATGACTCACGCAGTCATATGATGTCTCTCCGCCCACATGTTTACGCCTAGGGCGACCTTTGGCCTATGACGCACGTCCGTTGTAAAGTATGAGTCACAAGAATGTTCTAGTCCCTTAGGACAAGACTTGGACATCCAGATCTAGCCTGATTAAGCCTCTGTCCAGGATATCTTGGCCCTTGTCAACGACGTCCGCAGCTCCATCTTCGACACCTCATCAAATGGTACCATCATCAGCATTCCAGAACGTCCAAGTCCCGCCCAGCCAGTGCCCTATATAAGCCCAGCCAGTCGATCAATCCTGGAATTCCCCATCGGCTTCGATCGATCGGTATAAATCTCGAGATATTATTGTCATAGTATACTATTGTTGTGTTGTGTTATTCGAGCTCATAAAGGTACAGAATATATTCTACGCGGGTATTGTATTAGACGGTAAGCTATCCTTGCGCTACGTTGCGGCTTCAGTATTCTGAAGCAAAGATCCACCGAAAGTCTAGTCAAGCAGCCCACAGGGTAGGGCAAAGGTAGGGCATCGCGCTGCCCTCTTATTCATCTAAGTTTTCCTTTTTTCTTCTATTTTCATTCTGACGCACATGGAAAAGGTTTGCATGTTCGCCGAAGTACCTTCCCGGGAAGTAGCTTCCGGCAAAGCGCGTTGATGGACGACCGAAACGGGAGCCGGTTCTTAAAATGGGCTGTTGATAACCCAGAAGAAGTCCCAGAATATCAGAAGGTCTTTGCAGCTCTCAACGAGCTTCAAAAATGGCCAACCGCCCAAGAGTATGAAATCGACCAGCAAACCGTCCGGGCCCTAACAACTGACATTGAAACATTTACGACAACATGGAGACGTCATTCACTGCCGACAACCAACAAGTTCCACATGGTGGAATCCCACGTCAAAGATTTCATTTGCACGTTTGGAACGTGGGGATAATTTGACGAACAGTGTTTGGAATCCATGCACCACGTCGGTAACGTACTGGCAGAACGGTGCTTCGGCATCAACACGGCCGACAAAGCTCGAAAGCTCTTCATGCGAAGGAATCTCCTGTCAGCATTAAGCAATTTAAGCCAGTTCCGTCCAAATAAATCTGCTTAGGCTAAGTCAACAAAGCCAATCCAGTCAATTGTATGAGGACAGCAGCAGCGATGAAGACGACGTAAGTGTTTGTTAGTTTCAATTGCCCTTTTTTGAGTTGCATCCTGTAAAAAGGTTGAAATTCCTTGCCCTTAGGGCTAAAATCCTCTATCAGTGTAAATACCTTGACGAGGTTTAGAGGCTTTTCACTAAAGTTTACACTTAAACCGGTTTTTTACGGCAAAAATCGGTTTTAAACTGCAGTAAATCTTGTAAAAGTTTATTCTTAGAAAAACTGTACTGTCAAATATTTTTTTAAAGAAATCCCCTGTTTCATTTAGCCCGTTTAGATTTCCGGGAAGACCTCTGCGTGGCGTCGTCCATCTGCCGTAAGCTGACATCTTTGTACGTGACCCTCGAGTCGAACCAATAATCCGTGTACTTGAAATTGAGCCTCGCTTGGAGCTGAAAATTCGGAGAGTAAAAAAAAAACAAATTTTGTACAAACAAAAAATTGCATATTCAAACGTTGGAATATGCAAACTTCCACTTTTTTGCATCTACTCACCTGGTCCATATAGGCCAGCACCTCCTTCATATTGATGTTTTTGCTGTCCTTGAACCAAATCAATTGGCCCAAATCATGGATAATCGCATTCTGGACAGAATCCCGCGGTACATCCGCAAAGAACCAGTTCTTCTGCTGTAACTTGGACGCCCAGGCGGCTTCATCGTTGTGCAACCCCTTCTCCGTCAACTCCCCAAAGTTATTCTAAAAGCAAAAGCATGTAGAAAATTCGTAAAAAAAATTTGCAAAAACAAAGAAAGATGGCCAAAGGTTGGTCTTACCGACGCGTTCCCTACATGTTGCCAAGGAACGCCTTTCTGAAAGATGTAGACGAGCGTGATCAGCCACGACTGCATATCGTCCAACGCGGAGACGGGTTGACGTTTATGGCACGGCACTGACATATAGTTGTGGGTGCCTTCGGCTAGGCGCTTCGAACCGAAACGTCTGGCCACTCCAAAGTCGCAAAGGATGCACTAAAAACGATAAAAGCAAAAAAAAGAGTCCGTACCACATTCGAATATTGATTCTTCTGCATGTAATTTTCCAACTTCAGGTCCAAATGAGCGTACTGCACCTTCTGGAGTTGCAAAATTGGTCGCAATAAATGGTAGCCGACAATCAATTTTTTCTGCAGCTCAAGATTCACATCCTGATCCACAAGGAACATCATGGTTCGGTAATAGAAGGGCATGATCATGTACATGGTGCTCACGTTGCGGCCCACTCCCAAGATCTGCACGATGAAGCTTTCATCACTGAAAAGAATTCAAAATGGCTTCAAGGAAAGGTAAATTCTTTTTCATTGAGCTGGAAGGCAGCTCAATCCAAAATAGAAGAAAAAATTTCCCGCCCCTTTTTGGTGATTCGTTCAAAACGAAATGTCACTATCCGATAAAAAGAATTATCTTATTTTCTTCTTTCTTTTCGAAAAAATGCAATTATTTCGGGCGAGAAAAAGTGGCGATAATTTAGCGACATTTCGCCCCTCTTTTCAATCAATGAAAACGATACGAAGTTTCGAAACGGTTCAGGAAATGCGCTGGATTGACGTGGAAGGGTAATATAAATCGCAAAAAAATTTTTTAAAATTGCCCTCTGCAAGAGCCTTCTCGCACACTGCAAACCCGATCAATTCCCCCGCCCAAACTCACTCTCCCAAGAGCCGCTCGATCTGTCGCGCCACCATGAATTCCTTCTTGGCGTAGCGGAGCTCGTCGACGTCCGAGGCCATCACAAACTTGACGGCCACAAATTCGTCGCCAATATAGCCCACCCGGTACTTGTAGACCGCGCCGAATCCGCCTTGGCCCAGCTTCCTGAAGTGCACGTAGGTCCTGATGTTTTCAATGACCTCGGGGACCTTCCCTTCAAACGCGGGATCATCGACCAACTTGACATTTTCCAAATCGTCGATAGGCATGTGGTCCAACGGATTCATGGATTTCAGGTTTTCGTCCACGTTTCTGAAAAACGAGTGCTCAAAAAAGGGGACCGCAAATCATTTTTTAGGCAAAATCGAATTTTCGAACAATAATTTTCAAATTGTTTTACCAAAGTTCTAATCTGCAGTCGAAGCCTGAATTTTAGAAAAATGAACTGCAGAAGTCTTACCCAAGCGAATCCTCAGCACAGTCCACCTGTTTGATGTCGATTCCCTCCACCACCTTCCTTCCTTCTTGCTTCTTCGCCTTCTTCTTGCGCGCCTTCTTTTCCTCCTTCTTCTCGACTTTGATGCTCTTCGTTTTCTCGTCCATACTGTACTCGGGATACAAATCGTAGGGCTGTAGGGGTCTTGGGACGGTCGCGGAGGGTGCTTTCTTTTGGGCCACCTTCTTCTTGCAACAGCAAATACATCTTTCTCTGCATTTCTGAAACAAAAAAAAATCAAAAATCAAATCAAAAAAAAATGAAAATGTGGAAAAATAAAAAAAAACTCCAGGAAACTCACAACACACACGATGATCCCGATGATTCCGGAAATTAACAAAGTTCCACCCCCGACACATGCGGCGACCACCGCAAGAAGTTCCAATTGGTCGACTTCAGCTGCCGTGGTCGTATTCGTGGAAGAGCTGCAAAAGTGAAAGATCTGAACACAAGACTTACGTTGTTGTCATGGTCGGATCAATGTAGGTGAACTGGACAAACGTGTTGTCAATCATGTTCTCGGTGATCAATCGGGGCATCTGACAGTCCGCCACAATGGTCAGATATCGCTTAAACAAAAATTTTAGACACAAACAAAACATTCACATACTATTAAGACAATGGTATATGATCTTACGGCGCCAAAAAAATCGATAAAACCCATTTCCAGAAAATCAAAAAATTTTCCGACCTGCGTCCGAGCTTTATCATAAAAATGCTCAAAAAGGTATGGAGTCACAGGTCAAGACATACATCAAAAAATTCAATAACACTCAAAATCTTGCATCTTTAGTCCTAAAAGTGAAAAAATCTCAAATCCCAATTGCAGCTTAATTAGTCCCCAAGAATAATTAATAACCAAATAAGTAGTCCCCAATTTACCCGCAGACTTACCAGATGATAATATTGTGTTGGCGTCCCCGGCTCCAAAATAATTGATTCGAAACGATCGCATTCCACTGGACTCCAAGGATTTTTGAAGCCATCAAAGAACTCGTGCATGCATGTGCCGTTTTTCTTGAAATAAAATGCACCCTTCACGTCATCCACTCCAAATGGTTGGGCGCAAGTGATGTTGGGCTGCTCTAGTTTGAAGTCTATGACATCTCGGGTCTTATATATTCGAGAGGCCGTTCTATGATTGTTGAAGATAAAATACACGGCGTCTCCAAACAGATACGGACATGTCTCAGCCGTACACGGCTCAACCAACTCAAGTTGTTTGTCATCTCCAAGGACCGGGCATTGACTAAAAAAATCCAGATAAAAATTGGAACTGCAACAAGTGCACTCCGCAAACGGGCCAAGCCGTAAACTTACTAAGGTTTGTTATCATTGCCTGCTTCAGTCACTTGACCCCCAACAATTGTCTTGTTTCCTTGAATCGACATTTGCAGTCGAATTTCTTTAAAAGGAGGACCAGTGTAATTGATGGGAGTACTGTAAACAGATAAATTAGAAAAGAAATTATGTTAGAATCCTAGGTTGACCCGTAGCTTGGAAAAAATCTTCTTTGGAGTAGACGAAAAAAGGGGAGATTACGCAGGCAAGAAAATTCCATTTGGCTCACTCCAAAATTCATCTTGCCAAGCTGTGTCCCAGTCTTGGCTCTCGTTATTAGCTAGCCCTAGTTAAATAGCCTTTCTGAAATCCCAAAAAGTACCTTACAAGGGAAGTCACTTAAATCAGGATCGATTTTGTAAAACGACTGTTACAGCGACGGGGAGGGTAGGACGGAGATATCAAATCTGAAAACCGCTACGTCCACCGGCCTCTGGGAGCCGAGATAATCGACCAAAAAGTTTGACTAAATTCCTCCGAACATTTCTTCTTTCCGAAAGAAGAAAATCCAGCGAACCGAATGGTCCGGTCCGGTGGTCTGGAAGCGCGTTTCCGGGCCTTCACCTTTTCAGGTTCGAATCCGCGCGGGTCTCGAACTCGTGAAAAATTTATAAAACAGTTGCTGCGATCCAGTAAATTTGCTAGCAATTTACTTTTATATTTTATGCCTATTTTACGGTAAATTTTCAACCTTGAAAATTCGAATCGTTTGGAACTTTAAAATTATTACTCTGAAATTTTATCGTAAAAGATGCAAAAAATCAAAAATTTTATCTTACCGGTAAATTTACTGGATTACAGGAAAAGTTTAATAAATTATTTGACCCATGCGAAACTTGAAAAGGTCAATTTCCGGAAGCGCGCTTCCAGACCACCGGACATTCGGTTCTCTTCGCTCCTTCGTTTCGAAAAGAAGGGCTTTTCGGAGCAACTTTTTTTGGTAATACTTTTTTGGTCGATTATCTCGGCTCCCAGAGGCCGGTGGAGGTAGCGGTTTTCAGATTTGATATCTGCGTCCTACCCTCCCCGTCGCTGTAACAGTCGTTTTTAAAAATCGATCCGTGACTTAAGTGACTTCCCTTGTTAGATTTATGCTTTTCGATCTTTTTTCACCGAAAACCCCAGCAAAAACAAGGGTTACCCTGTAAGTATCAACAAAATCCCCACTGCCCTCTCACTCTATTAAAAATAATAAACAAATCTTACGTTTCAAAGGTGGTCGCGTTCTCCTTTGCGATGAACATCTCGATCTTTCCTTCCGTCATCTTGAACGATGTCACCTCAAAGCGATTCGGCTTGACGTCGCCGAACAGCACCTTGCAGGCTTGCAAAGCCTGGAGGATCGTCGCGACTTTGCCGAGATCCATGGCCCTGCAGAGTAGGTACGCTTCGACCGTTCAGAGTAGGTCAGCTTCAACCGTTCGGCAGGAGAAAATTTGAAGAAACTGACCGAGTGGCCACAACACGACGAAAGAAAACATTTTCCACGAACGAAATTTTCATGCAAATTCTGAAAAAACTTTGTGGGAAAATAGATTTTTGAGAAATTGATCTTTGATTTTTTCGAAAAGCGGTTGATTTTCGAATGAAAACCTTCGAAAAATCGGCCGTTCTCACAGAAATTCCAACATTCTTTCCTCTTTGGCCAAAAATTTGGGCGCAGTGCGCGGACTTTCAAACTGCCGTCTGTGGGTGACAGTCTATACGAAAAATTTCTTCGACTTTTTATTGGGTAAAAGGACTAAAATAGATAGAAAAAGGTCGAATAAATAAGAGTGGAGAAGTAAGAATATTTTTTTGGATATTTTGAAAGTGGCCTGGTTCACTTTTTTCTGGAGGGAGTCGATCCACTCTTCAAAGTGGAAACAGCTCGTATCAGCAGGAATTTGTCCAAAAAAGGGAATTTTTACCAAAAGCAGGCTGTCCTATTCGATTTGATATCTAGATTGCCCGGTTTCTGTTTGAATAACGCATCAAAAATTCTTGTGAGGCGACTTTGTTGAAACGTGGATAATGTAATTGGTAATTTCTTATTGCTTCGGCCGGAAATCTTGGAACCTAGTTATAGCTAATTGTATAACAGGCTGTTAGCTTCGATCTAATCTCAGTTCCGACCCAGAAAAAGAGAGCTTTGCAAAAATTTTATATTGTACTTGGTCCACGTATTTGGTCCCTCGCCAAGCTCCAATTCTAAAAAATTAGCCCTGTTTACATAACAAAATTAACCTAGTGCCCAGCCCGAAATTTATACCTGTCCATTTTTGGGGAGTTTGCACAAAAAAAATCGACTTACATTATCCATGGTGCAACAACCATCACGAAATTCCAAAATTTGGTTGATTATTCGTATAGAAAACTGGAAATCTAGACATGAATAGAATGGGACAGCTTTCCCTCGGTAAAAATTCCCTTTTTGGGCAAATCCAAGTCGTCTTCATTTCCAAGGGATCGGCAAATGCTTGTCGTTTGGTTTCTTAACTAAACCTATATCATTTGAAAGAGCATTGAAAACAGTGTACATCACAAAAAAATTAGCTGCCCAATTTTCGTTAGGACAAAGTTATGGCCAAAATACAGATGTTGGCCTAATTTCTGCGTCACTTTATAAGCCGGTTCCGGCAACTGGCCACCTAGTTTTATACCTGAAAACCAAGTCTTGAACGGCAAGAAACAAATTGGGACAAAATGTCAAACATTCACTGATTTCTTATGACCAAATTCCACTTTGTTTTTGCCTTTGTTGAACACAACAATATTCTGAAAATTCCCATAAATACCCAAGAGAAAAACATATTTTCTTTCCGGGAGAAAATATTCTTCCTAAAAAAATAATTTTAAAAAACGATAAATAATATTGATTTATTTAAAAAAATCATACACTCGACATTCACGCTCCTTTTCCGCAAAGAACCAGTTCTTCTTCAGTACCTTGGACGCCCAGGCGGCTTCATCGTTGTGCAACCCCTTCTCCGTCAACTCCCCAAAGTTATTCTAAAAGCAAAAGCATGTAGAAAATTCGTAAAAAAAAATTGCAAAAAAACAAACAAAGATGGCCAAAGGTTGGTCTTACCGACGCGTTCCCTACATGATGCCAAGGAACGCTTTTCTGAAAGATGTAGACGAGCTTGATCAGCCACGACTTCATATCGTCCAACGCGGAGACGGGTTGACGTTTATGGCACGGCACTGACATATAGTTGTGGGTGCCTTCGGCTAGGCGCTTCGAACCGAAACGTCTGGCCAATCCAAAGTCGCAAAGGATGCACTAAAAACAATAAAAGCAAAAAAAAGATTCCTTACCACATTCGAATATTGATTCTTCTGCATGTAATTTTCCAACTTCAGGTCCAAATGGGCGTACTGCACCTTCTGGAGTTGCAAAATTAGTCGCAATAAATGGTAGCCGACAATCAATCTTTTCTGCAGCTCAAGATTCACATCCTGATCCACAAAGAACATCATGGTTCGGTAATAGAAGGGCATGATCATGTACATGGTGCTCACGTTGCGGCCCATTCCCAAGATCTGCACGATGAAGCTTTCATCACTGAAAAGAATTCAAAGTGGCTTCAAGGAAAGGTAAATTCTTTTTCATTGAGCTGGAAGGCAGCTCAATCCAAAATAGAAGAAAAAATTTCCCGCCCCTTTTTGGTGATTCGTTCAAAACGAAATGTCACTATCCGATAAAAAGAATTTTCTTATTTTCTTCTTTCTTTTCGAAAAAATGCAATTATTTCGGGCGAGAAAAAGTGGAGATAATTTAGCGACATTTTGTCTCTCTTTTCAATCAATGAAAACGATACGAGGTTTCGAAACGGTTCAGGAAATGCGCTGGATTGACGTGGAAGGGTAATATAAATCGCAAAAAAATTTTTTAAAATTGCCCTCTGCAAGAGCCTTCTCGCACACTGCAAACCCGATCAATTCCCCCGCCCAAACTCACTCTCCCAAGAGCCGCTCGATCTGTCGCGCCACCATGAATTCCTTCTTGGCGTAGCGGAGCTCGTCGACGTCCGAGGCCATCACAAACTTGATGGCCACAAATTCGTCGCCAACATAGCCCACCCGGTACTTGTAGACCGCGCCGAATCCGCCTTGGCCCAGCTTCCTGAAGTGCACGTAGGTCCTGATGTTTTCAATGACCTCGGGGACCTTCCCTTCAAACGCGGGATCATCGACCAACTTGACATTTTCCAAATCGTCGATAGGCATGTGGTCCAACGGATTCATGGATTTCAGGTTTTCGTCCACGTTTCTGAAAAACGAGTGCTCAAAAAAGGGGACCGCAAATCATTTTTTAGGCAAAATCGAATTTTCGAACAATAATTTTCAAATTGTTTCACCAAAGTTCTAATCTGCAGTCGAAGCCTGAATTTTAGAAAAGTTTGAACTGCATCTTACCCAAGCGAATCCTCGGCACAGTCCACCTGTTTGATGTCGATTCCCTCCACCACCTTCCTTCCTTCTTCCTTCTTCGCCTTCTTCTTGCGCGCCTTCTTTTCCGCCTTCTTCTCGACTTTGATGCTCTTCGTTTTCTCGTCCATACTGTACTCGGGATACAAATCGTAGGGCTGTAGGGGTCTTGGGACGGTCGCGGAGGGTGCTTTCTTTTGGGCCACCTTCTTCTTGCAACAGCAAATACATCTTTCTCTGCATTTCTGAAACAAAAAAAAATCAAAAATCAAATCAAAAAAAAAATGAAAATGTGCAAAAATAAAAAAAAAAACTCCAGGAAACTCACAACACAGACGATGATCCCGATGATTCCGGAAATTACCAATCCAAGGAAAGTTCCACCCCCGACACATGCGGCGACCACCGCAAGGAGTTCCAATTGGTCGACTTCAGCTGCCGTGGTCGTATTCGTGGAAGAGCTGCAAAAGTGAAAGATCTGAACACAAGACTTACGTTGTTGTCATGGTCGGATCAATGTAGGTGAACTGGACAAACGTGTTGTCAATCATGTTCTCGGTGATCAATCGGGGCATCTGACAGTCCGCCACAATCGTCAGATATCGCTTAAACAAAATTTTTAGACACAAACAAAACATTCACATACTATTAAGACAATGGTATATGATCTTACGGCGCCAAAAAAATCGATAAAACCCATTTCCAGAAAATCAAAAAATTTTCCGACCTGCGTCCGAGCTTTATCATAAAAATGCTCAAAAAGGTATGGAGTCACAGGTCAAGACATACATCAAAAAATTCAATAACACTCAAAATCTTGCATCTTTAGTCCTAAAAGTGAAAAAATCTCAAATCCCAATTGCAGCTTAATTAGTCCCCAAGAATAATTAATAACCAAATAAGTAGTCCCCAATTTACCCGCAGACTTACCAGATGATAATATTGTGTTGGCGTCCCCGGCTCCAAAACAATTGATTCGAAACGATCGCATTCCACTGGACTCCAAGGATTTTTGAAGCCATCAAAGGACTCGTGCATGCATGTGCCGTTTTGCTTGAAATAAAATGCACCCTTCACGTAATCCACTCCAAATCGTTGGGCGCAATTGATGTTGGGCTGCTTTTTTTCAGCATCTATAACACCTGGGGTCTTATATACCCGAGAGGCCACATCATGATCGTCGAAGATAAAATACACGGCGTCTCCAAACAGGTACGGACATGTCTCACCCGTACACTTCGCAGCCAACTCAAGTTCTGTGTCATTTCCGAGGACCGGGCATTGACTAAAAAAAATCAGATAAAAATTTGAACTGCAACAAGTGCGCTCCCCAAACGGGCCGAGTCGTAAACTTACTAAGACTTTCTGGATTCAGTTACTTCACCTCCAACAAACGTCTTGTTTCCTTGAACCGACATTTGCAGTCGAATTTCTTTAATGGCAGGACCAGTGTAATTTATGGGAGTACTGAAAACAGATAAAATAGAAAAGAAATTATGTTTGATTTCTAGGTTGATCCGTAGCTTGGAAAAAATCTTCTTTAGAGTAAGCGAAAAAAGAGAATATTACGCAGGCAAGAAAATTTCATCTAGCTCACCCCAAAATTCATCTTGCCAAGCTGTGTACCACCCTTGGCTCTCGTGTTTAGCTAGCCCTAGTTAAATGGCCTTTCTGAAATCCCAAAAAGTACCTTAGATTTATACTCTTCGATCTTTTTTCACCGAAACCCCCAGCAAAAACAAGGTTTACCCTGTAAGTGTCAACAAAATCCCCACTGCCCTCTCGCTCTACTAAAAACATCAAAAAAATCTTACGTTTCAAAGGTGGTCGCGTTCTCCTTTGCGATGAACATCTCGATCTTTCCTTCCGTCATCTTGAACGATGTCACCTCAAAGCGATTCGGCTTGACGTCGCCGAACAGCACCTTGCAGGCTTGCAAAGCCTGGAGGATCGTCGCGACTTTGCCGAGATCCATGGCCCTGCAGAGTAGGTACGCTTCGACCGTTCAGAGTAGGTCAGCTTCAACCGTTCGGCAGGAGAAAATTTGAAGAAACTGACCGAGTGGCCACAACACGACGAAAGAAAACTTTTTTCCACGGATGACATGCATTTTCATGCAAATTCTGAAGAAACTTTGTGGGAAATCGATTTTTGAGAAATTGATCTTTGATTTTTTCGAAAAGCGGTTGATTTTCGAGAGAAAATCTTCGGAAAATCGACCGTTCTCACACAAATCCAAGATTCTTTTCCGGCCAAAAATTTGGGCGCAGTGCGCCGATTTTCAAACTGCCGTCTGTGGGAGACAGTCTATACGAAAAATAACGTTTTTCTTCGACTTTTTATTGGGTAAAAGGACTAAAATAGATGATTCGGTCAGAACAGTACGCCGCGATTGAGTACGGAAAGGCCCGCTGCGGAAAGGGCTAAAAAAGGAAAAAGGAGGGCGGGGAGGAGGGGAGGGGGAGGTTTTCTCTTATCCACAAATTGCTACTGAGCCCACGGAAGCACCACTACCTCCAGAATACCGATGGTAGACGTTTCGGTTGAGTTTGACATCTTTAACCACGAAAACCGGGGATATCTTGCCTCTGGCGTAAACTTTTGCCCCCATGCCGTCACGGAAGAGGTTTTGACATGGTTCGAAGATGGCGGATGCTTGATGACGCTCAACAGTTTAATTCCTGCCATTCTGGTGTTTGTGGACCAGCTCAATGTTGAGCTATATCTCATCCATGAACAGGATGTCCTCTCATCGCCGAGCAGCGGCGCGGCGTCTGAGTTTTTGACGTCTTTTGAGCCGTACTAACTTGTGGTCTTCCGTAGTGCGCTGAACTTTTTGGAGCCCGTAAGGCTTGAGCTGCTGTTGTGCGATACAATTCCTTCTCTCGATGCGATTCTTGTTACGACAGAATGCTTATTATTTTCCCGACAGACTAGAAGTCCAGCTACATTCGTAGAACCTGTTTTCCACACTTCCGTCTTTTTTTCCGTGTAAAATTCAACTTTTCGAGGGAATGTATGGATTAAGTCCATCCAAACTTTCCCGTGTCTCGCCAAACTTTCGTAGCCGCCTTGTTGTGCGCGTTCCGTACATGAAAATACGTTTTTCCGAACAGATGGTTCTTCTTACAAGGGCTGGTACTAATCGTTCCAGAAAGTGCGTTTTTTGGCCTCTTTTCGCACGTCGCTTCCGAAACATTTTGCTCTCTGGACTTTTGTGGAATACTCTGATCAAACAGTGACGTCATAGATGTGCACTGACGGATGTGATCCAGTGGCAAAAAATGTACCATTTTGCATCCGGGAGGTATCAAAAAATGTAGCAAAATGCCTCTATCTCCAACTAAAAAACGTGATTTTGAAGAGCTGCCTCAAAAAAGAGAGGGCGCGCTTTTGAAACAGGGTTTTTTCACTTGGAGACGGAGGTATTTTGCCACATTTTTTGATACTTCCCGGATGCAAAATGGTACGTTTTTTGCCAGTGGGCCAGGTCCGCCACTGTAGAAATATGACGTCACTTTTCGATCAGAGTATTCCACAAAAATCCCAATTGATATCGCATGAGCAAGAGTCCAAGAGATTGCGCGTCCTTTGTGTATTTTTATCACCTGTTGGCGAAATGCCCTCGGCAATTCCCACAGACGTGAACTGTAAATAGAGTGGGCTACAAGCCAATGCCGGTATAAAGCCTTGCACTTGCCGTATGTCACGGTTATTTGAGATGATTGTAGGTGGTGGTTTTCCCATCAAATGTCAAATCGCGGAAGTTCTCAAAGATCGCACCGCACTTTGAGAACTTCCGCGATCTGTTCCCATCTTTAGAGACTTTTTAAAGTCTCTTAACTTTATAATTACTATGTATACAGCTATGATTTCCTTTACCAGACGGGGCCAAAGGGTCTGACACGTTTTCGTAATGTGCGGTTACCATCGCGGACTGGCTTTGTACGACTAAAAGCGAACAAACAATTGGCACCGTGCGAATGAAAAGCGCACCGTGCATTTTGCTTTTTTCCCCTTTTTTGTCGCTAACGCACCGTGCATTTTTCTGTTTTTCGCACAGTGCAACTCGAAAAAACCGGGTTGCACCGTGCGAATGTGCGCGGCAGCGACATATCAGTCTGTCGGGAAAATAATGTGGATTTGTCGCAGCAAAATGTCTCGCCTTATCACAGTCCTCTGTTTTTCGCTAAGCGACGAAATGTCTATGCACTTTATATCAGTCTGTCGGAAAAATAACGGCGGATCGTCGCGCCTCGGAATCGCCCATCGTCGCTCTGCGACTGAAAGCCGCGGCTGGGGATTTGGTGCGCGATAGCGGCGAGGCGAGACATTCTGCTGCGACATTTCGCCGTTATTTTCCCGACAGACTGATAAAAGTATGAGCCTGTCGGGAAAATAATATGGATTTGTCGTGCTTTGGAGTTATCTATACTAGTCGCGACATAAAGTCCGTAGAATTTTTCGCGGCCCCCAAATTCCGTCGCGCTCCGAAATGTTGACTTGTCGCTGCGAAAAACGGGAATCGCGCGCGACAATAAGGCAAAATCAACAAAATTGCACAGTGCAAAATGCTTTTTCGGGTTTATGCACAGTGCAGAAAATTCTACGGACTTTATGTCGCGACTAGTACTAGTCGCGGAAAAAAGTGCTGGGAATTTCTCGCGCCCCCCAAATTCCGTCGCGCTCCGAAAAGTTGATTTGTCGCGGGAATCGCGCGCGACAATAAGGCAAAATCAACAAAATTGCACAGTGCAAAATGCTTTTTCGGGTTTATGCACAGTGCAGAAAATTCTACGGACTTTATGTCGCGACTAGTACTAGTCGCGGAAAAAAGTGCTGGGAATTTCTCGCGCCCCCCAAATTCCGTCGCGCTCCGAAAAGTTGATTTGTCGCGGGAATCGCGCGCGACAATAAGGCAAAATCAACAAAATTGCACTGTGCAAAAGCACTTTTCGGGTTCATGCACAGTGCAGAGTCGCAGAAAATTCTACGGACTTTATGTCGCGACTAGTACTAGTCCGTCCGGAAAGTCGCCGGACTGAAATCGGCGACATGCACTCCGCGAAAACGAAATTTCACTTTGCACTGTGCAATTTTTGGCTTTTTGCACCGTGCAAAAGGCTTTTTCGAGCTGTCGCATGCACTCTGAGTTTTCTTGCACAGTGCATGTCGCCGATTTCCGTCCGGCGACTTTCCGGACGGACTAGTACTAGTCGCGGCAAAAAGTCCTTAGAATTTTTCGCGGCCCCCAAATCTCATCGCACCTCGAAATGTTGATTTGTCGCGGGAATCGCGCGCGACAATAAGGCAAAAACAAGAAAATTGCACTGTGCAAAAGCACTTTTCGAGTTCATGCACAGTGCGGAGTCGCAGAAAATTCCAAGGACTTTTTGCCGCGACTAGTAGATGAAATTTGGCGCACGACAGCGACGAAGCGAGACATTTTGTTGTGACAAATCCACATTATGTATTTTCCCGACAGGTTGATACTAGTCGCGGAAAAAAGTCCTGGGATTTTCTCGAGCCCCCCAAATTCCGTCGCGCCCCGAAAAGTTGACTTGTCGCGGGAATCGCGCGCGACAATAAGGCAAAATCAACAAAATTGCACTGTGCAAAAGCACTTTTCGTGTTCATGCACAGTGCAGAGTCGCAGAAAAATCCCAGGACTTTTTTCCGCGACTAGTACTAGTCGCGACATAAAGTCCGTAGAATTTTTCGCGGCCCCCAAATTCCGTCGCGCTCCGAAATGTTGATTTGTCGCTGCGAAAAACGGGAATCGCGCGCGACAATAAGGCAAAATCAACAAAATTGCACAGTGCAAAATGTGTTTTCGGGTGAATGCACAGTGCAAAATGCTTTTTCGGGTTTATGCACAGTGCAGAAAATTCTACGGACTTTATGTCGCGACTAGTACTTTGTCCCTTCACAAAGTCGCTGGGGTGATTTTCGCGACATGCACTGTGCGAAAGCAAAAATTTTACTTTGCACCGTGCAATTTCTTGCTTTTTGCACAGTGCAAATGGCATTTTTTATATCGCGCGAAATTGACTTTTTTGCACAATGCAAACGTCAAAAATCACTCCGGCGACCCTACGAACGGCTTAGTGCCTAGTACTAATAAGAATTTATTGTCCTTTTCAGAAAACTCATTTTGCACTGTTCGTGGTCGATTCACACTATAAGCTTTTGTTGTCGCTGTTTTGAAGATTTGCGAAAAATTTTTTGCGCAACGGGGCACCATGTAAACATATCAAGACTTTTTGGCCCGTCAAGTGAACGCCAAAAAATGTATTCATTTTTAGTCATGTATTCCCACTTCCTTATTTTGCTCTCTACTTACATATGTATAAACATATATTAATGTGTACATATATGTTTTCGCTTTTGGTCTAAAGTTCCATTTCAGAGTTCACGCGCTTTCGTTCTGAGCCCCTGAAAACCACCAATTTGTAACTGCTAACTTAATTCCCCCTTTCCAAACCACTTATATTACGAGGCAGGTGCAGCAACGGAGCCAGTGCTGTTTCATGTCTGGTAACGAAGAAACGCTCAAGAATATCCCAGAGAACGCCGATGCGTATGCGCTCGTAACGCTCGCCATTTGCATCCCATCGGTGTTTGCTCATCTTCTGATTGGCTATGTAAGTATACACAGGCTATGAAAATATGTTTTTTACGGTTTTTCAAAAAGTGCATTGACTTTTTTCGCAATCCGCACTGTGCAAAAACCACCATTTTGCACCGTGCATTTGACATTTTGCACTGTGCAATGGAAATATCGCGCGACAAGAGAGATTTTCAGCGGAGTCGCTGCGACATTTCTGAAGCGATTTCGCGCGATGAGTGAAAATGCACAGTGCAAAATGATCGAAAAGGCCGCACCGTGCGAAAAAAAGAGAAGGGTTTTTGTCTGCACCGAGCTTGCACTGTGCATTTGACCTTTCGCACCGTGCAATCAACATATCGCTGCGACGCAGGCTTTTTCTCAATTCCGTCGCCGCAAGTTTGCATAAGAATTTGCACTGTGCAAAAAAGGGGTTTTGGGGGTCTGAACCGTGCGAAAGAATTTGCTCTGCGTGAGAGAATTTGCACTGTGCAAATTTTGTTTTCGGTGTTCGCACTGTGCAAAAACTCCCATTTTGCACCGTGCATTTGAAATTTTGCACTGTGCAACGCAAATATCGCGCGAGAAAAGCCATTTTCAGCAGAGTCGCTGCGACGTTTCCGAAGCTTCAATAAATCTTAAAAAATTTTTTTGGTCGATTTCATGGTCGAAAAAAAAAATAATTTTTTGTCTAAACTGATATTGTATTTAATTTTAAGCTTTTCAAACCTTTTTAACCTCTGCTTTAAACGGCAAAAATTGGATTGAAATATTTATAGAAACCTAAATGCAACGTTCATGTTTCCTTCCAGTTTTGCACACACACCGGGCCAATTTTCGTTTCTCGCGTTTCTTTAGTGTTCCTGTATTAATATATGCCACAGGTTTGGTACATTAGAATCGACGTAAATGACATTTCTGTATGGTTTTCACCTGTCGCAGCCGGTTGAAGGTCATAGGTTGTTTTGCGAAAAAACCAAAGTGTAAATACGTGTATATGTAACATATAGATAGAAGCGGACGCAGAAAAAGTTTTTATTTTTTTGGCCACCACACAAAAAATTTAAAAAAATAACAAAAAAGATCAGTGTTTTTCTTTCCATGCGAGCTGCGCTTAGGGGAAGAAAAGAAGCCTAACATTTTCTGCGACAAATCCACATTATTTTCCCGACAGACTGATCTTTTCATAAAATGCATGGAGATTTTGTTGCGGTCCGCACCGTGCACAAAAACCCCCCATTTTGCACCGTGCATTTCGGCTTTTTTGGTTTTCGCACTGTGCATCTGAAATATCGCCGCGACATAAGCAAGTTTCAACCATTTCTTGAGGTTTGCACTGTGCGAAACGAGAAAACGCACTGTGCGTTAGCGACAAGCGTGGGAAAAAAGTTCAAAATGCACTGTGCATCGCCAAAAAAAGTCTACGCACTTTGGAAAAAGCGTAGTAATACTATATATAATATAAAGAACGTTGTTTCAGGCAACACTAAAGTCCCCCCTGTTCAACAAGCAGCTAGCCCTACGCGCCAATTTTTTCATTTCGTTGGCCGCCGGCTTGCATGTGCCGTATTTCATTTTCGGCGCGATTCAGCAGCTAATGCAACATGCCTACGCCAATATTTATGTCGATGTAAGTCGCCGAGTCCGTCGGGAAAATAGTGAGCACACTGTTGCTGCGCTGACCGTGTTGCTGAAGTGAAAGCAATTTGATTTTCTCTGCAACACAATTCATTTTCTCGGCGGCGATGCGATTTTGGATGCAACAGAGTGCTCATTATTTCCCCGACAGGCTGATAGCGTGCATAAAGATTGAGCTTTTGAATCTTTCTTTTTCAGATCTGGTCACTCACCTCCGACGTTTTCTGGTACTCCATGATCTTTCAACACATTTTCCTCGCGATCTATCGGGTGCTCATCGTAAATACAGCCTTTGTTCACAAAGAGGAACAAAGGCGCAAATACGATGTAAGCCATTGTAAAATTCGGTGATTAATATTCCGACCGTGAAGTCGCTGGAGTGATTTCTGCGACATGCACTGTGCAGAAAAAGTCAGAGCGACAGCCCAAAAAAGCCGATCGCACGGTGCAAAATGAACCTTGTTTTCGCACAGTGCATGTCGCGAAAATCACTCCAGCGACGTTGCAAACGGACGAGTAGTCGTTCCAGAGAGTGCGTAGATTTTTTGGCATCTTTTCACACCACACCGTGCAAGTTTCCTGTTCCCCGCGCGATTCCTTTCGCCCGCCCAAAATTCGCGCCGACTCCGTTGAGAAAATTTTTCAATTTGAAAAATATTTCCGTCGTATAACATGTCACACCTCATTTTTTTCAATTTGAAAAAATTTTCCATCGTATAACATGTCACACCTCATTTTTTTCAATTTGAAAAATATTTCCGTCGTATAACATGTCACACCTCATTTTTTTCAATTTGAAAAAAAATTTCCGTCGTATAACATGTCACACCTATTTTTTCAATTTGAAAAAAATTTCCGTCGTATAGCATGTCACACCTCATTTTTTTCAATTTGGAAAAAATTTCCATCGTATAACATGTCACACCTCATTTTTTTCAATTTGAAAAAAAATTTCCTTCGTATAACATGTCACACCTATTTTTTCAATTTGAAAAAAATTTCCGTCGTATAACATGTCACACCTCATTTTTTTCAATTTGAAAAAATTTTTTATCGTATAACATGTCACACTTCATTTTTTCAGTTTGAAAAAAAAAAGTTTCCGTCGTATAACATGTCACACCTCATTTTTTTCAATTTGGAAAAAATTTCCATCGTATAACATGTCACACCTCATTTTTTTCAATTTTCGGCTCTCTTTGCAAAGCGTCAGCTAAAATTTTCAAGAATTGATATGTGGCCTATACCCAACATCTTCTCAAAATTTTAAGAAAATCTGAAAATTACACACATTACACTTGAGGTGCTTCTCATGTAAACCAAGCTTAAATTTAACTGTTTAAAAACCCGTCGCTTTCAGTACCCGATCCTCCTCAGTTGGCTGGCTGGAATTCTGTTCACAGTAGCTCATAACGCCCGCTCCTATGACGTCATCTACACGTATGATCTGGCGAAAGTTGGCTGGGTATCCAGAGCCAAATTCGGGTTGGCCGAGGACATTTTATTGGCAATTAAAATTAGTCTAATGACCGTTGGACTGATCTGCACTGGGATTGTGATGCGGCGGATTTTGCGACAAGTAAGAGGAGTGACAGACTATGATCAGTCTGTCGGGAAAATAATGTGCACTCTGTCGCAGCGAAAATCGGATCACCGCCTTGCAAATGAATTGTGTCGGGGAAAAGATCAAATTGTTTTTCACTTCAGCAACGCGATCGGCACAGCGACATTGTGCTCATTATTTTCCCGACAGAACGATACTATGCTTTTTCAAAAGTGCGCAAAAAATCATGGCTAAAGTTCCTTATTTTGGCCACAACTTATAACTTTGCGGAAACTGGTCGGAATTAGCCCAAATTTAGCGTGCACGCTCAATTCATCGTTGTCAATGCCCGGACAGTGGATTTAGTTAGTGAGGTACCTTCTTTTTTACGTACCACCTTACCCTTCAAAAACGGCTGCAGCCTGTGATTTTACACTTTATGCGATGAAACATGTCCGGAACTAAACTTATTGCCTCCGTATGGAACTAAATGAGTCGTCACAGCCTTCGTAGGTACCCTTAAAACGAGCTATTATAGTAATTCAGTGCCAGCTAGGTCGAAGCGTTTTTTCTTAACTTTAGTGCCCAAGCTTGGGCGCAGTTCGCGGGGTACCTTTGTTTTGGCCAAAATAAGGAACTTTTTCCAAAATCATTTTTTTTCCGCGCGAAACTCGCAAAAATATGGCCAAAAAGTGTTTTCTCTGACCACTCTCCGCATTTAGCGTACTCTCTCGGCCGAAACGATCGTCAAATATTTCTCTCTCCCTGAAAGCGCGAGCTAAAACATTTATGGATTTAAAAACAAGCGTATTTTACAATTTGCAGAAGAGTCGATTCGGTCTGCATGAACTTCGCATCTTCCTGGTCGGCTCAATTATTTTCGTACTTCTATTTATTCGCGAATTCATCCGCGTTCTGATCGAAAATATTTGGTTCTTCAAGTATTTCTGGACGAATTCGTATGCCATCCGCAACATGTTGGCGGTTCTTGTGGTCTGCCTACCTCCGTATTTGTCGGTTATTTTGAATAGGTAAGATCTTCTTGATCTTTTGGGTTTATGTCTGTAAGCATGGCCCAGGGCAATTCTTTGCAAATTCACGACAAGACGGGTTGTCATATTATCAGTCTGTCGGGAAAATAGTGAGCACTCTGTCGCTTCCAAAATCGCATCGCCGCCGAGAAAATGAATTGTGTCGCGGAGAAAATCAAATTTAGGTGGGACATGTTATACGACTGAAACTTTTTTTCAATTTAAAAAAATTTTCCATCGTATAACATGTCACATCTAATTTTTTCAATTAGAAAAAAAAATTCAACGTATAACATGTCACATCAATTTTTTTCAATTTGGATTTTTTTTCATCGTATAACATGACACATCAAATTTTTTCAATTTGAAAAATTTTTCCATCGTATAACATGTCACACCTAATTTTTCTCAATTTTGAAAAATTTTTTCATCGTATAACATGTCACACCGAATCTTTCTCAATTTGAAAAAAAAAATTCGTCGTATAACATGACACATCCAATTTTTTCAATTTGAAAAAAAATTTCATCGTATAACATGTCACACCGAATTTTTTTCAATTTGAAAAAATTTTTCATCGTATAAAATGTCACACCTAATCTTTCTCAATTTGAAAGAATTTTTCATCGTATAACATGTCACACCAAATTTTTCTCAATTTGAAAAATTTTTTCATCATATAACATGTCACACCAAATTTTTCTCAATTTAAAAAAATTTCCGTCGTATAACATGACACATATAATTTTTTTCAATTTTAAAATTTTTTTTTATCGTATGACATGTCACAATTCATTTTTTCAGTTTGAAAAAAAAATTTCATCGTATAACATGTCACACCGATTTTTTCTCAATTTGAAAAATGAGGGGGAGTGTTCAAAAAAAGAGGAGTGTTCATTTAAGGGGGAGTATTCAAAAAGGGGGAGAGCTCGGAAAAAACGGAGAGCTCGGGCTCAATCGGACAAAATTGTACAACTCCACATTATTTTCCCGACGAACTGAGATGAGAATTTCCTGAGCCGGGGTTTTTAAAATTCCCCCAGGCGCTCGGAAACTTCGGCCCGCTTCGATATTTGGCCATGCTTTAAACTTCAGTCTTACGACAGATATTAGTCAGTTTTTGAATTTCAGTCAACTCCGCAATCAACTTCACACTCAGATCTTTGGCACCACCACCGGCACATCATCGTTTATTGATTTGGGAAACGACACAACGATTACGAAAGCGCAGCATTCTTGGAGACACATACAGGTCAAGGTCTTGCCCATGAGCAAGTCTTTCCATCGGTGACAGCAAAAACTATTTTTTAATGAAAAAATAATAAACTTCTAACAAACTGCATAGTGCGTTGTTCTCAAGTCTTTATGCACGGTGCGCCTACAACAAACAGCCTACGCACTTTCTGGAACGAAGAGTGCACCCACGAGTCAGCAAAGGCCAAAATAAACCATTGAATCTTTTATGGCAAATCGATTTCTTGTCGTACAGAGGCATGACTGTATCAGTCTGTCGGGAAAATAATGCCCTAGAGTTGTCTATCATCGTTTCGCGACGGCTCTCCGCGGCTGGAGATTTGGTGCGTGACTGCTACGAGACTAGCCATTTTGCTGCGACAAATCCACATTATTTCCCCGACAAATTAATAGAAACCTTTTTTCCTAGTTTCAAAGTGTTTGTCACACTTTTGGACACTCTTATTAACTGTTTCCCTTCCAAAAAAACGTATACATTGTAGTCAAGCTTCCATAGCTCTAGGAAAAAAGCAATTTAATCAAATTTTGATTACAAATGGCAATTGAAACGCACAGTCACATGAAAAAAAAGTCAATTGAGTTACAACAAAAAGGTTCGAAGAATCGAAGGTTCCAAATTTCTAACAAGAATTGTAAGAACTCAAGGAGATTTTGCAATCTCCTCGATTCGCCCTTTGAACGTCAACATTGTCCTGTCCGTATTCGTATAATCGTAGATGGCATCCGTACAAGATTGCGGGAGAAAAGTGCCCACGAATTTGATGATGTACAGGAACCGTGGGAGAATCAAATGAGGTGTATTCGTCAAGACGGCGTCAACAATTCGGTCCGCAACATACTCGGGCTGCAGAATCGGACAGACTGGGAAGAGCCTGAAGAAAGAAGATCAATAATGCTGTTTGAACATTTTGGAAAGCAAAAAAATACAGTGTGAGATCGGATCCAATGGCAAAAAACGTCTCATTTTGCATCCCGGAAGGGACCAAAATGTCTCCAAACCTTGAAGGAAAGGGCCCGCTTTTCAAAGCGGAGTTTTTTAGCTTATAGAAGGGAAGGGTTTGGAGTCATTCTGGCCCCTTCCGGGATGCAAAAAGAGACGTTTTTCGCCATTGGATCAGGTCACTGTAGTCATACAATACTAAAAAAAATCTTAAAAAGTGCGGAGACTTTTTGCCGTGGTCCGCACCGTGCACAAAACTCCTTTTTGCGGGGTGCATTTGACCTTTTGCTTCTCAGCAGTGTCGCCGCTTTACAGAAATAATTGACAATACAAGAAAAAATCAAAAAAAATTACGTTTTGGCAAGTATACAGTGGCCGACCTGATCCAGTGGCAAAACACCACCATTTTGCATCCGGGAGGTATCAAAAAGTGTGGCAAAATGCCTCCCTCTCCAACTAAAAAAAACTCCGTCTTGAAGGGCTCCCCTACAAAAAGACCGGGCGCGCTTTTGAAACCGGAGTTTTTTTCAGTTGGAGAGGGAGGCATTTTGCCACATTTCTTGATACTTCCCGGACGCAAAATGGTACGTTTTTTGCCACTGCAAAAATCAGATCCCCAGCGTACATTTTTCATTGATTTTCCGCATTTTCCGCGGCAATTTCTCCCGGGTAGTACTAACACTCGCTTCAAAAAACCATAGTAAATTTTAGGCCCCATTTTTCTCAAAATCCCAAATTTTTCAGCCGTTACACTTGGACCACATCATCATAAGTCATAAAGAGGTGGTCCAAGAACCTACTTCGACTCTGTGACGCCATCAAACATTCCAGTGTTAATATAGTACGGTGATACTGTTGTTGTCTGCACATTGGACCCAATATTATAAAGTTCTCGATATAGCGCGGCCATAAACCCAACAGCCGCATGTTTGCTGGCACAATAATCCGTGAGCCCAATCAGACCGGCGTGACCAGCAATGCTGGCCATAGTCACGATGTGGCCTTCGTCTTTCTCGAGCATTCTGGGAAGAAACGCTTTGGTCACCTGGAAAAAGGAGGATTTAGAAAGGTAAATAGAAGTTATCAGTCTGTCGGGAAAATAATGAGCACTCGAACATCAAAAATCACATTACCGCCGTGCAAACGAATTGTGTCGCGGAGAAAATCAAATTGCTTTTCATTTCAGCGATGCGATTGGGGCAGCGACATTGTGCTCATTATGTTCCCGACAGACCGTTATTAGTATTTTCATAAAGTGTATGGATATTTGGCATACTACGCCTTTTCAAAAGTACGCAGACTTTTTTTGCAGCGCCCACTGCAAAGGGTCAACTGCACAGTGCGGAAAGATAAAAAAAGCACTTTTATTGGGGCTCCTAATTTTCGACGAGACATACCTCAAAAAATTCGCGTGGTCACGCTGATCGAGGATATATGTAAATAATAGTCCGTCCAGAAAGTCGCCGGACCGAAATTGGCGACATGCACTGTGAGAAAAACGTCAGGGTGCGAGCGACAGCCGAAAAAAGCCTATTGCACTGTGCAAAAGGCGAGAGATTGCACAGTGCAAAGTGAACTTTCGTTTTCGCAGAGTGCATATCGCCGAAAACATTCCAGCCACTTTACGAACGACCTAGTATTAGCTGCCCATTTTAGGCTTTTATCATTCTGTCGGGAAAATAACGGCGGATCGTCGCAGCAAAATGTCTCACCTCGCCGCTATCGCGCACCAAATCCCTTGCAGTTCGCTTGCAGTCGCAAAGCGATGATGGGCGATTCCGAGGCGCGACGATCCGCCGTTATTTTTCCGACAGACTGATAGGAGTGAAAAATCCAGCGCAAGTTGATTTAAAGTCAGTACATTCCTTTTAAAAAAAAATTTGGTCGGTGCAAAAGACATCACACATAAGCTTGATACTAGCCGCGGCAAAAAGTCCTTGGAATTTTTCGCGGCCCCCAAATCTCGTCGCACCCCCGAAATGTTGATTTGTCGCGCGACAATAAGCCAAAATCAACAAAATTGCACTGTGCAAAAGCGCTTTTCGGGTTCATGCACAGTGCAGAGTCGCAGAAAATTCCAAGGACTTTTTGCCGCGACTAGTATCTTCATCCAACAACTCACATAAAACAGCGACTTCACATTCACATCGATCGTCAATTCCATGGCCTTGTCTGGCAGATCGACCAGGTCTTTTCCGCACACAACGCCAGCGTTGTTCATGACCAAATAAACATCGCCTAGTTCATTTTTGACTTTTTCGGCGGTCGAATAAATTTGCTCTTTGTCGGCCAAGTCGACTGTGTAAGCGCGGGCCTGAAAATGAGATTTTATTTATCAGTCTGTCGGGAAAATAATGAACACATGCGCCGATCTCATCGCTAAATTAAAAAGCAATTTGATTTCTCCGCGACACAATTCATTTTGTCGGCGGCGATGCGATTTTCGATGCGACAGGGTGCTCATTATTTTCCCGACAGACTGGAAACGCAATTTTTGGGATAAAAAAATGATTTTTTTTGCGCTTTTTGCTTTCAAATACTGTCTAACCTCTGTATAATGAATCGTCAGATACCAAAAAAATTTGTTCGTTATAGACAGGTTTTGTTAAAAAGTGCTTTATTTAGGCCTGAAATTAATTCCTATGGCTTTTTTTTGCTATAATATAAGGGGGTTTTTCTTTGTTATAGAGAGGATTTGTTTGTTATAGAAAGGTTTTCTCTTTCTAGCGAAGTTTTTGTTTGTTGTAGAGAGGTTTTACACGTTGTAAAGAGGTGTTTTTTGTAAGAGAGGGGTTGGTTCGTTATAGAGATGATTTGTTTGTTATAGAAAGCCCTTTTTGTTATAGAGAGGTTTTGTTCGCAATACAAAGGATTTGTTTGTTATAGAAAGGTTTTGTTTGGAATGGAGAGATTTTTTTGGTTATAGAGAGGCCTTGTGTGTTATAGAGAGGTTTTGTCCGCAATAGAGAGGATTTGTTGGTTATAGAGAGGTTTCGGTGCACAAAGATTCAACTCTGTTTTCAAACATAATCTTGAATATTTTGGTGGGTTTTCCACTTACTTTTACTCCCATTCCAGTAAGAAGACGTAAAGTTTCGGTATTCCCGGTTTCATTGATGTCCCATAAAACAATGACAGCGCCAAGTTGACCAAACTGAAAACAAAAGTATTTATTTATTTAGAAAGTTGGGGCTAACAAGGGAAGTCACTTAAGTCACGGATCGATTTTTAAAAACGACTGTTACAGCGATGGGGAGGGTAGGACGGAGATATTAAATCTGAAAACCGCTACCTCCACCGGCCTCTGGGAGCCGAGATAATCGACCAAAAAGGTTTGACCTAAAAAAGTTGCTCCGAATAGTCCTCTCTTCCGAAAGAAGTAGGGGAGAGAACCGAATAGTCCGGTGGTCTGGAAGCGCGCTTCCGGGCCTTGACCTTTTCAGGTTCGAATCCGCATGGGTCAAATAATTTATTAAACTTTTCATGTAATCCAGTAAATTTACCGGTAAGGTAAAATTTTTGATTTTTTGCGTATTTTACGGTTAAATTCAGGGTAATAATGTGAATGCGAGTTCCAAACGATTTGGATTTTCAAGGTTGAAAATTTACCGTAAAATAAGCATAAAATATAAAATAAATTGCTAGTAAATTTACTGGATCACAGCAACATAAATTTTTCGCAAGTTCGAGACCCGTGCGGATTCGAACCTGAAAAGGTGAAGGCCCGGAAGCGCGCTTCCAGACCACCGGACCATTCGGTTCGCTGCCTTTTCTTCTTTCGGAAGGAATAAATGTTCGGAGGAATTTGGGCAAACTTTTTGGTCGATTATCTCGGCTCCCAGAGGCCGGTGGAGGTAGCGGTTTTCAGATTTGATATCTCCTTCCTACCCTCCCTATCGCTGTAACAGTCGTTTTACAAAATCGATCCGTGATTTAAGTGACTTCCCTTGTAAGGTTTAGAAAGTTTTATCAAAAAAATTTTTTAAAAAGAGATGCCACGAGCCGGGATCGAACCGGCGACCTTTAGATCTTCAGTCTAACGCTCTCCCAACTGAGCTATCATGGCGCACAAACTAAACCGATAAAAAATGGGTGGGGAATTTGAATAGTGGAAGAGAATGAAAGAGCATGTAAAGCCATGTTGTTGTGACAAGAAAAGTGATAGATGTCGATTTAAATAACCGCTCAATTCGGCCCAAAAACCCCAACCATGTCAGCCGAAACAATCGAAACTATTGAGAAGGAGTCTAAAGCAACTCATGAAGTCAAAGAAGTCCCAAAAATTCAGCCAGCGTCAACTCCAGAAATCGAGATTTTGTCGGGACCTCCAAAGAGAAGAGGCATTGTCCCGGGACGCCATCCACGCGGAGTTTTTAGACTCAGAAAGCCGGTTGAAGGAAGTACAATGCCTATAGTGCCTACTGGTGTGTTTACAGTACCTCCGAATGGCAGAGGATTCAGAATTTCACGGGAAATTCCGCTGAAAAGATCAGCTCATCTAGTACAATATAATTTTAATGAAATTTCTGGTTGTTCAAGTGGTCCAGCGTCTTCGAACGGGGTTGTACAAAGGCGAACGAGCCCAAGGAAGTCTGGGAACCCAGAAAATTCGAAAATTTTGCCGGCTCATCCAGCAAAATCAAGGTTGGCCGAAAATGAAAAAATTGGAAATACAGCTACAAAGAGTAGATATTTCGCACTTATTAACGTCACAGAAACTAGAAGAACTAAAAATTTCGTTGAGAGGGTAAGAAGTCTAGAATTCGTCTCATTTCCCGTTGAATTCGGCATTTATATTATACATGGTCATCAAGTGTAATATTCTTTATTTCCAGCCAATTTCACCGTCATATCCGGAAGTCCTGTATCCCCCAGGAGAATGGAAGAAATGCTTGGTTTGACGGCAAAGTTTTCCTCGGTTTACTCATGCACCAGATGAGATACATGCACTTCTTCCGTGGTCCTACCGACTGGGGACAAATTTGCTGAGAAAAAGGGATGCAGTTTTTGTTTGTCGCCAGCATTTTTGTTAGGTTAAAAGGGAGGTCTGAACTCACGCTAGGCGAAATTTTAGGCCTCCTCGAGTTTTTTGCGCGATGTTATAGCAGTTTTACATTATTTTAGACTACTTTCTGATAAAATTTTTAAATTTTTTCAATTTTTTGCTAATTTTGGAAATTTTTTTTGATGTTAATGTAGAGCTTAGACACTTTGAAGATATTTTAATTATCTTTTTTATTCAAAAATAATTTTTTTGAACACAAAAAACACACAAAAAATCAAAAAATGCCACGAGCCGGGATCGAACCGGCGACCTTTAGATCTTCAGTCTAACGCTCTCCCAACTGAGCTATCATGGCGCACAGACAAAAGAGATAAAAAATAGGTGGGGAATTTGAATAAAGTAGAGCCTTTGTACAACAAACCACCAAGAAAAAAAGCAAAGTCATTATGCAAAGGTTTTGTTGCATACATGTAATATATGTATAATATACAAGCATTACTGTGGTTTTTTTTCATTTTTTTTCACTCACCTTTAATGCACAGAGTCTTCCAATTCCGCTCGCACTTCCAGTAATCAAGAATACCTTGTCTCTAACGCATTTTCTGGGCAAAACCCCTGAGGGGATCAACGCTCTAACCGTTCCGTACAAAAGATTTCCGGTAAATCTTCCAAGAAACAGACCGAATTGTAAGGTTTCGTGAAGAACAACGGCAATTCCATGAGCTGAAAAAAGGGGTTTTTGAGGTTTTTGAAATTTTCAAAAAATAATTTTTTTACTGGAAAACCTCTGTATAACGTACAAAAAAATTTTTTTTTATTGTAAAACCTTTGTATAACGTCCAAAAAAAACTTTTTATTGTAAGACCTCTCTATAACGTCAAAAAATTTTTTTCTGCAAAACCTCTGCATAACGTCTCAAAAAGTGATTTTTTATCGCAAAATCTCTCGATAACGTCATAAAAAACCTTTATTGTAAAACCGTCCAACAAATAATTTTTACCGTAAACCCTCGGTATAATGCCTAAAAATAATTTTTACCGTAAAACCCCTCTATAACGTCAAAATAAATTTTACCTTGAAACCTCTCTATAACGTTTCAAAAATAATTTTTTACTATAAAACCTGTCTATAACGTGCAGAAAAAATTTTTATAAAAATTTTTGTAAAACCCCTCTATAACGTCATAAAAAATTTTACTTTGAAGCCTCTCTATAACGTCTAAAGACAAATTTTTTGCCGTAAAAGCTCTCTATAACGTGCATAAAAATAATTTTTTACTCATTATTTACTTCAATTCCAAAAAACAAATCCAAAAATTTACCGAGCGCCATTTTTTTATATATAGGTAGTGTAATATAAAAAAGTTGCGTTTGTTTCGAACCGCTAAAAAAACGCGACGTTCAACGGAATAAATCAAACGCTGAAAGCACTTGAAACACTCCATGAACGTTGTAAACTGTATCGCTGGGTTTTACTCGGGCATGTAACTGTTTTAGCGACTAATTTTTGTGACAATTTGTTGGCTGTGACGTGAGTTTTGATCTTCAGAGAAAAAGGAGATCAGTTAACAACGAAGAGAAGGATTTAACAAGTATACTTTGAAGAATGACATAGGATGGCAATGTTGTGTCCTTTTTATAACTCTGTCGGGAAAATAATGTGGATTTATCGCAACAAAATTTCTTGCCTTGTCGCAGCCGCGAGAACGGTCTCCAGCCGTCGCAAAGTGATGATGGGCAATTCCAAGGCGCAGCGAATCCACAATTTTCCCGACAGAGTGACAGTAGTATTTCCTTAAAGCGCGCAGCGCGAGCAAGGAGTCACGAATTCACCAACTATCAATTTTCTTTTGACTTTTTCCGCAGTCATCGTATCTTACTAGTGCTTCCGGAAAACGTCAAGGTACGAGCGACGGCCCAAAAAAGCTTATCGCACGGTGCAAAAAGCAACAAATTTCACGGTGTGAAAAAAGCCTTTGTTTTCGCACAGTGCGAACAATTGCACGGTGCAGGATGAAGAAAAATCTCACTGTGAAAAAAAACGTGAAAAAAGTCTACGCACTTTACGAAAATGCTTGTATCAGTCTGTCAAAAAAATAATGAGCACTCTGTCGCATCGAAAATCGCATCGCTGAGGTGAAAAGCAATTTCATATTTCCTCGACCGCGATGCAATTTTCGCTGCGACAGAGTGCCTTATTATTTTCCCGACACACTGATCATAATTTGTCACTCCTCTTACCTATCGCAAAATCCGTCGCATCAGAATCCCAGTGCAGATCAATCCAACGGTCATTAGACTTATTTTAACTGCCAATAAAATGTCCTCGGCCAACCCGAATTTGGCCCTGGATACCCAGCCAACTTTCACCAGATCATACGTGTAGATGACGTCATAGGAGCGGGCATTATGAGCTACTGTGAACAGAATTCCAGCCAGCCAACTGAGGAGGATCGGGTACTGAAAATGACGGGTTTTTAAACAGTTAAATTAAAGCTTAATTTACATGGGAAATACCCCAAGTGTAATGTGTATAACGCTCAGATTTTGTTTTAATTTTGCGAACATGTTGGGTATAGGCCACATATCAATTCCTGCAAATTTTAGCTGACGCTTTACAAGGAGAGCCGAGATATTCAAAGGGCATAGGCAATCATTATTTTCCCGACAGACTTATATTACGCCTTGAAAAATTGATAATAGCAAAGGCTCTTTTCTACCATTGATTTTATAAAAAAATAAAGCAAAAAAATTGTTCATTTCTCTCCAAAGAAATCCAAAATATTTTTTGGTCACTTATCAATTCTAAACATATCTATTTACCTTCGCTTTTTTCGACCACACTGTTCTATTTCTTATCATAAATCGGCTCAATTATGGGTAAAATTTTGGTGGTTGGGTTGTGCTGTCTGGACGTCGTGAATTATGTGCAAAAGTTCCCGAAAGAGGACTCGGACACGCGCGTCTTCGAAATGGAGACGGTTCTGGGTGGGAATGCGGCAAATAATTGCACTGTCCTCGGGCAATTCGACGCGGAAGCGACGGTTTTGTGCGCGGCGCTGCCAAACAACGACCCGATGTTGGAGAAGTAAGTTGTTGCAAGTTTTCACACCACTTGTTATCCAAAAATCGCCAAGACATAAGCTCTTAGTCTGTCGGGAAAATAATGAGCACTCTGTCGCATCGCAGTGATATATTTCGATGCACAAAGCGAAAGCCAAAAAACGATGACAGGAACTGTGAAAAATGAGTTTTTTGTGCACGTTGTGGACAGCGACAAAACGTCCATGAACTTTATGAAAATACGTACTAATATAGTATATAATTAGAAGATGTAAATTCAGACGCAAAGCGTTACTTTGGACACAACGTGCTTTCTATGCCGGGCAAATCAGCAATTCGCACAGGTTAAAAAACAGGTCCGAAATCGAGGTGCCTCTGTTTGTCATTCAAAAAAACAATGTTAATAAACCGATATGGACATGAAATTATAAGGCCTAGGAGAGAAAATCACGTAGAATTTAATAATATGAAAATAATTTTGCTGCATTTAAAAATTTTCGCGTCAGGACCCAACGAAAAACGTTTCCATTTTTTACCGCACCCTGTATAATGAACAAAGCTAAAACTAGACCTTCCAGTTTGTCGGGAAAATAATGAGCACACTGTCGCGTCGGAAATCGCATCACCGCGGAGAAAAAGAATTGTATCGCGAAAAAATTAATTTGCTTTTCATTTTGCAGCGACATTATTTTCCCGACAGACCGGGAGAAAGGGTCGGCTATGTCTGTCGGGAAAATAATGAGGATTTGTCGCAGCAATTTCACGCCTCGTCGCAGTCGCGCACCAAACCCCCAGCTTGCCGTCGCATAGCGATGATGGGCGATTACAAGTCGCGACAACTCGCCGATATTTTCCCGACAGACTGATACAAAACAAAAAATTTTCAGACTAATTTCTGAGTACCATTTGAACGTGATTCGAATAAATCGGGAGAAAAATCGAGTTCCGATTTCAACTTGTATCGTCAACTTGAGTAATGGGACTCGGACAATTCTTCATTTTCGCGGGGATATCGGCGAAATCACCGCCAAAGAATTTGAGGAGAAATTTACGGACCTATCGGAGTATTCTTGGATCCATTTTGAAGGTAAGAGCAACCTCGTATTTTACTTTTTTTTTTTTCTTTGAAAAATCCAAAAATTTTCCAGGTCGAAATTTCGATGAATTAGACAAAATCATCGAGTATTGCAAGGCCAAAATCGACAAAAATCGCTGTAAAATTAGTGTCGAGTTGGAGAAAATCCGCGACTTTGACTGGTACACGAAAATCATCCCTTTGGCTGACGTCATTTTCATTTCCAAGGACTTTTCTCGCAATCTCGGATTCAATTCCATGAATGAAGCCATCAATGGGTTTGTGGAGCGATTCCGTTTACAGCAGACAACAGTCATTGTTCCGTGGGGAGAAGAGGTAAAGTTTTGTAAAAATTTGAATAGTTTCAGTGATGAAAGTCAGGATTTTTTTCTAAAATGAATTTAGATGCTATTTACAGTATTTTGAAACCATTTTCGAGTCATTTCGATACTTTATAAACTACAAAATTTTGAAAAATTAGGTTAAGTCATGGATAATATAAATTTGTTCTCAGAACTTTCTTAAAAAAACAAAGCCAGAGTGAATTTGATATAAATCGACTGATTTTGATCTAATTTTGGCATTCAGAGCTCATTTTTGGCATTTTTCGAACACTAAAACACAATGCCAAATTTGGCGGGAATTCAAATTTTTTGACTTGTAAAAGCTCAAAATAGGTCTCAACCCCAAAAAAGGCAATATACACTGATCACATTCACTTTTAAACTTCTTTGGGACCTATTTAGACGTTTTAAATCAAAATTAGCTCAAATCATCATGAATAATATAAATTTGATCGCACAACTTTTTTATAAGCCACAATCCAAGTAAATTTGAAATTTATCAACTGTTTATATTCCAATTTTTGTATTTACCGCTCATTTTGGCCATTTTTCGACCACTAAAACACAATGCCAAATTTGGCGGGAATTCAAATTTTTAAGCTTTTAAAATCCCAAAATTGATATAAATTTAATTTTTATAACCTAAATTTTCCATTTATCGCTCAGTTTTGACATTTTCCAACTACTAAAACACAATGCCAAATTTGGCGAGAATTCAAATTTTTGAGCGCTAAAGGCCTCAAAACTTCCATTAAACTTCAAATAGAGCTATCAAAAGCCCATCTCACTTATTTTCAGGGTGCTTCAGCGCGAATTGCCTCGTCTCCGAGCATTTTCTTCGAGCCCGCCTTCAAACCCGAGAAGCTGGTGGACACACTTGGAGCCGGCGATTCCTTCATCGGCTCGGCTTTGTATTTCCTCAACAACCGGAATTCGCTTCAAAATGTCCTCAAGAACGCTGTAAAAGTTGCGGGGACGAAATGCGGTCAACGGGGTCTGAGGAATTTGAGTTTGGATATTATTCATGACCAATAAATCAAATTTTTTTCAAATCTCAAAATCTAGACGGTCAATTTTTCTGAAACTCAGAATAAATATAGGCTATAGACCAATAATTTACATCAAAGAGTTTCACTTCGTATTCTACAACAAAATTTGAAAAATAAAAACTTTTAAAAAATCTCATTTTTCCCAAAATTCTCCCAAAAAATCATAAAAATCAATTCCAAAAAACATCATATCAGCTTTCTGGAGGCTCAAACTACCTTAGTGATTCAAAAACCGGCAACAAATTTAATGATATTAGCTTACAATCCTCAATTTTCCAAAAAATTTTCGCTCAATACTTATATGACAACTTTCATTTGTAAAAATTTCACTTTTTCTTTCCGCCCTTCGGTGCTGGTGGGAATGCGGCCTTCAAGAGTTTGGCTAGATCGCTGGCATCGAGGTCGGCTTTGATTGGATTGATGAAATCGGATAATCGCTTGATAACAAAGGCCTTCAAATCAGCTGGATGTAGCTTGTTGTCAGCGAAAATTTGAGACAATTCTGAAGCTGATTTCACTGTGATGTTGCCACCATCCTTTTCGGCTCTCTCGATCGTCAGCTCTGAAAAAAATTAGGCATTAATCGACAATTTTTTTAAAATTTCATTTTGTCATCTAGTACAATATAAATTTTTGCCTATATCTCAACCATTTCATTTTCAATTCAAACCAAATTTTGCATAGGTCAAACTAAACCCATTTCAAGGCTATATCCAAATTTTCACTTATCAATCTTTTTACACTATCAAGATATCAACCATTTCTCCACACCTACTACAACATACTAAACCCTCCAAATCTCACCTTTTTCTTCGCTCAATGGGAAAACGAGCGCTTCTGCAAGATGTAACGCCACATTTCCTTGAAGATTTCCGGGCTCGCAGAACGATTTGGCAATCTTTCCTTTGAATTGTTTTGGGGTGTCAGTCGGGTCAAGATTAAAGTCCGAAACAGTTGATGACATTCTCTTTCCATCCGTTCCTTCTAGCGTCTTATGCGTTAGATGGGCTTGCAGTGGGAGGCTGAGACGTTCGCTGATCTAAAAATGAAAAAAAAATTATATTACACTCTAGGCAAAAAGGTATCCAAAATTTCTTAAAAAATCTCAGAAGAAATACATACAATCTATCGCAAATACTCCAATCTTACTTTCCGCTCTGTAAACCATATTTTCCATCAATATTGGGGGTCAAATCAGCAAAAATTATATTACACTACAAAAGATTCACAAAAAAATCTCTCAAAAAACTGATCAAATCCTCTTCAAATAGTCTAATTTTGCTTTCCAACCCATAAACTTTATACATCATCAATTCCTAACATCAAACCAACAAAAAATTATATTACACTAGACATCAACTCAAAAAACCGCCCGAAACTCCTCAAAACCTCCCGGTAATCACCCAAAATGCCCTCTCATCCAAACCCCCTCACCTTTTGCGACAATTCAATATACTTTTCATCGTAATCCGCGGTCAAAACCACATCCACATCAGCAAAATGGGCGTCCAGAAACCTGTAGGCCGGGATCAAATTCACTGCCAGCGAGGTGCCCGGGACGATTTGTGATTCGTCACGGGTGATATGACTGACCACTTTGTACATTTCGATGGAGTAATCACTAAATTTCGAAGAGATACACTGAATTTTCCAAAATTACTTACGAATTGAACTCATTTTCCAAACTTTTTCGGATTTTCACATTCTCCAACTTCAACGACTTCAACATGGCGTTGAGTACACTCTCATAGTAGTCTATTCTTCCTTCTCTCGCATTCCACGGGCATTTCTCATTGTCCAGGAAGGCTCCAAGATCTGAGAGGAGGATAACAACTTCACAGCCCAATTTTTGCAGTCGTTGAAGTTCAATGAGGGCCTTCAAATGTCCTAGATGGACTCTGCCTTTCACTGGGACTCTCCACAAGACCTTTGGGGCCTCTCCTTTGTTCAGTTTTTCCACCAGCCGCTTCGATTGGGCTAGCTGAAAATCGTCGATTTTTTGTCGTATAAAATGTCGCCTAAAAACCGAAAAAACAAAAAAAAAAAGAAGTGACTTACTGTTCCACCTTCCTCTTCAAGTTTGGACTTCAATTTTTTCGCATTTTCGTTTAGTTCTGGCACCTTTTCCAAGACTTTTTCATCTGGTATGTCAGCTGGAACATAACCTTTCGAAATGATCTCTCGGATCTCGTCGTTGTCACATTTAGCTTGAACTTTCGCCAATATTCCATTTAGAAACAGGGCTAGTTTCGATTTCAGCTCTTCCGCAGTGACTTTATCTACAAAAAATTATATTATACTTGATCAAATGACCTTTTAAAATTCGACTTTTAAACCAAATTTCTAACATCGTTACCATTCTCAAATGCCTCTCTTAGCTCCCCAGCAGTCTGTACAATCAATCCATTGTCGAATTGGACCTTTTCATGGGTAGTTAGCACCACAAATTCATAAAAAGAAAGGACTCCGTTGTCCTCGCTCTCGGCTTTCTTTGGACACGAAGCGCCCATAATTTTCCGCTCCACAACGTCGGGAGGATCCAATAAATCGATCTTGCTGTCCACCTCCGATGAAGACATCTTGGATCCGGTCAGACCGGGGACCATTGGGTTCATAAAGTGGTACCGTTTGCCCAGTTTGAGCTTGGGAAGTTGTTCTTCGGCCAAAATGAAGATCTTCCGCTGGTCAACACCGCCAAATTGAGCGTCCACTTTGAGAAAGACTTCATCCAGAGCTTGGAGGAGCGGGTACATCAGTCCGGAGAGCAATGGAGACTCCACCTGAGAGACTTTATATTACACTTGGTCAAGAAGACAATTCTGGATTTTTTAATGTCTAAAACAACATAAACTGCCCTGAAATATATTCCTTTAGAAAGACAAGACCATTAGACTTGTCAGAAAATTAATTCCACGTGTTTTTCTATACAAAACCCATCAGCTTTAGCCAATTTTATATTACACTTATCAAGCAGATATTTTTGAATTTTCTGATGTCTAAAATAATACAGACAGCGGCGAAAAGGATTCTAATAGAACAATAAACCCATAAATCAACTTTTTAAAGTAAGCGAACTTCCTTTCATGCCTAAAATCCAACAAAATAAAGCAATTTTATCCATCATACCTGTTTGACGACCTCAGCTCCCGCTTTTAGTGCGTCTCGTTGACTGACTTGTCCGCATAGCCTCAACACCTCCTTGGTGTAGTCTCTAAACATCAAAGCATAAATCAAGCACAAATCAGCTTACTCTTTCAGCTGATAATCGGATCCTTTGACAAAATGAAGTTTATCCAACGGAACGTCGAACGCTTCCAAAAGAGCCTTGATAACGTGTTCGTAATACTTGACACGGTTCTCCAAAAGCTCAAACGTACTCTTGAGATTGTCGAGGAACCCGTGAAGATCGGCAAACAGGATTGTTACCTGAAAAAAACGGACTTTTTTCGATTCTTCCACATCTGATGCCAAGGATAACATAAAACTCCTTTTTCGATATAAATTTTTGCCTAAACTCCAACAAAAAAAGTTGTAATACAACTTACCCGAATTCCAGCCTTCAGAAAGTCGGCAATCTTCTGCATGGGCACGAAATACCCGACATGAGGTCGTCCCGTAGTTGCACTTCCCCAGTAAAGATGAATATTCTTGCCGGAAATCAAGTGTTTCTCCAGTCGATCGGCTCCCAGGACCTCTTGCAGGTTGCGGACAATCAACTCTTTCCGCTGCTGTTGTTCTTCCGTCAAAGTTGTTGGCGCTTCAGCCATTTTTTCGCTGATTTAACCCTAAACTTGAAAGGATAATATGATTTTGCAAATAAATCAAAAAATCGAGATCGAAACGCGTCGGAAGTCTGGATCTTATTCGAATTGCGTCATTCTTGGTCCAACACACCGTTTTCTTCACAAAATTCCCCGAAAATACGGAATGCCAGAGATTCTTGGCAATCGTTTGTTTTCGTGGTGAGACTAGAAGTTTGGTACCAAAAAAAGAAAAATCAAACCTGAAACCTGTAAATTCTTTACTGCAATCCTAACTACTCTTACTCAAGTTACATTTTCGCATATCCAAAGCCTTTTACTAACAGTTTATTACAAAATATCCACAACAACACCATTATTAAAAAATTCATCTACAAATCTTAAAAAATGGCACAAAAACTCCTAAAAATTGAAAAATAAATAAACGAGATCTTCTTCAGTCTACACCCGTGAATTTTTCCCGCCATCGAGCCAGTCTTTCACTTGAACATTTAGCATTTCTTCGATCGAGGCACTCTCTAAAACCAAGTGTAATATTACTACTGTAACTCTGCAAAAGGACTACAATTTCTTCCCAAATCCTCACTCAAGATCTCTTTGACATTTTTCCGGTGGTTTTCTGGTTCCTGCATGTTTGCATATCGAATTACGACGATATCTTCATCATCATCCATGACCACCGCTTCTTTTCTTTTTCTCTTCCGATTCTCTGGGATTTTGGCCTCCGGCACTGTTTCCACCGGTTCTTTCTGAGCTTCATTTTGTTCCAGATTTATCACTTCAGTCATTTTCTTCTTTCTTTCCCGCATTCTCGCCAAAAAAAGCTGTTTCCATGTTGGTTTAGGTGAAATTTTCTGTTTCGTTGGAATAATCCCGCTGGTTCCGACTTCCTCGTTGATCGCGACATTCTCCGGCATCAATATGGAGTTTTCAGTCCATTCATCAAGTTGTTTTGCTACTTTTTTGACCTCTTCTTTCTGTTGAGTTGCGTTTAACTGAGCCTCCAAAGCCCGTCGCTGCGCTTTCGGCATTTTCTCCAACACCCATGACTTGGCCATAATGGCTTGCGCAAGGCCTGGACGAAGTCTTGACGAGTCTATGAGGGGTGCTCTATCAACAGCTAAACCAATATCATCATTATATTACACTTGGCATCGGATGTGAAAACACGACAAAATTAGCGCAAAAAAATTGAAAAAATACCTAATTTCACATTGTCTGGACACGACACTTTCACGAACACCTTTTTGAACACAGCGCTTGAGGGCAATTTACCTTTTTCAGGCTCTAAAACGGCAAAAATCAAAAAATGTCCAAAAAATTACAAAAATGCATAAAACAATGTAAAATAAGGTCCATTCTCACCATTTCTCTTGTTACTCAACAAATTCGGTTGATTTTCATTCAATTTTTCGTATTTTTCCAGGATTTCCTTCCAATTTTCAAACTTTTTTACTTCAAAAACTAGATCATCCCATTTTACTCCCCTCCGGCCATGAACTCTAGTCCTCCTGGTGTTCTCCAAACTATTTGGGACTACGAACAGAGGATTTTCAATCTTCGGGGGAGTACCATTCCGTTGCTCTTCGTCGCTGCTGAAGAAAAAATCAATAAAAACGGAAATAAGAGAGGGTTCGAACATGCGCCATGATAGCTCAGTTGGGAGAGCGTTAGACTGAAGATCTAAAGGTCGCCGGTTCGATCCCGGCTCGTGGCATTTTTTGATTTTTTGGGTAAAATAGGTTCAAAAAGTGATTTCTGAATGAAAAAGTAATTGAAACGTATACAAAAATGTCTGAGCTCTGAATCAAAATCAAAAAATTTTTCCAAAATTAGTAAAAAATTGAAAAAATAAAAAATTTCGCCAAAAATGGTCTAAAATAATGTAAAACTGCTATAACACCGCGCAAAAAACTCCAACTGCCCTAAAATTTCGCCTGACATGCTTTCAGACCTCCCTGTAGACCTACCAAAAATGTTGTCGACAAACAAAGACTGCGTCCCTTTTTCTCAGCAAATTTGTCCCCAGTCGGTAGGACCACTGAAGAAGTGCATGTTTCTCAGTCGGTGCATGAATAAACGGAGGCAAACTCCGCCGACAAACAGCGCATTTCTTCCATTCTCCTGGGGGATACAGGACTTCCGGATATGACGGTGAAATTGGCTGGAAATAAAGAATATTACACTTGATGACCATGTATAATATAAATGCCGAATTCAACGGGAAATGAGACGAATTCTAGACTTCTTACCCTCTCAACGAAATTTTTAGTTCTTCCAGTTTCTGTACGAACGTTTATCAGTGGGAAATATCCACTCTTCGGAGCTGTATTTCCAATTTTTTCATTTTCGGCCAAGCTTGATTTTGATGGATCAGCCGGTAAAATTTTCGAATTTTCTGGATTCCCAGACTTTCTTGGGCTCGTCCGCCTCTGTACAGGGACGTTCGAAGGCGCTGGACCACTTGAACAACGCGAAATTCCATTAAAATTATATTGTACTAGATGAGATGGCCTTTTTAGCGGAATTTCCCGTGAAATTCTGAATCCTCTGCCATTCGGAGGTACTGTAAACACACCAGTAGGCGCTATAGGCATTGTACTTCCTTCCACAGGTTTTCTGAGTCTAAAAACTCCACGTGGATGGCGTCCCGGGACAATTCCTCTTCTTTTTGGAGGTCCCGACAAAATCTCGATTTCTGGAGTTGACGCTGGCTGAATTTTTGGGACTTCTTTGACTTCATGAGTTGCTTTTGACTCCTTCTCAATAGTTTCGATCGTTTCGGCTGACATGGTTGGGGTTTTTGGGCCGAATTGAGGAGTTATTTCGCATCGAGATCTATCACTTTTCTCGTCACAACAACTCGGTATTTCCTCCTTCACAGCGATGGTTTTCTCCAATTTTTCAACTTCCCCTTCATCTACAACACTCTCTGACTTTGTTATATCTTCAACGAGCCGAACTTGACTATCAATCGGGACGAACGGGACATCAAGATTTTGGACGTCATCTGAACCTAAAATAAGGTCAGAAAAATAAAATAAAAACGATTCTCCAACTTACCATCCGAATTCTTCGAGGCTTGAGAGAGTCTACTCCGGTTTGCTTTCGCCTTCTCGACCAACTCTTTGTTTTTGGCCTTGGCTTTTCGCGCATTTTCCATTCTCTGGCGGGCCAACATTATTTTCGACTTATACTTCTTCGCGACTCGACCATTTCGCCCAAATTTAGGTTTCTCTGCCTTTTGATCCTTTCGCGGACGTCCCACCTTCTTTTTCGCCGGTTTCGGGGCATTTTCGATATTATCCATGAGGACCGAGCTCTCCAAATTCGCATTTTTTGGATTTTTCCCGCTTGGATTCGCCAAATTACTGTCTCCTAGGCCTCCCCCATTCCTCTGACTTCCTTGTCCATCAATTTCAGCTCGATTCTTCGGCGATATTCCCAGATTTCCATCAATTTCGGTCGATTTTTCAGATGGCGCTCCCAAATTTTCGGTGTTTTCGAAATCCGGCAAATCTCGAAATAGAGCAGCCAGAGAGATAATAGGCTCTGTGGGCTCTTGTTTTATCGTATTACGCAAGTTTACGGGCTCTTCTTCGACGATTTTTGGGGGGTCCTCAATTTCGACCTTAATCTTCGCAAAAATTGGCGATTCTGCCGGCTTTTTAGGCGAATTTTCAGGATTTGAAGGGGTTTTCTGAGGTGATGTAGGCTTCTGAAATAATTTTAGGGTAAAATATGGGAGAAAAAACGGATATTTATACAAAAAATCACCTAAAATAAAGTCAAATTTTTTCAAAAAAATTGAATAAAAATACCTGAGGACTTTTTTCGAGTTCTTTGGGACTCAAAACCACTTGCAATTGCGATGGTTTGATTGGTCTTGGCTTGGGGGATGAGATCTGAAGAGAAAAAAAAGATAGGTAAAATAAGTGAAAAATGAGCTTTCCATAAAAAATTGTGTCCTAAAACACAATTTAAAGTCATTTTAAGTCTTAAAAATGCTTTTGATTTTCAATTTCATCATTATTTCGCATAAAAATCATCAATTTTTGTCTAGTGTAATATAAATTTTTATAAAATTTTCAAAAAATCTTGGAATTAATGTCAATCTTGTAAAATAGGATGTTCCAAGTCTAATCAAACTATTTAGAATCAAATCCAACAAAGAAAATCTTACACATAACCCGATATTTCCATTACTTCCACCTGGACTTCGAATCTCATCCAAAATATGGCTCAAACCGTCAATTTCATCCGAAAAATTCTGGCCGTTGGTCCATTTCCCAACTTTTGGATCCAATTGCGGCCCAACGAATCGCAGTTTTGGTGGGGCATTCCGTCGCTCCGATAGTCTACTTGTAGCTGAAGCCGCCTTCTTCGGACTGGTCTGGCTCGAGGTCTGAAGGTGTGGCGGGCGAATACGCCGCCGCTCTATGCCCGGAGTGATGTCGTCGAGGTACAAGGCGGATTCGGACTCGGTGCCTTCGACCGGCTCCGAAGTTTTGGTCGATTTTTTTCTCGGCATCTATCTAAAGTAATATAAGGTAAATTCGGAGGGAAATAATGATGAGAAATCAATGAAAAGCACTGGCAACTCGTTGAAAAAGGATTTGAATTCGAAAAAACGAGAATTTCTCCTCAAAACGGCAGCTAGAACGGAATGCCAAAAGCTGAAACAGAATGCCAAGAAATGTCAAAGCGGCGGTTTGAAAATTTGGCGGGCGATTTGAATGGTAAAAATAGAAGAAATAGGTCTCAAAATTAGCAATTTGCCGGGTTATCACTTGATAACAGTAGTTCACTTATCGAAAAAAACAAAAATTATATTGTACTAGGTATTCACGGAGAATTTTTCCCGAAAATCGGTGAAAACGACCTAAATTGGGTAAAATACGATATTAAAAACAAAGGTTTTATCATAAACTTTAATTTACTATCACAAACGATGATTTATCCACCTAAAATCGACTAAAAAATCAAAAAAGGCCTAAAACAAGGTAAATCCGTAAAAAATTGGTCCAAAATTTTTGATAGAGCAATATACACCACAGTTTAGCCCATGGTCCTTCCACTTCAATGCAATTTACCCAAATTCTCTGCGATTTTCAAATCAAATCAGGTTTTCCGCAAATTGCACGAAAAATACGCAATGCCAAGGACTTTTTGGCACTCAAAAGTTTTCGTGGTGGGAGCACACCAAAACTTTCTAAATCTTTTCAAACTCAATCTCAAACTGTCACAAAATTAACTATTTATTGTTAGAGAACAAAATCAGTGTTTATTCTAGTCATTATTGCTACAGGATGAGATCCATATATTGTACTTGAGGTTAGGTGCGGAAAGGCGGTCGTTTTGACGGATTTTGGGATTGTGTCACGATCTGGGGGTACTGAAATTGAAGGAGGATTAATTATGGAGCAAAATAGGCATTATTCATCAATAAAACTGTCTAAATTAACCAAGATTTTCGCAAAAATTTCCAAATTTTGTCTAAAACAATATAATTTTTGGCAAAATTTTAATCCAAGTCTCATTTCAAGCATTTCAACTGACCAGATTCGATCCAACTCTGGGTTGTTTCGCTCTCGTTTCCGATGCAGCTCGATGGCGTTTCTGAGCGGGGTGAATAATCGAACTTCTTCTTCCAAATCGGTTCTCCTCTTGCTCGGAAATCGTCGATGACGAGCATGAGCTGGCTTCGGAGCCTCGAAAATCATTCAGGAACACATTGGCCAAATTCTGCGGGCGTTCTTCGTGTAGTTGGCGATTGGCGAGGACATTTCTGTTATTGGCGGCTAAAACAATATAAATTAATGTCTAAAACAATATTTTTTGGCCAAAATACTGTCCAAAAAGCCACAAGATTTATTGCAGACCCCATTTCACAGCAAATAACATCATTTACGGAACTGGGACGATTGGGGAAAAAGACGATTGGGGAAATCGAAAAGTATTATTCTTCTTCGATGCAAGTGCCGAAACTAAGATAATCGAGGGTGCTGATTTCGAAAATGATATTCATTTTTTTTTGTGATCATTACTTTTTTCCTTAAGTAGTACTGTAAAGTAGTAATTTTTTGAATTTTTTTCATGAATACTCGATTTGGGGGTTTTCGAGGGTGCTGATTTCGAAAATAACATTCATTTTTTTGACGAGGAAAGTACTTCTATTGGGTATGGAGTTACAGGTCGTGACATATATCAAAAAATTCGCAGATTGTTTCTGATTCAGAATATGTAAAAATTAGCTGCCTAATTTCGGTTTGTAAGGGTGGAAAAATCCTCGGAACTTTCTCGCAAATGCCTTTTTGACCAAGTTTTTACCAAATCAAAACGCTGTTTTTGGGCTAAAGCAAATTGTATTGAGAAACTTAAAAATATCAAATTTGATTTATACTACACCTTAATTAGTAGTTATACTATAAAAAATGGAGCATTTGTGTGGTGTTGCGAGAAAAGTTCTGAGGATTTTTTCACCCTTACAAACCAAAATTAGGCAGCTAATTTTTACACATTCTGAATCAGAAAAACCTTGCGAATTTTTTGATATATGTCTCGGCGTGTAACTCCATACCCCATAAAAGCACTTTCCACGTCAAAAAAAATGTCATTTTCGAAATCAGCACCATCGAAAACCCCCCAAATCGAGTATTCATGAAAAAAATCAAAAAATTACTACTTTACAGTACTACTTAAGGAAAAAAGTAACTATCAAAAAAAATTAATGTCATTTTCAAAATCAGCACCCTCGATTACCCTAATTTTGACACTTGCATCGAAGAAGAATAATACTTTTCGATTTCCCCAATCGTCTTTTTCCCCAATCGTCCCAGTTCCGTAAATGATGTTATTTGCTGTGAAATGGGGTCTACAATAAATGTCATGACTTTTTGGACAGTATTTAAAATAATATTTTTCGGTTTCCCCAATCGTCTTTTTCCGCAATCGTCCAACTCCGATCATTTATCCCCCAAAAACGTTACAAAAATTACACTTCTCTCAATATTTTCGAAATTTCTGACCTTGCTCCATCATGACCCTCATTTTGGCGTCGTTCAGGGCTTCCAAAACCTTCCGATTGGCTTCGCTCTCAGAGTCGTTGTATTTCTTGAGGAGTAGGACATATTTATCGCGGTATTTCATGAGCTCATCCGTCTGATCTTTAGCCTTTTTTAGGGCCGCTTCGTGGATTTTTCGCTGTTTTTCGATCTCTGCTTGCCATCTGGTTGTGACTGCGGCCACTTTTTCTGCTAATTCGGCTTCATAATGGCTTCGGATTCCATTCTGAAAAGTTAAATTTAAGCTCCGGCAAAAAAATTTTTTTTAATTAAAAATCTCATATCTCTGCAGTTTCTGCATAACGCGACTTAAAACTTTCACAGATTCTTCAAAACATCCTAATCCCTCACTATTCCAAATTTCATCAAGATCCATCTAGCACAACATCAAAAAATTTGCAATTTTTCCAATACCCATCATGTACAATATAATTTTCCCCAAAATTTCGCTTACCACTTCTGCCTCAAACCTTCTAGACTCCTCCTCTATCCTTCTTTCAGCCTTGGACATCTCGGATTTGTGCGTTTCTTCGATTTGCTCCAAGATTTTTTTGGTCCTCCGATCCTCATCCAAAAGCTTCTGATTTTCGATGGACAACTTTTGATTTTGGCTGTTTGTGTCTTTCAAATTATCTTTCAAACGCTGGAGCTTCGATTCAAAGGCTAAAAAGGCCGTTTTTCAACAATTTTCCCTCAAAAACATCTAAAGTAATATAAATTTTACCTTCTTTATCCGAATTCAAGGTGTTCCTCTCCTTCTGCGCTTCTTTCAAATCTTTCTCAAGCCGAGACAAGGTCTAAAATTCAAAAATAAAATAATAAAATTCCACATACCACTTGCAAATCGCTAATTTTCCCATTCAACTTCTTGATCTCGTCGTCTTTGATTTTCACCGTCGTCTCGTGGGCTTGCAACTGGCATTCGAGCTTGGAAAACTTGCTGGCAGCTTCTTTATTCTCTTTTATTCGTTTATCCTCGGCTTCGGCAGTTTCACGAAGACTTTTTTCGAAGTCGTTTTGCAACTAAATTTAGGTAAAACTACAAAATAAATTGGACTTACCTGACAGACCAGCTGCACAAATCGCTCAATAATGGTTTCGTTGACTGAGAGACGATCCGACAGCTCGAGATTCCGCCGTTGTAGCCGCTGAACTCGATCTTCGGAAATTTCCCGGTCCAAATTTCGTCGAAAGTCTGATGGCTGAAAATGGAAAGGTTTATATAAACTCAAACTAGGAGATATAGTTGCATTAGGAGCTGTTACACGTCTACAAACCAAAAAATGTGTCAAAAATCTAGAAAATTATCAATTTTTTCGACAATCTGGAATATTGCTCCTCATGGGTAATATAAAGCGAATCTTCGATTAAAATGCATCAAAATAGCTCTGAAAAGGAAGGGTAAATACTCGACCAACTGTTTAAGGCAATCCCCTCTTATTCGAACACCTTTTTCCACATATCGTATATTGCACTTGCCATCTAAACCAATAAAAGCTCAAAAAAAACCTCTTACATTTTCTCCAAAGCATTTTGTCCCATGAACAGAAAAATCAGTGCTCTTCTCGGAATATGAGACCGCCTTGAGTTGATAAATCAACGCTTTCGTCTCTTCAAATCGTTGTCGGAAGGTGGAGCCAAAACTAAACGCCAAATATAAGATAAAACTGACCAAAACTCACTTTTGTAGATGGCTTTTGAAGCCGAATTCATCCGTGGCCATGGGTTAGTGGTCGAGAATCTCGATTTGTTGCCGAAAATCTCGGCGAGAAAAAAAAATGCGAAAAAGAAATTTTTGAAACGGAATTATTGCGCAAAATTGTTTTCGTGGCGGGACTCCGAATGAGGGTGGGTGTTTGAGGGAAATCGGCGATTATCTGATGAAATCTGTCTTCTTACGTCTTATACGGGTCAAAATTTCACGAATCAAACTTTCATGCTTCCCCTAAGATTCTTTTTTGACTAATTTATATTATCTATGGCGTTCAAATGTAGTTCGCCGTATTTGCCGGTGAAACAGATCTATTCCTTGATTGTTTTTGTGCTCGTCTTGGTTCTCACCTCATTACCGTTGGTTCTACAATGGTTGGGACAGAATAGCGTTGAAACTGAGGGAAATACAGACAATTTTGGTGGTGATGTAGCTGATGGTAAAGTAAGGTCGTGGAGTCCAAAACAGCACATTTTTATCTCGTCAGCTTTTGATATTGGAGGGGTAGAGAGGTGAGGAAGCTACGCGCATCAATTTTGTTTTGTTTTAGCGCCAATAAAACTTACAATATTCGATTAATTGTTCTTACCCACAACCGAGATGGTCCCTACTTGCGTAAGGCGCCACCAGTGCTATGTAAGAGCGATGCCGATGAAATTGTGGCAGCTGAATGGTCTCCCCTCGGAGCTCCTATGCCATGTAAATGGAAGGATTACTTTATGGATTGCAATTTTTCTCAGCCTGTCAAAAATTTGATGATTTTAGGGGGAAATCGGCAAATTGAGGTGGGTAAAATGAGTTTTACATACGAAAAAATACCTTTAAAATTCAATAGATGGTGTTTAGATCCCAATTACACCGGTGGTCACTCAAAAAATCCCATTGGTTGTGTGTTATGGCCGTGCTTTTTTCTTCGAACAATGGCAAATCGCCTTGGCCTCCATTGAAACCTATCTTTTTTACGGCGCCGATTTAATGGTTATTCCTATTGTAAGCGTCATTAAGGATCTACATACGATTTTGGAGTTCTATGAGAGACAAGGAAAAGTGAAATTGAAGAATGGAGTCATCATGCCGGTTATTGTAGGTTGAGTTTTAGCTACAGTAACCCAAATTTGGCTCTTTTTTCGCAAAGGAAGTACTCCAAGTGCGACGCTCGGATTTTGATGAAACTTGGAACAAATTTAGAATCACTATTGTTAAAATATATAAAATATGGAAAACCGTCCAAATTTACCTCTTTTTCAGCCAGAACTCGCTCCATATCAAGACCCAAACGCCCACACAGACTCTCTGAACATAATGACAAGCAACACCGAGTGTTTGTACGAATACCGTCAAGCCGCTGAGTTTATGCTCTTCGCCGACTTTGATGACATTTTCATTCCGCGAAAGTTCAATACAATATATGAGGAAGTCTTGGCATTGTCCAATAGATTTCCAACGGCCCCCTCATTCCGATTTCCATGGGCGAAAGCCAAGTTTGTCATGGGTAAGGGAAAAGTTTTTGAAGTGATCGAAATGCAACGCTGATTTTGATAAAACTTGGCACAAATTTAGAATAATTTTCTCTAAGACATATGTGACATTTCTAGCTGGCGCTTTGAAAAAAGACCGAGATTTTTAGATCGAAAGTGGAAAAAATGCGACAAAATTTTTTCGAATTTTGGCATGAAAACTTTTGCAGCAATTTCTACCATAGAGTGTAATGTTTCCACAAAAAATAAATTTTTTCCGCGCAAAACTGGCAAAGATATGGCCAAAAAGTGTTTTTCCTCCGACCGATCTCCGAGTTTTGCGTGCTCTCTCGGCAACGAGGATTGTTGAATATCTGCAAAGCGCGAGCTAAACTTTCAGAAATTGCTGTGTAACCTATAACCCCAACATGTGTGCAAAATTTAAAGAAATTTTGAGCGTCGCACAAAATGCGGAGAGCGGTCAGAGAGAAAAACATTTTTGGCCCTAAATCTGCCAGTCTTGTGCGGAAAAAATTGATTTTTTGTGGAAACATAACGCTCTACATTAAAAATATGTGCGCAACTTTTCATGCCAAAATTTGCAAAATAATGCAACATTTTGCTCAACTTTTGGTCTAAAAATCTCGGTCGTTTCAACAAAAAAAAAGATTTCGAGCAAAGAGTCCGGCACATATCCGAGAGAAACTTACTTTAACCTTTACCAAGTTACATCAAAATCTAGGTGTCCAGCTTTTCAAAAATCATCATTTTTCAGAAGAAACTCCATTCAAGTTTAACATCACCGAGATGTTTTCTATTTTTCATATCGACTCGACCTCCGACAAAGGGAAGAGTATCTTCAGGCCGCTGAAAATTCGCCGCGGTCTGGTTCATGGGCCGCATTTTGAAGGCGATTACCTTTCGAATGTCACGGAAGTTCGCCTCGGCTACGGCGAAATGTTCAACATTCATTTGAGGGATGCGACAAAGGAAAGAGATTGGTTCAAATTCAAGGGAAACAACCTGTACAAAGGCCCGAGCGATTTTCGAAAGATCCAGAAGGTGTTTAGAGAGAGAATACAAAGTGATGAGACGGCCGAGAAGGTGAGATTTGAGAAAATTGGGGAGATGACGTCATAAGGCCAAATTATCAGTTTGTCGGGAAAATAATGAACACTCTGTCGCAGCGAAAATCGCACGAGAAAATGAATTGTGTCGCGGAGAAAATCAAATTGATTTTCACTTCAGCGATTGTCGCAGCGACATTGTGCTCATTATTTTCCCGACAGATCGGATTTTCTTCAAATTTTGCACACCCGACGGGCATAGGTGATTTATCAATTACTGAAAATTTTAGGCCGTGCTTTGCAGGGATAGCCGAGATAATCAACGATCTTTACAGCCGAGAGAGTACGCGAAACGTGGAGAGCGGTCAGACAGAAAAAAGCCTTTTTGGCCATATCTTTGTCAGTTTCGCGCGGAAAAAATTGATTTTTTGTGGAAACATTACTCTCTACTGGAGAAATAACCATGCGCCTTGTCACGGCAAAATTTTCAGAAAAAGTGTCGCATTTTCGCCAACTTTTGACCTAAAAATTTCGGTCCTTTTTTGTAAAGCGTGAGCTAGAAATGTCGGGTGTGTCTTAGAAAAAATTATTCTAAATTTGTGCCAAGTTTTGTCAAAATCTGAGCGGCACTTCAAAAAAAATTTTCAAAGAAAAATTAACATAAAAAATTGGTCGAAAAAAGTAAGGGGGGACCAAGATAATAAAAAAATTTTTTATTTTTTACATAATCACTTCCCCTCCCCCAGATTTTTGGTCAGCTACGCCCCTGGCAAGCCTCGAAAATGCCGTTTTCACTGTGCAAGTGCTGATTTTTCTTCACTGTGCGCAGCGACAAAAAGTCCACTTATGAAATAAGTATCTCCTCTCTTGATATCGTATCTTTAGACAAATTCAAGCGTCATATTGTATCTTTTTTTTGCAGGCATTCAACTCGCTTCCCCTCGGCAAACCCTTCTTCGAAGCGGCCGTGAAATGCGCTGAAGATACGTATCGTCAGAAGCGAACAAAGGACATGTGTATGAGTCCGCTGGATTGCAAATATAACATCGAAAACCCGATTCCTTGTATGGTAATGAAGCCAAAATTCAGAAGATTCGATAATGGCAAGGGGATCATTTTGCACAGTGCAGTGTCCAAAGAACTTGTTGAAAAGGAAGATTGCAGTCTAATTTATTAAAAAAGAGAGTTGGAATGGCGTATTTTACATTGAAATTTAGTATTTGGGGAATAAAAAATATTTTCAAAATCTTACCAGCGAAAAATGATTAGTTAAAAAACAATAAAATACTGCTCCACCTACGACATTCAGCCCGAGTACGCATCCCACAACGATGGAAATCCTGAGCTACGTGTACTTTTGATCTCTGATCTACAGTGGCATACCTGATCCAGTGGCAAAAAACGTACCATTTTCCAGCCAGGAAGTATCAAAAAATGTGGCAAAATACCTCCCTCTCCAAGTAAAAAAAAACTCCAATTTCAAAATCGGAGTTTTTTCGCGCCCTCTCTTTTTGAGGGAGCTCTTCAAAACGAAGTTTTTTTTTAATTGGAGATGGAATTTTGCCACATTTTTTGATACTTCCCGGATGCAAAATGCTACGTTTTTTGCCACTGGAACATGTCCGTTACTGTAGCCTAAAGTATCAGTCTGCGACAGAGCGCATTATTTTCCCGGCAGACTAATATTTGAAATTTGATAAGGAACAATTTTTATCAGTCTGTTGGGAAAATAATGTGGATTTGTGGCGCCAAAGAATTGCCCTTCATCGCACTGCGACGGCTAGCTGGAGATTTGGTGCGCGGCTGCGACGAGGCTAGACCTTCTGCGAACAATCCACATTATTTTCCCGACAAGCTAATAAAAAATCTTTCTTATCAAGTTTCAAATGTTAGTTTGTCGGGAAAATAATAAACACAATGTCGCTGAAGTGAAGAGCAATTTGTTTTTTACCGCGGCACAATTCATTTGATGCGATATTTGATGCGACAGAGTGCTCATTATTTTCCCGACACACAGACAACTTGATTTCACAAAATTTGCCAAAAATGTCGACCAATGAATAAGTGAGGCAACTCTCGACGTCAGACAACACCCTCAAAATTCGCCGTAACGCTTTCGCAAGAGCTTTGGAGGATTACGTCGTTGGGGCGAGACGCATGCCGCTGGTGTCTTGCAATGGGAATCGAACCCGCGACCTTTCGAGCCAAGGGCGAACATGATTCGCTCTGGACTATAAAAACACGGGTCTTTCCTTTTGGAAAAACGGCTGGCTCTTCGGAAGAGAGGAAAAGGACGGGAGGGAAAAAAAGAAACGCTCAGTTCTCAAAATTGACTGGTCGGATTTTCTTCAAATTTGGCATATGTAATCTATCTGGTCCATTTATCATTTGCTCAAAATTTTGTCTGGAACTACAAAGTGGAAGCTGAGATATCAGTCTGTCGGGAAAATAATGTGGATTTGTCATCATCGTTTTGCGACAGCTGGCGACGGCTGGAAATTTGGTGCACGACTGCGATAATAATGAAAATTTTTCTGCAAAAAATCCACATTATTTTCCTGACAGACTAATATTCAACCATCTTTTTAGATCTTTTAAAATATTTTTGGCAAAAACTGCCCTCTAAAAGGTCATTTCATACACTTAGTCTGCAAAAATTTACCACACCACTCTTCTGTGTGGTCTACATTACACTCTGATTCTGACTACATATCAAAAATCATCTTTTTTTGATATAATACCAAATTTTTTTTGTTAAAAATCGCCTTTTTCTTGACCTTTTACTCGACCCTTAAAATTTTTAAAAAATAATTTTTTATTGAAAATAAAACTTTATTAGAAGCATTTATATAACCCAACAAACGAAGCAACCAGAGAAAAAGCGGCGTGCTGCGCTTTGCTCAACCGTCCGGCCCACAGGAATCGATGGGGCAGGGATGCGACGCCCGCAATGAAGTCCGATCCCAGGCCTAATAAGGCGATCCGATCGCTTTTCGTGACCTCCTGATACGCCTTCTCGGACAGCTCGTTGTTTTCGCGTTGCCTTGAGGCCCTCCGCAATCGCCATGCAAGTCGAATGAGGCCATGAAACATGGCCAGAACCCACAAATACAGCGCCCAACGGAACCATTTCGCGGTCTCTACGCTGACAAGTTGATGGTCCGATAAGTAGGCCAGCAATTCGATGACATTCTGCACACTGAAGATCCAAGTAACAGTGCCAGCAAGGCCTGTGTCCACCAAGTCTCGGGAGTGCTCCAGATCGTCCGGCACTTTGGAGGCCGTGTAGAACAGAGACGGAATGTTGAGCTGTCGGAAGATGAGACGCGATTTACTCAGCTCTTTTGCTAACGAAAAGATTTTCTTCGCAATCTCGGGGTCTCCGACTTTGGTGGAGAGCAGGATCAACGAGAAGTAGATGCATCTGAAATTTGGAGATTTGAATTTTTCGAAATTTGAATATTCTAATCATTAGATTTTTAAAAAAAACTTTTTTTTGATGTGATATTTAGTTTTGATAAGATGAAAATTGTAGCCTAAGGATTTGAAAGACCAATAAAAAAATATTTTTTCAGTCTGTCGGGAAAATAATGAGCACCCTCTCTATGACAAAAAAAGTCGTCGGAATCAATTTTAGGCCAGAATAAGCCTTTTTCACTTCGGCGACGCATATCATGGCCCCATGATTACATTTTGCAAAATACATATAACTGAGATTTTTTAGTCAGGTTGGTGAAAATTTGAAATTTTTTGAAAATTTTGCCTTGAAAAGTTTCATCCTTATTTCTTCCGTAGAGAGTAATGCTTCCACAAAAAATCAATTTTTTCCGCGTGAAACTGGCAAAGATACAGCCTAAAAAGTTTTTTCTTCTCTGACCGCTCTCCGCCTTTCGCGTACTCTCTCGGCCGCAAAGATCGTCGAATATCTCGGCTCTTCCTGCAAACAGTGAGCTAAAATTTTTAGGAATCAAAGGCTGCTCTAGACAGATAATACAAGCAAAATTTGAAGGCATTCCGAGCCTTGCAACCACAAGTATCTTTGTTGTCATCAAAAACACATCATTTCTAAAATTCTCTATTTTTTCATTCCAAAAAGCGCCAAAAAAGCAAAGCAATGTGCTCCAAATTTGTCTCCACTTTTTTATTGTCTAATCGGCAACAGTCGAATGATAAGGACTCGAGGTTTCATTCGTTTCGAATGCTCAATCAACGAATGCTCCTTAATCGGGTTAACTCGGTCGTTAGGTATGGTTGTTTTTAGGTTCAAATTGCTCAATTTGCATGTAATTTGGGAAGTTACAAGTGATTGTTACGGAAAGCATGACTTGAGGAAGTCACGGACTTGACTTTTAGGTAGCGCTTTCCAAGAAAAATTGAGATTTTTTGACCGAAAGTTGATAAAAATTCAACAATAGTTTTTGCGATTAACGGATGAAAAAATTTGGGCTTATTTCAACTGAAAAGAGCAATTTTTCTCACAAAAAATAGTCTTTTTCCATCCACCTACAGTGTTGGGCCGGATTCAGTGGCAAAAACGCACTATTTTGCATCCGGGGAGGATCAAAAAATGTGGCAAAATACCTCCCTCTCCGAGTGAAAAAACCTCGATTTCAAGCGCGCGCCCGCTCTTTTTGTGAGGGAGCCCTTCAAAACGGAGTTTTTTAGTTGGAGGGGAGGCATTTTGCTACATTTCTTGACACTTCCCGGAAGAAAAGTGCTACGTCTTTGGCCACTGGATCATGTCCGTCACTGTAGAAGCATGGAAAATAAGCGAGACGCTCAGATTTTCTGTAAATTTTGCACTCACGCCGGGAATAGGCCACTTATAACTTCCGGAAAGGTTTATCTCGCGCTCTTCAGAGACAGCCGAGAAATTGAATGATTTTTATGGCCGAGAGAGTACGTAAAATTCGGAGAACGTTCAGAGAAAAAGCATTTTTTGCAATGTCTTTGCCAGTTTTGTGCGGGAAAAATTGATTTTGCGTCAACACTGCCCTCTAAACTACTGAAACCGATTTTAAAACGCCCAAAAAACACAACATTCCCATAAACACAGTCTGAAAAATTCAAAAACATCGCTAAGCCTCTTTAAAAAAAACTTTTTTTTAAGTTAAAAATTCAACAACCTACCTAACCGCCTTGTCTCTTCCATTGTACGTGGCCAAAACGCGGATGATCTCCTTGAGACTGGGCAACTTCTCATGCGACATGATCGTATGTACAGACAACTATTTACACGCTTACAAGTGTCGATTATGCGGTCGGAATAAAAGAGCCGGCTCGCCCGAGAGAGACGTTCAATTAGGAGGCTTGAAGAGAAGAACACACAATTTATAGTCCGAACACAAACACAGCCCAAACTTTGGCGGGGTTTTCCAGCCACACAAAATTTACAAAGGTAAACCAAGGAGTAGCGAAGGGTTTTATATATCAAGACTTGTGATAGTGGCTATGATAAGCAAAGGCATCAAAAAACATTGAACGCCCTGGGAAACACAGAGAGTTTCGCGGGTCGTGACTTGTAGCTTATGATCAGCAGAGATGAGTGGAGTTTGGGGCGGCATGGTCCGAAATATTACTTATATTTTGCGGTTTTTAAAAAGGAAGTATCAGTCTGTCGGGAAAATAATGAGCAGGTCGTCGAAGCTCCCTTTTTCGAGAGATCCAGAAAGTTTTTAGAGAAAGAATACAGAGTGACGAGACGGCTGAGAAGGTGAAAAAATTTGAGAGATGACGTCATAAAACGCCAAATTATCATTCTGTCGGGAAAATAATGAACACAATGTCGCATCGAAAATCACACCGCCAAAAATGAATTGTGTCGCGGAGAAAACAAAATTGCTTTTCACTTCAGCGACACGATGGCGAAATTGTGCTCATTATTTTCCCGACAGACTAATACAAAGAAAGTACTGTCTCAAGTGAAACGCTCAGGTTTCCTTCAAATTTCTTAAACATGACTAGCGTAGGCTGGATATCAGTCTGTCGGGAAAATAACGGCGGTTGTCACAGCAAAATGTTTCACCTGGCGAAAAAAGGGTGCTGTCGCGCACCAAATCTCCAGCTGCGGCAGGTGTCGCAAGGCCATGATGGGCGATTCCAAGGCGCAACGCGCGTCAAACTGAGGAGTCCGGTGACCGGAATAGACACTTCGCTATCGGTTTTTTACACTTCGTCTTGATTTCGCAGAGAAAGAGAGAAAAAAGACACACAAAAGCGTACTCTCTCGCCCCAAAAATTCCCCATTTCTTCCCCGACAAAGCGTTTTTTCGCGTCTTTTTTTGGCAAATTGCCAATCCATTCACAGGACTGTTTTAGATTATCTCAGTTTGACGTGCAACGGCCTTCCGTTATTTTCCCGACAGCCTGGCAATTTTTCTAACGGACTAATAGTCAAAGTGAACGCTCAGATTTTCTTTAAATTTTGCATACACGTCCGGCGTATAGTCCGTGTATTAACATTTTCATAAAGTGCACGGACATTTTTTCGCTTTCGCACTGTGCATTTTGAACTTTTTCCCACACTTGATCATCAACGGACAGTTCATTTTTTTCCTTGCAAAACATAAAAAAACGTCGTTTTCACTATGCCAAATTATCTTTTTGAGAAAACAAACATCTTATTTCTGGCTCAACATGTGTTTCCAAAGATTTATAATATATAAGAGAAGTTTATGACCCCATCTCTGACCACAGTACTTTGCTGTTTCACCAACTATTGATCACTGATTTCAGATCATTGTAGCATACCCGCTTTTTTCGGACAACAGAACCTTCAAGTCACAATTGGTCAAAAAATTGTTTTGTTGTGAAAAAATTTCATATTTTTTTGTTTCAGAACAGCACAAGAAAAATAGGAAATGTCTGGTCTTCCTTCAGAAAAATTCCAAGGGTTTCTTGGCATCCAAAAAAATCTGATTAAGACGTATTCCGCAGAATAAAAATTTTCAAATTCGAAAAATCACACTAGAAATTTTAGCCGGCCAAGGCCCGGGCTTTCTATATTTTCTAAGCCAGGGCCGGGTTAGCCCCGGATTCTAGCCATGCTTATCTCGGCTGGGCCGGAGCTGGCCCCAAAGCCATGTCAAGTTCGAACAAACTTTTTGGGCCGATGGAAATTTTTTTTTTGTCCAGTCAGCCAAAAACGAGTCTTGCTTTTTCATCCCGGAATCTTTTTTGTACTCAAAAAAGAGCGCTTTTCCTGGGCTGATGCAGTAATGTTTTGTTTTCTTTCAGTTAAACTACTTTCTGGAAGGTTAAAAAACCGTTGAAAAATTTTTTTTGGTCTTTGAATTTTGTTTTTAATGAATTCCAATTTCAGTAAAAGTATGGACAACAATGCTGATGTTGGCTGAATGGAGCTGCTAAACCTTGAAGAAGTAAATTTAGCTGTTGTCAAGGCGTTAAAACATTTTGAAAAAATTTGAAGGGTTTTCGCTTCGGGACTAGTAAAAAGGATTTTTTGGGTTGTGAAAACATAAATATGGCAAGGTTAGATCAAGGCAAATTCTTTTGACGGATTTTTTTTTATATGACAAATGGGGATCAAGGTAACCCGTCTTTACTGATTTCTTTGTTTGTGAAAAGCTAGATATGAAAGGGGAGATCAAGGCAACTTGTTCTGACTAATTTTTCGTCTGTGAAAAAACGTTATTCCAATACCGTTATTGTTTTTAATGTTTTCTTTTGGGCGCAGGGTTCTGTTCACGCCTTTGGTCTGGTTCCTATGGTGACCATATCATCTCCTCAAACGACATGTTTGTGCAACCATATATCATTCTGGAATATCTGGCATGTCGTCTGCGTCGCCGTCGGAGTTGTTATTCTCATTTTCGTTATTAGCGGCGTCTTCATCCTCCTCGGCGGCTTCTCTTTGCTTTCGCTGTCTTTGAGTTAGCCGGGCTGTTGCCGGTGCGCCACAAAAATACGAACAGAACCTAGCAAACCTAAAAATAATAAGATGTTAGTGTAGTTCTTTCGTTTCTTACCGTTTTACTTTCTCCATGGGAAACACGATGCTCCTTGCAATCTCTTCAATAATTTTCTCGGATCCACGAGTTATGATCTCATCTCTGGCTACATCAGAGTCGCGACGTTTTGGCATTGCCTGATTTGTCAACATTGGGAGGATGTTTAGTCCCTGCTTTTCAAGATCACGCGCTATTAACTCAATGAATTTGTTGAGCGTTGTAGTTGAGCTTAAGATGGCATTCCATCCGTTATGCTGCCCCTCAAGGGCGTTAACAGTCCTTGGCAAGTCTGGATGAGAAGCAAATCCATACATCTCATAATTGTTTGTGCGGAACCACTGATCTATCACATAGCCTACAGATCGTTCCATAGCATCTCGTAAAAGTACTGACTGCGTAATTCCTGCCGGCACAGTGGCTTGAAGGTTTGTCCAAACTCGCATGATGTTTTCTACGGGCACATGAGGCCAGCCAAATAACGTCATGTACCATCTTTTAAGTCCTTCATACGTCATATTGGTATATCTCTTCGAGAAGGCAAGGCGTATAGCCGTGATACTAAAAATCAGTAAGAAGTAACAATAACTTACTATATTTGGGTGACGGCGGCAAACACAATTTTCTTTTCCTGGAGGATTCTGGTAGCAAAAAAAAACACACCGCCAGAAATGCAAACATATCAGCTTGTAGAAAAATGTTGCCCAAAAAGGGCAATAACTAACATTTTTCAACTTCTTATGCGTAAAGGAGACTGCATCTGCCAATGCTAACATGGTTGAAGCCTCAGAAACACGCATTGCAGAATGAGGTGTTGTGTGTGGCCTGTAATCTCAAGCCAAACAACAGAAATTTAAGCCCTTGAATGTCTGTTAATTATGTAACAACAACGCCCGCTTTTTTCCGACAAGAAAAATAGTTTTTCACAATCAAAAAAAAATGGTAAAAACGGCTCACCTTGATCCCCCTTGTTATATTTATCTTTTCACACACAAAAAAAAACAGTCAAAAACTTGCCTTGATCTCCATTGTCATATTTTCCTTTTGACAAAGAAAAAATTGTTTTTTCCCTTTCCCTTAAAATTAAAAAAAAATCCAAAAAATTCCTTTTTCCTTGTCCCGTATCGAAAACCTTTCACTTTTTTTCAAAATTTTCCAAAAAATTCCTTTTTCTCTGTCCTGAAGCGAAAACACTTCAAATTTTGTTAAAATTTTCCAAAAAATTCCTTTTTCCCTGTCTCGAAGCGAAAACATTTAAAATTTCATAAAAAATCTTTCTTTTTTTCAAGGTGCACTGTTCGCCCAGGTGCACTGTTTGTTTCAGGTGCACCGTTCGGACACAACCGACCTTTCACGTCAATCCAACGGATTTCCTGAACCGTTTTGAAACTTCGTATCGTTTTCATTGATTTTTAAATTTTAAAAAAGAGAGACGAAATGTCGGGAAATTAGCGCCATTTTTCTCGCCCGAAACAATTGCTTTTTCTCGAAAAGGAAGAAGAAAGATAAGAAAATGCTTTTTATCGGATAGTGACACTTCGTTTTGAACGAATCACCAAAAAGGGGCGGGAAATTTTTTCTTCTACTATTTTGGATTGACGTGCATTGCGATTTTCTTTTTTGTTGTTTCGAAAGCAATTCTTTTTCTGCCTCGATTTTTATCCCGGAAAGTTTGTTGAAATCTCTTTCATCGGAAGAAAAATCTCGGTATATCAGCCTGTCGGGAAAATAATGAGCACAATGTCGCTGTGCCGATCGTGTCGCTGAAATGAAAAGCAATTTGATTTTTCCGCGACACAATTTATTTTCATCGGTGGCGATGCGATTTTTGATGCGACAGTGTCCTTATTATTTCCCCGACAGACTGATAAGAGGCACAGTACGATTTTCGTTGATTTTTGACGTGGTGTTTCAAAGTCATTGCGCTCTATTTCATCGCGTATTTTATGTCGTGGCCATTTTTTTAAAGTCCATCCCCTTTATTTCCCCTGTCTTAAGAATTCAAAAATTATGTGGGCCGGAGATTCCTACAGGGAGGACGATGACTTCTATGAAGATCTCCGCGAAGCTTTTCATCAGGAAATGGAAGAAATGCTCTTTGAACATGACGACCTTGTTGATGACCTACGGCTAGAAAATGATGTGGATTTTGATGAAGATATCGAGTTAGAAGATCGTCTAGACGATCAATTGGAACCTAACGAAGATTACGATGAGATTCCACAAAAGTTAGCGAAATTGCCGGCGAGAACTAAACGTAGGGGAGCTTTTTATATTATCCATGAGATATCCGATCTCAAAATTGATTTTTTTATCTTGAACTAGATGATTTATAGGGTCTTTTGAATTTATAGGACTCTGTAAACTATCTACTAACGATTTTCGGAGAAAAAAGGGCAAGTTTATAAAAAATTGTAGAAAAAAATCGCGCATTGGAGATGACCTAGTTCAAGTTGAATTTTCACTAAAATCTCGTCGAATTTTTACGTCTAGCTGTCTAAAATAGCTCTCAAATTTATTAATATTTCTTCTAGATTGCCACTTGAGTCTTTGTACCGTAATTTTTCTTTGTTCCGACGCGTTTTTTGATCTTCACCTTGCTTCGAGTGGCCGTAAAAAAGAAAACGCTTTGTTCCAGAACAGAGAAATTAACATATGGCTGTTTTGGACGTCTTGCGCTTAGATAAGATCCGTTCTTTTCGGAAATTTTATTTCCGATCATATGGGTGCCTTTGCATCTGTTTATAAGGGGGCTTTATCTGATGGCTAGTATAATATAATTTTTGCTAGAATTCCGTCGATAGCAGTTTCATCTGGAAGAAAAGTGTTTTAGATATAAAGACAGTGCTTCTAGTTTCTGTTAACGCGTTAATTAACGAGTTTTGAGTCATCTACCGTCCGTATTTTACCCTTGTTACAAGTTGACCCACATTTCACAAAATGTGTCACGTCTTTCCCTCTTCAACTGTTTCATAATTTTCTGTGAAAAATGCGTGGAAATCAGCTCCAACTGCCCGCAAATGTCTCGCGTTAGTGTTGTATAACGGTTTTCTCCTCTTTCCGCATTTTTTGTTAGGCCCTTTCATCCATTTTTCGCTTTTCTAGCCGCGTTTGGCAAGTACAATATTTTTTACTCTTTTTTTTGACAAAAATGCCCCTTACTGCAGCTGCTCGGTTGGCCCAAGACTTCCAAGAGCTCAAAATGACCGCCGACTCGTTGTGGTACAGTGGAAAGTCGAAGAAAGTGGAGAACAACGCGGAGTACGTGTCGTCGAAGAGGTTCGCCGTTGAAGCCAATCCAGCCGACAGACTGAAGATCACTCACTATTATGTGGACTTTATCGGAAACAAGGAGACAAAACAGGCCAGACTTCGCTTGATCACGCATAGAAAGGCCAAGACTGAGTCCATCTTGATCAGCTATCATTTCTCCATTGCGAACCAAGACGAGGAGAATATCTGGAGCTCTGGTAAAGTTTTCTAATTTATTTTTTTTTGGTTTTTAGGTATTTTTGGAGGTAAATAGCGATATTATCACTGTAGCGAGATAAATTCAATAGAATTATGACGACTTTTTTATATTGCACTAGCTGTCTGTTAAGAAATCGCTATAAAGTTGTGCAGACGACTCGGAGATGTTTGAAAATTTCCGGCAAAATGGTTGACAGCATATCACTGCTATTAGAGAGGTTTTCTGCTCGAAACAACTTATTCTTGACCTAAATGATTTATTTTTGTATGTTCAACACCTAAAACAATATTTTCAGACTACGTCACGGCCCAGCACTCCAATAAGGAACATATAACTGTTGATTTGCCTGTTGCACACCTCAATACCCCTTTCTACATCAAGGGCGAGTTTCGAATTGTGGGAAAGAAGGACGATAAAAAGAAAGTTGAGAGTAAGAAGAGGGCTGCCAATTTTGTTGATCCTACCGAAAAGAAGTTGAAGCTGGACTTTACCAACTTCTATAACAAGCCAGAGTATAGCGATTGTGAGCTGCATTGTGGAGGCAAAGTGTTCTATGTGAGTCTTTTGAACTTTGTTTTCTGTTTTTAGATTCGTCAAGGATAATATAAATTTTAAGTTGCGTTTGTGGAAATTTAAGTGAATTGGGGAAGGTTAAAGCCTTAGCCTCAATTTTCTTTTGAAGAAATAGCGTATTTTTGTTTTTGTCGCTCTTTTTTGGGTTTTGCATTTAATAAAATATAAATTTTCAGGTGTCTCGAGTTATTCTCTCCGCTGCCTCCGATGTTTTCGATGCCATGTTCAAGTCCAATATGACCGAGGCTCAACACGGCAAAGTGAACGTTGTGGATCATGAGCCCGAAGTTTTGGAGCTCCTTCTCAAGTACATTTACACCGGAAAAATCTCAAACTTTGATATGAAAGCAGATAAGCTCGCTCAAATTGCCGAATACTATCATATCAAGGGACTCGCTGAGGAGTGTGTGGACGCGCTTATCCGGAGTATCGATGTCAGAAATGTGGGTGAAAGAACGATGATGGCGCATGCCATCAGAAGCAAGAAATTGCTGAAAGCTTGCCTGGATTACAGTCAAGCGCACATTGACGAGGTCGTCTAGGCACCGAATAGTCCTAGACATGGCTCAGGGATCATTTTGTTACCTAAAATTTACTTTGCTAATGGAAAAACGGGATTTTTCGGGAAATGCCGCGGATTTTACCCTCTAAATTATCGAAAATGGCAATATTTCGGGTATATTTGACAATTTAGAGGGGATATTTGCAATATTTCTCGTGTTTAATAGACTATTTATCTCCTTTATTGTAAGACACCGTGCTGAAATAAAAAAACAACAGATATGCAGTGAGAAATAAGTTACAGTACCCATAAACATGATGGTTCTAAACATTGACATAAAACAAATTTTTTGTCATCAAATTTTACGAAAAATTATATCACAAGTTGTGACGAAAATGTCATGAATAATGAAAATTTGGTAATTATGAAAAAAATCGGGAAACGACAAAAATATGAAAAAATATCATAAAGTGTGACAAGAAATTATGTCCTCACCGATGTTCTGGAACATTTATATTAGTATTTTCATAAAGTGCATGGACATTTGTTCTCTTTCGCACAGCACATTTTGATCTTTTTCCGACGCTTGTCGCCAACACACAATGCATTTTTCTCTTTTCGCACAGTGCAAACCTCAAAAAACGTCGTTTGCACTGTGCAAAATTCTTCGGACGAACCGCGGTGCCGCAGTTGAAACAAGCTTACGTCTCCGCGACATTTCAAATGCACAGTGCAGAAAACGAAGAATGGTGAAAGTGCAAAATGAAGGGTTTTTTGTGCACGGTGCGGACTGCGACAAAATGTCCAAATGTTTGTCGCTGTCCGCACCGGGCACAAAAAAGGGCCATTTTGCACCGTGAATTTCACATTTCTTTTTTGGTTTTCGCACTGTGCATTTGAAATGTCGTTGCGACGTAAGCTTGTTTCATTTGCGACACCGCGGTTCGGCCGAAGAACTTTGCACAGTGCAAACGGCTTTTCTGAGGTTTGCACTGTGCGAAAAGGAAAAATGCACTGTGCGTTAGCGACAAGCGTGGGAAAAAGTTCAAAATGCACTGTGCGTTAGCGACAAGCGTGGGAAAAATTTCAAAATCTCACTGTGCGAAAGAGAAAAAATGTCCATGAACTTTATGAAAATACTAAAACAAGAAGTACTCGTAGTTGCTAAGTAGTGCTACCAACAATGCCAACAGGAGTGTTTCGCTTTCTCCGCATTCTCGGCTTCCAATCGAATTCTCTTGAGCAAACTGACTTTGGCTCGGTTCCTCTCATAGGATTTGTAGGCAAATTCGGCAACCGTTTGAAAGGCTTCGTCTATATTGGCGCCGGTTTTGGCGGAGACCTGAAAAAAGTAGAGGGTAATGTGATACTGGAGGGAAAGTGAGAACTTTATCCAATTATTTCCATTTCTAAAAGGCCAAGCCAGTTCCAGTCGCCAAAAATCTCGAAAAGAGATCGAAATGGGCACGGATTTGTTATAAAAAAGTATGGGGAGACACAAAAAGACTGCTTATTTTGGCTTCTGTCAAAACTGAGAGTCTTTTTGTGTCTCTCTGATACTTTTTTATAACAAATCCGTGCCCATTTCGATCTTTTTTTCGGTATTTTTGACGGCTGGCGCTGGCTTGGCCTTATAGAAATGGAAATATTGGACAAACAGGCAGAAAATCTGGGTTGCTCACTAAAAATTACAAAAAATTTTTGGTAAATAAAATGAGACTTACTTCAAAATACGCAGTGTTCCCTTCGATATCACAATATTCGAGAACTCGCTCTTTCTTTATCAATTTTTCATTCTCCAAATCCAGTTTATTCCCAATGATTACAAATTGAAAAGTGTCGGGTAGTCTGAAAATAGAATTGTGATTAACAATTTTGTTTGAGGCACCTACGAGGTCTGCCGAATGAATTCTCGTCGCCAGCGTTGAATGGCTTCGAAGGTTTTCTCTCTGGTCAAATCGAAGATCAATACGCAGCAATCGGCACCTCGGTAGAACGAAGTCCCTAGCGATTGAAAGCGCTCTTGGCCGGCGGTGTCCCAGATCTGAGTGTTGATTTAATTAAAAAATATACCACGTTTTTTGAAATTTTTTAAAATTTTTGGGATGAAATGTTACGATGCTGCATGAAGGTCATAATACAATGTTTTTACCAAAAATCGCCTTTTCCCAGGCGAAAATTTGCAAGGATCTGGCTAAAAAATGTTCTCTCTGACCGTTCTCCGCATTTCGCAATCTCGGCGGCAAAGATCGCTGAATATCTCCGTTATGCCTTCAAAGCACAAGCAGAGATCTTTAGGAATTAATGTGTGACTTCGTAGGGCATGAAGGTCAAATTTGAAGAAAATCTGAGCGTCACAAACTTGAGCACTTTGTAAGATTTCAATTGTGGTTTGGCTTACAAGTGTTCAAATTGTGACGCTCAGATTTTCTTCAAATTTGACCTATATGCCCTTGAAAGGCCACATATTAATTCCTGAAGGTTTTTGTTTGTGCTTTGAAGGCACAGCCGAAATATTCAGCGATCTTTGCCGACGAGATTGCGAAATGTGGAGAATGGTCAGAGAGAGAACATTTTTTGGCTAGGCTCTCGCAAATTTTCGCCTGTGAAATGGCGATTTTTGGTAAAAACATCGTATTATGGCTTTCATTCAACGTCGTAATATTTCATCCCAAAGATTTCAAAAAATCTCAAAAAATGCGGTATTCGCTGACGAGCGTACGCGAAAAATGGTTCATAGTAAAAAGTCCACATACCTGTAAATTGACTTTCTTCCCCTTTACTGCCGACAGTTTCGTGAAATAATCCGCGCCCATCGTGGTCCGGAACACATTGCTGAACGTATTGTTGACATAGCGACTCAACACCGACGACTTCCCCACTCCGGAATCCCCCAAAACAATAATTTTGAGGGTCGGATGGTCCATAAACTGCAATCTCATAGTCTTTTCGCCTCAAACACCAACAAGAAATGAAAATTTTGTTACTCGGAATTTTCGAGATTAGGAAAATTTTATCATCATATTTCGCAAATTTGGGAACGTAAACACGCGAAAATAATGTGAAACACAGCAAACGTTGAGTAAATAAATAAACATTTCCTTAACGGCGCTTCTCCTTAAATGCGTTTTTGGCCACAAATGTTGGCCATAAATGATGGATGAATGAGGCGGGAGAACAGACGGATAAGGCTCCATGAAAGGTTGAGTAAGGGGATGAAACAATTTTTGGCAACGCAAAAACGGAGATTACGAAATGTTTTTTGATTACATGGGGGCGATGTTTGTTGCAGTCGTGACCTTCGGATATGAATGGACAAACAAGTGTATTAATATGGAAATATAATAGTAGGAGGTCTTTTCGGGCTTTTTGGCCATAAAGTACGTAGTTTTTTGTGCGAAAAAATTAGTCGAGACTGTGTACTGGTATTATTCATAAAGTGCATGGACATTTGTCGCGCCCCATTGTGCATTGACAACAAGCGTGGGAGAGGTTAAAATGCACTGTGCGAAAGCAAAAAAAATGTCCAGCACTTTTTGAAGATACTAATAGGCAGGTATATAAGCCGTATGATTAACAAGGGAAGGGTTCAAAGTGTGACGTTCAGATTTTTTTATTTTGCGCACACGCCCGGCGTAGGCCACATATCAGTTCCTGAAAATTTTAACTTGCGCTTTGCAAGGAGAGCCGAGATATTCAACGGTCTTTGTGGCCGAAAGAATACGCGAAACGAGGAGAGTGGTCAGAGAAAAAACTTTTGGCCATAAATTTACCAGTTTCGTGAGGAAAAAATTACTTTTTTGAGTAAATATTGCTCTTTACGGTAGAAATAAGTATGAAACTTGTCACGCCACAATTCGCAAAAAATTGCAAGATTTTTGCCAAATTTCGACCTAAAAATCTCGGTCTTTTTTGCAAACCGTGAGCTGGAAATGTCACATATGCCCTAGAAAAAATATTCTAAATTTGTGCCAAGTTTTATCAAAATCTGAGCATCGTGCTTGGAAGACTTCCCCTATAAATAAGGGCCTTCTCAAGCAAGGAAATCAAATGTACAGGGTGGGCCAAAAAAATGGACAAAATTGAAAGTCGGTGTATCCCGGCACGAATACCGTAATCAACGGAAAGGAAAATAGTTTTATAATTGTCAACTATCCTACTTTATCACAACTATTTAAATTTTTTATATACTTTTGTTGAACCGCTGATACAAGCCAAAATACTAGACCAGTCCATATTCTGACTACGTTTTCCGAAAATTTTATGAGTCCAAAAATCTTCAATGACCTAAATCTCTACGACCAGCCCAAAACTGGTGGTTGACTGTTTATCAGGATACTAAGGGGAGCCTACAGAAGCAAAAAAGCTGATAGTATTCTATTAATTTCGCTCCAGCAGTTCTCAACGTGATCCACAAGAGGTCCATCTGGATAATTCTAGATTTTTGAGATAATTGACATTCAAGAGTCGCAGGGGAGCCCGGCTCATGCTATTGATAGCAAAAAGTGGTCGCTGTAAGGCATCTAACATTGCTTTACATGGGCCAGCAGTTGATTTGATAATAGTTTGCATCAGCCGTGCGCAGACCTTAAAAAATTTCAGCCGGCTATACCCAGAGACGCTGATATCTTTTGATCAGAAAATTTTTTCTTTTTTGTTGGCGTTTTTCAACGTGCCGGATAATTATGACGGGATACTTTTATATCAAGGTGATACGACCCCTTTCTTCCATTTTAAGTCTGTTTCATAAAATTTGGATGCAGCTAGCCTTCAGAATGCATGTATTATTGCGATGACCCATCAAAAAGTCAAAAAAATCGATTTTTTGCTTGCCATCTTGCAGATTGAGTGGTACTGTTGTCAAAAATGCGCTTAGTATATTCATCGTAGAGTAGTAAACACCGTATGGGTGTAACTAGTTTCAAAATGTTCACCACGTCTGGTAGAGCATCGATTTTCCGAAAGCGCCAAAATGAAGCTCGATTTTCCCTGGCCGAGTGTCTGACTTCTGGTCACTGGTTCTTCATTTTCCGAAAAGCTTGGGCTAAATCCTTTTCAAACCTAAGGGGGCATGTCTCCTAGATTTGCGTAGACCGCTTGGTATGTCTTTACAGCGACTCTAAAAATTTTAGGGGTAAGAACTTTTGAAATTTTTGCCGCGGGAATTGGCGCGCTGACCCGGTGACCTTCCTGCAACCGTATGTTAGAAACTTCTGCAGATAGGACAAAAATTCTACAGTAAATATGTTACCTTAACACAGTACTTTCATGCCATGCATACGTTTTTTCACAAACTGTTTCATGGCAGGAAAAATCGAAGAAAAATTAATGTCCATTTTTTTTGGCCCACCCTGTAAAAACAAGAAAATCCATGCTAACAAAACTACAAGATACATTTATCGCGGAGGAAAGAAACGCATAATGTGAAACGCCAAACAAGGTGCATTAATCACCAAAACTGCCCCATTGCACACGGCCAATAACTTTCTTCAAATTGACGGTTAACATGCCCTGCGGAGTACGAAAAGGTCACGAATTGGCCATTCTTCTACGCCCCCGTAATCAATAAAACCATTAAACGAAAAAAAACCCCCAAAAAAGGAAATGCCAATATCCTTGGCATAATTGATTTTCTGCGTTCATTTTGCAGGGGTTTTCGCAAAATGCAGAGAAAAAAGTAAAGGCCGATTTTTTCGGCCTTGATTCTCGAAGCTTTAGCCACATTAGGGACACCTATAAATTAGGTCTTTTGGGCCGAAAGTCTCGCCATTTTTGGGGTCGGGTTTTATTTTTCCTTAAGGCTGAGGGTAAACACCACCTTAGGCTTTGATTCTTGAAGCTTTAGCCACATTAGGGACTTGGCTTTGGGCCGTTTTTACGTTTCTTTTGCACAACGTGACGTTTTTATGACTTCTTTTGGGCTTGATATTATTTTGCGAGCGTTAAGCGGATGATTCGAGGATTTATTTGTTGTTTTGAGACGTCTGTAGAGAGACAAGATGGCTGTAAAAACAACTAACATCAAAATAACAGTTGAGGATTACGGCGGGTTTTTGGAAATCTCGATTTTCGGACTTTTTTCAACAGAAAACCCCAAGACTTTTAGTGGAAACGATCTTTTTGATCGTTTCTCGTCATTTTGTTCAAAAAACATCTCTTTCTGTCCGAAATTCTCAAAGATCAAGCTAAATTCGCAGCAAATGGCTGGTTAAAACCTTCACAAATTGATGAATGGTCTAGAACACCAATTTTCGGGAAAATCTGCAAATCGCATTTCCGTTGTAACTCCCTCGAGGGTCTGTGTTTACCATTGAATTATGCAAATAGCCTGTTATCAGTTTTGCTCTCATATCTTGTTTTTTTTTTTTTATTTTGTCCCTTGGACCAGCATAGTAAACGTGTTCTTTTTTGCAATTACCACTGTATCTTTTGTACAGGGTGTTTCAAGAAATGCGGAGGAAAGTAATGGCCGATTTCTGGGCCGTGTGTCGACGGAGAAGCTGAAGATTTGACAAACTGGGCACAGAAACGCTTTAATTTTATTCTGTAGAGTTTCTGAGGATCAGAGTGCAAAATAAGTTCAGAAGTGCGGTTCTCAGATTGCTCATTTTTCGTCGAAATCAACAATTTTTTGGTTGGAAGGAGAAAAAATTCACCTTTTTTCCTGCCAACCGAAAAATTGTGAATTTTGACGAAAGATGAGCAATTTTACAACGGCTCTCCCGGACTTATTTTGCCCTCTGATCCTTTGAAACTTTACAGAATAAAATTGTAGTGTTTCTGTCCCCAGCTTGCCAAATCTTTAGCATCTCCGCCGACCCACGGCCGAGAAATCGGCCATAACTTTGCTCCGCATTTCTTGAAACGCCCTGTACAAAAGATATAATGATAATTGCAAAAAAGGATGCGAGGTATGCAAAACTGGTCCAATGGACAAAACAATAAGAAAAAACACGATTTGAGAACCAAACTGATAACAGGCTATTTGCATAATTTAATGGTAAAACCAGACCTCCGAGGTAGCTGCAACGAAAATTTGATTCGAAGATGTTTCCTAAATTTAGTGCTTTTCCAGGCCATTCATCAATTTGTGAAGGTTTTAACTCGCCATTTACAGTGACTTTAGCTCGATCTTTGAAAATTTCGGATGAAAAAAGCGATTTTTTTGTATAAAATAGCGAGTTTTTGCCCTTTTCCACTAAAAATCTCCGGGTTTTCTGTCGCAAATTTCCGAAAAAATCCAAAACCGCCGTAATTCATCAACTGCCATTTTGATGTCTGTTGTTTTTACAACCTTCTCCTCTCTCCACAGACGTCTCAAAACAACAGATAAGTCCACAAACATCCGCTTAACCCCCTCAAAATGATGTCAAGTCCAAAAGAAGTAATAAAAACGTCACATTATGCAAAATAAACGTAAAAACAGCTCAAAGCCAGTCCCCAATGTGGCTAAAGCTTCACAAATCAAAGCCTAAGGTGGTGTTTACCCTCAGCCTTAAGGCAAAATAAAGCCCGACCCCAAAAATGGCGAGACTTTGGGCCCAAAAGACCTAATTTACCCTCCGGCTCTTTCCCGTTTGGATTCGCACAAAATGAATTTTCTCTTTAAAATTCAGAATTGCCTCGTCGTCATTTCCATCTTCATTGTTTCCCACCTTCTTTTTTTGGCCTCGATCGGGGGGATTGAGGTCAAAAATTGTTTTTGAATTGTCAGAGGAAGTGGGCAAAGTGCGACGCTCAGATTTTTATGAACCTCGGCATAAATTTAAATTAGTTTTTCCTGATGCGTATGCGAGGTTCGTAGCCCGCGCTTTGCGAAGACGACCGAGATTTTTAGGTCGATTTTTACTATTATTTTTTTGAAAAGTTCGCAAAAAAATCTACTTTCTAAAACGAAAAGCCCCAAAAATATGGCCACACCAACACTAAATGACACTAAAAAGTGGTTTAGCAAACCCAATACAATCTAAAAATCGAGCTTCAACCCAAAAATTTTCCAAAACGAAATTCGATCAGGATGAGATTCGAACTCACGCGGGGAAACCCCAATGGATTAGCAGTCCATCGCCTTAACCACTCGGCCACCTGATCACGGCGTCCGAGGCGCTTCTTTTTCACATACGTCCTTTTTGTATTTTTTATCAAACCGTTTGAAGGCTTTTTGGTGATTTTTTGACAAAAATAAGGTTTATAAACTCAAAATGGCATGGAAAATGACAACTGTATTGTTTTAGACAACTAAATTTTGGGTCGTCGAATGTTTGAGGTCAATTCCCAAATAGGTGACATTTTATACGATAAAAATTTTTTTTTGAAAAAGTGATTATTTAGTGTAAAATAACCGTCATATTCATGGCAAATACGTCTAGAGTCGCATACTCAACAAATCGCATCCATTAGAGACATTTTATACGATGAAACATGTTTCTTCGCCTAAACCAGTTTCATCGTATAAAATGTCTCTCAGTCGCTCAAAATCAAATCAACGACCGAGAAATAACTTCTAAATTACAAAACAGGCCTTTATTTACAACAAAACCCCTACAAGGGAACCAACTTTTTACAAAATACTGAATTTTCTCGATTCCACATATTCCCTGATGTTCTTCATGCCCAAAATCCCTTTGAAATACCCAAACAAGTCCGGGAAATCGTTGAAAAGCCTCGGTTCAGCCGTGTAAATTCTGTCCAGGAAGTCAGCGGCATAAAAATCGGGCCAGGTTGGTAGATTTCCGACGATGAATCCGCTCATTTCCCTTCCAATCACTCGGGAATAGATTGGAAAATATCGTTTTGCACTTGACATAGCTACTTCTTCATACGAAATTTGCTAAAAATAGAAAAATACAAGACTTCAAGAGGTTTATAGTCTACCTTTTGCGCTTCATCAATTCCAGCGGCAGCTCTCAGAAAGGGATGAAATTCGGCCATGGCTTCCAGATGGACCTCAAAAAATTCGTCAATGATCGCGTTCTGCCGTCGATCCCTGCCTTTTAAACCTAAAAGCTGTCATTGAAAGGCACTTTTACGAATTTTGAGAGCAAAATCTCAAATTTTTATTATATTCTCCTTACCAAAAATATCGGCCAAATATCTCGCAATCGCCGCAGATTTATGAATTGTCATTCCATCATGTTCCAGGGCCGGTAGGGTCTTCAATGGGAACTCTGAGAGCAAAGAAATTCAAATTTAACCGATAAAATATAAGATTTTTCGAAAAATCCGTGGCATTCCCTAGTACAATATAAAAATCTCCAATTTTGATCCTTTTATTGTCCAATTTTAACGTCTAAAGCGAGAAACAAATAGAAAATCACTTACTATGTTGTTCATTCGGCCAATCGGCATCAGCAATTCGAACATCTTCAAAGCTTTCTTTCATGTAGTGGAACATCAGACGGATTGGCTCGCCGAGGTCGCGGACGTCGAAGAAATAAAACTTAAATCGTCCGTACTGAAAGAGCAGACCTTATAGTACCTTATCAATCGATTTTTACAAAGACTTCAACCTAAAAATCACAAAAAAATATTATTTTAAACACCCACCTTGGTAATTTTCGGAACTGGTGTTACATCAGCCAATTGCGTCGCAAACAGCTGTTCCAGCTCGTCCTCCTCTTTATGACGTTCAGTTGGAGCGTATTCAAGCTGAGGTAACCATGCTTGGGAAAGCACAATGTCGTTATCAACCGAGGGAATTGGGGGCGGAGCCACTTCTCGTCGCTGTTCTCTGTGAACTCGACGAAGGAAAGTGTCAAAGACATAAGAGCTTTCAGTCGACTGGAAACGGGACTTGTTTTGATCCCGATGGGATTTGTGGCGATTTTGGGCTGAAAATTGCGAAAATTTATATTGTACTAGATGGAAATTTTGATGCTAAAGTCGCGGGTCTTGATTAAAAAGCCGGGAAATGCTCCAAATAGCTGATAAAATAACCATCGCACATACTGAGATCTAAAATTTGCAAATTGCGAAACATTTTTATATTATTTTAGGTATCAATCCACAAAGCTGTCAAATTTTCGTCAACTTCCGAGCCTAAATCACAAACAAAAAATTAAAAATCTTACCTGCAAGTCCTCCACGACCTTCTCGACACGCCGGACGCGTTGGACGGAAAAATTCCGCGGCCATTTCCCGATCCCGGCTCGAAATGTCTTCAAAATTGAACAAACTCATCTTCAACAACGGCCAAAAATACTGTCAACGACCTCTGCGAAAGTTTGGAAAACTCAAATGACCAAAATTCCGTCCAAATCCATTGACATTTGCATAAGAATTTGAAAAATTGTGAAAATCATTCATTTTTTGGGTTTTCCTCGGAATTTTGATCATCCTTCTCAAAGATGAACCCAGTACGAGCTGGGACGACCGTAGCGAGCGCTGTGGTCCAGTCGGAGGTTTGGGAGAAAAGGCAGAGAGCTTCGACGACCTGATTCAGGGCCAGCATCTGGTTGAATGTCCAATTGCCTTTTTCTGTGTTGCGTCTGGAGAATTCTGATATCGGCAAACGATAGGATTTGTGGCCAGAGGTGTCTAAAAACCAAAGAAACGTATTTTAGGTTTCGAACTTCGACCGGGGATATTTTATACGACAAAAGTTGTCCAGAACATTTTATCGTATAAAATGTCGCCATCGCTTTTTTGAAGTAAAAAACCCTTAGGGAATAATAATTACATTCTTCCATGGTACAAATCGTATCTTACCAGCACAATGGCGACATTTTATACGACAAAAACTTCGTGAAATATTTCCATCGTATAAAATGTCACCTTCGAAGATTTCAACTCAAAAAAGTAAACCACAACTGGTAAGAGAATTGAAAATCTCATGAAACATATTTTTTCACTTTACACTCACAAGGTGACATTTTATACGATTAAAACCGCGCGAAATATTTTCATCGTATAGAATGTCGCCTTCAAAGGTTTGGCCTCAAAAAATAAACCACACACTGTCCAGAGAGTTGAAAAATGCCATGAAACATTTTTTTCATTCTACACTTACAACGCGACATTTTATACGACAAAACATTTTTTGCTAACATCATCGTATAAAATGTCCCCTTCATTACCTACGAAATAAAAAAATATCTCACCAGCTTTCATTTTGGTCCTACTTCCAACCCCAGTCTCATCGACGATCCCTCCAATCACATAAATATTGTCCTTGCTCAATTCCAACAACGGTTCGGCATCAGCATCGGGAGTCAAATAGATCAACTTATCCAAGTCAGACCCTCGAATCACATCATGAGCCGTCTTGTCATGCGTTTTCCAATCGAATTTGTCGAAGCCGGTAACAATTTTTTGACAATTCTCCGAGAAGTCTGGAGTTAGTCCAAAAAGTTGCGTTTTTAGTCCTTGATAACGTTTCTGAAGGCCCCAAATTCTCCCTAATTGTCTGGCTAGGTGAGTTGACTCTTTTTTGTTCATCTGCACTTCAAACCCCAAGTCAATAGCAATCTGAAATTGAAAATATTCAAAAAATTATATTATTTTAGACAAAAACGAACTAAAACAAGTCAGAAAGCGGATGAAAATGCGGTAAAATGATGCTGAAAGACTGTAAATACAATAATGAGTCGAGAAATTACTAATAAGAATCCAAAAATCTCGAAAAAAGGCAAAAAATATTCTTCTGCGTCTGACGGGAATCGAACCCGTGTCGATTGCTTGGAAGGCAACCATGCTGACCATTACACCACAGACGCACGCTCCCTTCCTTTCGTTTTCCGAGCCGCCCTTTGAATTTTTTCACTCGCACATTTTCTCTCGAACTGAGGCGGAATTTATCACAAATTTTATATTTTCTCTACTTTTTTGGACTCTAAATTTGGAAAAAAATAATTGTAAACCTTCCTTACATTTAGTTCTTCCTTAAGGACTATCTTTTCTTCTCGATTTCTCCGTTTTCTCGCTGTTCTTTGACGTTTTCTCTCTTCCGCACGCTTGGCAAGCCGGGATTGCTTGATTTTCTCGAAATATCTGGCAGCTTTCTCCTGTTTGGATAGTCGATTTTCGTTCTTCTTGCTGCAACGGTCCTCCTCGACGGTTATTTCAGCGAATTCAGCGAGAATTCGCTCAACATCCAACATTTTTTGAGCAAAATTGATCTTGTGCAATGTTATCACCTAAAATCTGATAAAAACTAAATACCCGTATTTTACCTTTTTCTTCACAAAAAAATTATTTTTCTGTTTATTTTCCTACTTCATGCTGCGCCCTTGCTTCATGCGGACTGCGGAGACATTTTATACGATGAAAGCTGTTACGGTAAATTTTATTTTTGCGTATTTTCCAGTAAAAATCATCTATACATTCAACCTTCATAGTCAACATGAGGTATTACGGTGGCATCTCCCAGCTGCTTGGCGATGACAGCACATTTTTCGAGTTTGTAATACTTGGCGTATATTGTTTTAGGCCTTCGCTCGCTGTGAATGACCGTCTGGAAGGGCGGATCGCCTCGACAAATGTCAATCTCGAACTAAAATAAGCCATTTAAAAGTGTTTTGGATCAAAATTTCGGTGCTTACATCCCCGCCAATTCCAATAAAGTGGTTTACGGTGATGTTGAGGGGTTCCGTCAAAATTCCCGTGAAGAAAACGTCATCCATCTTCATGAATTGATGATGTTTCGCCTCCTCGAGAAGTTTCCCAACTGTCTCACTGGGCATTATGACCGCGTAGCCGTTGCAATAGGGCGGGTACCAGTCTTTTTCAAATTGATGTTTGGGAACGAACCTGGAAAGTGGAAAAAACCTTGTTTTGATGGGAAAATGAGATTGGATTTGGATGCAACTCGGCAGAGTTTAAGATTAGAGTTTTCTATGACATATCAGAGATTTCTAGCTCGCATTTTACAGAAACTGACGGGATTTTTTTGGTCGAAAAATTTCAAAAATTAGATTTTTTTTGGTATTTTCAAATTGAAAAATTAGAGGCCTGTGCAGAGAGTGGAGCACTAAATCCTTATGAAAAATGGTTTTTGAGTCTTTAAATTTACAAAGAGATATCCATAAAAAGCTTTTTCTCCGACCGTCTCCTCATTTTTCCTAATCTATCGTCGAAAAAAGATTGTTGAATATCTCGGTTGGCTTTGCAAATTAAAAGCTGAAATTTTCAGGAATTGATATATGGACCATACAGACTATGTAGGCCAAATTTGAAGAAAATGTGAAAGTTACGCATATAGCAATGCACTTTGCAAAAAAAAATTAAGATTTTTTGAAAACCTTGTAAAGAGTTCGAAATTTCTCGAAACTCAACTCACAGAATTTCTTCAAATTTTGCCTAGAGAACAACAATCTATCTTCTGTCAATTCCTGAAAATTTTAGCTTTTACTTTGCAAAGGCAGCCGAGATATTCAACGATCTTTTTGGATCGAGAGATTAGGGAAAATGAGGAGACGGTCGGAGAAAAGACTTTTTTGGGATATATTTTTGTAAATTTCGAGGCAAAAAAATCATTTTTCATAAAGATTTAGACCTCCACAATTTGCACAGAGCCCTAATTTTTTTCAATTTGAAAATTTTAAAAAAATTGAAATTTTTTTAATTTTTGACATTTTTCGACCAAAAAATCTCGTCAGTTTCTGCAAAGTGTGAGTTAAAAATCTCGGATATCTCTTAGAAAGCTCTAATCTTAAAATTTCCTCAAGTTTCATCAAAATACAAGAGGTGAAATATTGCAATTCCCTCATAAATCATCAATTTCCCCTTACCATTTATTATTGGGATCTCTGATTGGCTGAACGCCTTGGATTTTCTGGCACACCAGCCAATCCCTTTGCCCAATTATAATCCCGCCAAAATCCCGTTCAATCCATTGCCAGAGGCGAGGGAAATGCACTATGACGTCATCGTCGACTTTCATAAAAAAGAAGGCCTCGTGGCAAAAACTTTGATGATATTGGTACATGGCGTTCCATTTGATCGAATTGTTCGCATAGGAGTCCACCATGTCAATGAAAACAATGTCATTGTACTGTTTGACTTCTTTTTGGAGGAGATCCGGCCGAGTTGTATTGCTTTTTCCGATGAAAAATTTGTATTCAATATTGTAGTAAGCGGCCTGGAAAATTTGGACGATAAAATTAGATCTTTGAATTGCGCCTAGGTCTTATTTTATCAGTCTGTTGGGAAAATAATGTGGATTTGTCGAAGCAAAATTTCTCGCCTCGACACATTTTCCTCCGAGTCTATCCGCCGCAAAACGATGATGGACGATTTCTAGGCGTGAAAAATCCACATCATTTTCCCGACAGACTTTAGTGAAAGTTTTTACTTTGTTGAAAAATCAGAAAAAAACGCACTGTGCAAAATTATCACGACTTTTTTGTCTCGGGTATACATTCGGTTGCCTTGCTGTGCCGTTGTAAGCACAAGGGATGGGATAGGAGGGGCTTAAAAAATCGTTTTTTTACTTCAGCGATGCGATTGACGCAGCTACATTGTGCTCATTACTTTCCCGACAAACTGATGGCTAGTAAAACTAAGGCTAGCTACTATATACTGCACGTCAAAAGTTTGGAACAGGCCAGATCTTCTTTGTGGCTTGAGATGGGAGTTTCATTTCTTTTTTATTCGAAGCTCCATGTATTAAGAACCTCAATGAATACATAGCCATGGAAATCAGAAAGCTCGTTGGAATTAAAAAAAAATTTTTTTTAAATAAGTGCGTCAAAAGTTTGGAACAGCTTTTGGAAGGTGATTATAAACTTCGGGATGGAGGCAGGTATCCTCGCATTTAGTGTTTCTGGATGATGTATGGAATCGGCATGCCAATGGCATACTGATTTTCATCGATAAACCCAAAATGAAAAAAATGCTTATTGAGCCAAAAACTACGGTCAAATTTGCGAAAAAATGAATTTTTTGGTTTGGGTTCTCTATGTTATCGGTGTGTAAGCGTTCTAAAATATTTAATGTGGTCGCACAATTGTACAAGGGAACTCAGATCTTCGCATAGGAACCATATACGCACAGCATAATTTATGAAAATTTTGAGTTTTGGTATGAATCTTTATTTAATGTATTTTATATTTTTTATAGAGCGGCTTGGAGGCTAATTGGCTTTAAGACAGTTATCGTGGAATAAAAAGGTGCCTTCAAGAAACAAAAACCCATGCTATTTGCAACATCCAAGGCCACATCTTTCGGATATTAAAAAAAAATTTAGTCCCCAAAGTCAATATTCATATCTGACCCGGATTTGTGGTGTGATAAATCGGAAAGTTGGTTTATATTACTGCATCGGTGTGATAACTATAAAGGAACTTAGTTTTGAGCCATGCAGCGGCTTCAAATCCAAGATAAAAAATATCTGAATATTAACATTTCATATACCCGCTATTTTTAAAGATGTGGCCTTGATGTTGCAAATAGTGGCCAGGTTCTGCTTCTTAAAGACACCTTTTTATTCAACGATAACGGTGTTAAAGCCAATTAGCCACCAAGCCGCTCTATAAAAAATATAAAATACATTAAATAAAGATTCATACCAAAACTCAAAATTTTCATAAATTATGCTGTGCGTATATAGTTCCTATGCGAAGATCTGAGTGCCCTTGTACAATTGTGCGACCACATTAAATATCTTAGAACGCTTACACACCGATAACATAGAGAACCCAAACCAAAAAATTCATTTTTTCGCAAATTTGACCGTAGTTTTTGGCTCAATCAGCATTTTTTTCATTTTGGGTTTATCGATGAAAATCAGTATGCCATTGGCATGCCGATTCCATACATCATCCAGAAACACTAAATGCGAGGATACCTGCCTCCATCCCGAAGTTTATAATCACCTTCCAAAAGCTGTTCCAAACTTTTGACGCACTTATTTTTTAAAATTTTTTTTTAAATTCCAACGAGCTTTCTGATTTCCATGGCTATGTATTCATTGAGGTTCTTAATACATGGAGCTTCGAAAAAAAAGAAATGAAACTCCCATCTCAAGCCGCAAAGAAGATCTGGCCTGTTCCAAACTTTTGACGTGCAGTATAGTTAAAATTGGAAAAAAGCGGTTATATTGTAAGGCTTCGTCTTACAGTCTTCGCCGAGCCTTCGCCGAACCTTGTTTTCCCCCTTCGTTGTTTCATTGGAAGTTCTAATTTTAATTTTCGAAAAAATTGAACTCTCTTTTTTCAAAAACATCCGTATCTGCGTCATAAAAACCTTCGTATACGTTCTGAAGACAGCTGAAGATACAGTGTTTACTGGAAAAATGCCATGTCTTTTTTGGGAGAGTGTTGCTGTGTAAATAAATTTTGGGTCAAGGTTCGAGAGCCCAGGAAACAAGGTTCATGAGTGTTTTGGAACTAACTTTTGGCCATAAACGAACAGGGGAAATGTTGAGACTGCGACGCTCAGATTCTGATGAAATTAGACACAAATTTAGATGATTTTTTTTGACAAAAATACGAGGTTTGACCATGTTTGTCATTTTTAGAATACGTTGGGCAAAATTTCATGCGAGCATAAGTCTGTCGGGAAAATAATGTGGATTTATCGTGCCTTGAAATCGCCCATCATCGCTTTGCGACAGATTTTTGGTGCGCGATAGCGACGAAGCGATGAATTTTGCTCCCACAAACACACATTATTTTCCTGACAGACATATGTATGTGAAAAAAACTAGTGTAACAACTGACTACGGCGTCCAAAAGACCCAATATTGTGCTGAAATGAGCCTCCGTACAACAAAATTCGGTGTGGAGCCGTGAAAATTCACAGGGCTTCTTGTCGCGTTGTATAAGTCAGTCGGGAAAATAATGTGGATTTGTCGGAGCAAAAAGTTTTCGTCGAACGAATCTCCAGCTGCGGCTGGCCGTCGCAAAGCGGCAATGGCGATTATAAGGCTGGGTAAATCCACATTATTTTCCCGACAAACTGATATTATCCTCACAGCAGAAAAGCTGTAAAAACTGCATTAAAATCGCAAAGAAATTGCCTACCTTGCTCAAATACGTATTCCTCAGCGCTTCGCGCTGAACATGCATTGCTTTGTCGCCGGTGCTCATAATGGCCAAGAAAATTGTCGTATTCACGCAGTTCTTCCTCTTGGGTGATGTCATCTTGTACTCGAAGCGAAAGCCTTTCAGCGTCATGTTGAACTTGTCGAAGTCGGTGCCGTAGAGCTGTTCCGGGGGTCGTGTATGAAATGGCGGCGTGGCGGCGCGTCGCTGCTGACAATGCTGAATCGAGCGGCGCAAAATGAACAGCCAGAAGAGGGTGTTGAAGAGCAGCAGAGTGCAAACAATTTGTCGCGAGAGGCCGTCGCGGCGACGGAAAATGCGGCAAGGTCGCTGCGACGAGAGCATGGCCGCAAAATGTGGACCGCGGAGGGGGGAGAAAAAGTTCTTGTTTCACATAAATCCCCTCGGACATCTACGCAAACACACTGCAAACATGGAGAGTTTCGTTACTCATGTTCGCAATGTATACATGCATCGTTATACATACATATAGCTTAGATTGTGAGTTGCGTACGAGATCGGAGCGAAATCTGTAGGTTGGGCTACGGATTGTGACGATTCGGAGGCAATATAATATGTTTGAAAAAACAACGAAGATAGAATAGACGCGCGCTGGAAATACGCCACCAGATATATATTTGCAAACATGGATTCTGGACTTGTTTTCTGACTATTGATGGATGCAAAGGCAGTAAGCCTCCACGTGATTGTTGGTCCGGGGCAAGTCGGTCATGGTGTAGTTGTAGCAATTCCAAAACTCTTTCTCAAACAATGGCCGTTCTCGAGGATCACCAGGCAGTAATCCAGGAGCTCCAATCCAAGTGTGGTCCATGTAGAGCTTAATGGTATCAGTAATCGAGTCGCGTCAGCCCCAAGTAGACCACGGAATTTGTAAAACACGCTTTCGTAGTAATGTTCAATATCCTCCGGCTTTGGAAAAGGCAAACTCATCAAATGACGGATGAAATCAGAAGCACCAAGTCTTTTTCTGATCTTGTTGATATTCCGCGTCATCGTCTTCTTAGTCGGTAGTTGGGACAAAACATCTAGGTTACCAGTTCCTTGAACAACATTACCGACCTGATCTCTTGGGGCTTCTGTTGATGTTGGGCTCACCCCGGAAAGGCGACCCCGAAGAGCCCACCCCGAAAGGGCAGTAACCCGCGCAGCTGATATAGAGAAAAGCGTATTTTCAGTCTGTCGGGAAAATAATGAGCACAATTTTCTTGTGAAAGGCACTTTTTCTCTGACTTTCTCGCCTATTTTGGCGGGAATTTTTGGTGACCCTCAGTCGCTGCAAACCTCATTTATTTTCAATATAAACAAACATCAAAGAGGGTACTATACATGTTCAACTTGAAGTTTCCGTGTCTTCCTCAACATGTGGCGGGATTACAGTTTGATTGGCTTCCGGGGTTTTTCTGTATTCTTCGGAGAGGTCATCGCACAATTGAAGTTTAAAGAATTGCCCGTAAACCTGGTTGAGTTGATGGCCAGTTGCGGCCACAATCGGTAACGGAATGTTCTGGAGGCATTGTGCTAGGGGGAACTGAAAATATGAAGCGCATTACAAGAAGAAAATGTGAAAAAAGAGTTCCAGGCATCGAAAAGTGACATTTAATGGGACAAATACTGTCTTGAACTTTCTTATCGTGTGCAATGTCACGCTTAACGTTACCAGGAAAAGCAAAAGATGTAAGTATTAGCTAGAAGGCTCAAAGACCGTACGAAATTTATTTCATTGCTCTATTTTTCTTAGGTGACATTATATACGACAAATATTGCCTGGAAGACTACAGTGCCTTTCACTTCTTCCATAGTCTCTGATCACATGCATGTCAACAGCATGTTCAAAGGGCAAAAGAACCAACTCACGTCATGAAGGACCCCTTGGAAGTCCACGATCGGAACTTGGATCGCTTCCGTGGTGACGCCGGTAAAGAACACGTCGTCAATGCGAAGAAAGTTGTGCCGCTTCGCTTCGGCATGTACTTTTGTCACTGTCTGACTCGGCATTATCACCGTGTAGCCGTTACAGTACACCGGATACCAATGGTACGGGTATTCGGCTTCAGAGACGTACCTGAAATGTCATGTAACATGTCCTATTCTTAATGGTGTATATAAAAGAAATTTTTCTTTTCACTTTGATAGCCCCTCAGGCTTTTTTAGAGTCACAAGGAAAGGCTTACAGGTGCGACGCACGTCAAACTGAGAAGTCCGGTGACCGGAATAGACTTTTCGCTGTCGGTTCTTTACACTTCGTCTTCATTTCACAGAGAAGACAGAGAAGACGCGCAAAAACGTACTCTCTCGCCCCAAAAATTCCCCATTTCTTCCCCGACAAAAGGTTTTTTCGCGTCTTTTTTTGGGGGATTGCCAACGTAATCCCCATACCGTTTTTGTGCAATAAATTGTCTACTATTTGTTTGTCTATTGTATGGTATTTCTGGTCAACTCGTCTTGGAATCCGAGTTCAACCTTTGTGAGGTTATAATTGAATTTTTTCGCCGTAAGTGCCTTTTAGCTAGGGCTTAGTTATTCGTTTGTCATTGTGTTTGCAGTCGTCATGGGCTTGGGATCTAAGATAGGACCTAGACTAGGGACCCTCATACACATGCAACTCGTGAAATCGTTGCCAGTTTGCACGGAAAACGTTGATTTTTTTGTGTAAAACTGTCCACCAGTTTTGCCAAGACTCTAGTCCAGAATTGGTGGCAGCTACGCCACTGATACGACCTACCATTTATTGCCCTTATCTCTATAAGGTTTGACGCCTTGAATTCGCTGGCAAACCAGCCAGTCCGTGAGGCCCGTAATGATTCCGCCAAAGTCCAGTGCCAACCATTGGAAGAGCCGGTCAAACTCCACAACAACATCATCATCAATCTTCATGAAAAAGAGGGATTGGCTGCAAAAACTCTGATGATATTGATACATTGCGTTCCATTTGATCGAGTTGTTGGCGTACGAGTCAAACGCGTCGATAATCACGATATCGCCGTATTTCTCCATCTCCCTCGTAACCAGGTCGATTCGACTGTCATTCCGATAGCCAATAAAGAATTTGTAATTGATGTTGAGTTGCGGGGCCTGAAAGGAAAAACGTGGGGATCAAAATTTAGTTGCTAAAAAAATGAATTGCTTTCCCCTGTTTTCGCCAACCACATAGAGTTTTAAATTTGCTGAAGGATAAACGCGTATTATCTCCCCCTGGCAAGGGAGGAGGTACTACACGATTTCGAAAGTGAGTTGATTTTTGTCGCGGCGCACAGTGCATTTTGTCTCTGCAGTTTCTTTATCGCCTATTTTTACCTTTAAACTTTTCCCTTCGAATCTTTGCATTATCATCAAAACTTCTCTCTAATCTCTCCGTTCAAAACATTTTTATTTGCGTTCGCTGACTCACTGAAATTTCCTTAACATATTTTTCCTCTTCCTACCGTACTCTTGGCCTCTATTCGCTTCAATTTTCGCCTTAAGCTTCGTTCTAGGTTGGTATGTTTTCTACAATACAGACTACGTTTTTTGCGGAGCCAAAAATCCAAAGGTCAAACACTGGCTGCCCGTGCATAAACATGGCCAACATCTTTGTCCAATCGAACGGCCAAGACGCTTGATTGTCCGGAAGAATACATTTCCGGAAGCAGAATAGAGAGAGAGAGAGCGCCGGAAAAGCGGATTAAGGTCAGGGAAGCCCCTGAGTCTCTCCAAACATGATGACATGCAAGATTCTGCGGACAGGAATTTTTGTCATGTGTGTCCTGGGTACTAGCCATGGCTTTGGGCCGGCCATTTTCAAATTTTCTTTTGGCTTGGCCCGGTCAGGATTGTTAGCGCATTCTATCAGTTTGTCGGGAAAATAATGAGCACTCTGCCGGATCTAAAATCAATGACGGGAAAATGAATTGTGCCGCGGCAAAATCAAATTGCTTTTCACTTCAGGGACGCGGTCGGCGCACCGACATTGTGCTCATTATTTTCCCGGCAGACAGATACTGGTCGCGGCAAAAAGTCTTTAAGATTTTTCAACGACCCTGCGAGTGATTTTTGCGACATGCACTATGCAGCAACAAGAGTTTTACTTTGTACTATGCGAAGTTTTTGCTGTTTCTACTGTGCAATAGGCTTTCTTGGTCAGCGCAAACGCCACAATTACTCCCAGTGACTTTAGCAACGATCTATTAGTATTTAGACATGGCTACCGGGCTGGGCCGCAACAAAATTGAAACGGGCCGGGCCGCAATTTACGGCCGGGGCCGACCCAAGAGCCATGTGTACTAGCATTCCAAATCATCGATAATTTAGATCATGTATACATTGGAGAACACCTTGCCTGCTGACTGCCGTTAAAACTTAATCCCGAAACCAAATATGATTTTTCGACTTTTTTTCAAGCTTAGGCTGAGTGGGTGTGGACCGGAAATCACAGGTTCATCACAATTAAACCCTAAATCAACAAGAACTGTTGGTCTTGTGTTCTTTGGTAGTTGGAAAAGCAAAAGTTCGGGGTCACGTCACCTTTCCTCGAACCGTGGAAAAAATATTTTGAGTAGAGGGGTTTCGGTAAGCTCAAAATTACATAAACTTGAGTTATCCCGAACAAGATAAAACGTAGTTTACTTGGTAGATAACAGTCTGTCGACAATGTGCTCATTATTTTCCCGACAAACTGATAATTTTAGATTCGCTTCCCAAATCTGGCTATAATATTTTTTCTAACGATGCCCAAACACCCCCCTCAAAAACACCTGTTCAAACATCCAAAAAAGCAAAAGCACAAGTCAGACCTTCGCCAGATACGTCTCTCTCATCGCGGCTCGTTGCGCATGCGCTAAATAGTCGCCGGTGGACATGATGGCGACGAAAAGTGTTGTATTGTAGCAGCTCTTCACTTTGGGCGCAGTCATTGAGTACCGCAGATGGAAGTTCTTGAGGGTCATGTTGAAGTAGTGGAAGTTGAGCAGCTCTTTGATAAGTTGGTCCGCCGACTTGGAAATCCGCCTGTTGAGGGGGTTGAGCTGCGAGTTGCGATAGAGAATGTAGAGGCAGGAGAGGCAGAGGACTGAAAACGGGGGAAATTATTTTTTCTCTTTCCAATTTTGGAGAGGGAACAGAAGAAAATTGAGAAAAAGATATCAGTCTGTCGGGAAAATAATGAACACTCTGTCGCATCGGAAATCGCATTGCCGAAAATTAATTTTTTCGTGGAGAAAATCAAATTGCTTTTCAATTGGGCGATGTGATCGGCGCAGCGACATAATACTCATTATTTTCCCTGAGCCTGAGGGTCCTGAGCTTTGACGTTGTTCAAATTTCAGAAAAAAAATTACTTTTCCGCACGAAATATTCAGCAATCTTGGGCGCCGAGAGAGTACGAAAAATGCGGAGAGTGATGAAAAGAAAAAGAACTCTTTTTGCCCATATCTTTGCCAGTTTCGTGCGGAAAAAGTTCATTTTTTGTGGAAACGACTCCCAGTTAAAGACAGAATGCAGCCTTTCATCCCAAAAATTGCAAAAACATTTTGATTTTCTCGTAATTTCACACAAAATTTTTTGTGGAAATAAAAACACTGTTTGTAACTCAATTTAAAAATTTTTTTCTATGATAAGGTGAAAAATAAAATAAAATTTTAAGGCTACATACCGTAACAGAAAATCCGATAAGATCGCTGAGATGCGAGCATGTTACATCAAGGCCAACGTAGTCGAAATTCGTAACGTCCAGAAACGAAGCCACAGGAAATGAGAGAAAAAAGTAACAAGAGAAATTTGAATGCATAGGGTAGGTGTTCAAACATGGGATTTCGACAAGGAATAATTTGTGGTCAACGAGGACTAGACGGAACAACAGGTCTTGACATTTCTACAAGGTGCGAACTTGTCACAAGACGGCAAGTACCAGTCTGTCGGGAAAATAACGCGTGTCGCTGCGTTAATCGCGTCGCTGAAGTGAAAAGCAATTTGATTTTGTCGCGAGACAGTTTATTCCCTCGGCGATGCGATTTTCGATGCGATAGAGGCCTATACATGAAGCGTGTGCAAAATAAGAAAAATCAGAGCGTTGGGGTACATCCCTTGTAAGGATCGAACATCGAGCAACCTAATCGTCGAAAAAGATCTAACCATCAATCGCCGTAACCATCAATAATTTTTGGCCCGCCTAGCACGTCACACGTCAAACTGAGATAAGCTAAAACAGTCCAGTGAATGGATTGGCCATTTGCCAAAAAAAGACGCGAAAAAACGTTTTGTCGGGGGAGAAATGGGGAATTTTTCGGGCGAGAGAGTACGTTTTTGCGTGTCTTTTTTCTCTCTTTCTCTGCGAAATCAAGACGAGGTGTAAAAACCCGATAGCGAAGAGTCTATTCCGGTCATCGGACTCCTCAGTTTGACGTGCGTCACCTTTCTCCTCAAAATTTTTGATGCATTGTTTACTATTTTACAGCATCAGAAAACATAACTATTTGAAGCTGAATTGAAGAATCCCTCGTATTCTCGTATTATTCGCCGTATTTCGGGTTACTCACGAATTGCCTGTCCCAAACTTGTGCCTAAACTACAGAGGATGCGCGAGCGCCGCCCCTCCCGTCATTCAATTGGGTAATTTCCAAACAAACAAGGCAAAAGTCAAAGGTAAAATCGGACGGAAGTTTGCAGAATTAAGCCCTAAATCAATGAGAGGGGCTGGCCACAAGAATGGAATAAAAAGAAGGCCGAACGGCCAGTTTCAACAGGTAGTTTCTTACCAAACTTTGAGGGGGTTCAAAGGTGGGGAAGGAGGGGGAAAATGAGCGATAATTTCTGGCTACCATTCATTTCCAGCCTATCGGGTATTGGCCCAATATGTGCAGCAAACGTTGCTAAATCCGTTGACTAGCCGATGAGTTGAGATTACAGCCACATTTTTAAGGGCTAGCTGAAAACCCGGATCGCCTAGCAACATGGTTGTGTAAAGCCGCAAAAAAAGGGCTGGCCACAGGTTGGAAAAGGTCGCAAAAAGTTTTTGATGAGATATGAGGGAGTTGGGTACTATACAAGACTGAAGAATGTAGCCATTTATAGAAATCAGCGCCTTCGAAAACCCCCAATTCGAGGATTTTTAGTGAAATTTCAAAAAATTACTTTTTAACTATCTTAGGAAAAATGAATTCCACAATTTACAATAGCTACTTTCAGTTCTCCTTGACCCGCGCACTTCAAGCAACTCAACAATGGTTAACTCGGCGTCGCCAAAACGCTGCGCAATCATCGGGGCCGGTGTGTCGGGCCTGCCAAGCGCCCGCTGGGCCAAGGCCTACGGCTATGAACCGGTGGTTTTTGAGCTGAGAAATAATGTTGGAGGTTTGTGGTACTATCAGAATGAAAATACTGAATGTAAGTGAAGATTGGGATTTTTTGAAAAAAATGGTCTTTTGGAAGAATTTTTAAATTTTTAGGAAAAAACTGGTTTTTCGGAGGAATTTTTTTGGTTATTATGGATACTTTTTGATACTTTCTGAATTTTTTGGATACTTTTTGATACCTTTTGAATTTTGTGGATACTTTTTGAATTTTTTTGGGCATGTTCAAGGAAAAAATAATATTGGATACTTTTTGATACTTTTTTGTTTTTTGGTTGTTTTTAAATTTTTTGAGGAAAAACTTTGTTGGATACATTTGGATACCTTTTAGTTTTTTGTTGAGAAAAACGCTTTTTCTAAAAAATGATTTCTTTGAAAAAAAATTTTTGGATACTTTTTGATACTTTTTGCCAAAATCTTTTAATTTTCTTTTTTCAGTCTCCTGTGTGATGAAGAAGACAATCATGAACACCTCGAAGGAGATGAGCGCCTATTCCGACTTCCCTCCTCCACTTGACTTCCCATGGTTCATGACCAATCAACGTAGGTGAAAAAAGTCTAGGCACTTTATGAAAATACTAATACAATACCCAATAATGTTTCAGGTATGCACCAATACCTTCAATTATACGCCAAACACCATGATATTTTGAAGAATGTTCGCTTCAATCATCGAGTAACTCGAGTGGAGCGGACGCCCGATTTCGAAGAGACGGGCGAATGGGCTGTCGAATATCAAGATGCCAACAAAAACAAGAGCAGCGAGGTCTTCCAAGCCGTTTTGATTTGCACTGGCCGACAGTCGGTCCCATTCATGCCTCCGGAATACCCGGGACAGAAGAATTTCAAGGGGAAAATCATCCATTCCAAGGATTATAAGGTGGGAAAAAGTTGATTTTGAAATTTTTCAACATTTTCTAAGAACTGGAAAATTCTGAAAAGTGATTTTTAAGATGCCCTAAGGGTTAGCAAAAAAAATTTTGTTTTTGATTTTTTATGAAAAAAATTTTTTTGCAAAAAATAAAAATTTGGATTTTGAAATTTTATTAAAAAAAAATTCAAGAAAATTAAATATTCGATGAAAAATAAGAAAAAAATTTGTAAAAAATTGAAATTTGGCCTTTGAAATTTCATTAAAAAAATTTCAAAAAATCAAAAAAAAAATTGTTTTCTAACATTTTTTTTTTGATATTTTGATTCCTTGACCTTTTCAAAACCAACCTAAAATTACCTTTTTTCAGGACGCCAACATTTTCGAAAACAAAAAAGTCCTTATTGTTGGCCTCGGAAATTCCGGCACGGATGCGGCTTCGGAAGTCGGCCAAATCGCCAAATCCTGCTTTCTGAGTACGCGGCGCGGCGCCTGGATCCATCATCGGACCATCTACGGCAAACCCAACGACATCTACTGCAATCGGCGCATCTTGGAATACGTGAAGAAGGTTTTCGGCCGCGATTTCCACGCCGGCCTCATGGAGAGGGCGTTCAGAAGTTGTTTCGACCACAAAATCTACGGGCTGAATCCGGAACATAAAAGCTACAATCAGGATCCAATCTTGGTAGGGGATTTTTTGGCATTTTGAAAGAAAAAAAAATTTTTGGAAAAAATTTCAAAAAATTTTTTTCTCCCAGATCATCACCAAATTTGGCATGGAAGTTCCAAATAGGCCAGGTATAAATCCCTGAAAATTTTAGCTCTCTGCTTTCTCTCGCGTTCGAGATATTACGCAATCTTTTTTCGAGAGAGCACGCAAAATGAGGAGAGTCGGTCAGACAAAAAAAAGGTTTTGTCCAGATCTTCGTTCATTTTGCTCGGAAAAAAGTGGTTTTTTGAAAAAAATGTTCGGTTCGGCATTCGTAACAGACGCTGATTTTTTGAAATGAAATGAAAAAGATTTTTTTTGGAAAAAAATTCAAAAAAAAATTTTCTCCCAGATCATCACCAAATTTGGCGTGGAAGCTCCAAATAGGCCAAATATCAATCCCTGAAAATTTTAGTTCTCTGCTTTCGCTCATATCCCAGATATTAAACAATCTTTTTTCGAGAGAGCACGCAAAATGAGGAGAGTCAGTCAGACAAAAAATAGTTTTTGGCTTGATCTTCATTCATTTTGCTTGGAAAATAGTATTTTTTTGAAAAAATATTTATTTGGCATTTGTAACAGACGCTGATTTTTTGGAAATTAAAAAAACAAAAAAAAATATTTTTTTTTGAAAAATTCCGAACTAAAAATCTTGATTATTTCTGCAAAGCTCAAGCTAAAAATCCTGAGAAACTGTAAAAAAAAATTATTCTAATTTTGCAATAAAGCTTTAGGGCACAATGAAAAAAATTTTTTTTTTTTGATTTTTTCTCTCAAAAATTCCCGAAAAATCGCATGTCCAATGTTTACCCCAAAACATTTCCAGATCTGCGACGAGCTGCAGCTCCGTTTGGCAGCAGGTCAAGTCGTCCTGAAGCCGGAAATCCACTCATTCACCGAAAATTCCGTCAAATTCGCGGATGGGACCGTTGAAGAGATCGAGGATGTGGTGATGGCGACTGGATTCAGCTACAACTTTGATTATCTGGAGAATGGCAAGATCATTCCAACCAAGGATGATGATTTGAGACTGTGGAAGAACATGTTCCCATTGAGTTTGATGGAATCGAAAAAAGGGACCACTCTGGCGATGGTGGGCATGCTACAGGTGAGGAGGTTGGGTCATTCGGAGGACTGACATTATTATTTTCATAAAGTGCGTGGACATTTTTTGCAGTGAATTTTGAACTGTTTCAAGCCCTTGTCGCCAACGCATAGTACAATAAAAAATTTGAATATGCAGATTAAATTTTTTTTGAATTTTCAAAATTTCTGAATATGCAAATTTTTGACAAATTGAATATGCAAAAATTATAATTTTGGGACTCAAAAAATCATCCTTAAAAATTTGCATATTCAAAATATTTTTTTAATATGCAAATTTTTGCTAAAAACTCTTTAAGGCGCGACCAAATGTCCATTCACTTTATGAAAATAGTACAATAAAAAATTTGAACATGCAAATTAAAACTTTTTGAATATTCAAAATGTTTTGAATATGCAAATTTTTGGTAAAAAAATTTGAATATGCAAAAATTATTGTTTTTGGACCCAAAAAATCATCTTAAAAAATTTGAATATTCAAAATAATTTTTTAATATGCAAATTTTTGCTAAAAAAATTTAAATATGCAAATTGCACATTTTGGTATTCAAAAAATTGAGCAGAAGGAGAAGATTCTTTGAACCCAAAATCCACATTATTTTCCCGACAAACAGACAAAAAAAATTTTTACTGTCAAATTTTTCATTTCCAGCTTTCCGGCGCCATTATGCCAGCGATGGAGATGCAGGCGCGCGTCTTCTTCGAAGTGAACGCCGGCCACGTTAAATTGCCCACCACGAACGCCATGCACGCCGAGATTATGCGCGACCAGGAGCAGCGTCGCCGGCAGTACATGGGGGCGCGCGCCAACTACACCAAGGTCTGTTTCATCGACTATATGCGCGAAATGGGCCAACTGATCGGCTGTTATGCGGACCCGTTCCGCCTCGTTTTCACGGATCCGAAGCTGGCGTATCGACTTCTCTTCCATCCAGATTTACCGTATTCCTATCGACTGCAAGGGCCGTTCGCGTGGCCGAAGGCGAGGGAGATGATTTTTTCGGTGTACGAGCGCATGGACTGTGGCTTAATCAAGAAGGACACAAGAGCTGTGCAAAAAGTTCAGAGCCGTGATAAGGGCTATTTGACAATGTCGGTGGTCAGCTTGACCTTGTCCTCGGCCATCTTCTTCTACTTGTTGAACAGTCTGCTCACGGTGATGGTTTAAATGAACGGAGAAGATTGGGGAAAACATATCCGATTGCATACGTGTCCAGCTCTATGAATGTGATTATTAAAATGTTTGTAGCCAATAAATAATGTAGATATTCACAAGGTAATTTCAAAGATATTATTTTGATAAAACTCGCTTCAAATTTTGGCGAACAAATAAACTACCTCAAGTGCAAATTATTTTCAAATTTCGAATAGTCTATGAATAGGATTGGTTACAATATCCAGAAAGCTTGGCCCGGCCCTACAACCCATTACCGAGATATGCACGTTGCAGGCGCAGCCGAGATATTCAACGATCTTTGCCGCCGAGAGAGTACGCGAAAGGCGGGGAGCGCTTAACAACTTTTGTCCATATCAAAAAATGTTTCTTTGCCAAACAATGTCCATGAACTTTAAGAAGATATGTACCAATTGTATAAGGTGCTTGCGCTGTGCAAAAAAGTCAGGGTGCAAGCGGCAGCCGAAAAAAGCCTATTGCACGGTGCAAAAAGCAAGAAATCGCACAGTGCAAAGTGGACTTTCGTTTTCTCATAGTGTCGCCAATTTCAGTCCGGCGACTTTCCGGACGGACTAGTTCATGTCAGTACCAGGAAGTTGCAGTGCAAATTTTTTATCATCCATCCTACGTAGATTACGGTTGAAAAAACTTAATTCTAATCGGTAAATATCGGCTGCTCGCAAACCATTTTTGATATAGAGTTGATCAGAATGCTAAAAATCTTCAATTCGGTCAGGAGCACAAGTAACCTCTTTTGCCATCTCTCCACAAAAATTTTTTGTTTTTTTGACCAAAAAACAAAAAGTTGTATACTCTCTTTCTTCCCGCATTTCCATAAACATAAAGCTATACAGAATTTCGGGACCATCGAATTTCCATGGTCACTCTTGTGTCCACTACAATTCGTAACGAATTTTCGCGTTTTTTACAAACTTTTTTCGGACATTGTTGAAAAATTCATAAGCTTTTTGTTCCAATATATATTGTTGTAGGGCACCAAACCCTCTTCCAACGCTCCAAATTTGGGGATTCGTGCATTCCGAAAAGCCTTTACGAACAAGTGACCCTCGGGCCATTGTTCTGCATATTAGTTCAAGCCTTTTTAAGCGCGCTTACGCAATAATAGAGTATGTTGTAGAAAGGGCGAAATAAACAAAGGAACGGCGAGGGAGACGCTAGCGGTTTGGCGGATAAATTTTGGGAGGGATTACGGTAGTTCATATTAGTGTGTCGGGAAAATAATGAGCACTCTGTCGTATCGGAAATCGGATCGCCGCCGAGAAAATGAATTGTGTTGCGGAGAAAATCAAACCGCTTTTTACTTCAGCAACGCGATAGGCGCAGCGACATTGTGCTCATTATTTTCCCAACAAACTGATACTACGCCTTTTCAAAAGTTCGTAGACTTTTCTTCGCGACACACGGTGCATAATAAAATTGCCTGTCTTTGCACTGTGCAAGCAAGGTCTGCCGCGTTCGCGAAATTCGCGGCGTCGCATGTGAAAGAATTGCGCCGCGGCGATTTTTCAGTTGCACAGTGAAAAAGGTCAAATGCGAAGGGCGGAAGGTTTGCAAGAAGGTCCGTAGAATTTGCACAGTGCATTTTCTAGCGTGCGCCGCCGCGACTTTCCGCTTTGGAATTGGACGATTACCACTATCACATTTTGGAAAAAGTTCCTTATTTTGGCCACAACAAAGGTACTCCGCGAACTGCGCCCAAACTTGGGAACTAAAGTTAGGAAAAAAGGCTTCGACCTAGCTGGCACTGAATTACTATAATAGCTCTATAGCTTTAAGAGTACCTACGAAGGCTATGACGACTCATTAAGTTCTATACGGAGGCAATAAGTTTGGTTCCAGACAGGTCTTATCGTATAAAGTGTAAAACCGCAGGCTGCAGCCGTTTTTGAAGGGCAAGGTGGTACGTAAAAAGAAGGTACCTCACTAACCAAATCTTGAATTGAGCGTGCACGCTAAATTTGGGATAATTCCGACCAGTTTCCGCAAAGTTATAAGTTGTGGCCAAAATAAGGAACTTTTACCCACTTTTATTTTAAATTTTGTATACATGTTGGGTGTAGGCTTGCAATCAGTTCCTGAAAGTTTTAGCATACCCTTTGCAGGAAGAGCCCAGAAATTCAACGATCTCTGCGGCCGAGAGAGTACGCGAAACGCGGAAAGCGGTCACAGAGAAAAAAACATATTTTTTGCCGTATCTTTGCCAGTTTGCCGAGGGAAAAGATCGATTTTTTGTGGAAACATTGCCTTTTACGGTAGAAATAAGCTGCAACTTTGTCATGCCATAATTTGAAAAAAATGTCAAATTTACGCCAATTTTTGACCTAAAAATCTCCGTCATTTTTGCAAAGCGCAGGCAAGAAATCTCGCATATCTCCTGCAAAGGATTGCTCTAAATTTGTGCCAAACTTCATCAAAAACTGAGCGTCGAATTTTGCGTACTTTTTGCTGTAAATTTAGCCCATAAAAAGGGTTGATCTCCTCTCTTTTCAGGTTGATATTTGCTGAGAATGCCGGTGGTGATTGAGCGAAAACGCTGTGCAATTATTGGCGCAGGAGTTTCAGGTCTGCCAAGTGCTCGGTAGGCAAAAAAACTCCCAAAAAATACGGCTTACTTTCATGAATAACATGTTTATTTCGCAGATGGGCCAAAGCCTACGGATATGAGCCGGTAATCTTCGAACTGAGGGACAATGTGGGCGGATTATGGTACTATCAAGAGCAGGAGACCGAGTGTAAGTCAAATGCAGCCAAAATCCGGATAAAATTTTTGGATACTTTTTGATACTTTTTGATACCTTTCCGGAAAAAACCTTGAAAAAGATAAATTTTTGATCTCCTTTGATTTTTTTGAGCAAAAAATGTTTGTTTCTACGAAAAAATCGATTTTTTAGAAAAATGTTTTTCGATAATTTTGGATACTTTTCGCCAAAATTTCTTCTTTTCAGTCTCCTGTGTGATGAAGAAGACAATCATGAACACCTCGAAGGAGATGAGCGCCTATTCCGACTTCCCTCCGCCCGCCGACACTCCGTGGTTCATGACGAATAAACGTGGGTTCTGTTATCACTCTGTCGGGAAAATAATGAGCACCCCGTGGCATCAAAAATCGCATCACCGCCGAGAAAATGACTCATGTCGCTGCAAAATCAAATTGCTTTTCATTTCAACGAGCGATTGCCGTTGCGACAGAGTGCCCATTATTTTTCCGACAAAACCGCAAAAAAATCAAAAAAAATGTTTACAGGAATGCATCAATATCTGCAAGACTATGCGCACCACCACGACCTGATCAAGCATTGTCGCTTCAATCATCGGGTAATTCGAGTGGAGAGAGCGCCGGATTTCGAAGAAAGTGGCGAATGGATTGTCGAGTATGAGGATGGGTAGGCGACTATCCACGTACAACTCGAGACATAAAGCTCACTTTTACATAATATTGCATAAATATACTCCTTGTATACATGCGTATTTAATCAAACTTCCAAATTTCAGGAATGAAAACAGAAACGTTGAGGTCTTTCAAACAGTGCTGATCTGCACTGGCCGCCAGTCCATTCCGTTCATGCCAAGGGAATACCCAGGGCAGAGGAATTTCAAAGGAAACATTATCCATTCGAAGCAATTCAAGGTGAGATCATTATGTTAAAAATTTTATGGCAAAAATTACCTTGGCCTACAGTCTACACTTACCATGTCTTAATTTCTTCCGGTACGATGCGACATAGTGCTCACTGTTTCCCCGACAGACTGACACAACAAACAAAAAATTTTTTGATCCTTTGCGATTCGTTATACAGAGGTTTCACTGTATATCTGAGACGCTTTTTTCAGGACGCCTCCAAATTTGCGAACAAGCGCGTCCTAATCGTTGGCCTTGGGAATTCCGGCACCGACGCCGCTTCGGAGGTGGGCCAAGTGGCCAAGAAATGCTTTCTCAGCACCCGACGGGGAGCTTGGATCTTGCATCGGACCATAAATGGAACGCCGAACGACTTCTTCAGCAACCGGCGGATCATGGACTACATGAAGAGGACGTTGGGCCGAGAATTCCATGCCTTTGTCATGGAGAGGGTCTTCAGAAATTGTTTCGACCAAAGAATCTTCGGATTAAAGCCCGAACATCGCGCTTACAATCAGAATCCTATCCTGGTAAGAACTAGTTTCGAAAAATGATTATTTTTAAGGAAAAGTGTTTTTGAGGAAGAAAATGCGATCAAAAAGTATTCAAAAGTATCGAAATCTGCCTAAAATGGCCTTTAGTTACAATTCAAAGCAATAAAAACAAAAAAAATTACCAAGATTTCAAACGATCAAAATCAAATTTTTATCGGAAAAAGCGATCAAAAAGTATCGAAAAGTATCCAAATCTGCTTAGTATGGCTTTTGAACATGACTACAATGACACTTGGGAAAATTTGAAGAGGATTTTTTTTCAACGATTTCAAGAGCCCAAAATCGATTTTTTGTCCGACAAAGTTAGCAAAAAGTATCCAAAAGTATCCAAATGTGCTTGAAATGGCTTTTCAACATGATTATATGTAATTTTTTCGAAGATTTCAAAAGCTAAATATCTAATTTTTGTCGGAAAAATGCTATCAAAAGGAATCAAAAAGTATCCAATCAGCTTAAAATAGTTTCCAAACCTGACAGTGGCGAAACTTGGCATACTTTGAAGAGAAAATTTTTCGAAGATTTCAAGAGCTCAAAATCTAATTTTGGTCGGAAAATTGCGATCAAAAAGTATCCAAAGGTATCCAACTCTGCTTAAAACAGTTTTTGAACCTGACAGTGGTGAAACTTGGCAAAGTTTGAAGAGATTCTTTTTTGACATGTCAAGAGCTCAAAGTCAAATTTTGGTCCGAAAAAGTGATCAAAAAGCGTCGCAAAGTATCCAATTTGCTTAAAATAGTTCTTTAACCTCGAACAAATGAACGATTTTCAAACCAAAAAATTCTTTTTTTGAATCTATTTTTCAGATCTGCGATGAGCTGCAACTCCGTCTAGCCGCCGGCCAAGTCGCACTCAAGCCAGCGATAAAGTCATTCTCCGGAAATTCCGTCCAATTCGCCGACGGTTCATCGGAACAGATCGATGAGGTTGTGATGGCGACCGGATTCAGTTACTCCTTCGATTATCTGGAGAGCGGCAAGATCATTCCGACCAAGGATGACGAACTTGGACTCTACAAGAACATGTTCCCATTGAGTTTGATGGACTCGAAAAAGGGGACCACTCTGGCGGTGATTGGAATGCTACAGGTGAGGGGGATATTATACAGGACCTCCATATAACGAAGATCGTCTATTATCAGTCTGTCGGGAAAATAATGAGCATAATGTCGCTGCGCTGATCTCGTCGCTGAAGTAAAAAGCAATTTTATTTTCTCGGCGGCGACGCGATTTTGGATGCGGCAGAGTGCTCATTATTTTCCCGACAGACTGATACGTAGACGGTTTCTTACCCATCCTCGTGCTCAGGATGGGTGTGTGACCCAAAATAATAATGTGGATTTGTCGCGCCTTGGAACCGTCCATCGTCGCTTCGCGACGGCTATTCGCGGCTGGGGACTGGTTTCCGGAGCCTCGATGCGTGGCAAATTAAATATGAAACGGGCCGGAGGGGGTAAAAACCGAGTCCAGCCACATCTGTGGAAGATATTTTATTATTATTTTGGGTCACCTAAGCATTAGGATCGGTAAGGGACCGTCGACGTATCAGTCTGTCGGGAAAATAATGATCATTCTGTCGCCTCGGAAATCGCACCGCCGTCGAGGAAATGAATTGTGTCGCGGAGAAAATAAAATTTCTTTTCACTTCAGCGACGAGATCGGCGCAGCGACATACTACTCATTATTTTTCCGACAGACTGATATAGTGGAGTCTCTTTACAACAAAACCTTTCTATGCATTACAAACAATTTCAAATGCTCCAGTGGTCAATTTTAGACAGAAATGAGCCTCTGTAGAACGAAACCTTTCTATAACAAACAATTTTTTGATATTTCAAAAAAAAATTATTTTTTTTCCAGCTAAGTGGCGCAATAATGTGTGCGATGGAGATGCAGTCTCGAGTGTTTTTCGAAGTGAACGCCGGCAACATTCGGCTTCCCTCCAAGGATACGATGACTGCGGAAGTTGAGCGCAACCGAAGCCTTCGAAGAGAGCTCTATTTGAATGCTCGCGCCAGCTACACGAAGGTCTCGTATCTTGATTACATGCGAGAAATGGGACAATTAATCGGCTGTTATGCCAGCCCGTTCAAGACACTCTTTTCGGACCCCTATCTGGCCTATCGCCTTGTATTTCACCCCGATTTGCCCTATTCCTATCGTCTTGTAGGGCCACATGCATGGCCAAAAGCAAGGGAAATGATTTGCTCGGTGGATGAGAGGATGAAAATGGGGCTCAAAAGCAGCGACAACGGAAAAAAGAAGGTGGTAAATGGAACGAAAAATTGTTATTGGTCTACGCTGTCGCTATTGTCGATTACCCTATCTTCAACTTTGGTTTTAATGCTATTTAAGAGCTTTTTATCCACTATTTTAACTTGATTACTTAACAAAAATTATTTTTATTTTTTTATTTTTTCTTATTTTTTTCAAAATAGTCGACGGCTAGTTGTAAGAGATGACGCAATAAATTATCGCTAGAAACGTTGGAAACACGTCGTTCTGCACTCAAATGAAGGGCTTAGACGGGGAAAAAAATGTTGCTCCCAACAATGTTTTCAATAAACAAAGGAAGAAGGAGGAAGGATAAGTGTTCCAAACACCGAAAGTTCGGCTTCAATTTGGTCGAAAAAGATTTTGAAAAAGAGAAAAAGATTTTAAAAAGTGAAAAATCAAAGTCAAATCTTTTGGGACAAAAAGTGCACCTGTCCAAATAGCGACAATGTATCATCTGTCGGGAAAATAATGAGCATATGTCGCTGTGCCGATCGCGTCGCTGAAATTTTGCTTACAAAGGAAGAACCCCAGGTGTGACGCTCAGATTTTCTTTAAATTTTGCACACATGTCGGGTATGGACTAAATATCAATTCCTGAAAGTTTTAGCTCGCGCTTTGCCGGCGCCGCCGAGATACGAACGATTTTTGCCGCCAGAAAAAACACTTTTTGGCCATATCTTTGCCGGTTTCGTACGGAAAAAATAATGTGAATGTTGAATGCCCGTTAGTGATTTAGACGACCAATTTTTGTCTACTTCTCCGCCGAAGAGCATTTAAACAACTTTCACCGTATAAAACACCTGCCGCAGGCTGCACGCGAGCTGCGCCCGAGCTCAACGAAATAAAATTTATTTTTTCGCCGAAAGTTGAATTGTGTTGGCTTGGGAGGGTCCTCCTTGCTTGGCCATAACCTCTAATTAGCCGTAAAACCCGTTCAACTTGAGTATTTATATTATACCGAACATTGGGGGAACAAAATTGGAGAAATCGGATATTCCCGGATAAATGCGAGTATTTTTCTGCCGCTGGGGCCGCACCACGGCATCCCAGACGGTCTACGAAGGTCGCAACCATTGTTGCGGACAGAAATGGTGCAACAAGGACATTTGCGGGCTGTTTTGCGCCGCGTTTACCTGGTAAGTTCGGTTTTCTATTGATTTTCCGTTTTTAGGTGCGGTTTCCATGAATTATATCGGCCCATAATTCCCTTTCGGGAAGTGCAAACTTTTCAGTAGTGTGTGAATTACTAATTCCAGCTGGATGTGAATGAAAAGTTCGAGAAATTCAGACTAAATTTAGCGGAATTTTTGAACAGAAATTAATGTCAAGTGTAATGTTAGAGTTTGTTGTGATACGGAGGGCAAATAAGTGATGGCCATTCGATTGCTGGTGATTTAGCAAGAAGAATTGATACTTCAGCTGCTAAAAAGTATTGACCAGCAGCTCACATTGTTTTAACACCTAAAAAATTGGGTTTCCTCAGAGCAGCTTGATCTGATGGGTAATATCAAGGAAATCCAATTTGTGGCCTGTAATTGGAAGGGAGATAATCGGCGATTGTTCAAATAGCTTTTTTAGTCAAAGAAGCATCTTTAAAAGATATAAACCAGGTGTTTATGTTGCACTTGACATTCAAATTTTTCAACTTTTTTCTTCACTGTCAGATTGGTGATGCATAATATGAAAATATCGAGATTGCTTAGCAGAAACAGCAAAATTTTTGATAAAATACGATTTTTCACTTCTATTGTTATTCTAGTACTTACATAGAAGCAGTTTTACCTCAATAATTTACCTTCTCCTTCAGGTTCCTAATGGGTTATGGTGAGTTCTGCGTGTTCTTCATCTTCATGTCGACAGCATCAGTCCGACCGTTCATACAGGGCGCCAATTTCATTGTCTTCCAAACATTTGCGATATTGGCGTTCATTTCGCATTTCCGGACAATGACCACGGACCCGGGTGCTGTGCCCAAAGGAAATCTCACAGAAGATTACTTTAACAGACTCCAGGCCGAGCGAGATCGTGGTGCTCCAATTTACAAGTGCCATCGGTATGTTTTTGAGCTTTTTTCTTTGTGTTTTTAGGTGTTTGGCGAGATTTTGGATATTACACTAGAGGAAGTTGGGCGAGATTTTGGGTTTTATCTATCTCGATAGCTAAAGAAGAGGGTGTTGAGGCTTTTCTCGGCTCTAAGATGGATTTCGAAAACATTTCGTTTATAGGTCAAGGAAAAATTATATTGCACTAGATAAAAAAAATTCCAATATTTTTAATTCTTTGTCTTTATGATGATGAATGTAAAATACGCATCGCCTTGATTTTTAAATGCTTTAAGTATGTCTGGAGTAAATTTTAGAGTTATTTTTATATTACACTAGGCAAGTACAATATATTTTTTTTGTGCTTTTTCTCTAAACCTCCAAATTCTTTCAGATGTGCCTCAGTCAAGCCAGATCGAGCTCATCATTGTAGTATTTGCGATCGATGCATCCGCAGGATGGACCATCATTGCCCTTGGGTGAATAATTGTGTCGGAGAGTCGAATCAGAAGTATTTCGTACTATTTACTGTGAGTTTTTAACATTTTTTTGCACAACAATGCAGTTTGGAATTACTTTAAATAATTTTTCGATATTATTTTAGCTCTACATAGCGCTAATGTCAATCCACGCACTTGGATGGACAATTTCTCAGTTCGTCACATGCGTAAACACTGACTTCCGAGGCTGCAGCTACTTTAGTGGGCCGGCAACCACAATTATGTTGATTTTCCTATTGTTTGAGACCATTTTGTTCGCGATCTTCACCTTGGTCATGTTTGGAACTCAGCTTTCGGCGATTTGCTCGGATCAAACGGGAATTGAAAGTCTAAGAAAGGAGAATCATAAGACGCAAAGCGGCATGAAGAATATGCAGGTGAGATTTTAGAATTGTTTTTTTTTTGGTTTTTAGAAAAAAAATGGAGCAATTTCACCAAGGTGAAGATAAAATTTATCTGAAATGGAAGATTTCTATAGACTTTTTGGCTCAAAAAGGTTCCATAGGGAATAAAAAAGCTATTGAAGGAAGCAAATTAATTTTTCGATATTATACTTGACCTTATAGAACATCAACAGAATTTTTTTTGCTTGGTCCGGAAAACTCTTGTTTTTTGTTTTAATTGGCCGTAAAACAGAGTAGTTATTACTTTTAAAAGTCAATTGATAATTAACGGCTAGAGAAATTGCACTTTTAAAGCTTTGAAATTTGATTGCACTGTGCGGAGGAAAGTTTTTGCACAGTGCAACAAAAGAAATCCGCACCGTGCGAAAAATAGAATTTTTATGGTGGGCGTAAAAATAATGGAGAAGTATTAACGACTCACTCAGTATTAGACGATTATAACCACCGTTTTTTCTCCTCTTATGGGAAGTTTTATGGCTGTAATCAGGAGATTAGAGAGAAATTGCCGAACGGACGCCATTTGATGGCGTCTGGAGCTGAAAATAGATTTATGGAAAGACCAAAATATTAAAGAATGAAGTTAGGGAGAGTATACAGAGCAGTAAGAAGGGTAAAAGTGAGAAATAGGGCTTTAGAATAAAATTTTAAAAATTATTTTGGAATTTTTGTGGACGAAGTTGAATTTTAGAGGATTTTGAAGGCTAAATGGAGACAGAATGCGTAATGCAGGCGTTTAGAATACGTAATGTTTATTTTTGGTCCGGTAGTTGATGCAAAATTAACAGAAAGAATTGATAATACAAGAAAAAAAAATCAAAAAATGACGTCTTGGCAAGTATACAGTGGCGGAGCTGATCCAGTGGCAAAAAAACGCACCATTTTGCATTTGAGAAGTACCAAAAAAACGCGGAAAAATACCTCCCTCTCCTGAAAAAAACTCCGGTTTTGAAAGCGCACCCGCTTTTTTTGTGAGCCAGACGGAGTTTTTTCAGATGGAGAGGGAGGTATTTTGCTGCATTTTTGATACTTCTCGGTTGCAAAATGGTGCGTTTTCTGCCACTGGATAGCGTCCGCCACTGTATACTTGCCGAGACGTCATTTTTTTGATTTTTTTCTTGTATTTTCAATAATTTCTGCAAATTTTGCTTCAATTACCGTACCAAAAATGAACATTATGCATTCTAAACGCCTGCATTCTATCTCCATTTAGCCTTCAAAATCCTCTGAAGTGTAACACTGTAATATAAAATTTTGAAAAAAACATTAAAAATAATGATTGTGATGGAGTTTGCAGTCTCAAATTCACAAGAAATGTGATGAATGACTTAAGAAATCCAAAAACAACGAAAAAAGTATAAAAAATCGCCGATTTTAGGTGGTGTTCGGCGGCCCATTCTCGATACACTGGTTCAACCCGCTGGCGGCACCGTTCATCAGCGAAAAAGCCTTCGAATTCTCTGTGTGAGCGCGATGGCAACTGCATTTCCAACCCCGAAAACATACCTGTAAATATGGCGTAATACGAAAATCATTCGATATAATGAAAAAGGCGTATTTTTTTATTCAAAACGAGGTTTTCTCCTTTGTTTTTTTTGTTTCGGGCTAGTGAAACATGTATCTTATTATGTGACAAAGTCTTCCCGAACAAATATATAGTCTAGAACTCAAATTTTAGTCGGTTGTATTTTTGAAAAGTCGATCTTTTGACTCTGTTTTAGCTTAATTATGGTATACTGTTGTTATTTGTGTATTTTTAACTTGGATTAACTACTTATAAAGTGATAAAGGAAGCAAATAGTAATCTGGAAATGTTTGGGGTAAAGTACTTTAAGGCCGATTGGTGAAATTTGACGATTTTTTAGGAGACTTGCCAGATTTTGGTTCACGTTTTGCAGAAATTACCACGAGATTTCGGCTCGAAATGTGTCAAAAATTCCGTTTTTTTTTGAGGTTTTTTAAGTGCTAAAGTTGGCATGATTTCAAGGTCTGAAGTAAAAAGTTTCTACAAAGTATTCCCCGCGGGCCGGGCCGCGATTTTCGGGGAGTCGATTTTTAGATCGAAAGTCGGCGAAAATTTAGGACTTTTTGCCGAATTTCGGCACGAAAAGTTTCATGCCTATTTCAACCGTAAAGGATATAGTAATGTTTCTACAAAAAATCAAATTTTTCCGCACGAAACTGCCAAAGTTATGGCCAAAAAGCGCTTTTCTCTCTGACTGCTCTCCACGTTTATCGTGCTCTCTCGGCGACAAAAATCGTTCGATATCTCGGCGGCGCCCGCAAAGCGCGAGCTAAAACTTTCAGGAATTGATATTTAGTCCATAGCCGACGTGTGTGCAAAATTTAAAGGAAATCTGAGCGTCGCACTTGGAGTACTTCCCCTGTAAGATAACCACATTTGCCAGGCTTTCGAAAATGTATTGAGGCTGTGATTAAGACTCTGGGATCATTAAGCGTTCCAGAATTGTAATCTTTCCCCTCTGACGGAGAATTAATCATTACTATTTAGCATTTTTAGTCATTACTATTTAAGCCGTCAGCAAATTTCTCTAATTTTTAAATTCCGAGAAATATTTTTTATTTCCTTGGAATTTTAAATGTTTTCTCCTACTGTAATTTGGCTCTTTTTCATTTGCATAATTGTGCAAGTTGATGCTCAACGCCGTAATGGTCCGTTGATTTTGCGCCGCAGTTTGGAGGAAATTTGCCTCCAAACGCTGCAAAACAATCTCCATCCGGACCTGCAGCTCGGACAATGTACCCCATACTTTATTCGTTGTCAGTTCGACGAAAATAATCGAGTTAAAATACGACTGGGCGGTTGTTCGAACGGAAAAGTCTTCCTGGGCGATCGATGTACGAGTGTGGAGAAGATGGGCAAAGCTTGTCTGGATCAGAGTGTTAATCTGGTGAATGCCGCAAGCGGCGTGTTGGCACAGGTAAGAGAAGTGACGTTGAGCCTTTTTCTTATCAGTCTGTCGGGAAAATAATGAGCACAATGTCGCTGCGCCGATCGTGTCGCTAAAATTAAAAGACAATTCATTTTCTCGGCGGCGATTCGATTTTCGATGCGACATTGTGCTCATTATTTTCCTGACAGACTGGTATAAGGCAATGTTGTTGTCTTCGGAGTCTCCAAATTGTTTTCAGGCCACCGGATTCTGCGAGAAGAACACAAAAACACCGGCCGTTTTCTTCGGCGCCGAGACTGACTGTTCCCAACAAGCGATCCTCTGTATACCTGGCGGCGAGGTTCCGGCAATCCCATTTGCCTGTCCGATAGGTAAAATACGTTCCCTAATCTTTCGTCAAGTGGGTTGTTTTCCCGTATTGTTAGCATGTATCTTGTGAAATATTGGTTTTAGAGTGTGCGTGTATGCTTCTTATTTTTATTTTTGACGTTTATGTTTTCATGTGTTTCGATCGTGTATGCGTTTTATTTTTTGTTTCTCTTATTTTTATGCATTCCCATTTGTGTATCCTTTGTGTGAGTTCTTTTTTGTTCTTTGAATACGTTTTTTTCCGATGATTTATAGGTCTTCATGTTGATCCGAACTCCTTGGCCTGCGTTTTTGCCGATCCAGGACCGTGTAGGTTCGGCGAGGACAAGGCGACCATATTCTTCCCAGTTCAAGCCACCCTGAACCGATTGTGGTGTCGTCGGGAAGCGGAGGAGCGTGACAATGGGCATGGCCTTTCGAGAAGCGGCGATTTTGCAGCTGAACCGGATTCAATTCGTTGTCGAAATTGGTTTGTGAGTTGTGAAAAACGCAACGACCTTACGTTCGGATTCTGTTCTACGGGAAGTATTTTTGATCGTAAGCACAAAGGATGCAGAAAATTGAAGGAGAAAGATCAATGTCCAGCTCAGTTTGACTGTGTGTAAGTTGTCTGGCTGCTTGAAAGTTTCCACTGTGCGAAATTTCATCGAAAATTACGCGATTTCAGCAAAAACCCATGGCAGAATATTGTCCCAGATCCATGTAAGCCGGATTTCACTTACTGTAAAGGCGCCACTCCCGTGGAATTCCGCTGCCCGAAGGACTCGATTCTTGGAGAAGATGGGGAATGTGTTTCCAAAGAGTTTGTCGGCACCTGTCAGCCAAAACCCGCGCCAGATTGTATCAATGGAGAAGTTTACGATAAAAACGGAAATCCTTGCCCAGGTAAATCTACTGTAAACTGTTATGACGTAGAATTATTTCCCCAGATATTCCAATGATCCCGGAGCGAGAATGCGAAGATGGAGAAAGTAAAGCGCTGAAGGAGAGTTGCAGTTTGTTCAAGCGTTGTATTAACGGTCATTATGAGCTGAGAAGATGCCCCAAAGGCTCAGGATTCCACCCGAAAGTCAAGGAGTGCGAAACGACGTACAAGTGCCCAGAGAATGATGGAGATAACATTTACGACTCGGGTATGAAATTTTTAAAATTTCTCTGACCGTTTCTCTTGATTTTCCATAGTCTCGCGTTTGCACAGAATATCTCGTTTGAACCGAAAAGTTGTCAGCTAAGAACTGTATATGAAATTTTTAGATTACAACTACTCTCCTACAACGACTAAGAAACCTGCACCACCACCTCAACCACAAGATCCGTATAACCCGCAGTACCCTAACCCTCCATATCAACATTGGTCGCCGCATTCGGCTTGCCGTGAAGATCCAGGAATTGCCGGATATCATCGAGATCCCCTGAACTGCGCTAACTTTTATCAATGCGCGAGTGGGAGATGGGTCCATAAGAATTGCGCCCCAGGCACGCATTTCAATCCAAATGGGCCATTTTGCGACCATATTGGAAATGTCCCTGGATGTCCAGTCTAACTGGAATTTGCAAAGAACATTCAATTTTAATCTGAATTTTAATATTCAAATTATTGAATTTATGTGAAAATAATAACTTGATTATGTAAAAGACTATTCAACGACAAAGAAACGTTTCTTCACATTAGGAAAAGGCCGGATACCGTATTTTGTCGAACAAAATGGCCCTTTTATCTAGAGGGTTCTTCACAATCGAAGAAAAATATATCAGGCAGAGTAAGCCGATGGTGCACCCTACTTGTCACGATTAAACGCGTTATAAGCGTCTTATCACAGGGAACTTCCACCACGGAAATGAATGGGACTCTTTGTTTCATGGATTCGATTTTGTTTTGCCTGTTTTTGGCAAGTATTGTTAATCCTCTAACATTAACGCCACAAGAGTACCGTTTTGATGTTGTTCTAAACGGCTTTACCTACAGGCAACTTTCCATCGGGATCAAGAATTTTTCCATGCTTGCAACCTTTTCATTCACTTCACCAGATCTGGAGATCGCTGGTTTCTTTTGTTTGAAAGACTTCGGCGCTTGCCAAAAATACTGTGATACACGTAAGGAGATTTTCTTTATGTGTAACTACATCACGATCTATTCACATCGAATCGCTTTCTGAGTGCTCTCTGTTCAGCGCAGTTCTGTCGTCTCTACTGTAACCCTTTGTGTTGCACATCCAAGCTCCTTCGAGAATTAAGATGCACAAGGTTTGTCCCGAACGCATACCGTATGAACTCCACCGAATTCGAAATATTACCGCAGCCATGGAAGACTGCCGATGGAGAATCGATCGGAGTCTATGCCGAAGATTTAATTGTATTCAAAGGCGGAGCTTCCAACGCCGAAATGGAGTTGGGAAAGACGCGGTTTGCCTTGAACCTTGCTAGATGAAAGCCTAGATGAACGAACGGTGAATATAGAAATAACATTTAAGTAGGTTGCTGAAAGCAGGAAGCATAGTAAAACACCTCTGCGAAAGACGCTCTTCCAGCGATAAAGGCGCAAGAGCGCTGTTATCATTTTCAGTAACAAAGTTGGACTTCGTCGCCGATCGTTCAACGAATCTTTTGTCAATGACCTTTACATCGCCGGAATAATACCCGAGCCAATTCTATCGATCGGTTACAGTCATCACCCGGCTAACCGCGCTGTTACATTTGGCAGGCATGTAAGAGAGCATTGCGGCGAATATAACAAGATCGACCTGACGAATCGTTTGGAATTTATGTTTGATGGAATAGACGTTGTTTTCATGAGCTACACGGAATCACAAAACTTCCGGGTAAGCTATTGAAGTAGGAGTTAAAAAAAAGACCTTCCGCTCCAAGTTCTAACTCCGGCAACCGTTTCAGATTGGACTTTCTGAATCTGATACCTTCCACGCACCACATTATGCATTAACGCGTCTTCTGCACAGCAAAATTATCTCTTTCAAAAAAGAGTCGGGATATGTCTACTTCGTCAACACAAAACAGTTGCAAAATTTCACGTGGACGTTGTCTGATGGTTTTCGTATTGATCTGCAAGATTATAATGTTATTCGAGAGTACCATGTGGCTCGTATAATTTATATTCTGCCAATCAGCCCAAACCCTGACAACATGCAATGGATTCTCAGTTCGGCGGTGTTCTTTGAGTATTGCATATAGATTATGGAAAGAATCTAATGGGCTTTGCAGAATGTCTCACCTGCGGAAAAAAATGAAAGGCGCGAATAAATGCGTGAATTTTCCTCGTTGTATTGTTCGCCCACTTAATGCCGCTTGTAACTTGCTGTATTTTATAAATATGTATTTTTCGAAATATTCGGATTGAAGGTACATCGCTGAGAGTTAAGACATATATATTGGGCGTGCCTAATCGTCGTGCGGTCTTGTAAGGACTATATGATCCTCTTTTTTAGAATTTGGTGTATAGCGGTTGACATTTGGAACACCCATAAAATATGGTAGAGTTGGGAAAAGGCGGAACACCGTGTGTTGTCAACCTTCTCTCACTAAGACGATTGTTCTCAATCGAAAAAGAGTCAATCAGACAGAAGACAGAGCAAGCAGATATTATACCTCGTCTCGATTAAACGCGTTATAAGCGTCTTATCACACGGAACTTACACGTCCGAATTGAGTGGAACCCTGTTTTTCATGGGTCCGATTTTGTTTTGGCTGGTTTTGGCAACTATAGCTAACCCTCTAACATTAACGCCACAGGTTTATCGCTTTAATGTTTTTCTCAACAGCTTTACCTATACCGAATTTTATATTGGGAGCAGGAATTTTTCCATGCATGTGAGCTTTTCATTCACTTCACCAGATCTGGAGATTTCTGGTTTCCTCTGTTTGAAAGACTTTGGCGGTTGCCAAAGATACTGCGAAATACGTAAGGAGGTTTTCTTTTTGTGTATTACGTTAGGATCCATTCATGTCGAATCGCTTTCTGAGTGCTCTCTGTTTAGCGCAGTTCTGTCGTGCCTACTGTAACCCTTTGTGTTGCACATCCAAGGTCCTTCGAGAATTAAGATGCACAGGTCATGTACCTGAAAGCGCTTACCGCGTGGATTCCACCGAATTCAAAATATTACCGCAGCCGTGGAAGGCTGCCGATGGAGAATCGAGTGGAGTCTATGCCGAAGATTTAATTGTATTCAAAGGCGGAGCTTCCAACGCTGAAATGGAGTTGGGAAAGACGCGGTTTGCCTTGAACCTCGTAACAAGCCTAAATGGGAGAACGGGGAATGTGGAATCAACATTTAAGTAGGTTACTGAAAGCAGGAGGCATTGTAAAACACCTCTGCGAAAGACCATGTTCCAGCGGTAAAGACGTAAGAGTGCTCTTATCATTTTCAGTAACAAGGTTGGACTTCGTCGCCGATCGTTCAACGAATCCTTTGTCAATGATCTTTTCATGGCTGGAATAATACCAGAACCAATGTTATCAATCGGTTACAGTTTGCATCGAGCTAACCGGCAAATTATCTTTGGCGAACATGTAAAGGAACATTGCGGGACGTACAACAAACTCGACCTGACAAATCGTCTAGAATTTATGTTTGATGGAGTGCAAGTCGAATTTATGAGCTATAAAGCCAAACAAAATTTCCGGGTAAGCTGTCGGAGAGGTTTAACCATCAGATGAGACTGACTGACTTATGGTACCGGTGGGGCTGGTCAAAAATCCTCCATAGCAAAGGCTGCCGAGATATTTGCCAATAACCAGGATGCCAATACATTCAATCGAAATCTGTGTGTTTGGAAAGCTAGAATTCGCTTATTCGGAAAAGAAATGGGTTCCTTTTCGTGCGAGAGGGAACGTCTTTTCTCTGTCTCTCTTCCCAAATAGGGAACCTCTGAAGAAGAAACGTCAGTTATTGTTGCCAATCATTGTTTCGATTGTGGTTAATCTCCTCATAACGGCCGTTATTATAGATTGGAATCACCGAAACTGACATCTTCTACGCGCCAGATTATGTGTTAACGCATCTTCTAAACAGCCAAGTTATCTCTCCTAAACCAGATTCGGGTTTCGTCTACAATATTACCACCAAAATCACGCAGAACTTCACGTGGATCTTGTCCGATGGCTTTCAAATTGATCTGGAAGATTATAATGTTCTTCGAAATTCGTCTACGAGTAGTACTATCAATATTCGTACCATTAGTTCGAACCCAGACAACATGCAGTGGATCCTAAGTTCGGCTGTATTTTACGAGTACTGTATGTATATCGATTATGGGAGGAATTTGATGGGATTTGCGAATTGTTTGACCTGCGGAAATAATAAACGATATGGATAGGTGTAGTTGTAATAAATCTCTCTGATAAGTTTTGATTTTATCAGGAAAAATTGATTAAAAAATCATCCTTTTTCAATTCTACTTTATTAAAAATGAACTACAAACCATGCCAAAACAAGAACAAAAATGGAATTCTTCACCACACCCGCCGATTTCGCGTATTTCTCTCGAATTTGGATCCATTTTTTGTGCCTTCCATCAAACCAGTTGTCACTCATTCCATTCTCGTAGTAGTTGTAGACGAAATGATCCAATTTGTCGGTGTTTCTTCTCACCGCCGTCCATTCTTGTCCTCCATAAATTTGCGGAGAGCCATTTGGATTGCCGAATTTTACAAAATTCCCGACAAAACTCGAAAATTGCTGTAAAACTATATTGTCCTGAGCGGAAAACTTCTCGCCATTGATGACGTAGTCTCCGAGGACGAAGGGAATGTCGTCGGCATGAGTGGAGCCGTCAATTTTTCTGCGATTATGGTGGCCGGAAAAGTAGTGATCGAAGCGGTAGACGAAAATTGGGCGTTCGGAGACTTGGACATGTTCCATTACGTATTTGTAGATGCCAGTGGTGAAAAATACATCCGACATTAGCTGAAAATGTAAATTTTTGGCTTGAAAATTAGTCTAAATGGTCAAATGACCATTGGGGAAAAGACGTTGGGGAAACTTAAAAATATTATTTTTCGTCGATGTAAATGTTGAAATTAGGATAATCGAGGGTGCCGATTTCGAAAATGACATTCATTTTGTTGATCTTTACTGTTTTTCTTACGTAGTACTGTAGAGTGGTAATTTTTTGAAATTTTTTCATAAATACTCTATTTAGAGTTTTTCGATAGTGCTGATTCCGAAAATCTGACTAATTTTTTTCTGATTTGAAATCAGCACCATCGAAAACCCCTAAATCAAGTATTTGCGAAAAAAAATCTAGAAATTACAACTTTATCATACTTTATTACTACTGAAGGAAAAAAGAACGATCAAAAAATGAATGTCATTTTCGAAATCAGCACCATCGAATATTCTAATTTCGACGCTTACATCGAAGAAAGGTCATTTTTCAGTTTCCCCAAGCCTTTTTCCCCAATTAATGACGCTCCTTCTAACCGATATGGCGATAGGACTTTGTTCGTCAACTCACCTCCGTATAATTCCTCCAGTATTGTTGAGTATCATTATCTTTGGCGGAGTACTGCAAGAATTGAGATAAAATTTCTTCGGCGTCTCTTTGGTTCTTTGAGTCATCGTATTTTTGGCTTCGTAAAATTTGCTTGATAACCGTTCTTTTCGCTTCTTCGTAGTAATTATCGCCCTCGACATTAGCTGAAAAACAATTTTTTTTATATTGGACAACACCATTCATTTTCGTCTACAGTGAGGGGCCTGATTCCAGTCGCAAAGCGCGCCCATAAACTCACAAAAAGAGCGGGTGCGCTTTTGAAATCGGAGTTTTTTCACTTGGAGAGGGAAGTATTTTGCCACATTTTTTGATACTTCCCGGATGCAAAATGGTACCTTTTTGCCCTGGATCAGGTCCCCCACTGTAGATGTCCGGTCAGATTCCTTTCCCTACTTTTCCAAACTTACCGAGCAAAATCGCTTCAAATCTAGTGCATCCCACTAACGTAGCGGGCCGTAGCGATTGCTTTCTCAGTTTATCAATAGTGTCCGGGATGAACTTTCCGTCGTAGCTTGCCCACATCTTGAGCGTTCGTTCTTGCCCATTATATTTATAAGAGATTTCGAAATCTTTGGGATCTTGGGATTGCAGAAAACTGCTCAACTCAGTTTTAGTGTCGTTCGATTTAGCAGTGAAATTTAGGTATTCGTGGGCAAACGTTTTCACATTTTCGAAGGTTTCCTCGGATTTCATGGGCTCCCATTGGAAATCGTTGGTTCCGGACATTAAAATGAGTTGATGGACCATGTCTGAAATTAAAATTTTGATCGATATAGTAAGAACACATCATATAGGAGTGTTATACGGCAAAACATTTTTTTTTCAAAAAACGATTTCAAGAATTTTGGAGGAAATTTAAAATTTCGATTTTTATGGAAGAAATCGTCAAAACTCATTGTAAAAATTTGTTTTTAGGGCGGATTGAAGTAGTATCTATGCTTGTACAGTCCATTATGTTATATTGGACCAAGAAAAATATGTATTTTGCTTCGCAAAAACAAAAAAAACCCCATTTTTGCACAAAAAATGAGTTTTTCGTCCTTTTTTAGGCCAAAATCGGACGAAAATCATCAAATTTCCGAAAACCCTCAAAAATCTCGCCTTTAGAGACCGGCGATAGACTCAAAATCTCCGCTGACATGCTGCCAGTACTGTGTCCTCCCACGGTAATTCTTCTTGGATCTCCGCCAAAGTGCTCGATATTGTTATAGGTCCATCTCAAGGCCTCGGCCAAATCCCAAAGCCCTTGATTTCCGGGGGCGGTGTCGTCGCCGGTTGTGTAGAATCCCAGAATTCCGAACCTGTAGGCCATCGTCACAACGATGACATCTTGGCGAGCTGGCAGAATGGCGGCAACGGCGCGGTCGCCGAAATCTTCCGGCGTTCCGCTGACATACTCGCCGCCGTGAATGTAGAAAAGGACGGGAAGAGGGGGTGAGTGGGACTGGAAAGGAGTAAAATACGAAGTTTGAAGGCTTTTTAAATAGTAAATTTATTTTTATAAAAACTTTTTTTGCACAGTGCGGAAAATTTTTTAAAATTAAAAAATCGTTTTACTGTGTAATCCAAATAAAAAAATTGTAATGTAGCTTGAATATACGGCCATACTGTGCAATTTAACCAATAAATTTGCCATTAGATTATCTAAGATTTGGCTGCGCCGTGCGTTTTCAAAAATAGACTGCACAGTGCAAAAAAAATCAAGAATTGCACAGTGCGAAATCCATGATTTTGACGAAAAACAGAATAAATAAGTTGCTTACCGACCATGAGGGTGCAAACACATTCAAGTAGAGGCAATCCAGTGACTGTCCGTTATTAAGATCGCGTGCATTTGGAAACCAACAAGATGGAGCAAATTCAGAGGTGTTTCTGACTCCTGTCCAATGCAGGGCTGGTTTTGAGGGCTGAAAATTATTTTTATTTACACTGGAGTGTTTTGGAACAATTTTCAGCGATTTTTGAAATTATGCAAATTTTAGAAAATTATGCAAATTTTAAAAATATATGTTAAAAATTTTGCAAAAAGCATTAAAAGAAGTTTTTTATTAGCGCTCCCAATACCTGTAATTTTTAGTTTTTCCATAAAATTGTGCAAATTTTTTATTTATGCAAATTTTTTAATTAATGCAAATTTTCCAAAATCCCAAATATTTCTTTATGGATCATCTGTATCATAAATTTTACTGTTTTCCAAAAAATTATGCCATTTTTTATTTAAAATTGAAAATTATGCAAATTACGAAAAAAATGGACATTCCTCTAAACCCGTAAATTAATTTTTACTCACCGCAAACCAGTCCTCTTTGCTGATCGGGGCCTCCGCATACGGGATTCCCAAGAAAATCTCGACATCTTTTTGGTTGGAAGTCTCCACAAATCCCTGCACTGTGCCTTGTTCCGTATGAACTTCCCGCGAAGGTCGGAGCGCACAGACCGCTGGGAGGAAAATGGCTAGCCATAAGAAGGCCGACATGGTCTAAATCAACGTTTTTTCGACGTTTTACATGCTTTTAACTGGAGTTATGGGAGAATTTCGTTATATTTAAATCGAGTTTTTTGAGAAGTACACGGGCAGGATTAGATGAAAGTTAGTTTAAAACTAGAGCATTATTTTTTAAGACATAGGCGAAATCTTAGCTCGCGCTTTGCAGAAACGACCCAGATTTTTCGGTCGAAAGTTGGAAAAAAAACAAGTTTTTTGCAAATTTTCCCTCACAAAAAGAGCCGGCGCGCTTTTGAAATCGGAGTTTTTTTTCAGTTGGAGAGCGAGGTATTTTGCCGCATTTTTGATACTTCCCGGATGCAAAATGGTACGTTTTTTGCCAATGAATCTTGTCCTCCACTGTAGATCGTTGAATATCTCGGCTCTCACTGCAAAACGCGAGCTAACAAGGGAAGTCACTTAAAACAGCTTTTTTGTAAGGGTCGAGCTAGCTGTGCACATGAAACAGGATGTCACAGTAGAGCCATGAAACACTAACCATGTGTTACCCTAACCGCGAGTACTAAATTTCAGAAAAAATTTTTTTGATTACTGGCCTACTGTAGGTGTACTGTAGCTTTCCCGCATTTCCAGGATCTCAGCCACGACAGGTTGGATTCTCTCCGGACCTTCTCTGTGTTATAGAATGGACAATTCTAAGCAACTTTCGTATTGACACATTTTCCCTAGGACTTCTGGAAGTATGTGAAAAATTTGCATATTTGGCAAAAAATTTATATTTCTTAACCTTTCTAAAAAAATTTGCATATCGGGACGTCCTTTTTATTGCTCTAAATGACGCTCCATGAAGCAACAATTCAAACGGTATATAGGTCATCGCAAGGCGTTCTGCCTATGTTGCAAACGAGGCTTCTAAAGGTCGGGTCATCACGGATTTTTCTCGGGCTAAAATTTTATATGCAAGATATTGGGACAAAATTTGGTTTTATTATAATCTACGCAAAATTTTAAGACTTTTGGACCACACTTTTATGAGTCTCAGACCGACCGGTCGAAAGATACGACCGATTCTTGAGACTTTTCCGGTATTTTACAATTTTTACCCGGAAGGTGACGAAATTTCTGGGTTTCTAGGATTCTGATGGTAGTATTCGATGTAGCACGTACAAAGTTGCCTACGTACATCGATCCCGCATACCGATACGGATGTTCGCGAAAAAAAGGAATTTTTGTCTAAAAATTTTTGCGCAATATCTAACAAAACTCCATTTTAATGACTGAAATTCAGCATTCTGATGGCACAATTGAATCCGAACATATAATTTAAACTAGATACGTGTTCCATTCATCACATTAGCGTTAAGTATTTTAGATATTAAAATTTCTTTGAGGAAAAACCGACAAAAATTTGCATGATTTTTTCTGAACTGAAAATAAATGGAAAATATTTTGATCGATTCGGTCTATAGAATAATCTCGAAATGCGGCAACTAAAAAAGGTAATTTTGTCAATTTTTCCTCTTAGAAGCTTACTTGCGGCATGGTGTCAGACTCCAAAAAAAAATACAGGTGTACCTCAGAATATTCCTAGAAGCGACAACCAACTTTTCAAAAAAACTTGAATAGCTAAAGTATGAAAAGCGACAAACATTGAGTTATTCACAGACGCTGAATTAAACGCAATCAAAGAAACCCCGAAATTCCGTCACCTTCCGGGTAAAAATTGTAAAATACCGGAAAAGTCTCAAGAATCGGTCGTATCTTTCGACCGGTCGGTCTGAGACTCATAAAAGTGTGGTCCAAAAGTCTTAGAATTTTGCGTAGATTATAATAAAACCAAATTTTGTCCCAATATCTCGCATACAAAGTTTTAGCCCGAGAAAAATCCGTGATGACCCGACCTTTAGAAGCCTCGTTTGCAACATAGGCAGAACGCCTCGCGATGACCTATATACCGTTTGAATTGTTGCTTCATGGAGCGTCATTTAGAGCAATAAAAAGGACGTCCCGATATGCAAATTTTTTAGAAAATTTAAGAAATATAAATTTTTTGCCAAATATGCAAATTTTTCACATACTTCCAGAAGTCCTAGGGAAAAGGTGTCAATACGAAAGTTGCTTAGAATTTTCCGTTCTATAACACAGAGAAGGTCCGGAGAGAATCCAACCTCTCGTGGCTGAGATCCTGGAAATGCGGGAAAGCTACAGTACACCTACAGTAGGCCAGTAATCAAAAAAATTTTTTCTGAAATTTAGTACTCGCGGTTAGGGTAACACATGGTTAGTGTTTCATGGCTCTACTGTGACATCCTGTTTCATGTGCACAAGGCAAATCTGAAAGCTCGAGTCTCTCGGAAAACTTGTTTTAAGTCACGGATCGATTTTTTAAAACGACTGTTACAGCGATGGGGAGGGTAGGACGGAGATATCAAATCTGAAAACCGCTACCTCCACCGGCCTCTGGGAGCCGAGATAATCGACCAAAAAGGTTTGCCCAAAAAAAGTTGCTCCGAATAGTCCTCTCTTCCGAAAGAATGAGAGAAGAGAACCGAGTGGTCCGGTGGTCTGGAAGCGCGCTTCCGGGCCTTGACCTTTTCAGGTTCGAATCCGCATGGGTCAAATAATTTATTAAACTTTTCCTGTAATACAGTAAGTTTACCGGTAAGATAAAATTTTTGATTTTTTGCATATTTTACAATTTTTAGAGTAATAATTTGAAAGTTCCAAACGATTTGAATTTGCAAGGTTGAAAATTTACCGTAAAATAGGCAAAAAATTAAAAAATAAATTGCTAGAAAATTTTCTGGATCACAGCAACATAAATTTTTCGCAAGTCCGAGTCCCGCGCGGATTCGAACCTGAAAAGGTGAAGGCCCGGAAGCGCGCTTCCAGACCACCGGACCATTCGGTTCGCTGGATTTTCTTCTTTCGGAAGGAAGAAATGATCGGAGGAATTTGGGCAAACTTTTTGGTCAATTATCTCGGCTCCGAGAGGCCGGTGGAGGTAGCGGTTTTCAGATTTGATATCTACTTCCTACCCTCCCCATCGCTGTAACAGTCGTTTTACAAAATCGATCCGTGATTTAAGTGACTTCCCTTGTAAGGCTTTGAGAGGTTGATATGTGGCCTATGGCTCAAGTGTGTGCAAAATTTTTTCAATTTTACAACACTTCTTTTGCAAATTTTAAAAACAAGAACTGGGCTGCCGAAAGCCCAACAAGTAATCCGTTGAGATCACAACCCAACAAAACCCCAAAAAATGCGGCTTTTCACTTTTTCCGAAGCAAACCTTATTTGCATTAAATCTTGGGAGGTCAAAAGTAAAAAAAAAACAGAGTATTAGCAAATATAATCGATTTCTGTTCCAAAATTTTTATTCAAATAACCGTTTACGTCGGATTAGAGCATTACGTCCTAGAAGGGGAAGTCATCTCCGAGAATGGAATTTACAACTCGGGTTTTCCGAAGCCGGGTCCCTCGAGGTGGCAGGCATCACAATCCGGACAACCAACCGCTTTATCGGCCTTATTAGGCGGAGCAGCGGTGAATTTCTTGAGATGTTGCTGAAAATGTCAAATATTGTAAAAAAATGAAGTTTCAAGGTTTGAGGGCATTTTTGAAAAATCAATAATTTTTGTGACATTTCGTCAAATTGTCGAAAACATGTGCATATTGAAGAATCTGATTTTTCTAGGAATGCGAGCTATATTTAAACGTAAAATTTAGCAAATTAAATCAAATTCCGAATTTTTTAAAAATCAATAATTTTTGTGACATTTCGTCAAATTGTTAGAAATCTCGTCTTATGCAAAAAATAGAACTCAGAACACAACGTTTTTTCACGGAATTCTGGTCGCGTCACGCCACGAAAACAAATGTTTGGCGTACTGTTAAATAATGTTTTTTGGCTTCTTCGAGAAATTACAAAAATTGTAATTTAGCCCAGTATTGAACAAAATCTTGACAGAAAAAAGCTATAGACCCTATCAGTGAATTTTTCTTGTTATAGTAGGTCTGGTTTGTCTTTCAAAAACACCATGTTTGATGAGTTTGATAATTAAAATATCTCTAGTTGCGGAATGCCACGGATTTTGTCATTTTGCGAAAAGCCCGGGCAACGATTTCAATCATTATAATAGCAGGAAAGATGGCTCAATAAGTCGAGTTTCGAGCCAGAAAACGTTCTGAAACTTTGCATGATGATTGAGAATGATGTTGTAGTGCTGATCGCCCATTTTTGTAGGATTCGTGACTAAACGTCGCCCGCTAGGCGATTGCAAAGTTCTCAATTTTGGGAAGTTTGAAGTCGAATATCTCAAAGACTGAATAACACATACAAATTTCTGAACCTCTAACAGAGAGATAACTGTCTACTCTTTCCAATTCACCATTTATCAAGTCGCTCAATTTTGGATGATCGGGTGAAAAGATCGTATCTTTAAGACCACCTTTTTGGAGCGAAGTGTCACAAAAATTCGATCGATAATGGCGCAATTAGAGCTCGACTTCCGCTTTTCTAGTTGTTTCTAAACGTTGTGGAATTTTTAAGATCATGTTTAGCTGCAATAATTTTGCATGGTCTTAAAAAATCGGATTCCAAAAAACTAATAAATTTTGTGGCATTTCGTCAAATTTTTGAAATTTGGAAAAATTGTGCCTGAATAACCCAATTTACTGCCTAAGCACCATTTTAACAGGGATTAACCCTCTTCAATCATTTTTAAAAATCCAATAAATTTTTTGACATTTCGTCAAATTTCTTCAAACCTCAATAATCCTCCCAAAACTTACAGCTTCGACTTTGGCTGGCTTCTGACAGTTGCCTCCAAGCTGCACGCGCATCTGGATCACCGGCACTTGACGCAACAACGCGTTCTGTCGCATCTGAATCTTGGGTTTGGGCAGATGGGCGAGCTCCGCGTTCTCCACGGAAAACATGGTTCCATCCAACGCGAGATGAATGCTGAAGATGCCCTCGGCGCCACACACGAATCCACCTTGTCTTGTGCATTCGGGAAGACCGTCCAACATCTGGACGACGCGCATTTCCGCGTCCTCGGTGGGGAAACACACGCATTGGTAGAGCCTGAAAGCCGATGATAAAAAGATTAAAAAAAAACTATTATACAAAGTTCACTGAGACTCACTTAGTGCACGAGGGGTCCTGTGTGAAGATCAGCCGGAACGGATCCGACATGATCTCGAATTCCTGGTTACTAGAAGTCAGGGTCACAACGTCCTGATGCGCCGTATATCCGTGCACTTTTTGGGCCAAGAACCCGATGAATGTGCAAACGAGCAGAGAATCCATTTCCGAAGCAAAGAGGCGACTGTAAACCGACCAAAGTTTCGGGAAGAATGAGGAATTTTGCGGTGCGGGAATTTGGAGTTTTTGAGGTGAAATTTGAATAATTTTGAATTGAAAACAAAAATTTGAATAATTTTTTTTTGAAATTCACATAATTTTGAAAAATTTTGCAAAAAAAAATAAAAAATCACAAAAAAGTTTTTAAAATCACAAAAAAAAAATTAAAAATACCTAAAAAAAATCAAAAAATAAATAAAAAATCTCAAGAAAAATTTTAAAAAATCTAAAAAAATCGAAAAATTAAAAAAAAACAAAAAAATTTAAAAAAAAAATAAAACAATCTTAAAAAAAATATAAATAAAAAATCTAAATTAATCTAAAAATCTCAAAAAAATTCAAACACTGTCGAAATGTCAAAACTCTATTCCAAGTTAAAACAAATCTAACCACTTGCTTGCGCCTGTGGCTTCAGATATTTCTCGATAGTTTCGGGCTTTGGGCAGGGCTGTAGAATGATGTGCTGAATATTTCCGTGCATTACGTTGAACGAGTCATTATTGTCATACAATGGCTTGGAGAAAATCGGCTTTCCGTGATACGTGCAGTCAGAAAACACCAAGGAAAATTTCTTTTTGAAGCCCAGCTGAAAATTTTTGAAATTGAAGAAAAAAATTTCGTTTGCACTGTGCAGAAAAAAAAAGATTTTAATTTTTTTGCACTGTGCGTTTTTTCCAAATGTTTTTTGCACAGTGCAAAAAATAAGCCCAAAATTTTTGTGCGCACAGTGCAAAATTATTTTTATTTTTGTTTTGCACTGTGCGATATTTCAATACAGAAAATTTGTTGCACAGTGCAAAACAAAAGCACGAAATTTTTGTCCGCACAGTGCAAAATTATTTTTATTTTTTCGCACTGTGCGGTTTTTCAATACAGAAAATTTTTTGCACAGTGCAATTTCCAGCAACAAAATTTTCGCACCGTGCGAAAAAAATAATTCTTTCCAACTGCACAGTTCAATGAAAAGTTTTAAAAAATTGGTGAAAAAGAAAAGTCATCTTACGTCTTTCATGACTTTAGTGGAAGCTGTTGCCGAGCACATTGTATCCATGATTTCCAGACCTCTTTTCGCGGCCAATTTCGAAGTTTCAATCGCCAATTTTCGACGAACATCACCTCTGAAAATTACCCAAAATTATGTTAAACTGATTTTTTAGTCCTTTTTTTATTGATTTTAGCGAATTTTCATCATTTTTGGGCAATTTGGAAATTTTGGGCAAGTTGGGCATTTTAGTCATATTGTCATTTCGCCCATTTTTGAACCTGCCCAGCTCATTTGTAATGCTTTTTGACCAATTTGGCATTTTTTTCAATTATTGCACATCTTCAAACTTACCCTCGAAAAGTCGGACAGACACTCCCAGCCTCTGCTCTGACAATTTTCTTTGTTCCTTCGGGCAAGAAATGAAGTGAAACCGTTTCCAAATAGTTCAAAAAAGTGAAAAGACATCCAGATTCAACTCGCTTGATTCCAAACTTCTTCATATTCTCGTCGACCACTGAAAATTGTTGAATTTTAGATGCAATCACCAAAAAAAAGCATGTTAAAATTTTTTTGTGAGCTCTAAATAGTATTTTTTTATTGATTTTTGCTGCTTTTTACAGCAACTTCGTAGACAAAATCGAGTATTTTCATCTTATGCTTCCACTGGGATTCGAACCCGCGCCGATTTGGCGCCAAAGGAATTTCGAAAAAATCGCGAAAACGTCATCCCGTCCGATCTGGCGAGTTAAGCAACGGTGGTTGAATAGTCGCGGGTTCGAATCTCAGTGGAAGAAAAGGGAGAAGAGAAGTAAAATACGAGTTGAAAATGTAAAATACGGACATTTGAATAGTTTATAACTGCTTAGAACAGCTGAAAAGTAATTTAAGAAGATAAAAAATAGAATTTTCAGCCTTTTTTGCTATAAATTCGAGATTTTTTTGCTTTTCTGCAGGTAAAATTTGTAAAATACGGCCATCTGGAGTTCGTATGGTTTTTTCAGGTGTCACAAAGAATTTTCAGGCCAAAACTTACTCGGTCCAAGGTCTTTCAGCGTCAAATCGACTTGTTTTTTCTCCGCCGGAACCACAGTAACCGTCGAAACCGCGACCAATTCGTCGCCATGAAACGCCAGCGTGCTTAGCCCACTCTGCAGCGCTTGTTTGAAAACAGGTCTGTAGAAGGCGTGCTCCAGCTCCTCATACGTGATATTCAAAGCTCGAGAAATGGGCTCTTGAACGGAAAAGTTGGCTTTGAAGAATTTCAAAATCAGCTCCAAATCATGGTCGTTTCCCTGCTGAATGGAGAGTACACGCCCGTCCGGAACAACGTATTTAGGGTCCAAAGTGAAGCGAGAAGTGGCGTAGCGAACGGAAGCCGGAATGTAATGGCGAGTGGAGCGGAAAAGTGACGTCATCCTGAGGTTAAAAATGACGTCATAATACTCTTTTATTATGCATATTCGTTTGGCGGGAAAATAATGTGGATTCGTAGCGTCTTGCCCAGTTTTGAGGAGGCGAGAAATTTTGCTGCGACAAATCCACATTATTTTCCCGACAAAAAAATCGAACGCACGAAATAACGAATCGACAAAATAATTGTTGCTATCAGTCTGTCGGGAAAATAATGAGCACTTTGTCGCGTCGAAAATCGCATCGCCGCCGAGAAAATGAATTGTGTCGCGGAGAAAATGAAATTTCTTTTCACTTCAGCGACGCGATTGGCGCAGCGACAGTGTGCTCATTATTTTCCCGACAGACTGATAGTATTTTTATAAATTTTTTGGACCTTTTTGAATGCTCATTTTCTCCTAGCTTCAGCATTCTTTGCAGCCGAGAGAGAGGAGATCATTTTTTGGCGATAACTTCGCTAGTTTCGTGTGGAAAAACTTGATTTTTTGTGGAAATCTCACACTCTATGGTAGCAGTATATAGGTACAAAATTTTTCATGCCAAAATTCGCAAAAAAAATGTCGCATTTTTTCCAACTTTTTGGGAAAAATGCGACCTAAAAACAGCGCACTAGACAATCGCACAGTGCAAAAGTGTTCATTATTTTCCCGACAGACATGTACAGTAACCGTGCGAAATATTACAAAAAAACGTAAAAAAAGGCCATATTTTTTCAACTTTCGGCCCAAAAATCTCTGTCGTTTCTGCAAAACGCGGGTTCATAGATATTTTTTAAAATTTTTTTTCTTCTACGCACTTTATGAAAACTCTATGTAGTAGTGACTAAAAACAGAGCGGCGACAAGTCCCATCTCACAAGCTGCAGCCATCTTATATGTACTGCTCACAACAATATTTTCAATCTTTAATCGAAACTTCACTGATCACAAACAGCATGGTCGATAGTAATCAAGAAAATGTGGCGCAAGGAAATTTGTAAGAAAGCACGCAACGCTCCCACAAGGTTGTCAATAAAATATGAGCAGATAATTCATTTATCATCAAAAAGAAAAGGGGGAAACTTGGAGAAATGTAGTTTGTTACCTTACGCTTTTGATTACTTGGTCTGAAAAATCATCAAAAGAAAAGTCAAAAGTATTCGACATGCAACGCTGAGATTTCAAAATTTGGCAAAATTGAAAACAAAATTTTTTTTTCTTCTCCAATAAAAAAATAACTTGCAAAACGAAAAAAATTTTTTTCTATTTTCGTAAAAAATCAGTTGTACCCGAAAAGGGCAAGTTTTATCGTTTTAAACGGACTCATAAACACTTCACTTCCATTTCCATCGAAATGAATTGATAAGCGACTTAGACTAAAATACAAATTTTAGATCAGAAAACGGCACTGCACTGTGCGAAATTTTTTTTCTTTTTTTTTGCACGGTACGGTGAAAGCAAAAAAAAAATTTTTTTGCACTGTGCAACAAAAATCAAATTCTGCACCATGCAATGTCGCACAGTTTTTTGTTGCACCGTGCATTTTATTGTCTGCACCGCAAAAAAACAGCTTTCATTGCTGCACTGCGCAAAAATTTGGTAAAAGTTCCTTATTTTGGCCACAACCAGGGGTGGCCACCGGGCCGGCCCGGCCCGGCGAAGCCCGGCCCGATCGGGCCTAAACGGGCCGGCCCTGGCAAATTTTGAAACGGGCCGGGCCGGGCCTGCTTTTACCGGGCCGGGCCGCGGGCCTGAGCCATTTTCAGGCCCGGCCCGGCCCGGTTTTGTCGAAATGCCAAGCGTTTGGCATTCAATGTTTTCGCGCCGGAAAAATTTTTGGATAGGTTTGTATTTTTAGTATATCAAGTTCTACAATAGTTTATTACTTTATAGTACTTTTTTGCATATATGTTATAATATAAGGTCCAAATTAGAACATATAATACATATAGGATAGTTCTTAGCAGATTTTAGCACACTACAGAGGCGGTAAGATCAAAGGAAAATTTCCAGCTCGCGCCCTAACCGGGCTTTTACCGGGCCGGGCCGGGCCGGGCCTGCAAAATTTTGAACCGGGCCGGGCCGGGCCTGGGATTTTGCCGGGCCGGGCCCCGGGCCTGAAATTTGGAAAAAGAGGCCCGTTTGCCACCCCTGGCCACAACTTATAACTTTGCGGAAACTGGTCAGAATTTGCCCAAATTTAGCGTGCACGCTCAATTCATCGTTTTCAATGCCCGGACAGTGGATTTAGTCAGTGAGGTACCTTCTTTTTTTACGTACCACCTTACCCTTCAAAAACGGCTGCAGCCTGTGTGATTTTACACTTTATACGATGAAACATGTCCGGAACTGAACTTATTGCCTCCGTATGGAACTAAATAAGTCGTCACAGCCTTCGTATGTGCCCTTAAGACTATAGAGCTATTACAGTAATTCAGTGCCAGCTAGGTCGAGGCGTTTTTTCCTAACTTTAGTGCCCAAGCTTGGGCGCAGTTCGCGGAGTACCTTTGTTGTCGCCAAAATAAGGAACTTTTTCCGAAAATTTTTCTTTTTTCTCGGTTTGCACTATGCGTTGTCACAACCTTATTTTAAATAAAAAATCAAAAAAAAAATATTTAAAAAAAAGCTCGAAATTTTTAAAGCAGTTTTTATTTTCATTTTACTCCAGTCAGTTAAAAAACGTGATTCTGGCATCATTTCTGCTGCTTCAAAACCTCTTTAATTTTCTCCGGTCTTGGTGCTTGGAGTTTGGCGATGTGTTCCATTGGCCCTTGCATGACGTTGCAAGAAGTGTTGTTGTCTTCCAAAGGGCTTGGAACAATATGTCGGCCGTGATCGGTAATGTTTTGGTACAAAACTGGGAATTTGTTGGCCAAACCGAGCTGAAAATAAAAGTTATATTAACTTTTCACTGTGTTAAAAAAACACAATTTTTGCACGGTACAAGAAGAACTCAATTTTCTGCACCGTGCAATATCGCCAAGCCTTTTATCGCACTGTGCGTCTTCTTGCTTGCACGGTGCAAAAAGCTGTTTTTTGTCGCCGCACTCTGCCAAAATTGGCCTTCTCTCATTTTGCACGGTGCGGTACTAGGCGGGCCAAAAAGTCTTGACACGTTTTCGCACCGTGCGGGCGCATGAATTCGGCGACGCGACGAGATGTCGCGCGATAAAAATTTGGCGGGGTGCGAATGAAGAGCGCACTGTGCGTTGTTTACCCTTTTTCAAAACAATCTTTTTGCACTGTGCGGTGTCGCATTGCACCGTGAAATTTTCTTGTCGCCGCGCGACAAATTTCATGCACGACGGCGCACTGTGCAGACATGTCTAGACTTTTTGGCCCGTCTAGTATCGCAACCCGGTTTGTCGCACTGTGCAAAACACGAAAAAATTTTTTGCACTGTGCAAGAAAAATCAGTTCCTGCACCGTGCAATGTCGCTAAATTTTCGATCGCACCGTGCAAAACCAGAAAATAAAAATTTTCGCACAGTGCAGCGAAAAAAACAGTTTTTCGCACAGTGCAAAAAAAATGCGATCAGAAATTTAGCGAAGTTGCTCTTCAGAAACGGATTTCCTTGCACTGTGCAAAAATTGCTTTTTCTTGTTTTGCACTGTGCGAAAATTTGTCTTTTCTGTTTTTGCACTGTGCGTTGTCGCAAACTCGGTTGATCGCACTGTGCAAGCATTTCTTTGTCATCGCGTCGCACAAATTTCCTTGCACTGTGCAAAAAACAATTTTTGTTGCTGCACTGTGCAAAATTTTGTCTTTTCTCCTTTTGCACTGTGCTTTGTCGCAAACTCGGTTGATCGCACTGTGCAAACCGAAAAAATATTTCTGCACTGTGCGATTTACCAAACTTTTCGGGAAAAAGCCGCAACTTACATTATGCATGACCCTGGTGGACGCGGCGGCGGTGCATATGGAATCCATGACCTGCAGACCTTGATCTATCGCCAATTTCGACGATTCAATCGCCAACTTTCGGGAAATATCGCATCTGAAAGCAAAATTTCATATTTTTTGGGGTATTTTTGTTCAATATACGATATTTTGGGCTCTAAAAATCTCGGAAATGACCTTTTCTTACCCTCGATATCCAAGACAAACGCTGACTGTCTCGATTCGACAAAGTTTGTCCACATTTGGCGGTAAAAGAGAGGCAGAAATCGCTTCAGCATGGGAAAGAAGGGTGAAAATGTAACTGGTTTGACGGGTAATCCCATATTTCTTCATATTCTCGTCGAAATCTGGAAAAATTTTTGGTATTTTGGAGACATTTTGATACTTTTTGACGAAAAACAGTGATTTTTTGGTTTTTTGGCCAAAACGAGGCTAAGATGCGGTGTTTAAGGAGAGGAAGAAATTTTAAAATCTCAGAAGACAATCGTCCTTTATATTGGCATTGAAATCTGGAAAAATTTTTGGTATTTTGGAGACATTTTGATACTTTTCAACGAAAAATAGTGATTTTTGAAGATTTTTAGGCCAAAAAAAGGGTAAAATACGATATCTAGGAGTGAAAACAACTTTGAAACCCCTGCAGACAATCTTTCTTTATATTCGTATAGAAATCTAAAAAATATATTTGGTAATTTTGGGACCTTTTGATACTTTTTTGTCACAAACTTGGATATTTTTGGATTTTTGGCCAAAACTGGTCTAAGATACGATTTCTAACGACAGAAAGTTTTTCTAAAACTCTGAAGACAATGTTCCATATTTTTTGCACCGAAATCTGTAAAATTTTTCGGTAATTTTGAGATATTTTGATACTTTTTGGGCGGAAACCCAGATTTTTTAGACTTTTTTGAACAAAAGGAAGGTAAAATACGATGTCTAAGATCATAAAAAATTTTTAAAGCCTCTAGGGACAGCCGTCCATTATTTTTGCATCAAAGTCTGGAAAAATATTTGGTAATTTTGAGACATTTTGATACTTTTTGGCCAGAAACCCGGATTTTTCGGCTTTTTTGGCCAAAACGAAAGTAAAATACGATCTCTAAGGAAAGAAGAACTTTTGAAAACCTCTGAAAACAATTTTCCATTATTTTTGCATCAAATCCGAAAAAATTTTTCGTTAATTTTGAGACATTTTGATACTTTTTGGCCAGAAACCCGGAATTTCCGGCTTTTTTGGCCAAAACGAAAGTAAAATACGATCTCTAAGGAAAGAAGAACTTTTGAAAACCTCTGAAAACAATTTTCCATTATTTTTGCATCAAATCCATTAAAAAATTTTCGTTAATTTTGAGACATTTTGATACTTTTTGGCCAGAAACCCGGAATTTTCGGCTTTTTAGGTTAAAATTAGGTTAAAATACGGTTTCGAAAGACAGAAGAAATTTTTAAAACCTCTTGAGAAAATCATATATTAATTTTGCATCAAAATCCGAAATAAATTTTAGTTGATTTGGAGACATTTTGATACTTTTTTGTCAGAAACTCGGATATTTCGGCTTTTTTAGGTTAAGATTGGGCTAAAATTCGATTTTCTTCATGTCAAAACTTTTTTCAGACCTATATGCGTCCTAACAATGATGTTTAGATGTTTCTACAGTCTTTTCTTACCTTCTCCAAACTCGGTTTTTCCAAAATCGACCTTTTCCTTGGTGACGTCGTTCACCGTGACCGTCGATCCCCCCACCATTTGATCCCCATTGTACGCGACAGTCGTCAGTCCAGATTGGAGGGCCGCTTTGAAGATGGGACAGTAAAATAAGTCGCCGAAATCCTCGTATTTTACGCCCAAATAACGGGAAAGCGGCTCTTGAACCGAAAAGTTCTCCTTGAAGAATTTGAAGAGCAAATCGAGATCCGATTCCTCGGCACGCTGAATCGACAACACTCTCCCATCCGGCATCACATAATTGGGGTCGAGAATCTGCCGATGGGACAACGATCTGGCCAATTGAAGCGAAGGGGAGCGCACAGTGCGAAGAGAGTGGAACATGACGCCAACAACCGGTCCGAGAATGAAGATACCGGAGAAATGGAAATGGAGCAGTACTTCACTACCGGATTAGTGCAAGTTCAAGAAAAAATTCTGCGTTTTGCTTTGAAGCGTACGGCACAGTGCAAATTTTAAGTTTTTGGACTGCACAGTGCGGAAAATGGGAAATAAGGGGGAAATGACCGCTTAAAATCGCAGAATGGCAAAAATTAGCTGCACTTGAATTGATTTAGGTAGAGCATATAAAATAGAACAAAATTCGTCAAAATTCCCAACTTGCCCAAAATAACCAAAGTGCCCAAATTGACCAAAATGTCAAATAAACCAAACCAAACCCCGGAGAAATTATGGAAATTGACCAAAAATCTCAACATTCGGCAAATTGCCCAAGTTACCCAAACTGACCAAAATTCCCAAGTTGCCCAAATTGACCAAAAATGGCAAATAAACCCAACCAAAACTCCAAAAAATTATGGAAACTGACCAAAAATCCCAACATTCGACAAATTGCCTAATTTGCCCAAAATGCCCAAATTGCCCAAAAAAGCCTAGAGACAAATAAAATCCACCGAAACCCCAAGAAATTACGAAAATCGACAAAAAATCAGAACTTTTAGATTTGCCCAAAATAGCCTACAGACAAATAAAATCGACCGAAACTCCAAGAAATTACTAAAATCGACCAAAAAATCCCAACCTTCCCAAAAGGCCCAATTTTCCCAAAATGCCCCATTTTTTTATTAATTTTTTATTCAAATCATAAAGTTGATAGTCATGTCATCTTTAAAGACCAAAAAAATGAAATTTAGGCAGTAGCCGCTCTTTTTCTCCTCTCATACTTCTCGCAGGTCTCGGGTTTCGGCGCCTGCAGTCTGGCGATTTCTTTGATCGAGCCCTGCATGACGTTGAAGGACGTATTATTATCGTGCAAAGGCGTTGGGATGATCTGCTTGCCGTAGTCGGTAATCGAGTTGTAGAGAATGGGAAATTTGGTGACTAGTCCGAGCTGAAAATTGAAAAAAAAGTTATCGAATTCTTTCTTGCAGAATTTTTCGCTTCGGCCACACTCTGCGATTCTTGGAAGTTTTCGTGCACGGTGCAATGATCAAAAAATGTTTTTTTCACTGTGCAATTTTCAATCTTTTTTTGCACAGTGCAATAATAACCGAAATTTTATTTTTCTTGCACAGTGCGACGATGATCAAAATTTTTTTTTTTTTTTTTTTTTATTTTTTGGCAATGTGCAATTTTTCAAATAATTTTTAAACATTTTTGGGCATCGCACAGTGCAATAACGGAAATAATGTATTATTTTTCTTTGCACAGTGCGATGACCAAAAAAACTTTTCTGCACAGTGCGGGTAAACGTTATAAAAAAATGAGCTGTACAGTGCAACCAAGAAGAAAACAATCTTTACTGTATGTACTATAAGAGCTCGCTTACATCTCCCATGACCTTGGTGGACGCAGTCGCCGAACATATGGCATCCATGACTTCCAGGCCTTCGGCTTCGGCCAATTTTGAGGTCTCAATGGCCAATTTTCGGCGGACATCACCTCTGAAATTACGAAATGGTTATTTTGGGCATTTTGGTGGTCATTTTGGGCAAGTTGATTTTTTGTCCAGTTTTGAAAAAAAAATATATTTTTGTAATTTTTGGGCAAATTGGGCAATTTGGGCATTTTGGGCAAATTGGGCATTTTGGGCAACTTGGTCAGTTAGCCCATTTACGACCGTTTTCGCTCAATTTCCACAATTTTTTGACCGAACTTACCCTCTATGCGACGGACAAACACTTCCAGCTTCGGAACGGACGATATGCTTCACATTTTCCGGCAAAATCGCTGCAGAAATTTCTTCAGCGTGAATGAGCAGGGTGTAAATGTAACTAGTAGAGCGGGTAATCCCAAATTTTTTCATATTCTCGTCGAATTCTAAAAAAAAAAATATTTTTTTTAATTTTGAAATTTTTTTGATTTTTCACTGAAAAGGGGGTAAAATTGAAGTTTTTGAAACGAAAAAAACTTTTGAGGCCTTAAAAAATAATTTTACAGAAGCTGACGTCCTCTTAAAATATTGAATCATGATGTTTTTTGCTATTTTTAGGCAAAAAACGGCGATTTTGAGGCATTTTTGTCAGAATTGGCCTAAAATACGATTTTTCCTCTTTGCAGAAAATTTTTTACAAGATCCCAGGCCCTAATAAAAACGTTTTAGCACCTTTCACACAACCCATTTACCTTTTCCAAACTCGGTTTTCCCAAAATCAACCTTTTCTCTGATGACGTCATTCACAGTAATCGTCGAAACCGCGACCAGCTCATCGCCATCAAACGCCATGGTGCTCAACCCACATTCCAAGGCTCTTTTGAAGACCGGGCCATAAAATAAAATCCCGAAATCCTCGTATTTTATCCCCAAATAACGAGAGAGCGGCTCTTGAACCGAAAAGTTCTCTTTGAAGAATTTGAAGAGCAAATTGAGATCCGATTCCTCGGCACGCTGAATCGACAACACTCTCCCATCCGGCATGACATAACTGGGGTCGAGGACCTGCCGCTGGGACAACGATCTGGCCAATTGAAGGGAAGGGGAGCGCACAGTGCGGAAAAGAAGGGACATCCTGAAAAATGAGGCCAAAATGAAGCCTTTTGCTCGATTTTTGAAAAAATTTTTGGCTGTAGCGAATAGCCCACAGAATTCTTGTTGTAATAACATCAATATCTGGAACATACGATACAGTAATTTTTTGAAAAATTAAATTTTTTAAAGACCCCTATCTGACGTCTAAAACAAGGTCGCAGGTGATGAAATAGAGCTTCCTACGCTGTGTAAATCATCTGTATTTTATCTAGGTCATGTAGTTCGTATAGATTTATAGACGGTTCCAAAATTGTTTACGATTTTTTAGTCGAACTTTTGATCCTCATGGAGAATATAAAATTGATGTCTAAGCGCCAAAGACAAGAAATTAGGCGGAAAAAATTGTAGTCCACGTATTTTAAGTCATCTGGGAGCTAGATAAAACATTATTGACCGGTTTTCGACGGCTGAAACAGAATGCCAAGCTTTTTTGAAATTGGCGGGAAATTTGAATTTTTGAAAAAAAAATCTCGCGTTTTTTTTCAAAATGCCCTAAAAGTCAATCCTACGCAAAAATTTTTCTTTATTCAAATTTTCGTAATGTGAAATCGAGCATTTTTTCACGATAAAAGCCATGGAAATCGGGGGAAAGCTTCATTTGTTCCGGCGAAACGTGTAAAAATGGCTGGTCGCATCTGGAAGATCCTGTTGTTGGTGTTCGTGGGTAAGTTTGGGGAATTGGGGTGATAGTGGGAGCGGTGCAAAACATAAAAATTGTTTTTTTTTATGTTTTGCACAGTGCGGCAGAAACGGTTTTTTTTGCACTGTGCAAAATTTTGAAGATTTGTCGGAGCATGGATGCACGGTGCGTAAAAAAAATTTTTTTTGCACCGTGCGGAACAAAAATATTTTCTTGCACAGTGCAGTACTAAAGGAATTTTTCGCACGGTGCAAGAAATTTTTTCGAAGTTTTTGTTTGCACAGTGCAGTGCGAAAATAAATAAGTTTTTTTGCACGGTGCAAAAAAAATCTATTTTGCATTGCACTGTGCAAAATTTCTGGGAGAAAAAATGATCGCACAGTGCAGAAAAATTTGGAGATTATTTTCGCACAGTGCAGTACAAAAGTTTGCGAAAAATTTGGTTGCACAGTGCAGTACGAAAACACTTTTTCGCATGGTGCAAAAAAATTGCATTTGCATTGCACTGTGCAAAATTTCTGAACAAATAATTGGTTGCACAGTGCAGAAAAATTTTTAGATTTTTTCGCACAGTGCAGTACAAAAATTTTTTTGCACCGTGCAAGAAACTTAGAAATTTTTTCACTGTAAAAATTTTTTTTCGATTCTAATTTTTTTATTTCCAGTGGCTGTTTATGTCCAAGGACAAGGTCAAAATGAGGAAAACCCGGCTCCACCGGCCCCAACGCAACCACCGGCCCCACCGGCCCCGCCGGCCCCAACGGCCACACCGGCTCCACCGCCCCCACCGGCCCCTACTACGACCACCACAACCACGACTCTGGCGCCGGCACCGGCTCCTGTAGTTTCGACCGACGCCTCCGAGACAAACCAAACCACCACCGCCGCCACTTCGGCCTCGTCCACTCTCTTCGTTATGCCTCCTATGATCTTATTTGCGGCCTTTTTGCTCAAATAAATCTATTTTATGTGTTAAAATAAATAAGTATTGAGGTTTTTGGAGCTGAATTTCATAGTGAAAATCAAAAAATTAAAAAAAAAAATTTTTTTTTTTTAATTTTTAATTTCAAAAAATCGACGATTTTTTTACGATAAATCCGATAGGAAGGCTAAATAATTTTTCATTTGTTCCTAATGAGATACGAAAAATGGTTGGTCGATCTTCAACGCTTCTAATTTTCATCGGTAAGTCCAAAAACAATTTTTTTACTCATTAAAAACATTTTTTTTTCCTATGCTTTTATCTATTTGAAGAGTACGGGAAATTATTCACATGGTGCGCATCAAAAAAAAATCCCCTCCAGAAATCGGTTGCACAGTGCTGTACAAAATTTTTTTGCACAGTGCGGCACAAAAAACGTTTTTGCACAGTGCAGGAAACTTTTAGACTTTTTTTGCACCGTGCGGTACAAAAAATTGTTTGCACAGTGCAGAAAATTTTAGTTTCTTTTTTTTGCACAGTGCAGAAAAAACTTTTTCGCACCGTGTAGGAAACTTTCAGACTTTTTTTGCACAGTGCCAAAAGATGTCTTTTCGCACCGTGCAGGAAGACTTTTGACCTTTTTGCACAGTGCGCCACAGTAAACTTCAAAACTTTTTTGTGCACCGTGCGCGACAACAAACTCTTTTGTGGCGCACGGTGCGGAAATTTTGTGTCGAAATCCCAAAAATTGTCCGCACTGTGCGACCCAAAATCAAATTTTTTTTGTGCACAGTGCGACGCAAAAAACGTTGCCGCGCACAGTGCAAAGAAAAAACGCACAGTGCAATCAAAGCCTTAGCACATTGCACGGTGCAGAATTTGAGTTCTTTTTTGCACAGTGCAAAAAAAAAAATAATTTTTTCTGGGTTGCACAGTGCGTTCAACCGAGTTTGCAACACCGCACCGTGCAATGCGAAAAAAGAAAAATTTGCGCACAGTGCAGCGACAAAAACGCCAAAAATCGCCAAAAAGTCACGAAAACCCACCTTATGAGTGAAATTTTGTTTTCAAAGTCTGGGTTTTATCAATTGGTTTAGACGGAATTGAAGTGTTTATGACCCTATTTACAACGATAAAATTCGCCCTTTCCGGGTTACAACTAATTTTTAGGGAACCCTAAAAAAATTGTACTCTTATGTTAGTTTTTTTGGAAGTTGTTTGGTTTTTTCGAGTGTCTCGGAAAAAATCATTTTTTTTGACTTTACAATTGGCAAAAAAAGGAAAATTGGAACTTGCACAGTGCGGCGGCAAAAAAAAATTTTTTGCACAGTGCAAACAAATTCTAATCGTTCTGGAAAGTCGCCGGACTGATTTTTGGCGTTTGCACTGTGCGAAAAAAGTCAGGGTGCAAGCGACAACCCGAAAAAGCCTGTTGCACGGTGCAAAAAACAAGAAATTGCACAGTGCAGAGAGAAAGTTTTGTTTTCGCACAGTGCGTGTCGCGAAAATCACTCAAGCGACTTGCACTGTGCGAAAAAAGTCAGGGTGCGAGCGACATCCATAAAATTTGATTTTGCGACATTGCACAGTGCAATTTTTTTTTGAAATTTTGCATAAAAATTTTTTTTATTTTTTTATTTTTGTATTGTGTAAAAAAAATTTTTTTTTTTGTTTAATTTTTCACTGTGCTTATCACAAAAAAAATTATGATAAAATATCAGTCTGTCGGGAAAATAATGAGCACACTGTCGCTGCGTCGAATCACGTCGCTGAAATGAAAGCAATTTGATTTTCTCCACGACAAAATTCATTTACTCGGCGGCGATGCGATTTTCGATGCGGCAGAGTGCTCATTATTTTCCCGACAGACTGATATTCTTATATGTAATTGTAAGATTGTTCGTTTATCAATTATATTTTCAGTGACCGTCATTTATGCCAGGTCCTTTGCAGAGGAGAATCAAGCGGATCCGAGTCCCCCGCAGCCCCCTACCGACTCGCCTCAGCAGCTTCTAAGTCGGCAAACCCCAGCACGTCGGCCGGGAGGAGGGCTGGGACCGGACGATGGCCATCAAGCTGGTGAACCTCAAGGCTTCCGCGAAGGCGAACACCATGAGCAACCGGAGAGAGAGCCTGCTTCAACGCCAACCAAAGAGCCGGAAGTGTCCATAACGATCGAGAAATCAGCAGCTAACATGGTTGGCATTATACCGTTTGTAGTCTTAGTCGCCGCGTTTTTAGTCCAATAAATAAAGAATATGTATTTTTTTTAATTTGCCAGTCTGTCGGGAAAATAATGAGCATTCTGTCGCATCGAAAATCGCATCTCCGCCGAGAAAATGAATTGTGTCACGGAGAAAATGAAATTGCTTTTCACTTCAGCGACACGATTGACGCAGCAAGAAAATGCTCATTATTTTCCCGACAGACTGACATTTTGTCATCAATTTTTTTTTGTAGCGCAGTGCAAGAAAAAATATTCGATAGCGCACTGTGCAAAATCAAAAAAAAAACTATTTTTTACACGAAGCAAAAAAATTTGACGAAAAATTTCGAAAAAATTGCACTCTGTAATGTCGCAAAATCCTTGACCGCACGTGTACCGTTTGTTTTCTCATCGCAAATGTCGTCGAAAAATTTCACTTTTTTCTCCAAAGTCCGATCTAAAACTCACGATCGTCTCTGCAAAACGCGAGCCGCATATGTCTTACAGGACAAGTACACCAAGTTCGACGCTCAGATTTTCTTTACATTTTGTGCACATGTCATGAACTAAGTATCAATTCCTGAAAGTTTTAGCTCGCGCTTTGCCGGCGCCGCCGAGATATCGAACGATTTTTGCCGCCGAGAGAGCACGCTAAACGTGGAGAGCGGTCAGAGAGAAAAACGCTTCTTGGCCATAACTTTGGCAGTTTCGTGCGGAAAATTTTGATTTTTTGTAGAAACATTATCCTTTACGGTAGAAATAGGCATGAAACTTTTCGTGACGAAATTCGGCAAAAAGTCCTAAATTTTGGCCGACTTTCGATCTAAAAATCTCGGTTGTTTCTGCAAAGCGTGAGCTAGGATTCTCGCATATATTTTGGAAAAAATTGTTCTAAATTTGTGCCAAGTTTCATCAAAATCTGAGCGTCGCACTTGGAGTACTTCCCCTGTAAGTATCAATTCCTGAAAGTTTTAGCTCGCGCTTTGCAGGGAGAATCGAGATATTCAACGATCTCTGCGGCCGAGAGAGTACGCTAAGCGCGGAGAGCGGTCAGAGAGAAAAACACTTTTTGACCATAACTTTGGCAGTTTCGTGCGGAAAAAATTGATTTTTTGTGGAAACATTACCCTCTATGGTAGAAATAGCTATGAAACTTTTCATGCGAAAATTCACATGGAAAGTTTTAAAAAAAAATAAAAATCCCAAAAAAATCATCGACCTCTGAGAAGGGTTTGGCAGCGCTCACTAGTCAATTCATTACCCAAACGCTCTGTATGACACTTGCCCTACGGCAGCCGCCCCTTTCCACGCCCTTTATAAGAAGTTGCTTATCGATCAGGAGGAGCAATAAACCACACACATCAAGATTAATATCAAGCGACAAATACTTCATCTTTCAGCTGATCCTAGACTACAACTTGCAGATTTTTTTAGAAACAGGTTATGATCAGCAAAAAAAGTTTTTTTAATTTTCGAATTGAACCCTTTTTTGGCGATGATTTGAAGAAATCAAGGTTTTTTCGATGACATTTCGAGAGTTGATTGACAAGTCTACCGTTTTTCGAAATTTCCGATTGTAAAAAGCAATCTTTGTGGGTTTGACAGAGCCAAAATGTTGTTGTTGAACTCGAGATAAGATATTTTTGGCAAAAATTTCAAGAAAATAATTTTTCGCAAAATTTTTTTTTCTTATATGTCATCAAATTTGGCACAGATACTCTAAATAGTTCACAAATTAATCCCTAAAAATTTCAGATCATAATTTTCAAGGGGAACCGAGATATTCAACGATCTTTGTGAGAGAGCACGCAAAATGAGGAGGGTGGGTCAGAGAAAAAATAATTTTTTTCTTTGTATCTACAAATTGTAAAATCTGGAAAAAATAAAAAAAAATTGAGTAAAGGAAAGTTCATAGCAGAAAAAAACATCATCACAAATCCCTTATGCAACAGTAAACCGACTTATCCGTCACTCTTTGGATTTGTGGCATTCCGCCAACTTGTTATCGGATTTTTGGACGAAATGAAACTTGGCATTGAAAAAGAGAAAAACATTATTTTAGATTCGATCGGATGTCAAATCCTCCTGAATCCCAGCCCATTCTGGCCCCTTTGGCCAGAATGGAGCTGGATTTGGGAACAAACATCCAAATGGAACCGGTTCAATGCGATGAAGACGTAGATGTTGGAACTTCGGCGGATAATATTGCTCCTGTCGTCGAAAATGAGGTCGCAAAAAAGAGAGTAGGTATTTTGAATATTTTCCTTGATGTTTAGATGCTGTGAGATCAAGAAAAAAAGATTTACTTTGGTTTAGTGATGTCAAACATAGAGTTTTACGCCATGGGTAATATAGGTAAAATTACAGGCCAATTTTGCATTTAATACTTGGCACAACACTATGTTGAGGTTTGCAATTGCTTCATTTGCCGGATTTTGAGAAAAGACATTGCTTTTCGACCTCTTCTAAAAATTGCTACCTAAAACAACATAAATTTTTGCTTTCGGAATTGTTTCAGTGGGTTCTTTTGAAATTCTTGAATTTTCTGATTCCATTCAGATTTCTGGAGCTGCACAGGTCAATTTAGCTGATTTCAAACCTAGATTTTGATCTGCTTTATTGTTTTTGGCCCAGTACAATATCAGACAAAAAATCTCCTCAAAATTTTAAAAAACGCTAGAAGTACATATCTATGACGTTCTTCTCTCTTCAGACCCGCTCAGTAGCAAAGCCTCAACGTCTTCTGGCCACCTTCAACTCTCATGAAGCCTTTTCCGAGGCCTGGGAAGGAATGAAGCGTGGATTTCACCGAAATTCAAAGACCTCATCTCGAGATTCCACCACCATCTACTACATTTGCTCCAAAAAGGACTGCGAGGTCCGGAGGACGGTGGTTATCGGTCTGAACAAGGTGTTGGTCTTCGAATCCGTTGAAGAACATGTTAACCATGACCGAAGAGAAGATCTGGATGCTGGAGCCGCCGCGGACGAGATGATCTATTTTCCACAGGCTGTCGGTGAAAGTCCAGAGTCAGTAAGTTGTTTTTATTTGTTGTTTTCGGATTTTAGACAAGAACTGAGAGAATTTTATGTTATCCATGGCAAGTTTAATCAAATTTGCTTCCAGAATGATGTTATTGTCGAAGTGGACGCGGGTTTTGAGCCGGATAAGTTTGTTCTCGGTCGTATCTTGTCCGGAGACGTGGATTTGGACGAGGGCACTGGGATTTTGATGAATTTATTTCGAACTCAACGCCAGGAGGCAAGTACAAGTTACAAAGTGGTTGAAAACGTCGAGGAGTCGCCGAAAAAAGTGAGTATTCTTCTTTGTTAAGCTGTTTTAGGAAGGATTGAAGGATTTGAAGGTGAAATCCATACAATTTTTGATAAAATAATATAATTTTATCTAAAGTAAGGTAAATTTTTGATGGAAAAATGGTTTCAGCGTCGCCCAATCCGCATGGACAACCGTCTCGTGGCCGAATTCTCGAGCAGAGAGGAGTTTGAAGCAGCATGGCCGGCTTTGAAACAAGGATTTTCCCTCAACTCTTCGATCAAGAGCAACGACAATGTCCGAAGAGCGTATTATGTCTGCTCAAAGAGGGGATGCAAAGTCAGGAGAACAGTGGAATATGAAGAAGACAAAATTCGAGTTCTCGAGACGACTTTTGGCCATCAGCACGAGCCTGAAAAGGAGACCGGACTCACGGAAGAGGTCAAGAAAAGAGTCGTGGAACTGTACGAACAGAAGTTCGCACCGCAGAGAATCATGGCCATCTTGGATGTACGTCAATTTGGAGGGCTTTGAGGGAAATTCGAGGGTTTAGCGGAAAATCTGAGCTTTTTATTAATTATATCACTTTAGGTAGTTTTGATCAAATTTTGATATTTTTTTGGTGTTGAAAGGTAATTTTAAGGTAATTATTATTTTATTTTTTATATACGGTTAATAATTCGTGATTTGGTCACAGAGATTCTTGGTTTTAACAAAAAAAAAATTAATTTTTTATATTATTTTAGGTGTTTTTGGCCGATTTTTTGATGAAAACAGCTTATTTTTGTTTGATTTATAGGTTCTAAGGGCAATTTAGAGCTCTAACTACCTCTTTGAAGTAATTTTCGACTAAAAATTATCGCATTTTAGAGTGATTACACCTCTGGCCAGCTGAAAACCAAGCCTCCGGAGAAGAAAAGAGTCATCTCGGATTTTCTCTACCGCCTTCACAGGCGGAAATCAACTCCCTCCAAACGATCTCGACTCGAAAAATCGCAAGATTCTACTGCATAAATTTGTTTGTTATTCCAATTTTTGGTATTAAAAATTCATTCGAAACAAAGAACATTAACAATAACATGGTGTAACAACAACAAACTTGATTATTTTAGTAGATGAAAAGTCCGATTTGACCGTCCTGGCCACCAGTGATTAGCCAAGGTTGGGTTGGGTGGAAGACGGTGGATAACATGGCCAATTGGTCCTTCGATTTCTTCTCTTCTTGCTGATGTTTGTGGCCAAAGAGACGCTTCACTGGGACCAGTTCATTGTCCTTGTCAAAGTCCTGAAAAATAAACGAGTTTTAATCTGCACTGTGCAATAAAAAATTTTAAATCCGCACGGTGCAAGTAAAAAACTCTAAATCCGCACTGTGCAATAAAAAAAATCATTCTGCACTGTGCAATAAAAAAAATCAGTCTGCACTGTGCAAAAAAAAAAATTTCAATCTGCACTGTGCAATAAAAAATTTTAAATCCGCACGGTGCAAGTAAAAAATTCTAAATACGCACTGTGCAAGTAAAAAATTCTAAATCCGCACTGTGCAAAAAAAAATTTTCAATCTGCACTGTGCAAAAAAAATTTCAAATTTGCACTGTGCAACTGAAATTTCATCGCTAATTTGGCACAGTTCGATCAAAAAACCTTTCTTCGCACAGTGCAATCGCAAAATAAACCTTTCTAATTTCTGCACCGTGCAAGCAAATAACTGGGAATTCGCACAGTGCAACCAACAAAGTGTTCCTTTCAGCCAAGTCCTTCGCAGTTCCTAAACTTCAAACAAACCAATAAAAAAAAATTTTACCTGAGGGCATCTTGCATGGTAAACAATTGCTGAAGCGTCATCCGAGACCGTGGCCAACAACGGGTACTTTTTATGGTAGGTGAGGGCGCGAACTGCGGATGAATGTGACCTCAGGGTTTTCCATGGCTTATTACTCAATTCCAGATCGATCCAGCTGAAAACTCGGTCCAGTCCGACCACAAACAAGTTGTTTCCGTAGTGATCCGTGTGCATTGCGGAGAGCCATTTCGTTCCCGGTAGGATCTTCCTCTGCAGTTGGCATTTGGCCAGATCGTATTGGCGGATATGTTGGAGTGTGGCGACGAAGAAATGAGGCTTTGTTGGGTGGAACAGAACACATTGCACTTGTCCCTTGGACTTGGAGAAGGGCTGTTGGGACTTGCATTGGGAGATTCGGTGGATGAAAATCTGTTTGGCGCCCGGCTCGAAGCCCACGGAGGCGAAAAAGTCGCCTTTTCTGTGCCACACGGCTTGACGGACCTTCTGAAAAGCAAAAATATTATATTTTTCATCAAAAAAAGAATTTTTTTTTCCTAATTTCGATTCAAAAATGCATTTAATTTGTTGTAAATCCCTTGTCCGTTCATCATTCTCCATTTTTAACCTCATTCCCGTAAAAATTTCAAAAATTTTTGTCATGGATAATATCCGAAACTTCCATTTTCCACAATTTCCCGATCTAAACTTCAACAAAAAGGTCTATTCTTACCCCTGGAACCTCAATTTCCAAATTTCCATCCTTGGTTCTGCTCCATTTTGGTGCTTCCGGGTTGTCGGCTCTGCACTGTGCGACGTCCAATTCCTTCAAAAAGTCCTTCGTCTTTTGCACTCTCAATTTGTCACCCGCTTCCACCACCAACAAAGTGAGTTTATTCGACTCCGTGGCCACCAAAACCAGCGTTCTATCGGGGTCCGGAGAGTATTGCACGGACGTGATTGGGGAGTCAAATTTGTAAGTTTTGAGGCATCGACCGGTCGGGATGTACCAAACTCGGACTGTTTTGTCTTCTCCACCCGAGACGAGAAGTTCTCCATTCGCTGGTTCCACAGTGAGCGATCGAACTTGTCCAACATGACCTCGCATGTACTGAAAATTGGGAAATTAGGTAAAAAGGGACGGAAAAATTATTAACAACAAGTATAATTATGAGAGATAGACTGAAAATGCCAGAAATGCTCTGTTCCTACTTTCTCAATAAAATTACAACCCAAATTTTTGTCGCACAGTGCAATATTTTCGAAAATTTTTTAGTGCACTGTGCAGTCCAATTTCTCACAAATTTTATATATAAAAACCTGCCAAATTTTCGCTAAACAGGATCAAATATTAACTAAACTCTCTGTGTTTTCTACAGCAATCAAAAATTTTTCAAAAAATCTACTGAACAGTGCAAAATTTTCGCAATCTGTATATTGCACCGTGCACTCCAATTTCTCACAAATTTCAACTACCAGTACCTGCCAAATTTTTGCCACGGCCGACCAAATACTGTCTAAACTCTCTGTATTTTCTATATCACTCCAAAATTTACCAAAAAATCCACTGCACGGTGCAAAATTTTTGCCATCTCTATATTGCACTGTGCACTCAATTTTATTTCTCGATTTTTCTTCCTAAAATTCAAACAAAAAATTTCAAAGCAACTTACGAATCCAAGAGTGGTTGGGAAAGGCTGCAAATCCTTGGGATTTGGAAGATCCGGCAATAATTCTTTGATGTCAACATTCAATTTCATCTTGACCTGTCTTGGTGCCATGTACAAGTCCAAACACCTCTCAAATCGCTCTCGATAGAACTTCTGATAGAATGGCACCTTCCTCAGAGCATCATACTTCTCGGGGATAAAGTTTTGTTTCCTCATTTCGGGTTCCATCTCTTCGTATTTCTTCTTTTCGTCTTCTGTCATCAGATATTCGGCTGGTGGATTATAACTCTCCGCATGACCCGGATTCCCAACTTTTGGAGCTGGGCAATGCATCCGTAATCTGGCCAGCTCCCTCTTCGACTTGGGCTCATCGTCTTCGGCGGCCCAAAGATCATAAGATTCCTTGGGTTTGGGCGCTTCCTTCTTTGTAATCCATCCCATTTTCATCGCATGCAACAGTCTTCCCACAATCTTCCGCTCGGCCGCACTCGGAATAAAACTCCTCTTATCCTCTGGCTTGTTGGATATGGGATGAATTTCCTTCTTGTGAGAGTATATATCCTCGAACGGCTCATACGGATTATAGGTGGGGTCTGGATAACGATAAGAGGTCATTCGCTGCAACTTCTCGACTTGCTCATCTGATAATGTCACCATCTGACCAGTCTGGCGATCGTACACCTTCCTCCTGAAAAAAGGCATCAGAAATCAGCCAAATTTCATATTGTTTTTGAAAACAGATGCTAATCATAATGCAACTCAAGAATTGACAAAGAAGCTGACCTCTGCTCTCAATCTAAAACCAGAAGAATAAAGGAAAAATCGTACCAATAGTCAGGATCTTCCATTCGCTCCATAAAGTTCTCAATCTCGCCCTTTTTGTAGCCCTCAGGTTTGGCAATCTTCGCTCCATCGAGGTCGTATCCAATATGGTCGTAATCGTCGTACCAGCGCAATGGCACGTTTCCTATTGTGTTTCGGAGATCCTAAAATAAAGAAGGATACTTTTAAAAGCATCTACGACAATTTTCTCCCAAGAAAACAATGTTTTTAGAGCAATTTATATTGTTCACCAACTTGTTGTCTACGGCAAGGGAAAATCGGAAATAAAAAGGTAAAAGTAATATAAAACGCAAAGAAAAGAATCTTATAAGCAAGATAAATCTCTGTTTTGCCAATTTTCAGAAAATTTCTTCAACAAAACTATTCGTCAAACTGGAAACTATAGAACTTTCCAACTCACTATCAAATCCCAAAGTATAATATAAATTTGGTCCTTTCGCGCCTAAATTCAGCAAAAACAAAGGTCAAAATTCACTTACAGCTTCATCATCAGAGTCGGTCTCGTCTTCTCGGAACTGTTTCTGATATCCATTTGAAATTCCATTAATTTTGACATTATTTTCAGCTTCCACCCCATTTGAAACAACATCTTCCTTCTTCTCCTCAACTTTCTGAGCTGTTTTCCGTTTCACCATCTCAAAAACAAGGTAAACCCACAGCAAATTGGACGAAAATGGGATAAAAAATATTTTTGCGATAAATTTGGGGAGTTAGACGAAATGCCACAGAATATTGCGAAGTGTCACGGAAATTATTGGATTTCGGTTTGAAAGTTGGTATGGGTCTAAAAACGGGTAAAATACGGGAGGATGTCCTAGTTTAAGATTTCTGAAGCTACTTGGCATGAAACAGCACAGATCTTTTTGGCAAATTGCATTAAATTGTCATGTGTAATATAACTTTTGTAGTTTTTTGAGAAAATAAAGGCTGTTCAAGCCGAAATTTTTGTCTCGGTAGGTCCCTCAGACCTCATTGCCTCATTTTTACTATCAAGCTCCTTAGGGTTTGCCCAAAATTTGGCTGTCAGTCAATTATAATGAGCTCTCCTCGTAATGAGCAAGCTTCATTTTCGCCGCGCAATTACCAACCAAGTGCAATAAAGTCGAGCCGGAAACAATAGTGAGACAATAATCCCGGCTGAACAAGCGCTTTCCAAGGGATTTAACGCTTCATATGGAAAACGCCGCAAAAGAGATACGAAATACGATAGAACCGACTTTGCAGGCTGTTGCCTACGGCGCATTAGATAAAAATATGGACCAAGAGCCTCTTGGCTGTCTTATTTTACGCTTTCGACCTAATTATTAGCAGTATTTTTGGTGAAATCAAAAGTTTTGAAGACTGCACGGTGCAGTGGAACATTTTTTTTGCACTGTGCGAAATATCCAACTTTTGCAAAAAATTTTTTTCTTGACGTGGGCATAATTATCTACCTTTTATTTCTATCCCATCACATTTTGTTTTCCATGCCCTTAGGGTCCATAAAATTCAAGTGGAATTTTTTGCACAGTGCAGATTTTTAAAAAATCTCGTTTTTTCGAGAGTAAAAATATTTTCGGAATAAAATAAAGTTTCATTACGTGCAATGACCATATACGAAGTGTTTTTAAAACTTTTTTCATCAATTTTCAATTCAAAATTGACTAAAAATTGAGGTTCGTTCTTAACCGCACAGTGCAGATTTTCAAAAAATCTCGTTTTCTAGTCAATAAAAACTTTTTTGATATAAAATCAAATGTCATTGTGTACAAAGACGATATACAAGACGTTTTTAAAGATTTTTTCAGCGATTTTCATTTCGAAATTTTCTAAAAATTGATCTCCATTTTCCACCGCACAGTGCAGATTTTCAAAAAATCGCGTTTCCTATTCAATAAAAACTTTTTTGATATAAAATCAAATGTTATCGTGTACAATGACGATACACGAAGTGTTTTTAAACCTTTTTTCAGCGATTTTCAATTGAAATTCACTAAAAATTGAGCTCAATTTTCCACCGCACAGTGCAGTCATCAAAACCTCCGATTTTGCACTGTTCGCCCAACAGAGGTTTAATTGCAAAAAATATTCCGAGATTTCAGTCCCTCCGCTTTTATTTACATTTTATTTTCGTCGCCTACAGTGAATATGCAAATATATTTTCACTCTTGCGCAGCCGGCCATCGCTTGCATTCATTACTTTCTCCGCTTTTGTCCTTCGACTTTCCCTCTTGACGGATTAGAGGCGGATAAAGATGGATCGACGACCGAACACTCTCTAAACAGGTGCCTCTTTCGTGCGTATCGGACAAGGTTGTTCTTGGAGAGGGGGTTTTGTAATGCACTGTGCGAAAAATGGATGATATTTTGACTGCACAGTGCAGTTTTTCGGTGATTTTTTGCACAGTGCAGAATTTTTTGTTGTCTGCACAGTGCATTTTTTCTCATTTTGCTTTTTGTCGCTTGCACTGTGCGAAAGATTTATGGTTTTTTGACTGCACAGTGCAGTTTTTTTGGAGGGCTTTTTGCACTGTGCAGAAGTTTTTTATCGTCTGCACAGTGCATTTTTCTTCGCGATGCGCTTTTTGTCGCTTGCACAGTGCGAAAAATTAATGGTTTTTTGACTGCACAGTGCAGTTTTTTTGGATATTTTTTTTTCACTGTGCAGTTTTTTCTCGCTTTGTATTTCCGCACCGTGCAAATTCGTTTTTTGTCGCTTGCACTGTGCGAAAAATGGATGATTTTCTTACTGCACAATGCAAATTTTTGGATTGTTTTTTGCACTGTGCAAAATTGTTTTATCTTCTGCACAGTGCATTTTTTCTCGTTTTGCGAGAAAGTTTTGTCGCTTGCACTGTGCGAAAAATTAATGGTTTTTTGACTGCACGGTGCAGAATTTTTTGTTGTCTGCACAGTGCATTTTTTCTCGATTTGTTTTTTCCGCACCGTGCAATTTGTTTTTTGTCGCTTGCACTGTGCTGTCGCTATGGAATGACTCTGTTTTCGCGACAAAAAAGATTGAACCCTTTCTTTTAACGCACAGTGCAGTTTTTTCAAACGTTCTTTTCGATGCACCGTGCAGATGGATTTCGGGATTTTGCACTGTGCAGTAATAAAAATAGATTCTTTTGCACCGTGCAAGCACAAAATTGAATAAAAAAAAGTTGCACAGTGCAGATTTTTTTGATTTTTTGTGCATTCAATATTTTTTTAGAATTTATATTGGTGTAATCTAAAAAAAAATAATTTTTTTTAATGCACCGTGCAAAATGTGAGATTAAAGCTTGCGTATTTTAAGCACTCAATCTCCGAATTCTCTGACAAATTGCTGATGGATTTTTGTTTTCCGATTATTAATCTGTTATATTCGGATCTTCGGCTCTCTTCATCAAACTGACACTTCCATTTTTTCCGCTCTCGTCTAATCTTGAAGGTTAATGAGAGTGCACCTGGCTGCAGGGGATTTGGAATTTTCGCCCTTTTACCGTAAGAAATTTTCGGATTTTTATTATTAGAAAAATCTTTACGATGAATTTTTCAACCGTGCAAAAAATTTTTTTGATTGCACTGTGCGAAAAAAGTCGATCGCACTGTGCAAGATTAATTTTTTTCCGCACAGTGCAAGAACAACTTTTTTGACCGCACCGTGCAAAAAAATTTCCCACCGCACCGTGCAAAATTGTTTTTCGATTGCACTGTGCAAAAAAAAATTTCGGACCGCACTGTGCAAAATAATTTTCGGATCGCGATTTTTTTACCGCACAGTGCAAATTTCTTTTGATTGCACCGTGCAAAGCTGCTTTTCCATTGCACTGTGCAAAAAAAATTTCGGACCGCACTGTGCAAAATAATTTTCGGATCGCGATTTTTTTACCGCACAGTGCAAATTTCTTTTGATTGCACCGTGCAAAGCTGCTTTTCCATTGCACTGTGCAAAAAAAATTTCGGACCGCACTGTGCAAAATATTTTTCGATTGCACTGTGCAAAATATTTTTCGGATCGCGATTTTTTTACCGCACACTGCAAGTTTCTTTTGATTGCACCGTGCAAAGTTGCTTTTCCATTGCGCGACAAAAAATTCGGAACGCACTGTGCAAAATAATTTTCGGATTGCACAGTGCAGACTTTCGTTGGATTGCACCGTGCAAAATCATTTTTTCCGCACAGTGCAAATTTCTTTTGATTGCACTGTGCAAAATACTTTTTGAACGCACTGTGCAAAAAACTTTTTAACCGCACAGTGCAAAATTTCTTTTTGATTGCACTGTGCAAAATTAATTCCGCCGCACAGTGCAAGAGAGAAGCCGTATATTTCTTATTTTAATTTACTTTACTGACTAAAAAAGGATATAGAAATTCTGGCTAATATAATTTCGAAGCCCTTATCCATCATTTTTCTATTTTTTGGGAGGAAGTAATATTATTAAAAAATTGCTCGGCTATTCTTACTTTATTAGTATTACTCTAATTTCGTTAGCTCTTTTGATGGATGTTGACGGAAATTACGGGGTGTTTTTTATTTTCTGAAGTGGATGTGGTGTTTTGGCAAACATTTAGAGCTGATTTTTTAAAAATTTGGAGTAATTTTATAGGGTCCTCAAAAAAAAATTTTTTTAATTTTGTGATTTTGTCATTTTTACTATTTTCAATCATAAATCAAAGATTTCTAATGGTTTAAAAAATTTGAATATTGCAAAAATTTGCATAATTTAAAACAAATTTCTTATTTTTTATTATTTTATTTTTCAATTTTAATTTTTTTTTCAATTTAATTTTTTTTATTTAATTTTTTGTTTTTTTAATTTTTTTAATTTTAATTTTTTTTAATTTTGTTCTTTTAATTTAATTTTTTGATTTTTTAAAAATTTATTTTTTAAATATTTTTTAATTTTTTAATTTTTTGATTTTCATAAAATTTACGCATCTCAAAAAAACTTGCAAAAATTTGCACAATTATTTCCCGTAAAAGTGACCCTCACTTAATCCAGTAATTACCAATTCCCCGGCCAGATGATATTTTTTCGGCCAATGGCTCCTCCAGGTACGAAACCAATCTTTTACTTGAATAATTACAGACGCAGGTCGTATAATTTGGAATTCCGCGGCGTTATCGACCACCCCAATTTTACGACCTGCGGTTTGTATTTGTTTTCGCGACTTATCAGTGAGGGGAATATTCGTAAAATTTCTCAAAATTTGTGCCAAGTTTTATTATGGTTTGAACGTCGCATTTGTGGGTACTTCCCTTGTTACTTTTATTAGTCATTTTATTCAAAATTGGCTTTTCTTGTCATCATTTTTAACTATCAATTTTTGGCAGACTGCGCCCTACGTTCATCCTGAAAGTTCTGAAAATGTAAAATTTATATGTTGTAGACTCTTTTCTACTCATAAAATACAAAATTCCGTGGATTCCGAGGCTTCTCGCATTGTGTTCCTCGGTAGTATAGTGGTAAGTATCCGCGCCTGTCACGTGCGAGACCCGGGTTCGATTCCCGGCCGGGGAGGAAACATTTTTAGGATTTTAAAAGTAAAATACATTTGAGAATTGCTTTTTTAATGCTTGCAAAGATATTTGTGATCAATTTTAGACTTGAAAATGCAGAAATATTTCATTCTTTATCAGAAAAATAAGGAAAAATGTAAAAAATTGGC